TGAATATACCAATAGTTATAGGTACCTAGGTTATGTATGTAAAGATTTGATGCTTACACTATTAACGATAACTTGCTGTCACACACAATAGACCTAATCAAGGCGTTTAAGCTGAGTAAGAAAAAGCTTCTAGTATCATCAAGTGCACTCCAATCAGCTTCAACGTTGAGCATCTTTGAGGCAGCCAACTAGCTACCTAGCAACTCCATTACTGTCATCCACCCTCCTGCGCAACGCAGCATTAGCCTCCTGGAGCAGCATCCGCCCGCGAATCCACTTCTCCCTCCCTCCCACAGCCATCACGGGGATCCTCCGCCATCTCCATCGTCAACAAACCGGAGATCTCCGAGGCTCCGTACCGTGTCTTCAAATACATCCATAAACCTACCTAGTACCTACCTATCGGCCTACATACCCGCAAACCCAACATAGCCTCTTTTCCCACCTGCAATCTTCGCTTCCTTCCAATCAATGAATACCATCAACTCAAGAAATCAAAATCACGGAGTAGTCTTTCTTAATCCGCAAACCCACATTCTCAACGCCCCGGCAAATCTCCCGGCTCTGCTCGCCCGCCCAGCTACACAGCTCACCATGAACACGATGAATACGACGAAGAAAAACTGGCCCCACTAGCCGCCGTCGCCGTCGTCGTCACCATCGCCGCCACCATCACCATTACCAGATAGTGTATGCTCGACAATTCCAACCAATCTCGGGCCCACCGTTCACCACGGCTTACCCTTTAAGGCTAGGCTAGCTTCATTCAACCAGAGGCTCTGATACCAGATTCATTCTCGTATGTACCTACATTAGATCAATACCTATCTACTCTCTAGTTCTATTCCCAGTATTCAATTGTATAAAAATAACAGGTAACAACGATACTTTAGAAATCTAATATATGCACCGAAAAAAAAAACAACCCATAACCGTCGTTGCCCCAAATGGTAATCACGTGATAATGCATACCTTACCACCACCCAGTTACAGATAGTTAGATTACTTGCTTCGTACTGTAGTTGTTAACTAACTAGTTGGACCAACGTTCCTCTGTAGGTTATTTAGGTATGTAGGTAGCTGTGTAAAAAAAAACGGGCCTGGGAAACGTCGAAGTTGGCGAAGATGTACAGTACCTGCCCGGTCTACCTACTCCTACTGATACTGACACCACCACCACCACCACACTAGCTAATGTCGCTACTAATTCTATGTGTAGTACCTAGCATGGCTTCGACCGGCAGCTGCTGCCGGTGCTGGAAGCTAGACTCCTTGTAAAGACTGCACAGAGCGAGAGCTGTTAGTTTGCGGCGAGGTTTTTTTTTTTTTTTTGGGGGGGGGGGGGGGGGTTGTCGTCGACCCGGGGGCATGCTGGCGTTGAGTGATAGTGATGACGTTGAGCGATGACAACGACTGCTCGCGAGGCTGAACGAGTATTTGCTGGCCTGGTTCGGTGAAGAAGATGATGATGATGGTGGTGGTGGGCCTGTTGCGTCGAGGTAGCTCGATAACGACGACGAGCTTGCTTGCCTTGTACAGAGGCCCGCTGCGCATGGCCGCAATCTCGATGACGGATAGGCTGCCCCCGGGGTTGCTGCGTGGTTTTACCTTGCTTGTTTGGTTGTTCTGAGTATGCAATTCTTCAGGGAGGATATGGTAATCTAGGAATTAGGCTGGGGAGGGAGATGGTGAGGATGGGTTTGTATGAAGGCATCACGATGGGTTTTCAATGGTAGGCATGGTGGCAAGGTCTATGGTTCTTCCTTCTTTTTTTCTCGGGATAGATTGCTAATCTAGAGGGCTATATACGCTGGGCTGTTATGTTTCATCATGTGCCTGTGCTCTTTTGCAGTCATGAACTCATCGCCGCGACATAGGCGGTGCCCCTACATTGCACGAATGGTTTCGTACTCACCGGCGCATGCTGTGGTTCAACGTTGGAAGACTTGAGGTTCTACTTGTTCCCTCGAGAAGCCCTTTCATTGGGCTAATTGAGACATAGAAAAGGAAAAGGAAAAGTAGCGTGCGTATGTCTCGCGTACAGCCTATAGGCAAACTTTCAGAACGCGTGGCGGCTTGCTCCAGGGCTATCTATTCATTGCATCCTCTCACCGGTTTGGGCCAGCTCATTCTTGAGTCTCTTTAGGCAAGATTGTTTTGATTGCTGAAGTTACTCAAAGTTTGAATAATGAGGTACTTACCTTACCTAGTAGGCAGTCCACGCCCTGAAACTCAATATAGGTAAAGCGCACGTCTACTAGAACCAACTCTTGGTACTGTGTTCTTGTGTCCTTTTCTTGATCCTGGTCTTACTTACGACATAGGAATCGATCAAATCACGAAGAAATCATTCAGATGCATGATGTGTGTGGCGAGTATTAGACGACAAGGTTGGAGAGGAATGATTTCGATCGATCCCATCGATGCAACCTCGTCAATCGAGATGGCAATTCGGGAAATATGCAAGAGAATTGTGAATACCCAGGTATGAATAGTTATCATTGGATATGCAACTTTAACCTTGGAGATCGATATAGTGTAGTATACCGTTACCTCGGAGCCTGCGACCACGTTCCAGTGGTTGTGAGCCGCCGGATGTACATATTTGTAGTAATTATACACGAAGCCCTTTCATCCATGAACAGGACACCTTATTTGGTCTGGTGGTTGCTTTATTACACATCCCACAAGTTGCTCCTGTCCGGTCCGCTACTGGAGGTCGGTGAGGAGGCTTTCCCCACAACCCCTTTTCATTTTATTTTTTTCTCCGCCTTCCCCTTTTCCGCTTGTGGCGAACCGAGTTGAATCTACTCCCCATCCACAACTTCTAACAGCAATAGGAAAACACACACACCGGTTTTGTGTTTTATTTAACTTATCGTGTTGTTATTCTCGACTCCAAGTTCGTATTGATATAAAATACTACTGTATTTATACCTAAGTAGGTTTATTGGAAGAAATGCTACACGCTCAATTGCTACCGCGAATCGAATGCTTTCCTCTTAGATTCTGAATTGTCAACTTGACGAGTCACAATCAAGGTCTGAGTGCAAGCCTCAACTAGGAGATCAATCATGATACATCCATCCTAGATTAAGATACCTAAGTGTACAAAAACATTGATCTTTAAGTTCACGATGAGACTTAACTACCAAGTAAACCAGGTAAACCAGTATGTTCCCTTTCAAGTTGTATTCGCTTAGAAACTAATGAGTACCTAGACATGAGAGATACATGTACTGGCGCAAAGAATACCACTGGATCATGTCGAGTACAGCATCCCTATCTACATAGGTAGGTACTTACTATGTACACATCACCTTCCATAGGTAGGTAGGTATGTAGACTACGACACCGAAGGCAGATTGGGACTTTGATACCTGTCCAGCTTCAATTTAGTCTAGCTTCTGGATACGGAAGGGATTTAGACAAGACTACCAGGCACACTGCAACTTAAACGGAGTTGTAGTCGAGAGTACTTAGTACATGAAACCAATGCAGAACTCTCCGTCAAAAGAGCAGATTTGACGACTACGTTATATTTGGTAGCCATATGATAAGGGGGCTATGATGATAGTTATATGGAGTTGCAAGGGGCTGTTTTTTGCATGAACTCTACGTTCGTTAGCCGGTATTGAAAGAGGGCAAGGCCGATGTGGCTTGGAAAAATCGTAGGTTAAGGATGTAAGATTTGGATACCAACGTAAGCTTGGAGAGCTTTTAAGCATATGTAGGATAGGGCAACTACGACGTCTTAAAGATGGTTAGCAAGATAGAATCCTTATGAGGTCGGGGCGACGTTATTAGCCCCCTGGGCCGAAAATATTATCTGGTGCTCTTAGGGTCGTTGTCATAGCTTGTCTAGTTTTCTGTACTGGCCATTGGTAGAAGATGAAGCTTTATGTTGGCCTGTTTTATTGCTTCAATGTTGAGAGTACAAGAGAAACAAGGGAGAAATAGCCACTGCCTTGATTATTACTATGCTGATTGTGTCCCTGGCATCTTGATCCCAACCACATATCGCGAGAGCTGAAACTTATTTCTGGCTAAGACTTACTTTACTGCTAAGCATAATTTTAGTCATTCTTTTAGTATGACGATTTGGGAAACTTCTCAGAGTCTCTATCGAGGTACTTTATTAACTTCCAAGGTTAAAGTCTTAGTTGAAGAGAGACTTCTTGTTGTTCTTGTTGTTCATTTGTGTTATTAATATCTTTCGCATATGCAACTTAGCACCATAGTGAAATACCGAGGCATGCAGTATTATGTACACAATGTGGCTTGTGTGCTTACACATAACTAACTAATTCAAGCCACAGTTGATTCTAGATTGACGTTGATCAATAATAAACCGACCACAGCCAATCTTGAATTCTAATACTAGAAAGCGTTACCTTTATATATCCCATCATTCTTCCACAACTCTTCACCATGTTGTCTTAATTTTACCTGAAGTGTTAAGACTTGGTCGCATCATCATATCTCAAGCTTCTAGATGGTACTATAACACAATTTCAAGACAGGCAGCTGTATGCTGCCGTCTTCTTTCGTCAAACATTATGTCGCCATCCTCCTGACTAGGTAGCTTGCTGGTCTGCGGTAAGTGACTTGACTGCTTCGCAGTCCAACTCTTTGTTTGGATATCAGAACAAAACCTGTGAGTATACCTGAATTTCAATCGTGATATTTCATTTAACCCCCCTTTTTGTATTTTAATAGAGCAGCAGGCTTCTGATATCATGGCCTTTGGACCTTCTATCGACACAACTGTTTCTCCTCAAGGAAGCGGCTGATCGCGATGCCGTAGTTTCCCCGATAGACAAGGTTATACTAACCAAAGCAGGACTAGCGCCAAAACTGAGTATGGATTACATGGAGAACATGGAGATGGGTTAGTGACAGTGTGGCGGGGTGTTCTTCCAAGCTTCTGGAAGGGGCCCTGGGAAAAAGATTGTTGGCACTTTCCTCAGCGCATTGCATCGACCCGAACAGGCAACCTTAGCCATTCAGCAAGCCTACAAGGCCACTGATAACGTGCCACCTACAGTGGTGGTATGTACCTAAGCTTTCCCACCCGCAAGACCTCAGCCCGCCTTTCCCAGTGAAAGAAGTATCAACCAAGACGTACCGCGCCGCCTCTCGATTTTCGATTTTCGATTTTCCAACGCCTCCAAACAACAAAACACAAACCAAAAAAAAATAAAAAACAATTTTCACCGACAAACATATCCTTTGACGCGCAAACTTAACCAACCCAACTCGAAACTGATACAATTAAATCTCGTCGTATTGAAGCAACAATAATTTAGCCATTACCAACATTCCATCGAATTTGCGCGACTCGATATAAAATTAACACAATGGCTGGTGGAAAAGGCAAATCAGCTGGAGGCAAGAGCTCAGGTGGAAAGACTTCTGCTGCCGCCGCCGCCGCCGCCCATGAAGGTCCCAAGAAGCAGCAAAGCCATTCCGCTCGTGCTGGACTTCAGGTAAGATTTTACTTTTAATATTTGTCGTGATGCATCGCGGCTTTTTCTCCATTATATTTGGTCGATCGTCTCGTCGCTATACCCGCAATCTCGAGCTTCTACCATCGATACCGACGACCTGCCCCTCGATTTATATAATGACGCGCATTTTTCTTCAACACGACACGTCCTCGTGAGCAGTCTTGAATCGTCGCACGGATTGAATTAGGAACATCGAACTTACTGCGCGAATTCTGCGGTACCCGCTATCTTCAATTTACTCAAGATATTCCACGCATATGCCGGACATTGAAAATATTTACGAACATGCGATGGTCACGATAAAGCTGCTTTCCTTGCATCACAGCGCCAGATGCGACACACTATTCATTCAATGCCATCCACCATAACACGCGCAATTTTTTTTCTAGGAATTATCTACAATGTAACGTGGAGCTCTACTAACATTTACTGTCTAGTTCCCCTGCGGTCGTGTCAAGCGTTTCTTGAAGCAAAACACCCAAAACAAGATGCGCGTCGGAGCTAAGGCAGCAGTTTATGTTACGGCCGTTCTCGAGTATCTTACTGCTGAAGTCCTGGAGCTCGCAGGAGTGAGTCATCCATCTTCTTTGTTTTCTTGGTGCCACCTTGTTATTTACTGCTGTCCCACATCCCTCCCCCCATATCACCTCAAGGCTTTGTTGGTAGTACAGCATACTGACTCTTCTGCCTAGAATGCTGCCAAGGATCTTAAGGTTAAACGCATCACTCCCCGCCACCTCCAGCTCGCCATCCGTGGTGACGAAGAACTCGATACTTTGATTCGTGCAACCATCGCCTTTGGTGGTGTCCTACCCCACATCAACCGAGCTTTGCTACTCAAGGTCGAGGCCAAGAAGAAGAACAAGGCTATCGAAGCATAAGCATCCTGCTACCTTTGTATTTGAAGTTTTCCAACTTCATAGTCTTTCGCTTCCAACTGTTCTTGCTATGTGGCACAAGGTTCTCTACTTCTGGAGGTGGGCTACACGGTCTCACGACTTAGGACGGTTAATTATGACGACGTATTCTGGCATCCCCTTGACGGAATCGCGGTTGCTTGCGCTGGGCATTTTGGCTCTGAAGTAGCATTCAGGGTTGAGATAATTCAGAAGATTTTCGGCAAGGCCAAAGGGTGCTCAGGAGATGGTACTGGCAAGAAGAGATAATGGTAGTTGGTCAAGGCTTGCTTATGCGATTCTTACGTAGGGATGAGTGGAGGTCTGGGCCGTCTCACCAACCTTCTATGGCCTTGATTCAGGCAAACAAATAATATCACGCTGCTTCGATTATTGATTTGGTTTTTCATTGGTGTGATGATGGGTATTAATATATGAAGTGCTTTTCTTTTCTTCTTCGCATGATGAGGTTTACTGCCTAGGTACTACTTATACTGTCTTGACGTAGGTAGGTATGTATTTTTTTCCTTTAATCTGCTTAACCAAGATGATATTCAAGGAAGCATGTATGCCCAGGTGCGTGCTAAGAATACCTAATAGTTTATAACTTGTTGAGCTCACTCACCTATGTAGTTCCCAACGTGCCAACATCTGTAGGTGCCTACTCAGGTATGTATCGTTCCCCTTTGTTCATACTACCTGGGTTAGCTTATATCGTCGATCCAGGACGAGTAACCAGGTTGTCCCTTGTGTACTAGAGGTAGTTATAGCTAAAAACCATCTTCAACGACTCTTAACCTTTTCTCATCTCATCTCATCCCACTTCACCTCAGCGAAACATAGATGCTTGGACTTGTATATTCGGTTGTTCGGGTAGTGAGTGGGAATAAAACATAATAGAATCGTGGGAGCCTGGGTATGTTGTGTCTAATGCCAGAGGCATGGAAAGGGGTATTGGGATGCGTGAGAGGGGTTGTGTCTCTAGGTAGGGAGGTAGGCTCCAAGGTTGTTTATGAACGGAGGGTTGTTCTACCTGAGTAGCTCTCACTTATAGAGGCAGTTTATGAGATTTATGGATGTCGTATACCTGGGCACCTACCTCCCTACCTAGGCAGGTATAGATGAAGTCAAAAGACGATCAAGGAAGGAAGGAAAGGGGGGAAAGGGGGGGGAGGTAGACGTGACTGGCACTTTCTTGTATAGAAACATGCACTAACTTCACAGCAACTTTGGAATAGCTAAGGTGTTCTTTGTTCCTATTGCTGCGCTACATAATAAATCTCCGAATCTCGTCGTCAAAGCAGCCCGGGATTTAGGACGTGAGTTACTTTCTTTCTTGTATATACCCCTGCCCGGTACATAGGTCTTTAGGCTGTAAGTGGTGTAGAGCCACCAGGAGACCACAAGCTGGGCTCGAGGAGCAGGCAAAGGGGTGAACAGGCAAGTCGCGAGCAGTTCTATAATGCCTCCTTTTCTCAACACTCTTTTCACCCTAAGGCCATGTTAGTTAGGCCAGCATACCTAGTATGTCCAACAACGTTCATCTATGCAACCCCTGAATATACTTGCCCAGGCCTATACGGGATGTAAATCTGAAAGGGCGTTCAAATACCTTGATACATTCTAACTAGCCCGCCCACGAGCAAAGCAACGGCCGTATGCGAGTGAAGCTTCCGAGTATGCAAGTGAAGCATCCGAAGCTTGCGATCTCGTTGCTCCATCCATACCACTAGGCCAGGGAGCCTCACCCTGAGCGATACCGACGTCCCAACTACCCAGCCTATCAACTCAGCCCATCGAGCCACGCCTACCCTCTCCTTCGGGCAGCCCAGCTTTGTTGCCATGTTTAAAAACCTCTGTTGCTTTATTTTCCCACGCCGCTCGCCTTTGTCACCCCGCGCGGATACCGCTTTTTGCCCAAACCAAACCAAACCAAACCATACCAACCAACCAACCAACTGTCCCCAACGCGCCCTTGTTCCCTTCAACCCTCGTGCGTCTTTGTCATGGGAATCGCGCTAGGTATCAAAAATATACATCATCGACACCACCGTGCCCTAGCAACCGTCGTGCGCGGAAATCTCCGCGTGTATACCTATCAATGGAAAAACCCCAACAATACGACAAAGGGGCGTTGCACGACGAACGATTACCCCCCCTACCCAAAGCGTAGAGCTTCCCCCATCCTTACGCACGAGAGATTGCGGCTACCGCCCACAGAAGCGCCGGAGGTGTCTTTGTTTCGGGGACGTGGGACAAAGTAAGCCCATCTGCTAGAAGTGTCGATAGCCTCTCCTTGCTAGGGGGGGAGGGGGGGGGGACACCAACCGCCGCGCGGATATAACCCAGGACGAAGTCTCAGCCCTAAAAACAGCTTCTTTTCCTCCCATCTTCGGGATTATTTTCTCCTTACTTATCTCGTATTTTCTTCTTCTTCTTCTTCTTCTTTTCCTAGAGTCTTTCCTTATTATAATAAGTATTTTCTTTTCATAATTAACTACTATACATACTCATCCTTAATCAAGTCGCTCCTTCGCACAACCAACCCTCTTTTAAAGAACCAAGTTTTGTTTGACTAAGACAGTTTTCTTCATCATTATATTTTTCTTTCTTGTCGCAGAGTTTTCACGGTGAAGTTTGTTACCTCACAGTACGGGTTAGAGGAACCATCAAGGTTAGGTCTGCTGAGTCAACGAGGGCTTAGACGAATGGTTATTGGTCATAGGCTCGGTATCAGTATCAACAAGCAAACATCTTGGATTTTATATTCGTTTCCAAACCGGAGTCACTAGACACTCACCTTACCGCCACTTACACACATAATACACAACAGAGACAACATCATGCCTCCACGTAGGAATCTACCCACGCTGTCTATTCACTCGAGACAGCCCGCCGCTGCCATGTCTTCTACTTTATTATCCCCCTCCCCGAGTAATAGGTCTTCTATGATGCCTATCACACCACCTGCTCGACTACATCTCCGAAATATTTTACCGCTAACTCCTGACGGTATGCCTACACCCCCACCCCCGCCTCGTAAGCCATATCCCTGGCTGTGGCAGTGTCACTCATGCAACACCATCTATCGCATTGGCTGCACGCGGCGCTGTCTCGTCTGTGATCACGAGTATTGCGTTTCTACAACTACGCAACAGACCCGTCGTGGTAAGAAGCGACGCCGCAGCAACAGCACGTGCCCCTCGGAGTTTGACTATGGCGGATGGGAAGAATGGGGTGCCTGGCGCCGCAAGGTTCTTGGATTACAAATCACAACTTGGGCGGGACAGAAGCAACGCGAGCAAGCTTTCGTTGATCGGAAGCACAATTGCATGATCGACTGCGATTTCCCATCTCAATGCCACCATGAGCGGTTCAGGCTTCAAGAGGAAGCACTAGAAAAGAATTTGCAGGAGTCACCCCTGGAGGGACTCCCATCACCATCGCCCATCGCAACCGTACCATTGGGCTTGGACGATAAAATGCCGTCAACTGTGACGCTGGAAGTGCGAGAGATTGCGGATCAAAATAACGGACAGGGAAGTCCTACTAGTCCCAAAAGTCCGCTTAGGCAGAGTTTCTTTTGGGATGAAGCAGAGGACAAAGAGGGAGAAGAGGTTTCATGGTGGGTGGCTGGTCAACAACAGGAAGAAATCAAGGCTGAGACTCACCAGAAGAGCCAATCGACATCTGGAAACAAGGATGATAAAACGAGAGAGGCGACTCCCCTAATTCTCGAAGACAGAAATGCGAAGCCGTTGTACAATGCGATGGAGGATAAGGACATAGTTCGTCGTGCTATTAAGTGCAGCAAAAGATCACGGTGCCGGTCAAGAAATTCCAGTCGAGAACATCCGAAACACAGGAGCAGACTGACGGTGCGCAACTTTACCAAGGCGGATGGATGGGAAGATTGGGAGGACTCGTCAGACAGCGACTCTGATGATAGCTCAGTGGCATCTTTCTCCTCATTTTCGTCGTCATCATCTTCCGATGGTGAATGGCTTCCGGCAAGTGACCTGACGTCTGCCTGTAGCTCTGAAGCTAGCAGCACAACTGATGCAGAGGAAAGCGAGGAGGAAGAAGTGGACCAGGAGTTGAGGGAATTGATTAAAGTAAGCAACTCTTTCTTGCAGAGTTAAGGGCGTAATAGTAAGAAAATGGGCGGATGTGAAGCGGGAGGAACAAAGCGATCTGAATCAGAAAGGGTAACGGTATATCTCATAGCAGTACATGGAGCTTTTTAGCGAGTTATTCGGATGGTAAAGTGATGATTTTATTATTTGAAATTAATGAAACTTGAAGAATTGAAGAATTGAAGCTAAATAATTGTGATGAATCAGGAGTTGAAGAAGTTGAAGTTGAATAAATTGAATAAATGAAGTTCTAAGTTGCATCATGATTGATCAATCATTGATGACATCGGATAGGTAGGCAACGCCACATTAACTATGCATTAGCCACAACCATATCAGCCAGCCTATTTGATTATCTAAGCTTAAAGAGATACCAGCCCCACCAGACCAAGATTCACATGCAGACGCGTTGAGGAATTCAATTTACGCGTCTTCCAACGGTAACTGGGTAAAGGACATCTATTTCTAAAAAAGCCGAATGATACCAACCATACTACTAATTGCACCTCGTATCATTGAGTGAGTCCTATGAAAACTTAACGTACTACATTGCCGAGGAAGAAACCACGCTAGAAAAGGTCGCTGCCATAAAGATAACTCATCGTTTGTTAAGAGACAAAACTAGAGAGTCCAACATGTCCGACTTCGAGGATGAGATGGACATTGATGCTCCTCCTGTCTCCAACGATATCAAATTCTCCTCCGACAACACTGCCAAGGGAAAGCGTAGTGCTGCAAATCTACCGGTCGAAGCAGAAGATTCTTTACCATGGTAAGACTATCAGGACTAGCAATTGTACACTGAAAGCTTGCTAAGTCAGAGTTAGGGTTGAGAAATATCGGCCTGTATCGTTATCTGATGTCTCTGGCCACCAAGATATCCTAGCTACTATAAACAAATTCGTTGATTCGAATCGGTTACCCCATCTTCTTCTCTATGGACCCCCCGGAACTGGAAAGACGTCCACCATTCTAGCCCTTGCGAGACGAATATACGGCACAGAGAATTTACGGCAAATGGTACTAGAACTGAATGCCTCAGATGACCGAGGTATAGACGTTGTACGTGAGCAGATCAAAACCTTTGCATCAACCAAGCAGATCTTCACTATGGGTGGCGCCTCGCGTTCAGGCGGGATCGCAAGCTACAAGCTCATCATTCTAGACGAGGCCGATGCCATGACCAACACGGCGCAAATGGCCCTGCGACGAATTATGGAGAAGTATACGGCAAATACACGATTCTGCATTATTGCCAACTACACACACAAGTTATCGCCCGCACTGCTATCTCGATGTACACGCTTTCGATTTAGCCCTTTAAAGGAAAATGACATTCGGGTCTTGGTAGACAAGGTTATCCTAGAGGAGGGAGTTAAGATCTCGGGTGAAGCCGCTGACGCTTTAGTCAAGCTGAGCAAAGGTGATATGCGACGAGCCTTGAACGTGCTCCAGGCTTGTCACGCATCCAGTAAGTTCAACCATAGATTACCTTCTATGAGCTTAAACAGCACTTCCCAATACTAACTATCCAACTAGGCACTCCGATGCAGCCTAAAGATGCGCCAAAAGTTGCCGAGAAGGACATTGTCAGGGAGACTATCACGACAGAGACCATCTACAACTGCATAGCGGCCCCGCCCCCTGAGGCGATCACAAAGATTGCTGACACGTTGCTGACTACGAGTGATGTCACTACATGTCTCTCTACCATTAACACGTTGAAGGTAGCAAACGGTCTCGCCTTGGCAGACATCATCACTGCCCTATCGGAGCAGTTAATGAAGATGGAGGTCAAGCCTCAAGCTATGATCCGATGGCTAGATGGCCTAGCGGAGATCGAGTATCGAGTATCCGCTGGAGGAAGTGAGGCTATTCAGACAGGTGCTGTCGTCGGTGTGGTCAGAGAAGGGTGCGAGCTTTTGGGATAGGAGAGTTAGGTCGATATTAATGGAAATGAAACGGCGTAATTAGACGCTGAGTGATGAGATTGAAACCACCTTGCGCGATGCGCGGTGCTACCGACTTGCATACATGTAGGCACCTGCTTACCTAGGTACCTAACCTAGAGTACTTACTAGCCTAAGGTCGATGCTTGAGGTATCTACAATGCAAATTGGCCTCTTGTAGCCCTAGAGAGCAACATTTCTGGCTTAGCCATCTCTGTAGAAACGAATTCTTGCTCACAATACTACATATAAACACCGCAGAACTAAATTAAACAGAAGAAAATGCACAATACACACTCTCATCAGCAACCAACTCACCAACCTACATCCAGCTTTCGTCTGCTGACATCATCTACTATAGCTCTCGCCATTCATATTTCTACCACACCAGTTGGAATTCCTAGACCTTTTTGTTCTTCACGATGAGCGCAATGTCGTTGCCCGAAGTCCTGGGCAAAATTTGCTCGTACCTTGATATGCAGGACGTAAGCAACTTCCGCTTGTGCAGCAAAGCCTTTGCCGACGTCGGTCTTCGCTTCGCATATCGAACGGTTGTCATGTCTTTTGACTCCAAGTCTTTGGATATGCTCCGATATATTTGATTGCACCCTGTTGCGTCCACGAGCATCAAGTCACTGGTCTACATTGTCGATCCTATAATGCTGATAAAAAAAACCTCTTGATCGTGCGAAAAGTCAAGGAAGACCACGTTTAAGAAGGATAGTAGGTGGTGTCCCCGATCCTAGGTCATTTTTCTTCACGGAACTTCACGTCACCTTCGATCCCCAGCATCAGATTCTACAAAGAAATACTGACATTTCTTGTATCGAAGAGGCCGGGTGTCATTTTCCGGCTCTAGAGGAAATCATCGTGTCCTCTCGTAGACGCTACAGGGGCAAGCGCAGCAAACCCACCTACATATATCGCCCGGACACTGATGATGCAGAAAACGGCTATCTGAAGCTCAACGGTCTTCGACAAATGTATTCACTTCTCCCCGTCATCGCCAAGGCCGACCCCAGTCTAAAGACATTTTCGGCCGACGGCATCACTTATCAGATTGTCGAAGATCCAGCTATCACCGAACTTCGCGACGCCTTTTTGCCTTGCACCAATGCCACAACTTTTAAACTACACGTCGATACCAGTATACTTACCGAAAAGGCGGAATTTCACGGTCGGTGTCTACTTTTGTGTCAAACTCGTGCTTCTACATAGATGTAAGATGGCACTAGACAAAAACAGAGGCTTACGCGACTTGACCAAGTCTTTCCGCCAACTTGAAACGCTTGAGATCACAATTGGCGACTACTTAGGGTGGTCTGGCCCTAGCCGGTATAGCCTTGAACATATCATCGAGCCTGAATGCGAATGGGAGAACCTTACCAGTTTGGCCCTAAGGGGTATTGAATGTGACCGACGCGAGCTAATGACAATTCTCAAGAAGCAGAAATGCTTGAATCGACTATGTCTCCATGACACGTCACTAATTCGTTCGTCATGGAAAATACTTCTTCTAGAGATGCGAAGTTCGCTACACTCGAAATTGAAATCAGCTTGTATCTGTGGTTCAATACAGGGACAGCAAGAAGGGGGGACCAGGCCGCACAGGGAATCCTGGTTCCTGGACCGGCGGGATAACCACATACTTTGGCTCGCCGTCAACATCTGTCTGGTGAGCGATGATACTGAGTACGCGCCTTGTCCTCTGCCTCGTGAATGGACGGACGCTGATCGCATCGAGGGGGAAATTGAGAACTTCTACTATGTGTAGGACGCGACAAAGACAATAAATGCCCATGATCGCCAATCAATAACAGATGGTCTCGAGATTACGTGGGGTTGAATCAAGGATTCTACCTATACTTCCCCTCTCCCTTTCTCCTTTCTTTGTCTATTACCCACTAGGATAGATGGACGTCCACCCACCCCTTGGCAGACGCTTTAGCACCATCAGCGACATTCCTGCATATTGTCTCGCTATTGAGTGAGAGAAATAACTAGGGTTCCTACAATAAATTCGAGAAAGCACCATTGTACAAGCTCGAGCTTTGCGAAGACCTAGATTGTCGGACCCTATCACTAGGACTACTTTGCATCTATAAAATCCCAAATACCCCGATATGATCATCCAGACCGCAGTTCACTACCACATATTGACTTTCAGGATCCGCAAAGTCGTATTTACCCGCACCCAGTGAGAGTGGATGGGTAGTATATTTCATAGTCTTGGCTGGGGGTAATGCCGAAAGAAAGCTTTCGGCAGGGAGGGTCGTTAATGATGTCTCCCAACTAATACACATCATCCTAAAAGCAGAACAGGGTTTAGCAATTGATTAATGGGACTAAGTAGCTAAATTCTGTTATAAAATGCCTGTCGCGTAGCTTCTCGTGATGTCAGCCTAGGTAACTCCTGCTATTCTGTCGCGAGGCCGTCAAAATGAAGTTTTTTGGGTTTGTTGTCTTGACGGGCTTGACCGTGCTAGAAGTTCTAGCTGCACCTCCTTTTCATGCATCGCAAGGTGCTGGCTCTCAGAAGTCGAAACGTAGCATCCCGGATACGCATGTTCAACATGAGAAGCGAACGACAGTGCAGGCGAGGTCCTGGACGCTTGTCCAAAGGGCCGTTCCCGATGCCATCCTACCCATGCGCATAGGCTTGAAGCAGAAGAATCTTCAATCTGGACATGATCTATTAATGGAAATGTGCGATGGCTATCACTATCCACTTAGAGAAACAATAGCTAATAGGATTGAAGATCGAACCCCGAATCCAAGAACTATGGCAAACACCTGTCTGCAGAAGAGGTCATTAAGCTGTTCGAGCCGGCGGAATCAAGCGTTAAAACCGTGAAAGATTGGCTTGTCGAAGCGGGCATTCCCTCGCATACCATCTCGCAGTCTAGCAACAAGCAAGTGCGCAATACCTACCTATACTTATCACCACATTACGCATGTCTCTAACATACGGCCTTTATAGTGGATTCAATTCGATGCTCCCGTCAAAGAGGTAGAGGACGTCTTGATGACAGACTACCATGTTTGGGAACACATAGACACAGGTGTCAAGAACATCGCCTGTGAGGAGTGAGTGCTTGACTACCCCAGAATACTTGCGCAGACCAACTAACTAATCGGCTTCAAGATACCACGTACCCAAGGAAGTAAAAGAACACATTGACTACATCACCCCCGGCATAAAACTGATGGGCTACGGAAATACGCAAGACCCCCCGTCGAAGAAAAGGGGGTTAGGGTCCCGCCCTCGCTTTGGCCAACCGGTTACCGAGAGCGAACTAGGAAACCTGAAGAGCGAGAGAAGCAGAAATAAGCAACCGCTACCAAAAAGAACCATCGGCGTCAACGTTGAGGGCCCGCTGCGCTTTGCGAGCCCTGTGGAGCCAGACGGCGTGCTAGAGAGCGGGAACTTTACGCTGCCGGGAGGTTGTGACGAGTACATAACCCCGGATTGCATCAGGGGTAAGGATGGCCAAGGTACTGTCTACGATCTAGGTTAGCTAACTACGCTCAGAGCTGTACGGTATTCCGAGGGGAACCAAGAAGCACCCTGATAATAGGATGGGGATCTTCCAGTCGCTCGGACAGCACTACACCCAGTTCGACCTCGATAACTTTTTCTGGAGCTTTACGAGGTGATTCCATCCTACGTCTTTCTTTACCGTCTCTCCCTCTCCCTCTCTCCCTCTATATGTATATCATCAGTTAGTAAGTATAGTATAGCATGCCAAGCACACGTAACTAACGAACACCTTCCGCGTACAGCGAAATCCCCAACGGCACGCACCCCGAACTCTTCTCCGTCGACGGCGGCGAAGGGCCCGCAACGAACCTCAACGGCGCTGGCTCGGAGGCAAACCTCGACTTCCAGATGGCGTATGGGCTGATCTGGCCGCAGGAGCCCGTGCTCTTCCAGGTCGACGACGAGTACTACCAGAACCTGTACAGCATGAACCCTGAGGCGTACACGGGGTTTTTCAACAGTAAGCTCTCGCCATCTCCACCCTTTCCTTGCAACCCCTGTTACCTACCTAGGTAAGACAATTGCTAAACTCCCTGCCTAGACCTCTGGAACGCCATCGACGGCTCCTACTGCACATTCTCCGCCTTCAACGAAACCGGCAACTGCGCGCGCCCCGCGTGCCGCGACCCCGTGTACCCCAACCCGCACGACCGCGCCGGCTACAGCGGGCCCCTCATGTGCGGCGCGTACCCCGCCCCCCACGTCCTCTCCATCTCCTACTCCGGCTCCGAAGCCGACCTCCCCCCCTCCTACCAGCAGCGCCAGTGCGCCGAGATCATGAAACTGGGCCTGCAGGGCACCACCGTCGTCATCTCGTCGGGCGACGACGGCGTGGGCGGCTTCCCCACCCAGGCGGCGCCGACGGGGTGCCTGGGCAAGGCCGGCGACGTGTTCAACCCGCAGTTCCTCGCGACGTGCCCGTACATCCTGGCCGTTGGCGCGACGGTGCTGCAGGCGAACGCGACGCCCGGCGTCACCCCCGAGGAGGCGACCGATCGCTTCAGCTCCGGGGGCGGGTTCTCGAATATCTACGCTGCTCCCGAGTGGCAGCGCGACGCTGTGGGAGCGTATCTGGGCAAGGCGAACTTGACGTTCGAGGGGTACGAGGGCGGGGGTGGGAACTACAGTTTTGTGGAGGAGGGGAGGGGGAGGTTCAATGTTAGGGGCAGGGCGTACCCGGATGTCGCGGCGAACGGGGACCACTTTGTGATTTCGAGCGGGGGCGAGCTGCTCAGGATTGGGGGGACGTCGGCGTCGGCGCCGCTGTGGGGGGCGCTGATTACGTTGGTGAATGAGGAGAGGTTGGCTGTGGGTAAGGGGCCGGTGGGGTTTGTGCAGCCGGTCTTGGTAAGTGTTGATGGTGAAGAAGAAGTAAGGGGGGCCTTGAGCTAACATGGGAATACCTAGTACTCGCACCCCGAGGTCTTCAAGGACGTTACCAAGGGGGATAACCAGGCGTGCAAGACGATGGGGTTCCCGGCTATCAAGGGTTGGGATCCTGTTACGGGCTTGGGGTATGTGTCTTCATATGCCGTTAATGCTAATGCTTCTGGCATGATTGCTAATGCTATGGGTTTATAGTGTACCGGATTATCCTAAGCTTTTGGAGCTTTTCATGAGCTTGCCGTAGGAATTCCTATGAGAGGGGAGAATAGGAGGAAAGGGGGACATAGGGGCAGGTTGGATTGCTCCCATCTAAGAAAGGAGAAGTGCTAGGTGACCAAGATCCTCTGTTCAAGAAATGCCAAGGTATCAGATATTTCGATATAGATGCAAGTGTTATTCTTATTGAAAAATCATAAGTTATGTCACGTTCTAAGGTTTATATGCTGTCTGGTTGAATACACGATCACCTTAAATATTCCCCTATAGCTCATCGTGCTCATCCGCCCCTTTGTCCTCACCCTCCATCGTCCCATCCCACGGTTTCACCTTCCCCTGCACTATATCCATCAAGAACCCACCCACCGCCTCCGGCTTAATCTCACGGCCACCCGAGTACGGGAAAACCTGCCCAAACATCGGGTTCTGCACCGACAGCGCCGGGAACTTGCCAGCTCTTAATCCCAACGGCTCAGCTAGGTCGCCGTACTCGTTCGCGTCGACGGTCACGAAGAGCAGGTACTCCTTGTACATCTTGGCGACGGAGCGCATGGCGTCGACGTACGCGTCGCGCTCGCTGGAGGCACCGGCGAAGTAGAAGACCAGCGACTTGCCAGACTGCAGGTACTTGATCTCGCTCGCGCGCGTGAACTCGCCGATCACGGGCTCGAGACAGTCTGAGATGAGCTTCGGCAGCGCGTCGATGGCGCTGAGGTCCGAGGTGGCGAATTGCTGGCTGTCGCGGTTGTTGTAGCATGAGACGGTCGTGGCTGCGGTTTTGGGCGTCACGAGCCCGAAGGACAGCCTGTCGCGGTACTGGGATGCGAGGGCTTCGTACGCGGTTTTGATGTGTGGGTCTTGAGGGTTGATGCGTGCGATTATCACGTACTCGTCGCTGGGTGCAAAGTTCTGTACCTTTTCTTTGGTGTCCAGGACGGTGATAGCGGGGCGCACCGCTCGTTTTATGTAGGAGATGATGCTGTTTGAAGTTTTAGCTCATCATCTTTAGGGGAGAGTTCAATAAGTAGGTGATCGTACGACTTTGCCCTTCTAGGGCCTCGGTAGGACACCATTTTCCCATGACCATCGAAGAAGCGTAGGGCTGGATACGAGATGATGCCAAATTCCTTGCAAAGACTTGCGGTAGAGGTGCAATCAACGCTTAGAAGGGCTTTCTTTTCTGATTCTATAGCAGTCGTCCATTCTGGCTCTAGGGCTTGACTTGCTGTCCTGAAAAATGACAATTAGTATGTCTCAGGTTATGTGATGTCAAGTGAATAGGCTCACGTTGAAGGTTCTATAACTGTAGTCGCATTTCATTGTTAGCCCTGTAAATTGACGAGTGCAGATGCAGACTTACATGCAACCAAGGCCTGGTTATGTCCTGAAATGGCTCGACGAAATTCATCTTCATTTATATGTTCCCAGGCTACTGCGACGCCTACCAGGATGGATATTAAGAATTCTATACTTATAATCTTCATTGTGTCTTCACTCATCGAAATTATCGTGAATTCTCCAAGTTCAAGCAAAAGGATGTCGGCGGGGTCAAATACCAAGGAGTTGTATAGCTGGTAAATAGGTACCCAAGCTACCCTGCAGATCAGGGGCTAGATCTGACGATGTGTGCCCCCATGAGTCTCCATGACACCTGTGGATCATGTGGACCCTGGATCTGTGCTGTAGCTCTCCACTAAAGAGCTCAATCAGGGGCCATTGTGATGCTGAACAAGGGGGAGCTCCTTTCTACGCAAACAATTGATGTTTCAACTTTGCATCTTGTAGTGTCATTGCGATAATGTATGACCGCCGGCATGGGATGATGTCAATCTAGTAGGTGTCATTTCTTCAAGATTTCCAAGCTTTAGATGGAAATTGACATATCTTCATTTTTCATTATTTCCTAGGCATTCTTTAACAGACTCTTCTTTAAATTTCATCCATAATAATTCAGATAATTGGAAGCCTCATCGATATTGAATCATGATGAGTTCATTGATTTCCATCCTACTATTTGCGCTCGCCGCGGGGACAGTCAAAGCGCATGGTGGTGCGCAAAAACCGATAATATCGAGTGATGATACCTGCAAACATCCCGCCTACAAGAGCCATATCGTTTCTAAATCACCACTGGTCATATATCTGGAGGATTTTATTACAGCAGATGAGCAAGCACATCTTCAAGAAATAACGTGAGTACCTTTACACCACCTGTCTATCTTAAAAAGATACACTGGATTTAACAATCTCGTAACAGTAAAGATACCTTCTCACATTCAGGCGTCGCCGACTCATCCGGCGCGCAAGGGCTACGACAAACACGGACGTCGCAATCAACCAACGTACCCCGCGACGCCGTGGTCCGGTGCATCGAGGAGCGAGCCCTCCTATTCCAGGGCTTCGACGTGCCACGGACTCACCTGGAGCCACTGCAGCTGGTGAAGTACGGGCAGGGCGAGCGCTACCATTTCCACACGGACTGGTACACGAACGCAGTCCAAGCGACGTCCGCGCTCGGCGGCAACCGGCTGAGCTCGTTCTTCGCGTACGTCGCGGCCTCGGACGACATCACGGGCGGCGGCACCAATTTCCCCATGGTGCCCGCGCCCCAGGACGAGCGCTGGTGCGCGTTCGTCGACTGCGATGAGCCTTGGGAGAACGGCGTCACGTTCCGGCCGGTGGTTGGCAATGCGGTCTTTTGGCAGAACTTAAATGAGGACGGCACGGGGGATCAGCGGACGTTGCACGCTGGCTTGCCGGTTACTAGCGGTTCGAAGATAGGGGTAAGTGGTTATGAATAGCGACTAGAAATGTTGAACTTGGCTAATTCGTATGATAGATGAACGTCTGGACTAGACAAGGCCCGCTGAGTGAGGATGTTCGCGGACCAGATGTCTAACGTGCGAAGTGATTTAAATAGAATGCCTTCTGTTATGATGAATCTGGTGCTACTCCTCTATGCACAAATATTGAATACATCTCTCTCACAGCTTACCCTATGCATAACTACCTATAAATCAAGTGCAACTCCTCGAATATTGATGTCATGCTGTTTTACACCCCCTTCCTTCCATTTCCTTCATTAACAAAGACCTGTGACTTCTAACCACAGTTGTCTACCAGCATCTGTAGTGAGATCGGTTACACTTTCGCCGCACGGAAAATATTGTGCGATCCATACAGCATCATTCTGCTGATCAAACACGACTTTAGTGACAATTTATTAGCCCACTAACCTTTCACAGATTGAGACTTTGGAATAAATTCAACACTGATACTTACGGTACGCAGCTCGAATGAAACTCGTCCCAAGAACCCAAGTCGAGTCTTTATCATCGGTAATCTGCACTCCAAGGGCGCAGTAGCTATCGAAATCCACGATGAAGTCGGCATAGTTGACCCGAATCACGATGTTGTAGAAGTTGAACCCGAAGTTCACGGAACCATCTAGGTTCCGGCTTTCGCATGGTACAATCCATACACCATGGGGATCCAGATACGCATACAAGGCCTTTGCTATTGCGGCTACCATGTCTGCACTGAGATAGGTATACGTGGATCCCGAGTCGATTAGCACATTGCGTTCGAATTTGCTCTCCGTCAGCACCGTTTCATTCTGCCCCGGAGGAGTTATTCCTAAGGATGTCAAGTTTACCCGATAACTATGTAGATTCCCCAATGTCAGTTCAGCTCACCTGTCTATAAAACTTGGATAGTTTTTCTCTTACTTTACTTGGTTGAAAAGTTTCATTTGCTGTTCCGGGTAGGGGTAGATTTCAAGGGGCTCCAGGTACCCCCTGAACTTCTTCCTGTCGACCCCTCCGAATATAATATCACCTAGGTAAGTTAGGTAGGCAGGTTAACACTTTTTCTACGATCTGGTAGAGACCGAGTGACTTACTTGGACTACCACCGCCTTGATAGCCAACCCCTAAACTGAATATCGGTACTTCGATGTAGCCTTGCGCCACTAAAAGGTCTAGCAAGGTTTTATATCCTGTATTCCACGCGTTGCCATACGAAACGCCCAATACACCCGCCCAAACATACTCGCTCAACTTGCTCACGCCAACCCTTAAACTTGGAAGGGGTAAGTCTGTGATGTCGATGTTAACACCAATACGCTTCCTCCTTGTAGTACAAAGGAAGACCTAGGTAATACGTACTATCCATCCCCACATACGCCGTGTCGCTGTACCATACCCCTTGCATATAACCAGTGCCGAATTTCCCAGCAAACCATCCATCTAGACTCTGCGCGGTGGAAGACTGCGAGGTGTCATAATAGCCGTACGTTCGACAAGCGGTTGGGTCCGCCGCTCGATCACAGGTTGGATCCAGGAGCAGCGTGTACGATCCCGTGTCGAGGATAGCCGAGACCACCTGCCCGGGTGTTCCGATGGCAACTATATAACACACCATCAGCACTTGTTGCGTTGCCTTATAAACTACGAGAAACTTGAAGCATACGCTCTAGCATATATACGATCCCCTCCCCGTACCTCGCTAGCGGCTCCCGCGGCGACGACCGGCTTACCACTCCCGTCTCATTATAGGGAGAGACGGGGCTGATAGTGACATTTGCGACTTTCCGAGACTGCAGGGCGGCCCTGATATGCCTTCCGCTTCCACCCTCACCCTCCGCGCTACGATCGTCATCTCCGCTCGCTGGCCCGTATATCGACCCCGCCCCATCGCCTCGCGAGATATTAGTCGGGATGGCCGCGAGGCATAGGAGCGGCCACCACCACAAGCCCACGCATAGCAGCTTAAGAAGATGAAGAGGAAGAAGAGGAGCCATACTTAAAAATCACAGCCCGAGTTGTCCCATCGTGTCCGAGGAGATGGGACGGACACGACTACTCTCGAAAAAAGGCAACGGGGACTTCTAATCCGCCTAGTAGTCCTAGGTAGTTTTTTTTCTCTTTCCCGCCGCTGATTATTACTACTTGATTGTCCGCCCTTGGATCTTTTTCTCCTGGGGGAAGAATCGTTACGGAATTTCCCAGTCTCTTTTTACGACGTAAAAACTTCCTCCAGTAAGAGAGGATAGTGAGGTGCTTAGCACGCGGGAATGTCGAATCAGACTTGCATGTGGTCGTCCCGGGTACCCCATACGATGGACGGGGGTTGCCTGCACCAATGAGAAGCTCGTCAAGAGCCGGGAGAGCGAGTATAGTATACGTGAGACACGACGTTGAGACTACTACCTACCTGCCTGGTAAGTAGGCACCTAGGTAGGTAGTAGGCAGCACGGCTTCCCATTTGCATGGGTTCCCCAAGATCTGCGGTGCCAACCAGCAGCTTTCCCACCCGCTACGACTTTAACCGCAATACTTGCTACGTCGACCCATTCCGTGGCATAAATTTCGCCATAAGCTTTGCAAAAATTGCGGATAAATATCCAAAAGCGAAAGGACCTTTGGTGTGCATTTATAGGACGGGAAGTATTACTAGGTAGGTAGACACAACTTATCCTTGGATGACTTCCCCCCTACGGAACGGGATTAATGACGGTTTTAGGTACATAAACCCGTTTGCTCTCGGAGGAACGGCTGAGGTTCATCTTATTGGGGGACGAACGGTATGAGAACATGCCTAACCTACCTACATGTAGTAGCATCTACCTAACTACATGCGTGTACATGTGTCCCACGGCAAGTAACTCGCAGCTCTAAGCATTCAGATCCCCCAATATAACCGCACTATATCGAACTCCACACATGTAACGTTCTCACGGGGATACAAGCAAGGCTGCATACGACTGCCATCTTCCCCTTCCTCCAATCCCAGCGCCTTTTACCTCTACAGCTTCCTGTTTTCTTTTTGTCGTGTGCTGTGTAAGGTAGGCTTCGTATGCATCCCGTGCATCCGGATTGCGACGGTCCCTAGGTACATGCTATACACGCCGGCACGCAAGATGGCCCGAATGATCAACGCTCTGCTCCCCTCGCCCCCTTCGATACCGACCTGGCGGCACTCACTTAATTGCTTCGGCAATTTTGTACATGGAAATGCCGACTTCGGAAGTGTTGTGCTCGTTACGAGATTCGGTAGGTGGTTACCTGCCTTACTAATTGATGTATGCATAGTAGATGCTGCATGCATTGGTAAGGAGGGCTGGAACTGAAGTCTTGACGAACGCTACACAGTCTTATTACTACCTAGGATCTGGGAGGTAGTGAATGATGAAGTAGAAAACACATTTTAGAACACCAAGAAAGACCTACAACTCAACGTATACCCATACCAAGGTAAACTACCCAACCTACCGCCAATCCACCAACACCGTATCCCCCTCCCGCACCGCCGCATACCCTACACCATCCCTCCACAGCCTCCGACCCTTCTCCTCATCCTTCGCCTCGGGCCCCACATCCGCGACCTCCGAGCCGTTCAGGTACACCCCATTAACACCCCTCCCCCCTTCCCTTACCCCTCCCCCCTTTCCAACTCCCAGCACCTCTTCCTCCGTCCCGAAGCAAGCCCTCACCACATCCCCCGCCGACTTCCACGTCGTCCTCAACCCGCCGTTGGGGCTCAGCCACGTGGCGAGTGGTGCGATTACGGGGCCGACGATGCGCAGGACGAGGACCCGGGTTAGCCAGGAGCTGCGGCGCGCGAGGCTCGACATCATGGCCGCGGGGTCGAGGGCTAGGACTGAGATGTGCGAGAGGGTGGGGTCGGTTGGGAGGCGGTGGGAGAGTTCGCGCCTGGGGTACCTAGTCAGTCTTTGATCGTGGTTTCTTCTGGTGTTGGGGGCTGGATGGTGTGTGGTGGAATGGTTGGGGGATAGGTGGGTGCTTGGGGAGGAAAGGGGGGGTAGGTAACTCACATCATCATGACCTGACTCAGCTTCGCCACCCCGTACCGTCTGAAGCCCGCCGAGGCGGTGTCCGCGTCGTCTTCTGCGAGGAAGCTCCAACGCCCCTTGGCGATGGCCTCCGTGCTGCCTTCGGGGTCCGAGAATAACTGGTGGAACTTGACGGGCGCGTAGGCTTGGCCGACTGGGCCGATCTTGTTCCGGGGGTCGGTGGTGCTGGGGGAGATAGGGAGGTTAGCTAAGAGGTCTAGCAGGAGTGCTACCTAGTGAAAAAGCTAGGTTTTTTTATTACGAGATTTCGGTCAAACCTACTCGTGGGTCCAGCTCCCCAGCACAACTATCCGCCCCTTCTCCTTATCCATGCTCTGCAGCAGCAGGAGCGTCAGGAGGAAGTGTGAGAGGTACGTGCTCTGGAACGTCAAGTCAAAGCCGTCCTTAGTAATGCTCTGCGGGCCGTATTCCTGGTATGCAGCAGCCAGCACGAGCGCCCGGATCGGGGGGATGTCACCCCTGGCGACGCGCGCGTTGATATCGGCTGCGACTTTGCGCACGCTTTCCAGACTCGATAGGTCGAGGGCGATGAGATCGTAGTGGTGCTGGCACTTGTCCGCGCTGCGGAGGACTTTCTTCACGACGTCGGCGCTCTCGACCTTGCGGACGGTGTATAGCCCGTGGTAGTCTTGCGCGTGGGACGGTGAGGAGAGGATCCGCTTTACGATGTCGGATGCGAGACCGCCGTTTGCTCCGGTTACGAGGACTGAGCCTTCGGTGGATGCCATGGTCTATAGGAGATAGGGTGGAAAGTAATTGAATAATTGGAAGGCAAGTTCCTTTTCATCGACATTGATGCCATTACAGACAGCCTTGATCCTTATATATCCCCATTTGAAGCGGAATATGGTAGGGTACTACTGATGGAGCGGCAATATCGCATAGGCCGACAACAATCATAATGTCTGAAAACCTGGCATTGTCCGCTTTAGATTTACATGGCCTTTCTTAAAACAAGCAATACGGTTGTCATGTCCGCCCGTTCACCGTCGCTTACATTCGAAGAATCGGTGTAATCCGGAGACAATACCGACCACGTGAGCGTAGATTCGGCCGTCTTGGCGCACTTCACGAAAGAGTCAACCCGCTAGGATATGAACATGGCGTCAGCGTTTTTGCACTACTTTGGGATTAAGCAAATAGCGAAAGTTCGCTTAGTACTCCATAACTCACTACTCTGTATTGGGATGGTGCCTTGTGAGTTACCTATACGCGGAAGTGCTTTCATGATCATCATGAATCACGAGAGTTACTCCGTACCTAGAAAAGGGGTAAATGGGGCTGAAGCCTTGAAGTTTATTTCTACCTAGGCATCTTAGAGGCTTGATGAGAATGCTTTGTCAGGTTTTTGGTTGACTAAAAGACTGAATATTATTAGTTGATGTATACAAGGAATGTCTTAGGTGTTGCGGATAGGGATTGCTTGTTCATTCAACACCTGGTGATTGACGAATGACGATCCCCCATTGTATGATGGGGAAAAACTCACAGAGCTAAGCTAACCTTGCAATGTTTTCAGAGCACTATCGACATGGAAAATTCCACATAAATTGGGGTTTCTTGCGGGCTTTCAAGTAGCTTTCAATGGAACTGGCCATGTGAACTTCTCTAACTAATGCTCCCGAATTTACTCTCCGGGTCAACTACCCAGTACACGACCAAATATTGCCTTGAACTGGATGTTTGGCGCAAACATAATACTTATCAGATATGATGAAATAAGCAGACCATATTATGTCGAAAAAGCACCTAAGTTAGAGAGTTTATAGCTAATCACTCTTAGGACTAGATCAGACAAATCAATCCCTTCATCTAAACGCCATACTTACATACACTTGATCATACGAGATATGATTATTACATACCAGTACCTAGATATCCAATGCAGTACTTCCTCGGAACTTAGCGGGGCGCTTCTCTACTATCTGCAGTAACAGCATACGTATGACCTGCGGTGTCACCTTCGAAGCCTGCTTCTTTTTAGAGACTTTTCACACGACCACAAACGGATCTGCGGAATCCTACTTACTAAGGCAGTTTTCTACTCTGATCAGCTCGCCATATCGATAAAGATTGCCTAAGACATGGCGTTTATCTTATAGGTAAAGGGATAAAGCTATGTACATACATCCGGAAGCGATACACTATTAAGTACCTATTTACACTCGACAGCATGGATACCTCCTTGCAACCCATCGACATCACAGCGTGCTATTCGACGCGCATAGGGTACTTGTAGATCGCTACTGCAAGCCACATGCAGCGAGCCTGTGATAGAGCTCTATCTATCTATCTCTTTTGCGTTGGGGGGGATGCGGGATGCAGCATTCAAACAGGGGTAGCATCACACTTTCGATGATAGCTCATCCCAGCCCAGCCCCAAAAGAGCTCTGCCAAGCTTTCCTCTTATCTTGCGTGCTTCTCCCGAAAGCTACCCCGCCGCTTCCGAGGTGAGAGTTTACAAGCTCCCCGCCGCTTTCTTATAGGATATGATGCATGGTTGAAGTCGACGCCTCCCGGGAGGAGGAAGGTGGCTTACCATACATAGGTAAGCTTACGACGTTGCGGGCGTCGGGATTACATAGCGGAATTACCATGACGAGCGCTTGATTAAACCAGCACGTTGTCTGGTGTCATTGAAAGCCACATGGCTAGGCATGTATGCATGTCGACCTAGGTAGGTATCCATTGATGTAGAAGAGGTAAGCCAGGCTCGATGGTACAATACTACCTATGTAAGTTGGTGAGGTCTGTCTGGTCTTTGTCTCTCCCTCTATTGCCTTACCTATTACCCCTCCTTTGTCCGTCTCCCGAGCTTAGCATAGCTCCTCCCTCCTCCTTCTTACTCGTGCTATTATACAATACAGTTTCATAACCAAGTCTTTGGTTCTTTTCGTGACTTGACTTATATCAGAGGGTGTGAATAACCCCCTAGCTTCGGTCTGAAAGAATGGCTTCACGTTCACTAAAGACATTAGCCGCGACTCTTTCCCTCGCGGGCGGAGCCTTAGCCCAATCCACTAACGAGACTGTCTGGTCTTCGTTTGCTTATATCTTGTATGGAGAGCGTACGCCTTTACGCGGACAGCTCGAACCTAGCCTCACACCCCTAGGCGCACAGCAGCTCTACTCTCAGGGCTCGCTCTTTAGATCGCGGTACTTATCGAATTCGAGCTTATCGGACGAAGATAATGCTATAACTACGAACTCGCCTATCGCCGGCATAGAGCGCCTGTCTCTGGATAACTCGCAGCTTTCTCTCTACAGCACTGCGGATGATTATGTAGTCGGCGGCGCCCTGGCTTTCATGCAGGGCCTCTACCCGCCGGTTACGGGCACATTCGCCTACGACAATGGCGGTGTTAATGCGTCTAGGCTGGCCAATGGCACTATGATTGACTACCCTCTAAACGGCTATCAATATCCTACAATCTCGACAGTTACTCTTACAGACGTCAATGCCGTTTGGTAAGTCCAGTAACTACCTACCTTAGTAAAGCTCAGAACAAGGCGCTGACAGACCCACCAGGCTAGAAGGGCAGGAATCATGTCCCGAGCATGACACATCGATGTACCGCTTCATGCGCAGCGACATAAACCAGGAGATGTACAACTCGACGCTCGAGTTCTACGAGAACCTGTGGCCGGAGGTGTTCCCGAACACCCTCGCCAACGCGATGATAAACTTCAACTACGCCTACGACCTGTACGACTACGCGCAGTACGCGTACGACCACGACTCGTCGATCCGCGACGCCCTGGGCAGCGACAACCTGCGCTTCCTACGCCAGCTGGCCAACATCCAGCAGTTCAACCTCAACGGCGACTTGACGGCGTCAGGGGCGCAGGAGGGGGACATGATCCGCGCGATCGCGGGCCGCACGCTCGCCGGCAAGATCGTCGCGCAGCTCTCGCAGCACATCTCCTCCGGCAGCACGCAGAACAAGCTGTCGCTGGTCTTCGGCTCCTTCGAGCCCTTCCTCGCCTTCTTCGCGCTCTCCGACCTCGCCTACTCCTCCTCCTCCTCCACCGGCTTCACCCAGATCCCCGACCCCGGCTCCGCCATGGTCTTCGAGCTGTTCAGCACCGAGGGCAACCTCTCGTACCCGGACCGCGACGACCTCTGGGTCCGCTTCGTCTTCCGCAACGGCACCGACGCCGCCGCGCCGTTCACGGAGTACCCGCTGTTTGGGCGGGGCAACTCCGAGTCCCGCATGCGCTGGGCGGACTTCCAGCAGGCGATGGGAAACTTCTCGATCCGCGACTTTGCTACCTGGTGCGACACGTGCTCCTCGCTCTCGCCCTTCTGCCACGCGTACGGCCGCGGCTCGTACAGCTCCGGCAGTGGCGGCAGCGGCGGCGGTAGTGGTGCCGGCAATGCGGCACTGTCCCCGGCCGTCGCAGGCGTCATCGGCGCCGTGATCACGGTTGCGGTCCTCGGTCTCGCGGGCGTCACGGCGTTCGTCTTCGGCGGCATCCGCGTGCGGCGCAAGAACGCGTTGGATGCGAAACGCCGGAGCAGTAGCCTGGGCGGGTTCAAGGGCGCCGAGAAAATGGCGAGCGACCACGATGTCTCGGTCGCGAAGAGCGGCGCGAAGCATGAGCGCGTCGGGAGCTGGGAGCTTGGCAGCGGTGGTGTTCGGGGCTCTGACGTGAAGTTCCCGCCGCCGGCTGCGGTTAATGAGCATGGCACTGGGTTTGGGCTTTCGGGGAAAAGTCGCCCGAGGGATGATGCGGATGCGGATAGTATTACGGGACTTAGACCGGTGGAGCCTGTAGAGAGGGTTTAGACGATCGGAGGCTACCTAGGTAGTACTCGCTGCTAGTTCTGGTGCTGGTGCCAGTAAAGGAGGTTGCGGATCTCGACTTTCATTATATTTTTTTTTTTTGGCTTTCACGGACTTGACTCTTTCCCATTCTCTACGATCACTGATACCCCGGGCTACGGATATTTGGAATGGCATTCGGTATACTTTCATTTGGGGTGTTTACGAGAATACGGTGTTTAGGTTTATTTGAAGCTGACCCTGACCTACTGGCTTTACCATTATATCAATAGTCAGTATAGCATAAGATTATCTCAGTCTATAATCTAGATATACTTACCTAGGTACTTTATAGAAACATTACAGTATTTTACTTGCTAACTTGGAATGCAACCATAAACGAATACGCTGGATCAGCCGTATAACGACCCATAGTAGCGATGGGGAGTAATATTCTATGGGCATTTTATAAGTATTGCATCTCAAACAATAGATCACAGTCAGTTGGTCAGCTTCCGTAGGTATGCTATTGTCAGAATAGCCCTCCCTTACATCCCTCCCTCCCCTCTCCTCTCTAACCTCCCCACAGTAACCTACGTAGGCACCTCACTTAGCATCAATTAAACACCGCTGCCCCTTCGGCGCCGTGAGGAAGAACATCTTCTCCTGCATATCGTCGTCCGTGAACCCCTCCAGCCGCGAGACCTCCGAGTTCGGGAACCGGGTGAAGAAGCGAGCGGTAGCTAGACGCAGCTCCATTTTGGCCAGGTGCAGTCCGATGCAGACTATGTAGTGAAAAAAAAAAAGGGGGAAGCGTCAGTCAGTTCTGATGCAACTTTTTCTACCAAAAAGAATCCTGCCTTAATGACACACCATGAGGCCATTTTAAAGAAAGAAAAAAAAAGGGGGGGGGGGGGGCAAAAAACTCACTCCTGCTCCCACCACCAAACGGCACAAACGCCGCCTTCATCGCCCTCGTCGGCTTCTCCCACCTCTCCGGCTTGAACTCCAGCGGCGCCGGATACACCCTCGGGTTCCGGTGCATGCTGTACGCCTGCGCCGAGACCGTGTACCCGCCCGGCACAAACCGGCCCGCGAGCACCGCTCCCCCCTGCGGCACCACGCGCGGCAGCCCCGACGGCGCGGCGCTGTACAGGCGCAGCGTCTCCGTGATGACGTGGTCGAGGTACGGGAGATGCCTCAAGTGCTCGTGGTCGCTGAAGTCGGGAGGCAGGGCGCGCAGCTCAGCGACGAGCTTGGCCTTGACGTCGGGCCGCCGGCACACGGTCCACACGAGGTACGTCATCGTGTTGGTCGTCGTGTCGCTGCCGGCGGCGATGTACGACATCGCGTCCTCGCGCAGCTCGGCGAAGGGGAGCGTGTCCGGGTCGTTTTCCGAGGCCCGGTAGAGCTTGGAGAGGAGCGTGGGCTTGGCGTCGGAGCCTTGCTCGAGGACCTCGTCGTAGTGCCGCTGGAGGGATTGGCTGGCGTACTCGCAGAGGCGCTCGCGGATGCGCATGCCGAGGCTGAGGACGGGGATCGGGATGTAGTTGTTGATTTGCATGAGGAGGGGGAAGGTCACGCGGATGCCGCCGGCGATGCCGATGGCTTTGAGGTCGCGGATGTATTGGTTCTCCTCCTTGGTCTCCAGCATGCGGAACGAAGATCCGAAGCTCAGCTCGCCGATAATGTCCGTCGCCATGTACAGGAACCAGCGAAATACATCCTTCGAACACAAAACCAAGAGATTAGCCACTGCCCTTTCCATTTCGTCACTTTCTCACTCAAACTCACCGTCGCACCACGCTCCTCCATCTCCTCAGCCATGCGCTCGATAGCCAGACGAATCTTAGAGTCCACCGTGGCCCTGTGCGGCGCCAACCCAGACTCTGAGATCTCGGAGGCGAGGAGCCTGCGGTGCCGTCGGTGGTAGTCGACGTCGGTCGTGCTGAAGACATTCTGCACGTTCGGGATGAACTGCTTGTACCACGACGCCTTCAGGAACTCCCCCTTGATCGCGTAGATTCTGTCGGTGGCGTCCGGGTCCTGCACGCTGACTTCCTTGGGGGTGATGCGGACGATGGGGCCTATGTTGTGGTTAGTAAGAGTAGGTACCTAGTCAGGGTTGGGGGGCGGATTTAGACAGGCAGGCAGGTATATAAGAGTTTGTTCAATAAGAGAAGGAGTGACGAACCATACTTCTCGTGCAGCGAGTGAACCCATCGTGGTCGGTTTCCGGTGATGACGTTGTACTTCAGCACCACATCCGTCCACACAGTATACCACGGGCCCGGCAACCTTGCAAAGGGGCTGCTTAGGACGGTGTACACATACCGTCGGGGATATAGAAGTCAGCATCACGGCACACGATCCAAATGTATTAAAGGAGTCGGCTTACACCCAGGATAGCTACACCAATGCCCGCAGCCAGAAGCTGGTAATTCTCGAAGTCGCGCACAGATTCCATTTCCCTTGGTGTCTTTAATTCTTCACGGGTAATGTGTAAGCAGGTAATGTAAACCCCCACACGCCTATGCGGAATAAAATCACTGGATGTGTATTTCGATCGAAGGATCTATCCCCTGGCCGCCTTATATACCTACCTGCCTCTCTATTCCATACTGAAGCCTACAGCGCTTGTGACAAACAGCTTGGAGTCATTGAAGCGAAAGGCCGAGCTAGGCCAGGTCCCGCCCCCCCAAACCTCACTCTAACCTGGCCGCTGTAAACGAGCGAGCGACTGTGATCATAGCTTGCCTATGCAGATCTACATCATTGGCCCATCCGCCGCGTGAGACAATACCCACCGGTAGTCAATGCAACGACGGTATGGGGCTGAGGCCGAATTGTCCGAGTGGACATGGGCGGGGCCCCCTCTGCCCTACCCTACGAATGCCGATCGACCAATGGCGAGGCGGGAGTTGTAATGGGGTACGGGGGGTGCCTAGAGGCGAGCCGGAGTCCGACGTGCTTTCGTTATATACCTACATAGAGGCCGAGCTTCCTATGGACTAACTAGCTGCAGAATATCACCAACGGCCTTGTTAAAAACAAGACTTATCACCTATTACCGATTTACTCGTTAACTACCTTATTTTTTTTCTCCTTCCTTCTTGGCTTCTAGGTATGTATGTATGTATCCATGTTCCGTGACAGAAAACAGCAGCGCGAACCGACGAACAAGCTGCAAGGACGGCAAGGCGGGCGATTATTCAGCGCTTTGAGATGGCGCCACCACGGCCACGGTATCGGATGTCTTGAATTCCTAATGTGTCGCGCCTCCGATCCACCTCGAAACCATCCGTTGCCGAAGCGCGACCCCCATCGATAAGAAATTATGGGATCTACGAGAAATGAGTTGAGACGATGGTCGATGACGCCTAGAGAGACATTAGACGAAGCTTACATACTTAGGTACGGACCGCTAGTGTGGATGCGAAGGCGTACATATTTAGTTGGATGCCTGCCTATCATACTGAGGCAATTGAAGAAGTAACCGGCCTGGAACTAAATTAGCTCGTGAACCTATAGGCATCCAGATATCCTTAAGCAGTGCATTAGCTGCCGCCGGTCAAATCCATCCTAGGACCTTGCAAGCGAGGACTGGCGGCATTTGATCACGAGGTTCGATATAAGACGGGCGTGCCTGGGTACCACATCCGAATGGAAATATTACATGTACTATACCTAGGTAAGTTGTAACTTGGTATTCGTGATATAGAGACACCTATCTTTGAGTATAGAGTAAACATAAAAAATGCAATGCTCTCAAATAGCATCTAGAAGTTCCCATCCCATCACGAAGACCTAAGATCGAAATGGCCTCACAATTTCAACAATCACCCAGCAGCGAATCAAGCTAGGTAAAAAAGCATTCGACAGCTCTGCCGTACCATGCCATCGCATATAGGTACTCGAAAAAACCAATCTGTCATAAAACTTTTTGAATCTCTTAAACCTTCGTATCTGGGTATCATATATTGTAACATCACAATCCACTCCTCCCCACTCTCTCCCCTTCTAAAACTCCATCTCCTCCACCTCCATCCCACACGCCGTACACGTCTTGACCGTCGAGCCATCCTCCTTCTCGATGCCGCGCCCCCACTCATGAACATGTCTACCCCCCCTTCCCACCGCATCGCCAAACTTCGCTTTCCCCCCTTTCCCCTCCCCAGCACCGCCCGCCTTCTGCTTCTCCTTCTGCCGCCGATACGCATCCGTGCGCGTGCGCTTCTTCAGATCTAGCAACTTCTCCTTAAACTTCGCCTCCTTCCTCTTCTTCTTCTCCGCCTCGCGGCGCTCAAACTCGGCGTCGAGCGCCTCGGCGGACCCCCACTTCTTGTCGCTGAACACGTACTCCTCGACCTGGTAGCGGAGGAACAGCATCATGTCGTGCCAGTGGGACTTGTGCGGGTTGGGGCGAGACAGGTGCGGGAGGAGCTCGGCGTCGCGGAGCTCGGGCTCGGTGAGCAGGTAGTCCTCGCGGCACTCCGTCTTGGTTAGTAGGCTGTACTTCTCCGGGTGTTTCTCCTTGCACGCGCCGCACACGCTGCACCCGAATACCTCGTCCCACACGAAGTCGATCTCGAAGGTCCCGCACTCCCGGCACTTCTTGCGCGTCTTCGGGTCCTGCAGCGCGCTGAGGCCTGGCTCGAACGGGCCGGCTTTCTGCCGCTGCAGCTTTCGTAGTAATTGTAGCCGCTCCCATTCCTGCACCGTCATCCCCTTAGGCTTTTGCTCCGGCCCCTCCGGCGGCGCGCCAGGCTTGCCGTTGCCAGTTCCCGCAGACCCTGACATGGCCTTGTTCCAGGGATCGTCCTCGGTGCTCAAGAACCCACCCTTCGTGTCTGTCATCTTCCCAAAGTCGTAGTCGACGAACTTGGTGAACTTCCTCGCTGGTCGGATCGCCCCTTCGTCTTTGGCCGCCTTGGCCTTATCAGCATCTGTCGTCGCCCCATCCTTCGCGGGCGATGCCCCGTTGGTACGGCCATCGCGGCTCGTCGAGGGAGTTTCCCGTATTCGGACGCCGCCGGATATGGCTTCGTAGGCGCGCTTTCGGGTGTTGGGGAGGCGGACGTCATCGGTGGCAACGAAGCCAGAGGGTGTGCGGGAGAGCGAGGGGGTACCGGCTGCGCGGGCGGCGGACTCGTGTTGCTCTCGTAGGGCTTTGGCTTTGAGACGATTTTCTTCCTTTTTATTTGGACTTGCATTAGCTAAGGCTCCATCTTCTGGATTACGAGGAATGCCATTGTAGAGAATGACTCACGATGCGCCTAGTAATATCGGGGGTCGGAGGATTGGCTATAGGATGAGAAGGGTTTGCTGTTCGGGCCTGTGGCGGCGGCGTCGAAGGACGCTCCATTTTGGAAGAATCACTGTAATGTTTGGTAAATGTGAAAGTTTGTATTCTTTGAATGTAGATAGATATGAGTTAATGAGATGATATCAATGTGGAGAGGAATAAAAGTATGATGATCGTCGGAGTCCGACTTGACGTAGGTAATTAAATTAGCCCTGGAAGTTAATTATTAATGGTTCTATCAGTGACGTCGAATTGAAAGCTAGGTGCTTTATCGCCCCCAACTTCAGTGCTTACACCACTTAAGGGTCCCGTCCAGCACGTACTTAAATGCCGAGTTAAATGCCCAGGCGCCTAAATGCATTCCAAGCGCAAGTAGCATTGAGTTGTATTCCACTAGAAATGGATAACTATCAATTGTATGATCCGATCTTAGAAAACTTGGTAGAATTGTCGAATCGATTCACATGGGGATACTAGAGGCGAAACACTGTAGGCGTCACAGGCAAGACTCAAGGTGAGTGGTAAGTACATAGTACACTTCCGCATGCGGAATTAGCGCAAAATTCGCCATGCTCGCTGTCGCTATGTGGCAATAATATTATTATGTCTACAACAAATGACGGGGTGTGGGGTGATCAAAAATACAAAGGTCAGCCCTATAGCCCTATCAAGTGTCTCCAAGACCCTCTCCCAAATTCATGTATGTAAGTGGATCAACAGTTCTCATAACACGTTTACTCATCCTTAACACCACCCCGACCAGCACGCTCAGCAGCCTCGACAGCCTTCTTGTCGCTCTGCGCAGGGCCACTCTGGAGCCCGCTCATAAGTCCGGCAGGCTGCTTGAAGGGCCGCTTCAGGTCTCCACTCGCGGGCTTGCCGAAAAGGTGGATCTTGACCAAGTTGGACTCGAGGGCGCCCTTGAAGGGAATAATGGACTGGATCAACAGAGGGTTGGTGTATTTCATGTATAGATGCATGAAGCTCATCATGGCAATACCCATGAATTGCGATCGGAACGAGTTCTTGATTTGTTGCGAGTCGTAGGCGTGAACGGTGGTCGTGACGAGTTTGCCCTCTTCCGAAGATCCCATTGGTGCCGGCTCAACATATTTTAGTGTGGTCAGATCTGATGGTAATATAGGGTTAGTGCAGCTCTTCGTAGAGTAAGTAACAAGGGAAATTGGCATACCCTTCTTCTTGTTGATCTGTAGCTGGACATAGATGTAGATACCAGCGATGATAACATTGCTGGCAACGTAAAGTGCGCGAACCATGTTTAGAACATCAGGGTCGTCGAAGGGAATTCGCTTTGACACCTGCATCATTCCGAGAATGATGATGATGTTGGTGCTGTTGCATGAAGTTGTGTTAGCCAGGTAGGCGCAGAGACGCACACGTGCATATAGGTGAAATGAACAACATACACTTGAGGGCTTAGGCCTGCCATTTTTGCGGTTGATATGATGCAAATAAATTACAAAATACGGATATAATTGGGAAGAAGAAGAAGAAGAACTGCGTTGTCTAAGCAGAGGGGTGTGGCAACCTTTATCGAATGGGTTGTGCGGACACTGGAGAAATGTGTAGATGTGAAATAAAGAAGGGAGAAGAAAAAAAAAAAGGCCAGAATGGTGTCTTCAAAGCTGCGATTGTGATCTGGTCGGTCGCAATCAAATTGCGTCGGCCGATAAATGGATCCGGAAGTGTTGGAATCAAAGTTCTTCCGTACCATTCCACTGGAATCTATGTATGTATGTACGAACTACATAACTACATGTATTCTATCGTAGTGAGATTCTAAAATTATGGCGTCAAACTTTACCTAATTGGCTCTTATCAAAGTTCTGGCCACGTTCCATCGCATCGCATCGCAATTCTTGGGGTTTAACTATCCCTAAGTACCTAGTACCTAGGTTAGGGTATAGGTCAGTATTCTACCTAGTACTAATCGCTAACATTAGAATTTAGATCATCTTTGTTTGATCTGCAGTGCCATGTGATCTCCTATTCGAGTGAGCCACAGTGAAATCGGAATCAATGATGTCCCTAACAACTTGAAGCCACAGGGCAGCTACTATGTACTACGTACTAAGGTTAGGTAGGTTAGGTAGCAACTTGAACTTCAATGTTGGCACTGAAAATACTACAATTCTTAGTTCCATACAATATCGCATACATTATACCGGCCCGGCGTCATGCCACTGTGTCAGCGTTGCGAGAAGAAGACTGATACGAGTGGTCACAGTTTCGCGTTCAGCCACCTAAAGCAGACAGATTGTGAGTTTTGTCGGCTCGTCTATGAAGGCATCATTGCCATACTATCACCCACCATCCCTCATGACAGCGCCAGCGCAACGTTCCCTTCATTTAGTCTTGACCCGAGAAAAAACTTCGATGTACACATCTTGGCTTACGGAATCATCGTATCATTCTGGTGTTCATGGGGTAAGATGAAGTCTAGAGCTCACCATGGGATTCATACCTGTACAATGACAGAAACTGAGTATTCCAGGGACAATTTGCCCTTGGAGTATCTTGCCAACTCATAGAGCTATAACTACGCTCGAATCCAGCGAGGAAGGAAGCTTCAACACTGCGTTGGAGTGGATTCAAGACTGTGTCGCTCATCATAATTGTAGCGACAATGTCTCTCCAACTTTGCCAACCCGAGTGGTCAACACCGGCCTCGATGGATCACCAATCCGACTTGTGGATGGAAACTCAGTGCGTCATCGCTATATGTGCTTGAGCCACTGTTGGGGCCAAGAGAGACCCCTGATGACGACGACTAAGAATATATCTAGTCACCTTGAAGAGATTCCTTGGTCCACCATACCGGCTACATTTAAGGATGCTATCTTATTTGGTCGGAAGTTGGATATACGCTATATTTGGATCGACTCACTTTGCATAATTCAAGATAGCTCGACAGATTGGGAAATAGAATCATCCAAGATGGCTGATATATACAGAAACAGTCATATTACAATCGCCGCCACTGCTGCAAAGGATAGCAGGGGTGGACTTGATACATGCCATACAAGAGAGTCATCGGTAAAGCTCAGGGGGAGAACAGCGAGTGACAAGCCTTATGATATTTGTTGCCAATATGCCATGGCGCCCATGACAAGCGCAGGAAAAGACACGCCGGGTAGACCCATCCAGCATCCAATCTCGAGCATCATGACTCTTGAGGACTATGGTGGCGCTATTCCCGTGTTTCCACTTTTGACTCGGGGTTGGGTTTTCCAAGAACGTTTATTGTCACCTCGCTTTCTTCAATGTGGTCGAGATGAGTTGTTATGGGACTGCAGAGAATCTATGCATTGTGAGTGTGGTCAGAGACCCCCAGATCTCCCCTACAATCAGGTTAGTATCGGGATGAGTGATAGCGATCTTCTTGCACACAAGTGGCGGAAAATCGTGGAGTTTTATTGCTCCTTAAACTTGACTTACGATACTGACAAGCTACCGGCCCTGTCCGGTCTTGCGCGACAAATGAGTGAGATGAAATCCGAGGCAGCCTACTTAGCCGGGATATGGAGTGATTCCTTGGATCTTGATTTACTATGGGTTCCATATGGTCCAGACTGCAGTGAGGGAAAAGAGTATCTAGGGCCCAGCTGGTCATGGTCCTCCTCAGGAAGACGGATCATATATCCAAGCGTGTGGCGATCTCAAGAACATGACCCGAGCGTCAAGGTTCTTGAGGTATATTTCGAATTCATCAACGCATTCTGCACCGCAGGTACGGCAGATCCAAATGGCAGAGTCACTGATGGGAGACTGGTTATGAGTGTACCCCTATTCCCGCTCATCGTCGGGTCGGCATCTGATAACGACGAAAGCTACGTGATGCGATACAAAAACACACCATTCTTCCAAAGGGATGGTTCGCAGGTACACATGGACAAAAGGCCTAGTAATTGGCGCCAACTGTTCGACGATTTCAGAAGAAGGGTGTTTCTTGATAATATCGCCAAGCGTGGCCAACTCAAGAACAAGATCTTTAGCTGCAGACTGGCTCGGCTGGAGATACTAGAAGACAGCACGTACTACCTAGTATTCGACGCCCGGGATACAATCCAAATCGAATTCAGTTTGCTCCTGGAACAGATCGATGAGGATAAGAATGTTTTCAGGAGAATCGGGCTTTTGGCAGACGGGCGGGTTGTTGAAGGTCATAAGGGGGATGCGCAATCGTGGATGAACGAGCCGAGCTGCTTTGAGAAGGATAACGAACGGACTCAGATTACGATTATTTAAAAGAACTCAAGCTGTTTGATTCTTCCTGAATTCAAAGTTGTTATCTTACGTGTAAAATCACTCCCAAGTATTTTATGCTAAATAACTAAAACCTTGCAGGATCCTTACTGTGCGGAGAAAGAAAGAAGTATTTCTTTTTGACTAATTCAAAGCCCCTATACTGCCTATGTTTGCTTCCAACCTTGGAAGTATTCATTCTCACCAGGCAGCAAAGGCTACCTACCTAGGTAGGCATGCCTTTTACACTGTACTTCCCCACAAAGCCAACCCCAAGCCGTCTTAGGATCTTTACAAACGGCACTGGGCACAAAAGGCACTGGGCCAGATACCTATTTATCACCTGAGCCGTGCCCTCTCTCTCTCTGCCAGGCCTACAAATATGTGCATGTTCCGGTGTTGGAATCCCAGAAACCGCCAATCTCCCAAAGACACCCGAAGAAGTAAACCATCATCATCATCATCCACCATACCCGCCGATATTTCAGCTATGGACTCGGCGCGTCCCCCGCGCGAGGACGATACCCTCTTCTACGAAACAAGACCCAACTACCGCGATCGCGACCATCCGTCGCACTGCCGGTGCCGCTATTGCCGCTTCTACAACCCGGATCCACTCAGAGACGACAGCCCCGAACCGTATCGCAACCCTGCCGAGGTGCTAGCGCTGGGGCGACTGCGGATCGGCCAGCACCATCCAGGCAACCCTCAGGGCGGCGGTGGTGGCGGTGGCGGGAAGAAGAAGAAGAAGCACACCGTGACGATCGAGGTCAACGGCCCGAAGCAGAGCAAATCAAAGTCACCGGACACGTCTCCGTCCGCAGCGCCGGCGGCGGCGGCACCAACCACAACGACGACGACGACGTCGCCAACGCAGGTGCCGGCCCCGCAGCCCCGCTACGCCGAGATGCTGTACCCAGAGATATACATCTACCCGCTCTCGGCGCCGCACATCACGTTCCCGGTCGTCAACTACAGCGTCCTGACCTCCCACCGGCCCCACCAACCCCCTCCCCGCCCAGCAAGGCGGCCCACATGCTACCTCGCGATCTGCCCCCCCTGCACCCGCCCAGCGGACATCGCCGCGGCGCTGACGCCGCCCGGGTCCGGGTGCGTGGTCGTGGCGCGGCTGTCGAAGACGAAGACGACGGCGCCGCTGTCGGCGTTTGGGGGGGTGGAGGAGCTGAGGAGGGAGGCGATTCAGCTGGAGGTTTGGGGGAAGGGGGAGGGGGGCTTGGAGGAGGAGAAAGGGGAGGATGAGGGTGAGGGGGATGGGGGTGGAGAGGAGGAAGAAGAGGAGGAGGGGAAGGAGGACTAGGTTGTGAAAGGGAGATATGTGGGATTGGGATAGGGATGGAAGGGTTTGGAGTTTGGAGGGGGGTCAAAGGAGGGGAATGTGAAAAAGGGGAAATTGAGAAAAGAAAAAGGGGGTGTTGATTTTCAAGGGGATACTGATTCATTTGTTTGTCCTGGGTAGCTGGATAGCTACTTCGGTGGGTTATTAGGTAGGTACTCAGGGATTACGGCATCGGAAGTCGGTCAAATAGGGGCGAGTAGACTGTGATACTGTATCAACAAATTGCAACTAGGTAACCATGGAACATTTGGAAAGAAGGAATTAAACCTCTGTGAATTTGCTGCTACATTGTAAAGAAAGGACACCTATATAAATTACAATAACCGTTACTCTACACTCTACAACTCTCCTTTTAACTTTAAGACCTCCACCACCGCTTCTCCTACCTACCCAATCTAGATTTAAATCCCTAGGTTACATACCCTCCACCTCAGGTCTGAAAAGTCTTCACAGGCCCATTCATCAAAAAAACCGCGAGGTTCCCATTCGCACAGCACGCCTCCTCATACACGCCCCTCCAGACCCTCGTCGGCCTGCCATCCTTGCGCCCCTTATTCCTCAGCACCTCGTCCTGAGCGCGGAGCGCAATCGGCTTCTTCTTGTAGCCGAGCGCGTTCTTCGCGGAGGCAATCCAGCCGTCGATGTCGTAGCACTGGGTGCCGCCGCAGTTCCGCCCCTTCCACGCGTCCCACGAGGCCTGGAGATCAGCGCGTTCGGCGGGGGAGTTGAGCTGCTCGCGGCGGATGGCGAACAACACGCCCTTCTGCGAGTGGTGCAGCAGCGTCGCCCACTGCCGCTGGAGGTGCAGGGCGCTGCGGGCCCAGAAGATGAAGCTGCCCTTTGCGGCGGCGGCGCCGTCGCCCTGCTGTAGCTTGTTCTTGGAGAAGTCGAGGGCGTCGCGCATGTCCTCGAGCGACTCGACGAGCCGGTTCAGCTTCTGCCACAGGTCGCTCATGGCGGCGCCCTGGGAGCTGCCGCGCCAGAGTCGTTTGTTCCCGGAGCGGAGGGTGAGCTCGTCGATGAGGTCCGCCTCGGACTTCCAGGCCAGCACGAGGTGCTCCCGCGCTGTGTAGGCGTGGGCCCGCATCGCCGCGCCGCTGCCGTCGCCGGTCCACAGGCGCTGGTGTGTCTGGAAGAGCTCCTCCGTGGCGGTCTTGACGAAGGGGACGACTTTGGAGTACTGGTCCACGCTTTGGTATCGCTTTTCGCCGCTCAGCAGATCCTGCATCAGCCCGACATCTGAGGCTTTGTCGGCGTACCAGTGCCACTGGGTGGGGTTACTGATGATGTCGTACGTGGCCTGCTCGCGTTCTTGGAGGAACGCGATGAAGGCTTCCTTGGCTCGCTCAAGGTGGGCGCGCCGCTCTATCAGCGCGTTCTCCAAGTGGGGGATCTGGGTCTCTTCCTTGCCGATGTGGCTGTGAGGGATGGAGCTCCACAGTTTGTCGAGGATGGGGTTGTTGGTTTCGACGGCGGAGAACCAGGTCTCGATGGCGTTGTTGTCGAGGAGGATTTCTTGGGACCCGGTCCAGAGGGGCACCATGGCCTCGGTGAAATTCAGACTACGGAGCGGCTTGGTGTAGAGATCCTTTTTCTTGTATGATAGCTTCTTGATTTGGTCTTCCACGTAGACGGGACTGTTGTCTCTCAATAAGCCGTTGCCGGCAGAAGTCCCCCCTACGGAGCCGAAGAGTGTCGATACGAATAGAATGGTGATGAGCAACGTGAGGATGGTCAGTGTTGCGTTTATTAATAAAGTAACCCATCTCGGGCGAGGCCGTGGCGCATTAGACGGTGGAGGGGGAGGGGGAGGAGCAGAAGGGGCAGGTGGGACCTCTTCTACAACTTCATCCGCGAAGATACCCCCATCCTCAGAGACATCGTCATCCTCATAGATATTGTCATCTTCATAGATATCGTCATCCTCATAGATATCCTCACCCTCAAAGGTATCCTCGAAGTCACCATAATCACCGGCAGAACCGTATTCCATTTTCGTTATGTTATCTTTTGGTGATGTAACTTTTCGTATTACAATTGTATTTATTGCCGTCTCATACTACTCATAAAATACAATCCTCTTCTACGGCGTTTCTATCGTAGGTTAGGGGACATCAGCTAGGGGATGAAGCTGAGCTTCTACCAAATAGGGGAATAAGAAGAAAGAGAAGAAATCATTCTTCTTTGTATACCAAGGTCAGCTAAGAAGCCGTTTAGATTTACATATTTCATACTTCATTGGTGACGAATTGAGCTGGTTTATCGCTTGCGATAATGTGATGGATAGTTCTTTGTCACTTTGAATCCGCGAATAGTCAGTTTGGTCCCAGGTAGCATTTTGCATGACTCCTACTCGCTGAAAGCAGTTTCCTGCGAACAAAGGATTAGTTACTGGGTATGATACCGTCGTGTGAGAACTTGACAAGTTCGGCCCTGGGTATCAATTTCCATGCTGGTAGGGGATGCGCTTGGGTGAAATGATTGCCTGCGACTAGGTACATACCTTAGGTATTTACCTTGGTTAGTTGGTGTCTAGATTTTGACCCTTGGCACAAGCGATATGGAGGTTTGGGGAACATTATGCTCGTGAAGACGTTTCACAACATAGTCGGGTACCGGCATACATATAGAGTAGTAGTATTCGCACATAGTATGCAACCACCTACCTGCCTACCTACATTATGTATGTACCTATGATACGACTGGTCTAAATTATGTCAATGGTAGGCTACGCAACTTCAACTTCAAGGTTGCGTGAAGATTACATGAAGATAAAAAGCCTCAGGATTTCGGGGATAATAACGTGGCCACCGCGTATCAGTGGTTTCGGATATATTCCATTTTCGTTCATGTGTTGAGTTCTAAGTTGTATAGCTTAGCTGAGGACGAATCGGTAAGATAATCTTCCGACTTCTTAACCCGAGTGGCACAATTGCGAGAATATGATAGGGATACTAGGCACTGGGTAGGCAGTATGGATACGATAGAAGTCCGGTCCTTCCGACGCCCATCATGTTCGTGAATATCAAGAGGTGTCCATTTCATAAAGATGTTTTTGGGTTATTGTAGGATGAATTGATGGCAATTGGAGATGCATGCAAGGTTAGGCAGACAAAAGATATCATCGGGTTAAGAAAACATTAAATCATCCAAACTAAGCCTAGAGGTAATTCTGTCGTAATGTGGAACCGAAACTTTGAAGTGTTACCATCATGTAGCGGGGCACTGCGTATGAGCTTCAAACTTAATCCGGTGACGTAACAGACTAGTAGAATATCAGGCGTGCCTACCTGCAATTAGGCTACAGATAGGCTATGTACCTACTAAGGGTACAGTCTTGTACCTATTGTACATACCTGCTCCGACTCGTAAATTCTTCTCGCATATAAATCGCTAGGCAATGCATTGATGTTCCAGGGTTTCTAAGGAGACATCATGCATCCGCGGCAGGAACAAGACGGAACAACCTACCTATTGAAGTAGGTAACGCCATGAAAACTGTTTGCCAAATACCTGAACCTCGGCAAGTAATTACTAAGGTACTCCGTACCAAGCCTAGGATAAAGCCTAGAATGCCAGCAGTTGAACCTTGGAAGCCTACATAGTAGAAGCTTCAATCAATGATCAAGGTTTAAGGATGGCGCCAGCGGAATAGTTCGCTACATGATCTTTGCTAGTAACACTAGTTACAGGGAGAGACCCATTTGTTAGACTTTAAGTTTATGCTACCGGCGATGCGGTACGCAAATCACTAACCCGGTGGCTTAGCGTCTTCAGTCACACTTGAGACGGCGTGCCAAGTGGAATGTGACCTATGTAGTAACCTTGGGAGGCTTGGGTAGGCTGGTAGCACTTAGGGTAGTATTTCGGTTAACAAAGAACCCCTGTTAACGTGCCCACTGCCTCAGTGCCTCCAAGCTCGGGACACTTTGAACTTTTGTCCAAACGTACGAATTCCATTAATCATCCCCTTATTATCTCCGCTCACGGAATAACTACATAACTACATAGTAACTTATCCTAACATTCGACTCTGTCTCATGAGATTCATCGGATGCATGGTGGTTACTCATCAAACCGCCCGTTGTCAATAGTTATCGGGAACCTTTCATCATCAACGATTGATGATTGATGATGGCTATAATTTCGGGCGACGTGTTTGGTATTTGGGATACGAAGCACTGTCCTACTCTTTGCCGTACTGCATAGTAGTGTAACTTACGACTCAAGACTCCAGAATGGCGCCGTCTCCGAGTACCTAGCGTGCGAAACCTGGGTCTCTATCGGGCATCTATCTACCTACCCTGCAAATAGCTTAACACCCATTAGGTAGACAAGTAGGGGTCCTTGTTACTAGCGCCGGCAGCTATGTACGTGTTTGATATGGATGGCCTATGAAGTCAAAGATCGAGAAGTTGATGCTATAGGCTGCCACTTTTCTGTTTCGTCACCGTACCAAGTGGATCACCAACGGGTTAAGCAACCTCGGCTCATCAACCTGATCAAATCCCTTTTTTTTTTGGAATAAAAAATAAAGAATAAAAATCTTTATTCATAGCTACATACGTAAGATTATCTGCTTTTATATACAAATCGAGTGATTATCTTCAATTTTTGAGTTGCCGTTTCCTTCGAATCTGAATCAATACCAAGTTGATTCCAAGCCATTAAATCTTCCTTCTACTACTCCGCAAATCCATCAGCCTCTGACCAAGACGTCAGTCAAACCAGCTGTGCCGTCGGTTTGCATTCCAAAAGACCGATCGAACGGGGTTCGGACTTATTATACACCTGCCGGTTCCGGATTCTATATTTCCTTCATATAAACATAATCATATATATTAAAGGGGCTCTCGCCTAGGGAGACTTGACTTCCAATATGGCTTTTGAGTGGCCTTCAATCCTTAACTTTACAGGCACAGACACGAGCACCAACGAAGAAACTTCAGAAATAATGCCTATTCCAGAACCACCATCTCTCCCTTTCGTAGGCCATGCCACCGAGATAGACCGGGAGTTACCTATACAATCCTTTATCTCGCTCGCCGACAGATATGGTGAGAATGGCTTGAATAGCGAGGCTTGCAATATGATTTCTTGCTAATATGTCGATTATAGGAGAGGTATTTCGACTTCGTTTCCCTGGAAGGACCGTGGTGGTCGTATCAAGTCATCGTCTTGTGAATGAACTTTGCGATGAAAGTCGATTCGTAAAAATCCCAAAGGCTGCCCTCTGGGAAATCCGAAATGGTGTCCACGATGGCTTATTCACCGTAAGTCAAAACCACTGTGCAGCTAGTTGAGCCAGGAAGCTAACATAAATATCAGGCCAAATTAGACGAGCCAAATTGGGGCATCGCCCATAGAGGTTAGCTGGCCCTGTTCTTCTATACAATGTATTTATCACTTACATGGAATAGTCTTGATGCCTGCGTTTGGCCCTATTTCTATCAGGGGCATGTTTGATGAAATGCACGAAATAGCATCGCAACTTACCATGAAATGGGCTCGATATGGACCGCAGCACCCTATCGATGTAACTGAGGATTTTACTCGTCTCGCTCTTGACACCCTAGCTCTCTGCTCTATGGGTTATCGTTTCAACAGCTACTATACTTCGAGTTTACACCCGTTTGTCGCGGCTATGGGCGATTTTCTCACTGAGTCGGGCAACAGGACCAAAAGAACTATGCCAGCATTTTTCTATCGGAGCAATGACGCTAAATATTGGAGTGATATTGAAATTCTTCGAAAGACGGCGGATGATGTCCTTAAGGAGCGTAAAAGTAACCCGACTGATCGTAAAGATCTACTCACTGCCATGCTTAGCGGGGTAGACCCGAAGACTGGGCAGCATATGAGTGACTCAAGCATCACTGATAACCTCATCACCTTCCTTATTGCAGGTCACGAAACAACATCTGGACTCCTATCATTTGCATTCTACGAACTTCTCAAGAACCCCGAAGCCTATCGTAAGGCCCAGGAAGAGGTTGACACGGTCATTGGGACAGGGCCCATCACCGTGGAACATATGACCAAACTCCCTTATATCGTAGCCGTAAGTCAACCTAGCACTAACACTCCTTTTCCCTTGATTTTGATGCCTTTTTGGCCAATATCAACACTCTTATCCTACACTTGTGGAAGCGATTCAGCTAACTCGCTTTAGATCATGCGCGAAACCCTGAGATTATGTTCACCTATTCCCTTAATAGGTCTCGCTGCCAAGGAGGATACTGTCATCGGGGGTAAATACAAAGTGTCATCGTCGGAAGGCTTTGCGCTTTGCATAAAGAAGGCACATTTGGATCCGGCAGTCTTCGGCGAAGATGTGATGGAGTTCAAACCAGAAAGGATGTTAGACGAACCCTTCAACAAACTGCCCAAGAATGCCTGGAAACCTTTTGGCAATGGTGTCCGAGGAGTACGTAAACATTGAATTCCTCAAATGATTTCTTCATTAGCTTAAGAAAGCCCAACACCCCCTACAATTGGTTGGATACTAACGCAAGATACTTGTAGTGCATTGGCCGTCCTTTTGCCTGGCAGGAATCTACATTGGCCATAGCCATGCTCCTACAAAACTTCAATTTTGTCTTGGATGACCCGTCTTATAGCTTAGCTATCAAACAAACACTTACTCTTAAGCCAGCTGGCTTTCGCATGAAGGCAACTCTCCGGGGTGGAATGACACCAGGCCAACTGGAACAACGACTGGCTGGCAAACAAGTGCCAACTGAAGCTCTTAGTGGGCTCTCTTTGAAGGATCCAGCCCGCTCCGCCGAAAATGGAAGTGGAAGGCCTATCACCATTCTGTACGGAAGTAATAGCGGTACTTGCGAAGCTCTAGCCCAACGATTGGCCAGTGACGCTTTGGGTCACGGTTTCCAGGTTTCCAAGATTGATATTATGGATGTTGCAAATGGAGACCTACCCAAGGGACAGCCTGTGGTGATATTTACGGCATCCTATGAGGGACAACCGCCAGACAATGCTGCCCATTTTGTCTCGTGGGTCGAAAGCATCAAAGACAAGACGGCACTTGAGGGTGTGCAATATGCCGTTTTTGGCGTTGGCCATCACGACTGGGCTCAGACATTCCACAGGATACCAAAACTAATCGACACCAAGCTTGAAGAGGCTGGCGCTACTCGACTAGCCAATATTGGCCTCACCGATGTTGGGAAGGATGATGCCTTTGCGGATTTTGAAACATGGGAAGATGAAGTATGTTGGCCAGCACTCAAGAAGCAATTTGGTGGACCTAGCGGCGTATCGGAACCCTCGCAAGCTGCCGGTATCACGGTGTCGATAACAACCCCACGCACGTCTGCTCTCCGACAAGACGTAACGGAAGCATTGGTAGTGGAGACCCGCACGTTAACAGCCGAGGGAGAACCATTGAAAAAGCACATCGAGATAGAGCTTCCTAGTGACGAACACAACGAAGCTTATCGAGCAGGCGATTATCTTGCAGTCCTTCCAATTAACCCTAAGCAGATTGTCGAACGAGCCATGCGCAGATTCCATCTCCCCTGGGATGTACATATTACCATTGGCAGCAATGGCGTGACCAGCCTTCCCACAGATACATCACTACCGGCGCATAGCATTCTAGGTGCTTACGTTGAATTGTCTCAGCCAGCAACTAAAAGGGTAGGTTGATTTTTATCGCATGAATCCTTTATGGACCGGTATACGGAGGCTAACAATCAGTACTTACAGAACATAAGTGCCCTAGTCGAGGCTGCGAAGAACGACGATGAGAAAGAGGCGCTAAAGAAGCTCGTAGACGAGTCCTTTGAAGAGGTATCGGCTAAACGTGTCTCCGTGTTGGACCTTTTGGAAAGATTTCCGTCTGTCGACCTGCCGTTGGGTACCTTCCTTGCGATGCTCCCTCCTATGCGTGTGCGCCAATAGTAAGTGTTCCAGGTCGGCTATAGCAACCTCCTTTGAGCGAACTCTAACATAATGCAGCTCTATCTCCTCTTCACCTCTGTGGAAACCGTCTCACGTCACCTTAACCTTCTCACTTCTTGAAGCCCCATCCAAATCCGGCCAGGGTGTACATGTTGGCGCAGCCTCATCGTACCTGGCCTCGCTCGCCCCAGGAGACAAATTGCAGGTTTCCGTCCGCCCCTCCCACGCGGCCTTCCATCTTCCCCAAGACGTTGAGAATACTCCCGTCATTTTCGTAGCAGCCGGCTCAGGTCTCGCACCCTTCCGCGGCTTCATGCAGGAGCGCGCGGCCATGATCGCCGCGGGACGCAAGCTCGCGCCCGCCCTGCTCTTCTTCGGATGCCGCGAACCCGGGCGCGACGATTTATACGCCGAGGAACTCGCGGCATGGGAGCGCGACGGCGTCGTCACCATACACCGCGCGTACAGCCGGAAGCCCGAGGCGGCCAACGGCCACAAGTACGTGCAGGACGCGATGCGCGCAGCCGACGAGGAGGTCTCGAAGCTCTGGCGCGAGGGCGCGAAGCTGTTCGTCTGCGGCTCCAAGGCTATCGGCGAGGGCGTTAAGGAGGTCGTGGTCGAGCTGGCGAAGCGGGTGTCGAAGAAAGAGGAGGGTAAAGATGTTACGGACGAGGAGGTCGCGAGGTGGTGGGAGGCTTTGAGGAATACGAGGTATGCTACGGATGTGTTCGACTAAGAGACTACACTACATAGTATGGTGGTCTGGGATGCTTGATTGCTTGCTTGCTGTTATGATTATATTATGGGATGTTATTAGAAGTGGTCAAATATGACTTTTACAGATACCTATTAGTTTTTATAGATTGCATGGAGATGGAGATGGAGATGGAGATGGAGATGGAGATTTGTACAACACGAATAGTAGTTATTAGTGGCATGATTGGGATGGGTAACAGGTATATAGTCGTGCGTTTGCTCTTTATTATACATGGTTAGGTATTCAATATTTTCGACTTACTCAGGTTCCTACTTGGTTGACATGTTTCTGGGCAATGGTATATAGGTAACTTCCCTAAGCAATATAATATGTAGATCTCTCTGACACAGCCTACGTTCACCGGCAGCCAATCACATCTACAATCATACCTAGTACACATACCTACCTAGGCACCTACCAATACTACCAGATAGGCACCTAGGTAGCTAGCTGCCTCTTTCGGCCAGCTTGCCGGGAGGGCTTGGCATTGGCACTTCACCCACCCACCCATCACACCTCGGGCGATGTGCATGCCATAGAAGGTCAGGAGAAGGAGGCCTAAAGAAGAAGCTGGATGTCTGGAATCGGCCGCGGTGACGCAATCGCTGTGCGTTGATATCTAGGTATGTGTCAGGTGCATCATTGCAGGTATTAAAGGGTGTTGATTCTTGTTTTTATTTTTATTTTTAGAGGTTCTTAGCAGAGAAAGCAAATGCTGTACCTATGCTGTTTTATTAGTGAAGCGGATTGAACCCTGAGTATCTCCAGTACCTACTGGCCAACTATATATCGGCTGAAGAACCGGGTGTCAAGATAGAAATCTACTAAAACTCGCATCGGAATCAAATCAGCATACAAGACACATACTACCAACCTACCTCCGCATGGGCACCGCACGACCACGAACACATCAAAATCGGAGTATACTGCCAGCGCTCCTCACCGCAGTAGCGCTCATCCTTTTGTTCTGGCGCGGAAGGAGCCAGCCGCCGCCTAATATCGACAACCCCGAAATAATCGCAGACGAAAATACACTCGCGATGTCGTCGGACCAGGATACCGACGACGATATTACTAAGTATCTGAAGGTAACGGCGCGGGCTGTTGATGACGGTAGCAGCGGCGGAGGAGGAGGATTGAAGCTAGCCCTCGCAGTAGCGAACACGCACCCGACGGACGCCGTGACGGTGCTGACGTGGGACTCGCCTTTGGACCCGTTGGCCGTGCAGTTGGGCGTACTCACACTCACACGCACCCGCACCCCAAAAGCCGAAGCGGACACTAGCAGTTCAAAAACAGAAGCAGGGGAGGAGAAGGAGGAGCAAATACTCATCCCGACGATCCAGGTCCGCCGCAAGATGCCGCCGGGCCCGGAATCGCTGGTCGCGATCGGGGCGGGGCAGACGCGCGAGCAGGTGGTGGAGCTCCGGGAGCCGATGGTGCCGGTTGGGAAGCTGAAGTTACGTGGTGAGAGGGTGAGGGTTGTTTGTAAGGGGCTGTGGAGGGGGGTTTGGAGGGGGGAGAGGGAGAGTGTGGAGGGAGATAAGGGAGAGTTGTTGGGGGCGAAGGGGGAGTTTGAGAGTGAGGCTGTGGTGGTTGGGTTTTGATGGCGATGGTGTTGATGGTTAGCAAGCTGTATAGGCACCTACCTAGGCACCTACCTAGGCACCTACCTAAGCTAGACACATATACTAAGTGCCGGGATAGGTGCTCCTTTTGAATTGCTCGGACGGATAAGTTGCCAACGGTGGTGATAAACTAGCCACTTATCTATCGCTTACCACTAAGTTATCTAAGTAGCAACATTAAGATACTTGTGATATGGGATGATAGTCCAAGTTCGAAACATCTTGGCCCAAGCTTTTTTGAATCCACTGGATTAAATACACATTCATGGTTGTGTATCTAGACTGCTCGGCACACAACTCTTAAATACTTGTATTGAATATCGTTGGTGGCTTTAGAGTTATCCGGGTTACTTCAGTGCTGGCTGGGTCAGGTCGGTAGTACGGGACAGTTGGGTATTTAAATCAAGGGAGCCCAACTCTGGCGATATTCACTTATAGGATATGTAGAGGGGACTTCGGATCATATAGGAGTGATCGAGTGGTTAAAGTGGCAGAGTGTCAAAGTGGGCACAGTGGATGATTAATAGTTAATGGCATTCACCATTAATTTGCTGTACGGGAACTATACCACACTAGGCCTAGCGTCAACTGACATCGTTGGAAATGTGATAATATGACGCCCGGCCGAACCCCGCCATCAGGTGTTGCGGGGTGTTACCTAACAGTTAAGGTTGGGACGTTCGAGCTGTGACTGCAAGCTACCTACATTTTACACATGTGCAGCTCCAGGTTCAGCTACATCATTGTGTGTATTAGATAAGGAGTTACCATCTTACATCATACACAGTCCTACCGAGAAATGTCAGTTGACTTAAAGTATTATGTATGTCAGTTGGATAAGTCGGTACCTTTGTAAGGTAGCTCGGTAACTTTGAGCCTCATCCAATCTGACATCCATGAATATTTAATGGTGCAATTGATCACCTTACTGACATCAAATACCTCTTAGATGTGTGTATAAAAAGTGCATAAATATATGACACGACATTATACACTTGTACTGTCAATTCTGCCATACCCATGCCCAAGTATTCGGGTACTTGGGTAAACCTGGTGCTACATAGTACTAATGTACTACTAGGTACTAAAGTGCTGTATGTAATGTGCGGTACCTTACCTACCCGGTTTAACATTCAATGAATGGATTCATCTTTCCCTTTCATCGAATGAGATAAGATAATTTGACCCATTTTTGACCTTCAAAGTTGTCAAGTCTGTACCTAACCAGCTCAACATTTCCGAACCTAAAACCTAACATTGCCTATCTACATATCTAGGTAGGTAGGTATCTACATACCTACTTAGTAGTCACAGTACACATCATTTGATCAATGATGTTGTTACCATAATACTCGCTATCTACATAGTAGTAGTAGTAGTACCTAATCAAGGTAAGGTACGCACTTACGTGCCTACTTCTTACCTGTCTAACCCGACTTCCTACTTTTCTTCTTTTTTTCAATAAAAACCCTCTAATATTTGATTTTCTTCCCTTTTAATTACTCACGATCCCTCGTCATTCTTACCCACTGTCTTCCATCTATCCATTCATCCATCCATCCAAATACCATTTCCCTCAACTTGAATTTACGAGCAAACAAGCAAGCCTGCTGCCTGCTGCCTACTGCCTGCTGCCTGTCTTGAGCCCTTGGAAGTATCTGTATGTCGTTATACACTTTGTCGTCCATTGGCTGGGATATGAATCATATGGAATCTGCCTGTCGACCTTGGATGCTCATCCTGTGATATTCAAGCTACTTTTTCCTTTGCGGTACTCTAGTAAAAGTAGCCACATTACCCCCAGACGCCGCTTCGGTTCCTTACCGCCTCCACCCCTACCCGAGAATCACCTACATTAAGTAACTCTAGTTCCTCTTCCACCCGGATCGGTCAAAATGTCTACTTCTCCGATCCGTCTACTCATCCCGCCGAGTCTTCAGCGGTTCACCTGCTTCGAACATTTCCCGTTCGATGTCCGCGTTCAGGTCTGGGAAGATATCATCTATACCCCTGGCATCCATTTCCTTAAGTTTGAGCAGAACAAAGAAGCCTTGCAATATACGACCCCAGATGACTCAGATTCAAGCACGGACGACGATAGCGATGGCATGGACCGTCTACAACTGTCCCACACTACACGAGAGGGCAAGCGGGTGAACTTTACTAGCACCCTCAAGTCGGCCTTCCCCTCTCCAGCTGCTGACAAGTCTTACTATCTCACCATGAACAAAACATGCACTCAATTGTCACTGGCCTGTAGCGAAGCTGCGAAGTTGGTCGAGAAATTAATCGCACGCCGGGGAAACTTGGTTCTAGATACCGGACGCTTGGTTCACTTTGAGCAATCGTCCGATGTCGTATGCATTGACTATCCAGGTGCTACCCTGTCTCGACCTCTGGGCCATTGGGCAGATCGTCTAGATCTGGAACAGTTGGCAAAGGTTCGCCGGGTAGCTATCCGGTATAGCACCAAGTGGGATGATGAGTGCCGAGTTTGCCGTACCTGTGGTATCATCCACAATTTTCATCGGCATCACGATAATACGCGTCCACGACATGCCTACGAGTTTGCCGCTTTGTTCAAGAATCTTGAAACTTTCTACTTCATGGACTGCCTAGCAATCCGCAAGTCCCGCGATAAGTCGAAGCCTACTTCTTGCTTGCACGCTAAGAAGGGTATGTGTAGTATTCAATATTTCATTCCATGATTTATCACTAACACGAAAATAAGAATATGGAGACAAGGGCGAGAAGTTTGCGAGTGGTGAAGGTGGTCGCACGTACTATGAAGTTGATCCCCAATTTTGCAAGATCAACACCCACGTCTTCCGTGCGCTTGATTGGGTTCGCGAAAATTACATTAGCTACTGCAAGAAATATTCCAAGGGCCCTGCGAACCCCGAGAAGGTTAAATTTAAGGTTCTTTCTTGCGAGTGGGATACCGAAGAACTCGTCCCCAAGCGCCAAGAATCGAAGCCCATCCGATCTACCAACAAACAACACAAAGCACGATTTTCAAACGTTAACGGCGGCTCGAGTCGAATCCGCCCTAAATTCAATCCTGCTCGGAAATCTGAAACATTTGACGGTCTTCCTGTTGTCTTTGGTGATGATGGCAAGTCAAAATTCGAGTTCACCGTCAATGTACCCTTTCCGTGAGGGCGTTTGTAGCTTGCTGATGCTACTTGGGTTATATTTCCCTCAACCTAATGAAAATTGAGAGGGAGGATTCATGAGGGTGGCATTCCTTATCCTAAAAATGTCTTTACCTTTTCCTTTGTTTTGCTCTTTACCAACGTTGATACCCAGACTCCTTTAGTTAGGCGTTAATGGTCGCGAATGAAATCGCAGGCATGGGTGGTTTCATGAAGCATTGCCTATGATAAACGAATAAAATGAAATTAGGATTACCTTAATCCTATACATTTTGTATCATTATTCTAATGTGTGAAGTGCGTTTGTGATTGAGTTGGTGTCATGCTCTTTTCTGCCGAGGTGGACGCTAGTGGTAATAGGAGAATAGGGGTACTACTATGTCAAATGAGTAGTTCGCTTCTTAGGTCTCTATATGTCTAACGTTGATAGATGTCGTAATCATGAGGCCGGGTTATCTTACTCGTGTACATGGCGCTGCGTTTGTCATCGTAGAATTAATTATGAGCTCATGCCCCTGGCTCGTTGTTCCTTCTGTTAGTAGTACCGCAATACTGTGGTTCGTTATCTCCCCCCTATGCCCCTAAATTTCTTTGATATACCTACCTAGGTAGGTATAACAGCGCGACTATTATAGATATGCGTTGATAATCCGCCCTTACGCTTACGCTTATGCCCGCAGCTGTGCGTATGTATTAACAGGTCCTGATATCACGTCGCCGCGTAGGTATTTTTAGTTCTTGGTGAACTCACGGCGCGGTATGTGGACCTACGTACGATAGATGCTTATGCTTCAATGATCCGACCACTCTGGGTCGATATACCGGATAGGACAGAGGATGAATATGGGACAGACAGGTAGACTGGCAGACAAGCATAGCCCCTTTTGACACGTTTATATAGGTGACTAGTCATATGACTTCGCCCGGAAGCAAACCCGAAATTCGGCTTGACTTTTGAGCGGCCGCTATAACTACATAAAAAATACCGCTGAGAAGTGCGCAGAGGTACGCATGCAGCTAGGCAGGCAGGCAGGCAGGCAGGCAGGAGGTAGCAGACACCGCCTACAGCCCCGTAACATCCCTCAACGAGCAAAGCCTCGACTTCTCCACCAGACTCTTCAGCGCACGCACGCGGTCGCTCCCTGCCCCTGCCCCCTTTCCCATCCCCACCCCGCTGCCCCCGAGCTCCCGCTGCAAGAACTCGTGGTTCCGCGGATGCGAGAGCAGCCCCCCTCCTCCTTTCCGCTGTTGCTCAGGCAACGCCCCCAGCCCCCGCTCGATATTCTCCACGAAATACAGCACCGCCTGGCAGAAGAACATCCCCTGCAGGCGGCCGCTCCAGATGTAGAAGGCGCCCATTTGGATGCCCTTGGATGGATCGGCGTATGCGTGAGAGGAGGAGGAGGAGGAGAGGGGATGGGTGGGGAGGGTGAATAAGGGGTACCGGTCGATGCCGGAGGTGCGCCGCTGGACGTGCATGAACATGAGCTCCCAGAGGGAGATGGTCTGGACGAAGCAGCTGGTTAGGAGGCAGGTGAAGGGGGTTGGGAGGGGGTGGTCGGGAGTGTCGTGGGGTGCTGGGGTTGGTGGGGTTGGAATGGGGGATGTGGGGGTAGCGTCGTCGTTGTTGTTGTCGTCGTCATTATTTTCATCATCGCCGTCATTGTTCTCGTCAACAACATCACCCGTAAACGCACCAAACTTCCTCCCGCCATCCTCACTCTGCAAAACCCAGGTCAGGTTCGCAATAGCCTGCTGGAACCTCTGTGACAGGAGAAGCAGCTTCTCAGCCACGGAGACGCCGTCGCCCACGGGCGGGGGCGGGTGGTCCACGAACGTCGCGAACTTCACCTTCCCCGCGTCTTCCAGGTCCTGGAGTGTTTTCCATTGGTCGTGCAGGTCGATGTTGAGCTGGGAGAGCTCGCGCATACACGAGCGCTGATCGAGTTTTGTGGCGAGCAGGCTGTGCATGTCTAGCGGGTTGAAGGGATTACTACTAGTAGTAGTGGTGGTGGAGGTGGTGGTGGCGGCCCCGTACCACTCTGGGACGGGCGGTTCGGAGGGAGGCGGGATGGGGGATAGGTTGAAGAAGGCATCGCCGCTGCTGTGCGGGAGTGCGGTGGGGTTTAGTCCATTGTTACCGCTTTGGATATCCTCGGTAAATCCCGCTGATAGATTCTCCTGGTCTTGAGCTGGGAAAACGTCCGAATTCGCGTGACTCGCCGGCTGTCCCCCGGTAGTGGTAGCAGTCGCGGGCGCCGAGCTCGTCTTTCGGGGCCTCCCTGACCGCTTAGCCGGCGCCGCTTCGCAGCTCAGCCCGAGACGTGAGCAACGGGTGCATTTCTGCTGGGTGTCTTCGCGGGGACATCTTAGTTTGGAGTGCCGACATCTACGTATCTCATGAGTTGTTTGGTTCTAGTGTATTCAAGGTTATGAGATAAATGAGAAAGATGTTGATGACTTGAGTGTTGAGTCTTATTATGAATAGGTACCTAGTACACATAGTACATGAGTTGGGAGGCGGTAATAAAAAGGGGGGCGCTGTACCGGTCACAAGCCGTCCGTCGCAAACTAGATCTTGGATGAGGTGCTGTCGCCATCTCGTCATATCAGCCGGCTTTTATTTATTGTTTTGATCACAATTTATGGAAAGGATTGGTAAGATTACGAATCAAATTATTTCCGAGGAGAAAAAGAAAATATCCACGGATGTTTAAATCCCAAGGTACTTAAACAGGTGCCTAATTATGTAACATGCCCAGGTCAGCATGGATTCATTGTGTACGATTGAAGTCTGATCGGATAGGGGTCTGGTTGGGGGCCCTGAATCTCAAATCATAGGCCGTAAATCTGGTATAACATCTTGCTAAGCCACCTGGGCACCATTCTGCCCAGGCGTATTATCCCCTAATTATTCCATCTCATGTACCTAGAAGGTACCTATCCATTCAAGTTTATTATTCCCTTATGTCGCATAAGCTGAATATCACATATCACATCACACCCCAATATGGAAACAGGGGTTCTATATCTGGGTACGCATTCATCCAATGACACCGATCGTGATCGAACCCATGGTAAGCTCATTTTTGCATTATGAAAACTCCAGATAATATTCCAAGTGCTTTTTTTCATTAATCGCTACGTAATCATGTAAATGCCATCAGTCTACTACGGGGCTACCCTATCACTACCCGTGCCCTCCCGCTCCTCAAGACCAAACTCCGTCTTCAACTCCGTCCGCAGCGCGATCTCCTTCTCGAAGAGAATCAATAGAAAGACGAAGCCCGAAAACGGCACACCTATCATAAACAGCTTTTGCAGTGACTTGGTAAAAACCGTTAGGATCTGTTGTTTCACAGGCTCCTCGAACGACTCGACAAAAGCCTTGGTCGCGCTCGAGTACGAGTTCCCCGACGTCAGCGACGCTCTGGCCCTGGCGTCATCCACCAGCGGCGCATAGGCTGCCGTGAAGCTGTTGAAGATGGCGGCGGAGATGGCCACGCCCCACACGTTCCCGAAGCTGCGGATGAAGTTCCAGCTAGCCGTCGCAGACGCCTGGTCGGTCTCTTTCAGCGAGGCTTGGAAGGCGGGGAGGAATGTATTCGTGAGCATGCCGCTGCCAAGGGCTGCCGCAATGTTGAAGAATACCCATGCAACCGTAGCTGTGTTCTGATCCATCATGCTGAAGAGGCCGATTCCGAGGGTGAACAGAGCAGAGCCCGTGAGGTGGATGATCTTGTACCGCCCCCACCTCGACATGATCATCAGCGCAATCGCTGCCCCGGGTATCCCCACGAGACTGAACACCAGCAGGTCCACACCGGATTCCGCCGGGGACGCCAGCTTGACAGCCTGGAAATAGAGAGGGATGAAGAAGAAGAGCCAGTAGTTCTGCATGGCGTTGACGAAGGTGGCGATGTACACGATGACCGCCGTGCGATTGCTGAAAAGCCGCAGGGGCATAACCGGATCGGCGACGCACGGCAGGCCCTCGAAGACGACGAACAGCACCATGCCGCCGAGGCCAACCACCAAGGGCACGAGGATGTGCCAGTCCGCCCAGGGGTACAGCGCGTCGGCCCACGTCAAGGCGACGAGGATGGACACCGTCGATGCGATGAGAATCCCGTTGCCGACGTAGTCGAGTCGCCGCAGCCGCTCGAGGGCCGTCGTGGACTTGTCCCACTTGACGCGGAGGAAGATGAACAGGAGAGAGAAGGCGAAGGCGCCGATGGGCAGGTTGATGTAGAAAACCCATCGCCAGGAGGTGGTTTCGACGATGATGCCGCCGAGGAGCGGGCCTAGAGTTGTGCCGAGCCCGTACACCGCTAGGATGATGGCGATGAAGTTGCCGCGCTGTCGCAGCGGCACGAGGTCGGAGACGATGACGTCGATGATCATGTTGATACCTAATGAGCCCTCATTAGATTCCGTAGGTCCGTAGTAACGGAGAAACGATAGAGACCTTACCTCCTGAGCCCATCCCTTGAATCGCTCTACCCGCGATCAAGGTGCCCCCATTGTTAGCAGCACCGCATACTCCGCTACCGAGGATATATATGGCTACGATGGATAGCGCCATGTGTCGTCGGCCGAAAAGGTTGGCTAGTTGACCGAATAGGGGCTGCACAACCGCACTAGTCACAGCAGTACAATTAACCGTCCGTAAACACTTGAGCACCTCTACACTCGCGCCACGCAAAAAAGAATTAATTTACCTGGTGAGAAAAAAGACATTGCTAATCCAAACATAATCCTCGCCTATATTGAGTTTCTCTACGATCGTGGGAAGAGAGGTTACGACGACGGTATTCTCCGCCGCGGACAGGAGCGACACTATACAGAGGGCGACAATGATGGCCCAAAACTGGAAGCCTCTTTTCGATTTCTCGTCCAAGTCGGCAGTGGACTCCTGCGAATCTTGATCAGATGGGTCGGGGCGCACGGATCCCATCTCCTGGTGGCCTAAGTCAGCCGGCGTGTTCTCGTTGGATGGCATCGTCGGTTTGTATTATCGTGCTGGAAGAAGCATCCCACAAGCATTGCAGGTATGTCGCCTACCTATGTAGAAGGCGAGAGAGAGCGCCATGGTGATATTTAAACGAGAGAGAGAGAGAGAGAGAGATGACGAAATTACAAGTCCCAGGACGCAGAGTCGGAATTATTCCCCTGACAGCGGATACGTAAAACTTGGCCATTAGTCGCAGTGTCTTTGTTCTACTACGCCGCTCACTTTCGCTTTCTACGCCGCTCACTACCTACGCGAAACGAAAGTGGCACCTATTCGGTGGGTTTTCGAGAGAGAGAGCTATTCTAGTCACAGAGGGTTTTTGGTTTCTCGACGCATCAGCAATCAGCATCAGCAACCAGCAATTGGGGCACTGCCTCATGCGCCTCATGCAAATAAAGCAATGTGGACCTATTATTGACGGAAATATACAATCGATGGGTATAGTAGGTAAACATTCCGTAGAGGTGATTCGGTCTTGTTGATAGGTATGCCTGGGACTTCTGGACAGGCTAGGCTAGTAGCTGATGAGAGACTCGGATGATTGCTTGGAATAGCGTGGGAAATCTTCCGGCTTTTCGGAAGGTTTTTAATTTCCTATCTTTTTTTGTTGCTTTTTGTACCTATACATTCCATTTCTTTTCTTAGATGTTCTGGGATAGGTACCTAAGTCAACAACATCGGCGACTAACTCATGACTATGTCGGTGTTTGACACTTTTGGTTATTTCCATGATCATCTGTATACCTAAATGTCTACCGAGATATTTCCATGTCATGGTTTGCTGATGGATGCTGTCTCATCTCTTACTCTGTTATGGGATCAGTTTATGATGTATGTAAGTGCCCGACAAGTCACTCACCTACCTATCCAGTATCTCGGTAGCTCCGAGTTTCAATTTCACAAGAACTCATTCTTCCTGATTGGAGAGGCTTTGCTGAAATTATTGTCCTGTTTACGGGAGAGTAGCAGGCCGCAAGGTTCTCACTCAAGGTACATAAGCATTCACACATTTTGCTGTCTTTGAGAATAATGCGTTTATTACCTCGAAGTGGTGAAATCATGCATCTAATTCGGGTTCATGATGTTCCAAGACTATGACGTTCATTTCCATTCACTAGGTCGTATTTGCCGACCGTATTGCCGTAGCTTCAACTTCACCTCTGCCGAGGACGGGCCTTTCATGAGTATAGTTAGTTGTATGCATCTTCGACGACTTTCTAGAAAGTGTTTATCATTTCAATTATGAACACGATTTGATTGCTTTTAGCTGTGGTTTGACTGAAAAACACCAACGGAAAAGAAGATTATTACTACAATTATTACAATCAGGCTTCAAGAAACCCCCTCTTACTTGGTAAGTGAATACTTTCATTAGAGGCATTGATAAATAGTGGCTAGTTAAATTAAAGAAACAATCGTCCTATTGCAATAACTAACAATGGCACAGAAAGACAAAAACAAGCGTAAAAAGAGAGAAAAAGCAGAAAGAAACCATGTCTACTCCTGGAATGCTTTACGTGACCATGCAACCCAAGCCAGGGTTACCAATACCGCAGTTTCACGAATGGTATAACAACGAGCACGGCCCGACCCGGCTTCGGCTGCCGCAAATCTTCCCGAACGGGCTTCGGTATCGTGCCACCGACGGGAAGACCCCCGAGTTCTTGGCCGCCTATGACGTGACGTCCATGTCTCACCTGCAAACCAGCACCTACACATCGCTGCGAGAAAACCGCTCGTCTCGCGAGGCCGACACCATAGGCCAGGTCGACGTCAAGCGATACTTCTGGGACTCGGTGTTCGCCAAGGAGTCCCCGCTCTTCGTCCCCCTCGAGCAGCTGACGGACGACGAGGCCGAGGGCATTGTCTTACTCGCGTTGGAGCTCAAGCTGACCGATGCGGCAGACGCTGAACCCGTGTCGCGGCAGTGGCTCGAAGAGCAGCACGTGGACATGCTGTCCAAGATCCCCGGCTGGCTGCGATCGCGCGTCCTCCGAACGTCTACTCTAGAGGTCGGTGCACCTGTATCCTTCATCGCCCTCCACGAGTTCGCCAAAGCAAACGAGCTCGGCGATGTAGCCCAGCAGCCAGCGGCCAAGACCCCCGGATGGGAGGAGGAGATCGCCGGAAAGTACGCGACCCTGGCTTCGCAAAGACAATACTCCCTCTTCTACGTCTTCGGCCCCGCCCCGCGCGACTTACACAACCTCTCCCTCCTCCCATCCCCACAATCCACCTTCGTCTCCGCCGACGCTCTCACCAGCACCTCCAACGCCGACGCCGCCGGCCCCGTCATAACCTCGTACGTGACCGCCCCCTCCGACGGCCTCCCCATCCCCTACCGCCTCGAAGGCAACCCCGACCCCGCCGCCCCCACCATCGCCTTCTGCAACTCGCTGCTCACGTCCCTGCACATGTGGGACGCGTTCGTCGCGATCCTCAGGGCGCAGCGCCCGCAGTACCGGATCCTGCGGTACGACTCGCGGGGCCGCCACGCCCTTCCCGCGCCCGTGCCCGCGACCCTCGACATCCTCGCCGACGACCTCGCCGCCCTGCTCGCCGCCCTGCGCATCCCCCGCCTGCACGCCCTCGTCGGCGTCTCCCAGGGCGGCGCCACCGCCCTGCGCTTCGCGCTCAAGCACCCCGCGCTCCTGCAAACCCTCGTCGCGTGCGACTTCAACGCCGCGTCCAGCCCCGCCAACACGGGCGCCTGGAAGGAGCGCATCGCGATGGCGGAGTCCCACTTCGCCGACGACGAGCAGGCGAAGACGCCGGTGCCCGGGATAAGGAGGCTCGCGGAGATCACGGTAAGCCGGTGGTTCCACCCGCTCACCACCGCCCGGCAGCCGCAGACGGTGAAGTGGATGGAGGACATGGTGGCGGCGAACGACGTCCAGGGCTTCCGCTTCGGGTGCCAGGCGCTCTGGGACTACGACATGCGGCCGCTGATGCCGGCGTGCGGCGTGCCGGCGCTGCTGGTGGCGGGGGAGGGGGACGGGGGCGGCGCGCTGGTCAAGGCGATGAAGGGGTTTGCGGGGCAGTTGGGAGAAAAGGGGGCGGAGGTGGTGGAGGTGAAGGAGGCGGGGCACCTGCCGATGGTGGAGAATCCGGCGGGCTTTTGGGAGGCTGTTGAGGGGGTTTTGTAGTTTTGTGGGAGGGGGTTGGTTCCACGCGCAGGTCGTTTCTGATAGCGAAGATATCTGCTCGTGATTATTAAAGAAATAAAAAATGGTTGTTTAAGTTTCGCGTGAAGAGGTCGTGGTGATCTTGACGCTTACGTCGAGTTTCGTATTGAGAGTGTAGAAGCAGTGGTTTGGTGCTCGGTTTGAAAAGGGGGGGCAAAGGGGGAATCTTCTGATGATGGATCATTGGGTGCCTACCCCTTATGGTTGCAGATCCAGGCAAGTGCACGAAGACGTAGGTATCTACCTAGGTACCTAGGCAGGTAAATTCCAAGGTTACTTGCCCTGGTGATATGTATAGGAGCAACAGACCGTCACTACCTACACATTTGCTTTTCGTGACGGTGCTTCAGGATCCCAGTACTAATAGATAACCCCAATCCTGGACAGAGCATATCTACTAGGTTAGGTACCAATACATATAAATATGATTTTTAAGAGTTCAATTTTATCTACCTAGGTTTTATTCTGCGAAAACACTATGATAGAATATCTCAAGTTACTCCTTATTGTCGAAAGAGGGTAGAGCATTACGTATTAGGGCACACATCAGATGATCATAGAGTGGACTGCTGGTGTATTCTAATAAATTGAAGGAGAGTAGGGCCCCTGATAGTCGTGGTAGAGAATGAATTTAGGAGATAGAAGGGATTATGGATAAGAGTCCTCTAAAGCTCGTTCGTATCATGAGGGCTGTCAAGAGGCGGGACCTAGAAGATACAGAACAACATTGCTATTGCGCGGAGATCTCTACCATCTCCCCGAAGACCATGAAAGCTATATATGCATGTTAGCTGCCACTGTCTCTGTTCTATCTAGCGCCCCGTCTAGTCCTCGGGTAGACCCTTGACAAGAGCTATCGCGTTGATCGCTTAGAGCAAGAACAGGAGATGGGTAATATATCTTGAATAGTCGGCGTAGGCGGGAAGAGAGAAGTCAATCACACAACCTGCGTTTAGGAGCTTCCAAGACAAACGCTCACGACTGTGTGCGGTGGATCATGTACCTAATCTGACCTAGTATATGGCAATATCGGCAAGATAGATGCGCCTGGAAGTTTACCTAGCAGAGATGCAATAGCCAACAGGTGCGCATGGATGCGCAATGCACGTTTGACGAGCACATCTCCTCAGATCCCGACTGTGCGTCTAACTAATCCCTTTCCAATCTCTTGTAACCGGCAACGCGGCCGCAGAATGATCATCCTGAAGATGACTTCTATACTCATCTCTCGGTACGGCAAGAATCCATCCCGCACGCATTCCGCACCATACCCAGAATCCACCTCCAGCAGGCACTGCCAAGTGTTCCTTCGTGGTGGTCGGCGACTCCGTTTTGCATCAAGCCCGATCAAATACTGTCACGAACGCTTGCTAATTCTGTGGGGCGCGACGCGTCTGCGCTGGGTCATCTGGGGATTAGATCACCCCCGTCCATCGCAGATAAATATACGATGGAGAATGGGGGAGGAGGGAGGGGGGAGGGGGGGTTTGTTCCCAAGATTTATTTGATCCATATTGCTGGGAACGATCCTGTCGCAAACCGCAACGGGCCTAGGTTAGTTGAAATATTGAATGCACCTTGGACGAAAAGAGAAGGATAGGCTTGTGTTTATTTGGTTTGGACGGTATTCTTGGCGCCAACAAAAGACACAGACTTCAGATGTCAACAATGATAAAACCTGGGTATTCATGCGCATGGCACGGCATAGGTAGGTGTTTTGTTTTTTGTTCATGGAAAAGAACCGGGCTGGCCGCTGGCGGGTCAAGATTGTTTGCCTACTAGCCCTGGAGGTAAATATTAGCAGGTAGCTACCTACCTAGTAGCTTACGTACCTCCAGCTAGGACCTAATACCTACCTATATCTAACTACCTACTACTAGGTACAATACATATGTAGGTAATCACGGCTGAGGTTACCATTTGCCCAGTGCCCCATTCCCAAGGCGGAAACGGAGATTGACACAGCCCTGTAGATGAATAGTTTCGGCAGTGCCTACCGGCGAAAATGGCGACATCGATGTTAGTCAGAATTAAGAAAGCAAAACAAAACGAGGATGGGAGATGCAAGAAACGGAAACGGGGAGGGGGATGGGATGAATGGCGAAAGCCTGTCCCGTCCCAATCTTGGTAAGCTGCGATTCTCTTTCCTTAATGGTCCGCCCTCGGGACACGGCTCAGTAGAGGAGTAGAGAAGAAACAGAAACATAATAAAAAAAAAAAAAAAAAAACTCCAATTCATATTGGATGGATCATGCAAAGTAGATGAACTGGGCTGAGATTCGACGGTAAAATTTCCAAGTTGGAAAATTCCCGACCAATGGTGAGCTGTTGATAGGAAACCTCGGCTGCTACGAGCGGGAAAGAAAAAGAAACCAAGAAACAAGAAGAGAGCAAGAAAAAAAAAAGGGCTTAACTATACAACTGTAACTACAATAGTGGGCTTTTCGGAGACTCGGAGTCAAGGCTGGAAGAAAGCGATCAAGGAGTTTAGAGTGTTCCAGGACGAATACAATACCGAGTACCTCCAGGGCTTCGATGCTTACCTACGACGGGTCCTACGTAGTCCCTGGGTATAGCTACCTGGTAAAGACACCTAGGTAAAGAAGAAGGATCCTAGAGGCAATTAATATATCTGAAGGCCTGGTTTGCTTGTTAGTTCGCAAATGCAATGCATCCAACTGTCAACTATCGATCGTGTAAGCATTTGTTTCGAGTGAAGCGGACCGTCAAGCGACATCTTTTTCCATAATAGTCCTAAAGGGGGGAAGGGGTGGATGTCTTCTTGGGGCTAGACCTACGCTGGTCCACGGAGCTGCGAGCCGGCAAGATCAATCTAAAATGGTGCGCCGTAACCATGTATGTTCGGCCCGGCCTGCCGCATGGGACAAACAAATCCTTGACTTTTGACTTGACTTGACTTGACTTGACTTACTTTTGACCCCCCCCCTGGACGACTGGAGCCCCCCAACTTAGAGGGGCGAAAGAAGCGAGGATGCAGGCAAAGACAGTCAAAACAAGCAAAGCAAAAGGACACAGAGAAGAAAACATGGAACATTACATGGATTACATGGATTACATGGATTACTTGGATAACTTGGATGACATGGATGGGCATGACCCCCAACTTTCCTGGCAGACAGCCCTTTGGTCTCTGGTTCTTATTTAGTCCCTGCTCAACCCCGCGGTGCCCAGTGGTTGTGCATATGGGCAAAAGCGTAGAAACGGAATCTGAATGGCCGAGTTACAGCGTATTGAAGGGATCACAAGATACCGGGCACGCACCAGGAAAGGAGGAAAACAGTAAAGGGAAACAGGAAAAGAAAAAGTAAAAAGGGAAAGAGAAAAAAGGTTGTGAGGTTGATGATAGGATAAAGGATGTCCAACGTAGATGTGATACAGCGCACACCTGTTGCAGCGACAGCAGCAGCAACAATAGCAGGAGGAGCAGGAGGAGGAGGAGTAACAGGAGGAGTAGCAGCAGCAGCAGTAACGCTCCCCTCACAATTCGACAGCAGCACCATGGCTACCGCCGCAGCCACCGCTACAGCTGCTACTACAGCGGGCGCAGCAACTACTACGACTCCAACTCCAACACTGTCTAACGCCCATGCCCCAGTCGCAATGACGCCGACGAAACCCCCAGCAACCACAACTTATTCCTCCTCCACACCAGCATCAGCAGGGGCAACGACATTATCGACGACAAAACCAACCTCCTCCGCCACAACGACCACAAAAAGCGCAATAATAACCTCGCAATTACTAAACCACAACAACAGCGCCGCAGCAGCAACAACAACCACATTTCCCACGCCGCACCAAATCGGAGTAATAGGGATCAAACGATCTCGCAACGGCGACCACAAAGACGGCGGCCGGAGTTCGAAAAGCAGGCAGCGGCCCCCAATCACCAAGAGCATGGAGCCGCCCGTCCTATCCTTCTACGGCACACAGCCCGTGCCCCTCCCCTCCCGCTTCGGCAGCCTGAAAAAACGCCTCGTATCCGGCCACGAAGCCGCGCTCGAAGCCTCGTGGGGCCGGCTGCTGGCCGCGCTGCGGCAGGAGATCCGGTACATCTCCTCGCACGGGTCGAGCCTGATCCCGTCGATCGACTTCGGCGACATGGGGGACGACGCGAAGGTGGCGCCGTTCGGGGCGCAGCTGAAGCGGCACGGGATCGGGGTGATCCGGGGCGTGGTGCCCTCGGCGGACGCGCGCGCGTGGGTGGCCGAGACGCGGACGTACCTCGAGACGAAGCACGAGTACAAGCCGCCGCCGGCGCAGGACCCGACGTGCTTCGACTTCTTCTGGACGCCGGCGCAGGTGCGGTCGCGCGCGCACCCGCACGTGCTGCAGGCGCAGCGCTTCGCCATGTCCCTCTGGAACACCGGCAACGACGACCGCCTCGCCACGCGCTTCCCCATCACCTACGCCGACCGCATCCGCATCGAGTCCGTGCTCGACGGCCGCCTGACCGTCAACGGCGCGCCCGCCACCCACGAGGACTCGCTCATTGCTGCTGCGGCGGCGGCGGCGTCGTCGTCCGCCCAGATCGCGCAGGTCGACAACGGCAGCCTCGAGCGCTGGGAGCAGGACGGCTACGGCCGCGGCGGCCTCTACGACGCCATCTTCAAGGGCGACTGGGAGTCCTACGACGCCTGGGACCCCGCCGGCCGCATAAACGCGACCTCGGACCTGTACAATGGCGCGGGCGCGTGCTCGATGATGCGGCTGTTCCAGGGGATCCTCGCCTTGACCGTCGTAGAGCCAGGCATGATCCGCCTACTACCCTCGCCCAAGCTCTCAACCGCGTACTTCCTCCTCCGCCCCTTCTTCGCCTCCAAAACCGGCCCCCCAGCCGCGGGCGCAGAAAGCGAGGCCTGGGACGCGTACCTCGACGCCTCAAACTGGGCGCTCGAAAAGGAGCAATCGACCATAATCCACGGCGCAGTCCCGGGGCACGCCCAGCGCGTGACGGCGGCATGGCACCCGCACCTGCAGCTCGACAAGAGCCTCGTGACGCCGCCGACGCTGCAGGCGGGCGACTACATCATCTGGCACCCGGACCAGGCGTACCAGTTCTCCAACACCAACTACCAGACCAGCAGCCGGCCGCCGACCTCCCCCGAGCCCACAATCTCCATGCTCGTCTACACCCCCGCCGCCCCGCTGACCCAGACCAACGCCCTCTTCCTCGCGCGCCAGCGCAAGGCCTTCCTGCGCGGGCACCCGGGGCCGGACTTCGACTCGACGGGGACCGGCCTCGGCAGCGAGGCGCCGCACACCGGGCGCCTGGGCGAGCAGGACATCCGCGCCGTCGGCGGCGACGAGGGGCTGCAGGCGATGGGGCTCGCGCCGTGGAATCTGAGCGGGAGCGGGGGCGGGGGCCAGAAGTCGAAGCCGAACTCCACCCCTTCTTCTTCTTCTTCTTCTTCTTCCTCTCCTCCATCCTCGTCCTCGACCAAGCAGAAGAAGAAGCTGCTGAAGCGGAAGAGGCCGGAGAAGGACGCAGACACGCCGATGCCCGACGCCCGCCGGGACAGCGCAAGCCAGCAGCACGGACGCTCCCGCAGCCGCTCCCGCAGCCGCAGTCCCGGCACCTCGAGCTCGAGCCGCAGCCGCAGCTGCAGCACGCACGCGGAGGCCGAGGTGGTGCGGCTCGCGAACATCATCCTGTTCCCGGACCGCTACGACTTCTACATGCCGACGCGGGCGAGCAGCCCCGCACCCATGGCTGCTTCGCAGAGGGATGGCAGTCACAATCTAAGCCGCCACAGTCATAGTCACGGTAGCAATAGTAGCAGCAGCAATAACAATAGGGGAGGAGGGGGCGAGAGGGAGAGGGAGAAGGATGGCCGTGATGATCTTTCTCCTGGTACTGCTACCGCTGCTTCTATTACTACTACTACTACTACTCCTACTCCTACTCCTGCTACTAGTAGCAATACCAACGCCCAGAAGAGGAAAGACGCCGGCGCAGATGCAGATCGAGATAAAGAGCGGGATAGAAACCCGTACCCGCCTAGCTACCTACCAAAGTAAATAAGCGAAGATCTGGGTATTTTGGGGGGGGGAGAGAGAGAACAAGGAGAGAGGGGGTGGGGGGGGCGAGAGAGGTAGGGGATAAGAGGAGAAGGGAAGGAGAAGAATGTTCGGGAGAGGGAGGGAAGGGAAGGGTATAGATTCTTCGTAGTAGGTACCTAGGTAGGTAGTCAGACAGCGAAGCCTGCTAGGTGTTACAAGGATGATTCAAGGAAACCGTAGGAAGAAAGAATGGTTGTATACCTACCTACCTACCCACCTGCGCCTAACCTATCTAATACCTCTCACCCACTCCCTCTTCCCCTCCCTCTATATTCCGCAACTACGATGCATCCTTGGAGGGAGAAGTAGATAGATACCTACCTATCAATGACTAGGCCTACGAACCAAGCACATTAAATCACTATGACCGAGTTGGAAGCAAGTTTTTAGAACAACATGAACAAGTATTCAACTAGATTAGTGCCTGCCTAGGTAGACAGCTCGTTATAATCATGATCATCGTTAAATGCCCGTTTGCCTTCCTCTTCTCTCCTCCCCTAGACACATGACCGAGTAGAGAATACTTGACATGCCTGGTACTTTAGTCCCCTCCAATGAAAACCAGTCCGCATAGGTACACTGAGATAAATTTACCTATGGAATAGGTAGCCTTGGAACCGAGTAGTAAACCCAAAAGAAAACCTGCTGCTTGAACCCCCCGCATGCTTAGGAGCCTACCTAGGTAAATAGGTAGGCATGTGAAATACTCACTGAACAAGCCGTTGAATCATTCTTATCTACTTTGCGCTCGCTGTCGCGAAGGCTGCCCCTTCGGCGATCTCCTGCTGCATCGAGGCTATCTCCAGCTCAGACAACGCGCATTGGGCCGCAACGATCTTAAAGCTCTGAAAAGTGTCCTGGTTTCTGCCAAAATTGGCAGGTTTTTCGATACTAACCATGAAACAGGCGACGCTCAGTTCAAGAGCCGATATGCCGTCTAAGCCGTCAGGGCTGTTAGGCATATTGCTTGGCACCTTAGCATTCTCATGCTCGTCGTAGTCGCTATCATCGTCATCCTCGTCCTCTTGCGGCTCTATCTTCTTCTTTCGAATCAAGCCTCCAGCCCATCTGGCGATGCGATCATAGTCGTCTTTGAGACGGATTGAATTATCTCGTTGTCGTCGGGTTAAGGAGCCAGTCTTGTTAAAAATGCTTCCTGTGAAGACCTCAAGCTCGCTTAGGCCCTTGGTCGAATTGTCCGAGAAGTCCATTGCCACGCTCCAAACTTCTTCGTCGTACCTATTGTTATTAAGTAAGCGAACACGAGTTAGGATGTAAAGAATTTCAAGTATGTCGTAATACTTACGCCATTCGAATACGACAAGCCTCGTCCAGTGCAGGTCGCCCAGGTGACCAATTCACGCCCCGCAGTTTCTGGCACTGCTTCGAAATATGCATCTCTAATTGTTTCCACACTGAGGGGCCGTGGCGACTGAAAGACTGGTGAATGTCCTTTTTCCAAATCTTATTCTCATCAATAGCTCGATAGAGCTTGCCAAGAACCTTTTCAGACTTGTAGAATTTGTAACGTGGACCCCTCTCATCATCCTCATCTTCGACCAAAGCTTTCTTCGTATTCTCAAACTTGACTTCTGTTCGATCAACAATATGCGCCGGGGGCGCCGGTGCTAGGCTTTCACATAATACAGGTTAGACTATTTATCGGATCACCAGTAAACTGATTGCTTCTTATGTGACATGGGATGAGCAGGTAGGTAAAGAAGAAAAAAAGAAAAAGAAAGCCAGTCAAAGATTGGCAGCTCACTCACAAGTCTGGACGGTATCGTGTTGCAGTTAGTTTTCTGAGTTTGTTGGTATCGATCGGTATGCCTGTTTTGCTGTAATCTACACCGGTGGAATGCAGCTCTGCCAGTATCTTACACTCCTTATCCACAGTGCCAGCGTCCATCATATCCGAAAGGATCAGGTGCTTGGTGGCGATCACCCCCAATCTACGACACAAAGTTAGTGGCACTCCAACAACTCCGAATTTTGTGATCGAAGATATAAAGTATCAATCAATAATAACATGACGGAGGCTAAGTTTGAGGTTAGAGGAATCAGTTCTTCTCGAACTTGCTATGATGATGCTCATCTTTCGTTTTCATGTGAAGAATCTGGTTTCGTCGAAATAGAGCTGTATTATCAATGACACATAGTTGGCAAAGCGTGCCTTATGGAATAAAAATAAAAATGAGCTTACTGGTCAGTGGCCATAAAATCAACAAAGAAGTTTGTCATATCTTCCTCGTTCACCTGTCGGCCAATGTCCAAGGGGTTAACTCGAGGATAGTCAGCCGGTTCAAATTCACGTGTCGACGATGCAACTGCATATTCATCCCAGATAATGTTGTATATATCCCCGTCTAGATCACCGCCACTGAGTTGGCTAGGTAAGTCTCTCTGCCCCTTCTGGCTGAACACAACACAGTTAGAGAGTGAACGGAGTGGGTGCCAATACGGGGGAAGCACCGCTGTTCGCAGTTGAATATCGCCGGGATGGAGGGCAGGAGACCTAGTAACCAAGACGTTTTTATTATGAAGCTCTCTTTCACTTCTCGAGTGCCTGTCCTTTTTATCGAACGTGACATAGATTTCGTCCTCCTCCAAAAAGCCGAACTCGTCCATGATGCCGAACAACGTAACGCCCTTCTCTACTGGAATCCGGGCCTTATGCTTGAGAAGACGCACTTTTTCGAGAACAACAGTTTCGACAATGGAACACAGAAATCGATCGTTCCTGTAATCGATTTTCAGTTTATGAAGCCGGCGAATGAACTTGGAGAAATTGATTGGCTCTGCAATTTTCTGCCTCTTGAGGAACACTATTGTGTTCTGAACATAGGCTGTGATCATACGCAGCCTATCGAGCTCGCCGTTCTGCATTTGGAAGAACCAATCTTCCGCAACGTTCATATCCTCTAATATCTTGATCATTTGACGATTGAGAACAAGAGGGATGGGCTTGTTCCCCGTGTCGCATATTTCTAGGTTCGTAATATCTTTACTTTCGAACTTGACCATGCTCTCATTTCGAATCCGCATCACCATCCCCTCAAGAGTGTCGTCTAAAGCAAGCATTCCTTTAGCACCGCCCCACCTGATTTGGAAGCATGTACTGTTGTTTCGCGTCTGGGATAGAGACGCTTGAATCGCTTCCATTAGTGACCTAGACAACGTCCCAACGCCATCACTAAAAACTCGATTTCCATCTGCCGACTTCACATCCGGAATAAATTCAACTTTGACTCCAAGATCCTCGAGGTTGACCGAGAATGGGGTTTCTGAGAAGGCCTGGCCGATCCGCGCAGCACATCTAGGGGGCGAGAAGATCTTGTCGAATGTTCCTAGTTGACCAATTACGGATTTATAAGTTTGAAGTTTCCAATTATGGTCAACAAATGGAGCCATGAACCATACGCCATGTGCTCTAAGGGAAGAGTGTGAAAATCCCAGAAACTTGTATTCGCGGCCGGCGATGTGGATGCCACGCAGGAGTACACGTTTGAATCGTTTCCAGACCTCATCCAGGGATACCTTAGCATTGAAGAACACATCCTGGCCATCCTCTTCGCAAAATTGTACACGTGCAAAGTAGCCAGTGTGGTTGGGAAATTTTCGGAGTATTCGATTTTTGGCCTCAGGCTCTGGTCCAAGAAGAGAAATTCGAGTGGGAGTCACTTGTACCTTATAGACCATTTCGAGATTTTGCCGTGCTCTTTCGGATACCAACTCTTTCCTGAGACCTTCACGAACCTCTTTCTCATTTTCTTGGAGATATATCCAAAGGTGTTCTGGGTCAAACAGGCTTGCCTCAATTTCAGGGCCAGGAAAGTCTAATTGAAAGAATAGCTTTTTGACAGCCCTTGCAGAAATGGGACACGGGGGTTTGGACCCCTTTCTCGTATCCGCTGTAGAGGATGTTCGTACCGCCCGGCGGAGGCGTTCGACTAAGGCTTGAACGGTCCGAGGTAGAAGATAGCCATTCTGCATAAGGGCTTGGAATTGGAAAAGAACGTCAAAGGGTATATCGCCTTGTGTGGTACAGTCATCGAGGAGTCTTTGCGTGGAAATCATCTCGGAAACCATGTCGCTTCTGCTATATTGACCGGTATATGGAAATTGATAGAACACAAAGGCGAGTTGTTCTTTCGCCTTCTTCAGTTTCTCGAACCGGGAATGGAAGTCAGATGGCGATACTCTAGCACAATAGATGAGAGACTGCCCCAAAATATCTGCGTGGTTCTCACCACGGCCACGCGGGAGTTTGTCTAGTCGGGTCCTGGGCGGAATGTTAGACCTCGGAGCCATGTCTAGCTGACCAATTAGAGAAACGAGACTTGGATCCGTGAGATCATTGGTAGTATCAAAGAACCGCGGTACTTCCCAAAGCGTAAAGGTAAATGATGTAGCTCGTTTATCGACAATCACCTCGTGGACAGTACGATACGGTATTTCTACACGGACGTGCGATTGTAATGTGATAATAAGTTCATACCTCCCAAATTTGGCCAGGCCTTTATTGTCCCACCCAACGTCTTCAGCAAAGCCCAATCTACCGTCTGGGTATTCGTAATGACCACACGAAAGACCGAGCAATTCGAAGGTGGTAGACACATCTCTCGTCAGTGGCTGTTCATCCTCATCTTGCTCCCTTTTCGCCTCCATAATTTCCTCTACTGCTTTTTTCAAGGCTCTGAGAGCAAATGTATCCAAGGCGTGTTTGCTTTTGCTGCAAAATATAGGATTTCCTAGGATATGTAGGCGAGCTATTGTTCGAGACCTCCCAGGTAAAGTAGCTTCACCATAATGTTGAAGGAATAGTTCGCCGTGGGATCGGTAGAGAAAAAGGACGGTCCCGAACTTCTTCCCACGTGTTTTCTGACAAGTCCACTCTATGACTTTCAAGTTATCGGTGATGAAGGGAGTCAACTGTGTTCGCAAGCCCTCGTCCGAAAGACCAGGTTTGAGGTTTCTCATGAACACCTCCAAGCCCTCCATGTTGGGTGTAGGTAGAGAATTCCTAATAAGACCAGGGATGATGGTAAAGACCTAGGTACCAAGTATGGGAAAGGCGTTTGAGTCAGTTGAGGAGAGGGGAATTAGACGGGTTGGAGAACAAGGCTTCATATATGGCTTATCTGTTGACATTGGAATGCTGCAGGAGCCCAATTACTTTCTTTGCTCAGGCGGGACTTGCGTCTCGGTTGTAATGATCACACTACAAAGTCCTAGACACCCTGCATGATACAGATATGTCCATCAATGTACACGAGAAAGTTAGGGAGTGAAATGATGAATTGTCGTTCCAGGTCCCTATCCTACACGGGTGTTTTTAGATAGGATTGGGTAAAAGAAGGAGACTCTTTGTGGTACTTTGGGAAGAGGGGTTTCAATCACGAGCTTTTTCGATGTTGCACACATGTAGATATATGTAGGTATCCCAAGTAAGTAGGTAGGTAGGCAGGCTGAGTCGAGAAAGCAACATTGAAGTCAGTTGACAGTAGGTGCCTACATGTAGAGAGGGTACATGTAGCTTTGGAATTTCAAGGTTCAATGTTTTGGTTGGTTTTTCTTTTTTGTAGTTCGAGCACTTGGTGTATGGTGTGTAACACAGAGTGCGGGCGCCTATAGTATCCAATGTTTCCATGCAGCTCTAGCCTCCAGGGCCTATGTACCTATTGCATGTAGTATGTACAATACAATACAATACTACTAGCAAGTACCCTACCCTAGGTTAGGTACATGTACAATACCTACATATGTACATAGGTAGTAACCATTTTCAATCTCTGAATCTCATTCATTATTCAAGTTACATGTATCAATTTCCTCATGTTTATTTCCAATTCTTTGGGGGTTACTAGCAACAACATTCAATCTACTTCGCTTAACCTCTTCCTTTCGAAATACCTCAAAGGGGGAAACCTGTTTGCTCATGCACCTAAAGACGGGAAAACTTATTCTTCCCTCAATTTAATACCTACATGTAGGCGATAGTAATCATGTTGTGTCAGGTAAAGAGAGAATCTTTTTCAAATAAGTCCACATGCCTCTCCCTAACTTACCCCCTCCTACAAGGCTTATATGCTGAAGCTTCAAGTACAGCCAGCTAACCTCCTTCATAACTGACCGGGATAAAGTGGACAGAGGGAGAAACGTCCGATAATACCATTGATGTAGAGATAAAGACGATACAGAGAGGAACTCTAAGAATGAGGTTCGTAGTCACAGTTCATCGTATTTCTTCTACCCAACCAGCTCACGGCCAACTGGATGGTAGTGAATCAGAAATCCCGGCATAACACAGACCTCAACAGCTGTTCGCAGTCATAAAACTCCATAATACCTACCAGCAAGAAGAGCAATAGCCATTGTCGAAATAGTAGAAAATCATGTAATGCGATTGGTTTAATGACTAGCTCGAATCGACTTTTATCCACTTGTGAAAAGTTTGGGTCCTTTCCAGTGATTGAACTTTGCTAAACACGTCTGTCTGGATATCACGGTTAGGTCATCACTGTAGTCTTCTGATGCAAATTGCAAAGGAAGGCAGCAACTTCACAAACGACAGATTAACTAAATGACTAACAGCAAATAGAATTTATGGCCACTGCGACCGCGATCATCTCGTCTATACGTGACTATCGATTCCAGTGCCTCAGGATAGGATTCATTAGCTACCTAGGTTAGGTTAGTACCTAGTATACAGTACCAAGGTACATGTTTGCTTCAACTCATCATTGCTGTCACTCGCCCATCTGTGCTTCAACTGTCCTTTCTTTTTTCTCCTTCAAAAACTTCCACGATATCCATTTTTTAAACCCCTGGGCATACCCATAAACTAACAACATCTATAGCTAAATCCATTACTGAGATATCTTCTATTCTATTTAGTCATCTATTTGAAAACCTAGGTACCAAATCATTCATTACCCAACCAACCGCGCAAGCTCCCGCAACAGCGCGCGCAATCCGAAGAAGAGTGCCATGGCATCGACATAGTCAAGATGGCATTTTCAAGACGTTTGAGCGGCAAGTTCCTCCTCGGCATCCTTTACGTCGCTGTCTTCCTCGTCGCCTCGCAGCGCTTGGCGGAATGGTCGCGCCACAACTCCTCTCTCAGGGTGCCGTCTCTCCGGCATCCTTTCCCTTCTAATCAAGCCAACTCCTCGTCACCCGGCAGTGTCGCTGGTCGAGTGAGTTCCGATGGATCGTGCGCCTCCTTTCCAGATACCTCCAACATACTGGCCGTCGTCAAGACTGGCGCCAGCGAGTCCTACGCCAGAATCCCCACCCAGATATTCACGGTGCTCGGATGCCTCCAGGACTTCCTCATCTTCTCCGACATGGAGCAGAGCCTAGCCGGATATCATGTCCGCGACAGCTTAGACACCGTGCTCGATGAGGCAAAGGACGGGAATCCAGAATTTGATATATATCGTCGACAAAAGAGCTGTGTTGTTGATCAGCAGAGTTGCAGCAAGTTTGTTAGTTCTGGAAAGGGGAGGTCCAACGAGGGTTGGGAGTTGGATAAATATAAGAACATTCACATTGTCGAGAAAGTTTATCAGCTGCGCCCTGACTATGATTGGTACTTGTTCATCGACGCTGACACATATGTCCTGTGGCATAACCTCGTTGAATGGCTGAAAATGCTGGAGGATCCTACCAACAAAAAGCACTATATCGGCAGTGAGGCTCTCTACAGAGATTTCCCCTTCGCTCATGGGGGAAGTGGATACCTCCTATCGCAGGCAACGATACAGGATTTTGCCGGAAACCACTCCGGCATTGCCAACCAGTATGATACGAAAGCCAAGGGTGTTTGTTGCGGTGACTACCTCTTAAGCCTTGCTTTGAACGAAACGATTGGTGTCGGAGTTTCTGATGCTGTAAGTTTTATCTAACACATATGTGCCATCTCAAATTGCCGTATCACCTGTGATTCCTCTTTCCAGCTGTGATACGGAAGCAAGGCTGATTCCTCTGTTAATTAATTAGCGGCCCACCATTAACGGCGAGAAGCCCTACACCATCCCATACGGGCCGGGCGAGTGGTGCCACCCCCTCGTCACCATGCACCACATGGATTCGGAAGAAATATCCTTGTTCTAGGAGTTCGAGAAGCATTTCTACGCGTCCACGGATGTGTCTCGGCGGCCCGTGCTACGATTCCTAGACATCTACCACGAATTCGTTGCGCCGAAACTGGCACCGCGACGGGACGACTGGGATAACCTGAGCCAAGACGTGCTCTACCTCGACCCAGCCAAGAAGCAGCAGCAGCACTACCCGTCGTGGCAAGAGGCCAGGGCCAAGAAGACGAACAACAACATCCAAGTATCTGCCGTCGAAAAGAACGCCCACCGTTCGTTCGAGGACTGTGCTCGCTTATGCGACGCTACTAATGATTGCTTCCAGTTCTCGTACCACGACGGGGCGTGTGCGTACCACAGATCCTTCAGGCTCGGCAAACCGGCTAAAAAGTCGGATAGGGGCGAGCAGCAGTGGACGAGTGGGTGGAACGTCGAGCGCATCCGCGCTTGGATTGGGGAGCAGAAGCCTTGTGGGGAGCCGGCTTGGCCATTGGCGAAGTCAGCGTAGTGATATCCTCACGATATGTGGGTTAGGTGGATAGATGGATGGAATGTGCAGTTTCAACGTCTATGGCTACTAGGTATATAAAGGGTAGATGAATGGAACGATTGCACTAGTGACGCTGTGCCTAGAGCAGGTGGTGAAGATGTCTTCTAGGTAATTGCCATTCGTAGATTATGGGAAGTAACTAACTAACTACCTAAGGTAGCAAATACACTACTAGGTATCCCTTCGAAGTTCGAGTCGTGAATATTCCCCCCCCCCCTTTCATCCTACCTACCTAGTCATCCCCCGTCTTTAACCCCTACCTATCATCGCATCAGGGGTCCCCTACGACATACATGCCGCAGCAGGGAAAAGGAAGGGAAGGGATGGATCTACATAGGTAACCTTGGAAGATCTCCACATGCGGCTTAAAGGATAGTTATTTCTACGTTAGGTACCTAGGTTAAATTACATACATAGTAGGGTCCAGGGTCCTCCTACTACTAGTCGTGGATCCTTGCTTTCGTATACGGTAGGTAGGTAGGTAGGTAGGTAGGTAGGCAACAACCTATCTTGCTCAGCTGCAATCCGGGACGTGCATTGTTCGATTTAGGTACCTAGTTCAATTTATTTCTTAGATATGCAGTGCTAGGCATGTGAGGTACCTACCTAGGGGTATAGTATACTAACCTAGGTAGCCTAGAGATATATAGGTAGGTACTCATCACCGCTGCTCCCATAGGTAGGTACACATAAATCCCACCCGTTACCCCTATCCTATCCGATCCATTCCGTAACCCCCTGGCTCTAGTCCGTAGCCCACGACCCAAATGTTACACGCTACACGCTCTACGTAAATCTAATAAATACCTGTCCTGGCACATACTAAGGCACCGAGGTAGGGAGGTATCTAAGCACTGGATAGGTATCATAATCCAAGACATGGCATGGATGGAAAGTAGGCAGGTAGATAATAGATTCAGTCGATATGGTCGGTATGACAACCACCGTCTTTGACCTAACCTCTGACCTCTCCTTACTGTATTCCCTTATTCCCTTCCGTACCTTGGTAGGTAGTTTCATATCTCATTTTCCCACGAGATATCCCCTTCCCCATCATGCATCACTGCAATGACTGAGCCCCTGGCTAGATCGATTCCTATCCATTCAGTGACCCCCCCTATCCTCCACTCTGACCTTCTGGCAGCGTTCTTGGTTTCTCATCCCATGATCCTATGATTCATTCGTATACCCCTTAAGTAGGCAGTAAAGCCCCCCCCAGAAAGCAGACCAAAGCAGAGTAGGCATCTTCAACCTTCAATGTAGAAACCCACCCAAACAACATCAGCAAAGACAACACCCAAAGTCCCACGAGGGAATAAAAAACAATCTAACTACCCCAGCCCCTAGCACGCCTTCAAAAGCGCATACCTAGGCAGGTACGTAAAACATCATTGAAGTAAAAAGGATCGTGGTAGTGGTATCTGAAAAGCCAAAGATCAAAAGCAAAAGCAAAAGAGAAAAATGGTTCCCAATGAAATGATAAAACCCGTCGCTTTCGCTTCGCTTTTTCTCGCTTGTTGATGTTGATAAACGTATAATCGTATAAAATGCCGGATGATCCTCGTTTTTTCTTTCCATTTTTTTCGTTGAAATCCTTGTATGCATACCTCTCCCCTCCACCTGTCTCCTAATAACGTATAGTGTAATAAATACCTAATAAGACATGAAAACGTTATAGCAGGCTTAACCCAGCCTAGGGAAGTAGTGTAGGCGATTGCGGACATAGTAGCAAACTAACCTAATGGGTATCCAAGCGACATATCGGCAAGTCGGACAGGTCTGCATGCATGTATGCCACTCATCGTACGTTCGTGAATTTTCGTATTCCCCGTTTTATACCCCCCATCTCCCCCGAGGAGTTAACTTGATATACATCACCACTACCCAGTTTAAACGGTGAACCATACCAATTTCTGTCTACTAGAGCATTTATCTAAACTGGTAGATAGACAGACAGATAGATAGAAAACAACAAGTCCCAAACCTCAAGACATCCCCGAGTCGCCCGGGAACAACCACGTGCTATCCCCAGGAAAGTAATCCCCAAACCAGCTGAGCATTTCGGTGCTCTCAAAGCTGGTAAGGTGTTGTCCGATGTCCGTCTCGTTGTCATACGTCAGCAGGTGCAAGTTTGACGCCCCACCTGGCCCTAGGTACGAGTATCCGCTGGATGCGAGGCCACTACCACTCTGTGCGAAATTGGACGGGCCTCCGTCACCCGATGCAATCTGACTCTGCGCGCTGCTGCTAGATGGCGAGTCGTGCGTCGGGTACGAGCTAGACCCTGATGGCTGCTCGTAATTGGACTGCTGCGATGACGGCGTGTAGGAGGTAGGTGCTGTGCTAAGAGGGACTTGAGTTCCGGTAGACGTTTTAGTTGGGTCGTCTTGTGCTAGACTTTCATAACGTAAATAGGAAGATTTGCCCTGGGTGCCTGAGCCACCCCCTGACACGCGCCGAGGACGATTTATTGAATGACGTAGAGCGGAGGTATTGGGTTGAGGGTATGCGGAATGGTAGATGGATGCGGTAGTCTCGGGGAGGCTCTGGCGTATGGGATCATATATCATATTTCCAGGAGGCGTAGGTGCTGATGTGGGGGCAACGTGTGACGTTGCCGCTGACGTCGAGACTTGCGAGGGCATGACGCCGTGGTTTACGGGATTCTGAAAGAGAAGAGTAAGACTCGAATTTGGCGAATTGGTGGTTCCAGTCAGTGACCATGCCAGAGGAGGGCCGTTGTCGGGGATCGGAGACGCAGGATAGTCAACTTGTTTTGCAAATCTGGCAATAACACTTTGCTGGCGGTATCGTCGAGCGCTCTCGTACTCTTCGTTCGTGTATGTCTCACAGTCCCACTGTCCATCTAGTTTCTGGTCCAAGGCGGTTAGTATGTATCGAACGCCTCCCCAATAAGCATGCATCTGCTTTAAAGCCTTATAACACGCTTGGTAATTCTGATTAGCAGCGGAGGCTAAGAGTAAATGTCGAGAGGATGGGCCTAAGTCGACTATAGCTGAGCCACCCCTATTATTCCCCTGACCCCTAAGTTCAGGTGGAGGGGTTGTATCTCTCGAAGGTGGTTGCGACGAACTAGTTCTGGACTCCTTAAGGAATGCACAGGCCGCGATATATATAGGCTGTGAGGTGAATGGATTCCCTATAAAACATTTCGGATCGACTAATTCAGCAAACGCAAGAATGTCGGCTATCGTCTTCGCGCTGGACATGGATAACTCTCGACTATGTGTTTTCAGTTGGTGCGCCCGACTAATGGTGCCTTCTTTCGTTAAGAGCGTCGGCTGATGCAGAACGATGATCAAGGCGTGAAACCAGAAGTGCAGTAAGATGAATGTTGTGCCCTGGCCATTCTTGACGTGGGCCTGGAAGTTATTAGCATCGAATCGAAGTCGCGGATCTGTCCTCTGATGAAGCCTCGTAAGTTCATTCTCCATCTGCACAAGCTTATTCAACTTGTCCTGTGTGAGATCCTGAGCATGTGCGATGTTATTCAACACATCGGAGACTCGACCGTAAAGATGAATGATTTGCAAGAGAGATGCCAATGGGTTAGGCCAACCGGTCATCGGGTCGATAGAGGCTCTGGGAAGCTCTAACTCGAAATCGTCATCTTTAAGAGTGACTGGCCGACCAGTCCCGGAAGATATGGCCCGATCTAAGAAGAAAACAGCCCAGAAGGTATCGATACGCTCTTGTTCAACTTCCTTTTGCTCTTCTGGGCTTAGAGAGCTTCTGTCCACCCCGGAATGATTCTGTTGGAAACCCTGTGGGGTGAAGTCGTCGCTTTCCTTCCTATTATAGCCACGTAAATACCAAGGATCCCTCTCGCCCTGGTATCGCACCCCGTCTTCCTTGGTCAAACCCAAGTCTATTGCCATACGAAGCGCTATCCCGAGGTACATCCATAATGCGCTGTCCTGGTCGGCACCGAAACCATCGTATGCCATCAATAGGCATGCTTGAACAGCAGCGACTGATGGGCACGGGAAAGTGTCCACCGTCGCTGATTTGGCTCGCTGCGCGTAGATGTAGCCATATTCAGACTTCACCAGTTTACCTTCGTTCCATTTCCGGAATATAGGGTGATCAGAGAAGCGGGCTGATAAGGCGCACACAGCATCCACTAATATCGGTTCGACTCGCTTTTCTTGGACCAGCTTGGGGAACTTGTCACGCCGCAAAAAGGGGTAGTTACTGCCGAGATGTACGAAGAAGGTGTCGACAAGGTGGATGATTAAGGGATGAACGTCGTTTGTGTCGGTCGGATCGTAGACGGGCATATCCTCAAGATGGCCGAGCTCAAGGTCAGGTTGCATGGTGTTCATAAGACCGGAGAATATGGAACTTGCACCGCTAGGCGAAGTAGCTGATATAGAACTTCGTCTGCGATCCCGGACTTTGACCACCATCTGTTTAAACCCAGGCACTATAGCGGTAGGCCCAAAATAGCGAAAATAGGGGACTCGATGACTCTCATTATGGTATTGTATAGGCGAATGCCCCGTATCGCTATGGCCGCCGTCGGTCGAAAATGACTGATTTCGCGGGTTGTTGGGTCGTCGCAGAGGTTCGGGGCGAGGCGTCGGTTGCGAGGCGGGCTCTTCCCAGTCTACAGTTTCCGATTTTAAATGTACATCAGGTTTTATACGATCCTGGGTCGATTCGGACATGCGACCGGGTTTGGAAGAAGACTCCTCCGGGACTTCAAATGGCCGAATCCCATTTTTGCTCGTGCCATTGTTGCTTTTCCACCGCTTGCGATCAACCTCGGGTTCTTCGTCTAAATATTCATCATCGTCGGCGTCGAAATTACTACCGTCTGTTCCACGATCAGGCTCTTTCTTGTTACCCTTCTCGATACTATCTGTATATCCGAGACAAACGTGTCCGTTCTTGGTGCATGTCGAGCAAGTGGGATGTTCGCCAGCACATCTCGTTTTTCGTCTACGGCAAGTAAGGCATCTAGAGATGAAAAAAGAAGCCAGTATCAGCTGAGACGTTCGCGATGTCGCACCCTCTTGAAGTTGGGACTGAACTGGTAGGCCTGCGGGATTCCCGTGAGGATTGCGACAAGACAGGAAAGAAAAACAACGACGAAGAAAAAAAAAGAAAAGAGTCGTCAATTACCCCAAGGTGAAATCACGGTTCAGAGCCAGCCAACAGGATCCCCCTTTCGCACTGGACAAAGGGAATTTAACGATACTTACGCAGCGTTTATTCTTCTCCTCTTAGTCGGCGGTTGACCTTGGTTATTAACGAAACGGATCTGCTTCGGGGTCGGCAACGGGTCCGGGCCGTTACTATTGATGAGAGTTACCATATTTGGATGTTCGGTCGCTAAGGACAATCCCCCAATGCCAAACGAAGGCCCTTAAACCTTAACGTCAACGTCAACGTCAATGTCAATGTCAAGTTTTGGTTTAGAGGGTTTCGTTGCTGGGAAAGCGAGAAAGTCTATTGTGTCGCGGACGATCCGATGCTTGAGCCAATAATCTATGTCCCCATAGACCATGCGACCATTCCAAATTGCTCTTTACTTTTTAGTGGATTCAATGACACAGACACGCAAACACGCGGACGCAAAACAGTGGTGGGGTTTGCTTTCAATGGACCATTCTAGGCGTCACCGTACGAGGGAGCAGAGCCGCTAGTAAAGGGCTTAAGGGTTTTGGTAGACGTGGTAGAGTGGTAGAGTGGTAGAGTGGTAGACGTTGGTAGACGTTAGAAATTCGGGTAAGTTGCGGATTATAGGAGTCGTACAAAGGGATCACGACGATCACAAGCGCAGTGGCGATAAATGGGCGAACGAAAATAAATCGAATTAAGTTGTTTCTGCTAATTTTTCAATGTTGATGTTGTGGTAGCATTGGTGACTATTGAAAATTGTTAAATTCGTCGGATGTCTTAGTCTTGTTGAATAATAAGACAGAGGACAGTTGTGTGTAGGTATGTATATGTAGGATCATGCTAAGGTTGAAGGAAAGTAATAGCAGGTGTAATAGGTAAGCTAGCACGTAAGGTTAGTTGGTATTGACCTACCAGGCTACCTAGAGTGGTATATAAAGGGTGATAGACTGATAGTAGCTCAGCTCAGCCAAATACAACAGGGATGGACGTGCGCACGTTGAATATCACTTCCTACCCCAGGCGGTCCCCAGGTAGTATTAGGTTATAGTAGGCTAAGTATAGATAGACCGAGGGGGTTTCGAATGATTCTTCTGATGACCCCAAATCTCTGGATTTCTCTTAAAAGCTGAACGGCAACAACGGTCTTGATGAAGTCATTGTCTTCCATAAAAATATAACCAAGGTCGGTGTGCGATGATGTACAGCAGCTAAGTGCAAGACTGCGCGTGTGTAGCCGGGGGGCGCCGGAAATAATCCAAATTGCAGGCTGGGCCAGAGTCCTTGGAAGGGTACGTATAGTAGAGCCTGGCGACAACGTAGTACGTATGAATGTAGTAGGTACCCAGTTAATACTTTAGATGCAATGATAGGTCATAAAGTATGTAGTAGATCTGATCAATTGATATTGGAAGTGAAATGGGTATTGTCCATATGTATAGTTATCTAGCTGCGAGATATATGTAGGATATCGATAGGTAACATTGAAGTCCTTGACAAGGAATGTCACGATACTCAGTTGTTGCGTGTTATTGCAGGTCTAGAATAAACTAAATCAAAACTACCTAGGCAAGGTAGGGATCACCATGGAGAAGCCGTGAAGACCACCTGGGGCAGCTTAGAACCAACATGGCGGATTATTAGGGTAGCTAAGGCTTACATAAGTATGAGAGAACACTTGAGACTCTGGAGTAATTTTAAGATGACGAGTTGTGGGAAAGGAAGCGTGACAATTGCGAATTAGTCTATCAGGGGTTATTGACCAGGATTAACTTGCAAGTATATGTGGGACCGCGGGGTTTTGACAGGCTAGATGTGCATGATATGGTCCGTGAGAAGGGGATACTGCATCTTTGTACTCAAGTACTTGTAAGTACTAGGTAATACATGTATTCAATCATTTTCAATGTTGAATGTTCGGTATTGTACATGATGTACCTAGTAGTTACCTGCATAGGTACATATACCTACACTAGAGCACTGGAGAGATTTATTAAATTGCATCTATAAATGTCAATTCTTACACAATGTTGTTCAAAACCTGGAGGCGTTCTCAACGGCTCGGCACCACCTCCTTATGTTGTATTAGTTACCCGAATCATCTGTCTTCTAAATCTGATTCGCACAGATTTCATTCAGCTTCATGGGTATACCCAGTGCCAGCACCTAACCTAGGACATTTCCAACAAAACGATTTGTGATAGCATTAGTAATGAAGGATGCATACTACTAGTAGTACCTACTATAACAAGAAGACGGTCAGAAAAAGCCGCCCCCAAAAAGCAGACATAAGGACATAGATCGGCTAAGTACCAGCAAATGGCCAACTTGGAATACCCTCTTTACATCAACTCTCATGTATGAGATATATGTATTACTATACTAATTAGATAAAAGATTGGACAAGTCCTTTCCGCCCTGCCACCAACAACAAGCAGAACATCGATAGCTATCCTTATATAAAAAATAGCCAACCGATCACGCAGCTCCGTACGCACTTCACCCATCACGCCTAATGCCGTACTGTACTGTCCTGTCCTAGGTAGGTAGGCACTATCAAATCAAAGGCGTTGCGTACACGTCGCCCGCCACTCGTTCCGATGCGCTTTGTGCAGTTTGCTTTCCAATGGTTGGGTGACATTGAAGGCACCCGGATATAATTCCGTGTCTACCTGAGGGATACTACAGCGTTTCTTTTTGTGCCTACCTACCAGCCTACCTACCTACTACACTATGTAGGCACCTAGGTTTAGGTATTTAGTTATAGTGATTTTGTTTTTTTTCTCTCTCTTTCTCCTTTTCCATCCATACATCACCGACCCTACCGGCTGGAACGCTGACCTCCTCTTCCCCCCTCCGATTGATTTGACGCATAAGCACACACCCAACCCCCTCCCTCTTTTTCTCCCCCTTCCCCCATTTCAATTCATCACACGGCAGATCGGTAGAGGCCTTGGGAGCCATATAGTAGAGCATATAGCATAGCATCGCATATTTGCCCAGGTGGTTTTAATCATTTCGGAATTTTCCACCCACAAATCGAATACGATCATGGATGACTATGAGCTAGGTAGCGACCATTGGCCAACCACTTCGGCAGGAATATTTAGCGCCATGGCAGAAGAGCTCTCCTTCTCCAGACTCTCTTATGCTACATAGGTACACACACGTATTATTGGATTGTGCAAAGTACAACATTTTGCGAGACGGTCAACAGTACACGGAGTAGAGTCCGCAAAGTAACCTTGGAGGTTAAAGGGGTTCGGCACGTCTTTCGTCTGCCCCCCTGAATGTGACAAATACTTCTGAGTTAGATATATAGTTCAAGCACAAAAGGGCAGCATAACCTGCTCTTAGGTTATGTAGTAATATTCTTTTTTGTTTTTACTTTTTTTCATTCTTCATTGCATCTTCCAAATGGGCGAGGCCCATGTAGAGAGAATAGCCTAAAAATGCCGTAGCATACCTAAGGTGTTGGTGGTGATTTATTCATTGTAAGCCCCCCCTCCCGCCCGCATCCAAACCCCGTCCAAAGCCCAAAAAGAAAAACGTCTTTTTACAGAGGCCGGTACTATATATCCGCACCGTTCTAAAGAACATGGGAGTTTTCAGAACATCCATCTCCCTCTCTCTCTCAATCTCTGTCCCTCTGTTGCGCGCGCATACATGCGCTCCCGACCAGTTCCGGTTAACGATCCCGTAGGATTTCTGCCTTGCATCTCCAACCAACGGGCTTTATTTCATTTCTCTTAGTAGGTAGTTACCCAAATGAGATACTCCCACATCCGTGCAAAAACATGGTAGGTTACTACCTCCCCCCCCCCCTAGTAAGAGTGGTTGATGGGCAAAGGTGCCCAGGTGAGAATATCCCTCATCTTCTCCGATGGCTTGCTAGCAAATACTCGGCCCACCGGAGACCACCGGAACCATTTGTACTGCATCGGGCCATTCTCCGGCTATTCGTGATGGTATAACAGTATCATGATCGGAAAGGCGGCAGGAATTCTACCTCCTCGTAGTAAAGTCGTCATAAGTATAGGTAAGGCAATACTCGGCGTGATGATGCCATCGCCATCACGATCCTCAACAGCGTCAATGCCTCCAGGGCCAGGCACTCCTTGTCCTAACCAAAAACAATGCTCACGCCCATCTCGGCACTGACCTTCCTCCACAGATCCCCGTGATCCGCCGCCGGCGCCTCCTCGCCCATGCCGTCAAGCCTGTTCCAGACCTCCTGGATGATGCTCCACGCCTGGCCAATATTCGTCATCCCCTGCCTCTGATCGATGCCCGCGAACGCTCTTCTCGCGAGCCCCCTGTCCTCGTCGCTGACGGCCTCGCACGCAGCGACGAACAGCGGCCACAGCAGCGCGCCCATGGGCCCCTTGTGCGCGACGGTCTCGGCGCAGTGGACGAGCGCGGCGTGCGCGTGCGCCTGCACGCCCGCGCGCCGCGGCGCCTGCCCGTAGATCGTCCGGTACAGGTAGACGAACGCGCTGTGGCGGTACGCCAGCGCGTTGTGCAGGATCGACTGCAGCTGCTCGGGGACCTCCTCCCCCCCCTCCTCCTCCTCGCCCCCCCTCCCCCTCCCCCTCCGCAGCTTCAGCATCCCTTCCTCAATCACGATCCCCGGCGGCAGGCACGGCTCCCACTGCGTCAGCGCCGTCTCGATCGCCTGCGACGTCGTCTCGAACTCCATGCGCAGGACGGCGCTCTTCGAGGTCTGGTTGGCGCGGGACGCGCGCTCGATGTCGTCGCGCAGCGAGAGCAGGTTCGACAGGCGGTGCATGAGCGGCCAGAGGGTCGTGGCCATCCCGAGGAGGGTGTCGACGTTGCTCATGGGCGAGGCGGTGGACGCGTCCAGGGGGGGGAAGGGGAGCAGGCAGCCGGCGGCGGGGGCGGTGGAGAGGGGGGCGGAGCCGAGGGATAGGGCGGTGATTACGTCGTAGAAGCGGAAGGCCTGTGTTTTTTTCGTTAGTAAGTACTAGTTGCTGAAGTAGTAAGTATCTAGGTAGTAAATATAGGTATACATACGCGTTCTAAAAAGAGACTGGCGGGGGTGGATTGTGTCTGGGAGGACGACATGATGGTTAGAGCCCCTTTAAGATGTCCATCCACTATATTCGATCGGCCCCGTTGGACAAGCTGAAGGGGGAGAAAGCAAAGTTAGAGAGGACCTCAGCCATTATAAAACTCCACCACTTTTAATAGGTACTCACTACTTCGTAATACACCAGTAGCATGATCGCAGCCAGAAGCTCGATCTTGTCAACCTTGTCATCTTTCTCGATTAGCCTGGCCAAGCCCTGTATCGCCTTATTGTGGAAATACAGCGACTTCTCGGACGTCTCGACGCCGCGGTACTCGAGGTGCGCGCTCGCGAGCGCGTATATGGCGTTCATTATCGGCATGCTGGTGTGCGAGAGCGGCAGCACCAGTTGCTGGAAGGGGTTGCCCGACTCCTCCCGGAAGACGATCAGATGTGACAGTACGTTGCAGAAATGGTCAACTAGGCCACGCCGGTTGAGTCGGTCGGAAAATTCTCCGAATACTGGCAACACGAATTCAAGCCTCGGAGACCCAACGGGACAGGGCGCGATCATGGCGAGGTCTGGCTGTAGCGATCGCGGTTGGGATGCCACGCTCGTCTCTGAGTCTCGCCGTACCACGTCCTCTATTTCCTCGGTGTTATCTGGAATGTCAAACTCGAAGACTGTGGGACTGGTGTCAATTGGAGAGAGAGCGCCGTTGCTCATAGTCGAATAGTTCACCGGCGACATCCTGCTGAACTTGGTGTTAATTGGGCTCAGATCGGACTCGGATATTTCCCTAATCGTAATCTCCCTCCATTCAGCTTGATCTCGTATTGACTCGTACGCTACTCGGTGACTTTGGGAAAGATCGGACGGCGAATATTCTCTCTTTCTCCGTTGACGGGGCTTTACCGCTTCGTATGTGCAGTGCAGATTCTTTTCGGCGCATCGTGCACATTTCGGGCGTTTCTCGTCGCATTTTTTCTTCTAATGCTCGCAAACAGAAAGTCAGTGCGGGTTCTTCGCAGCAGGGCTGTAAGATAGGTGTTAATTCCAACTACGGGACGAATATCGTACTTTCTCTTTGCTACAATCACATTGAGGAATCAGCGATGTTTTCTATGGACAGTTGGGAGGTTTGGATATTCAATCAAGTATACATACCAAAATGTGCAACCTGAATATTGTCAAATTTACGGATCAGCTACGAACTTGAGAAGGGAACTGGCATGAAAGCCAAGTGCAACTTCGGACTGACCAGCTCTAGATCGTCTCTTTGGCACCTTAGGGGGCGCAATCCGGGTATATATCAACATCTTATCTTGCCAACTACAATCAAGTGATTCCAGCATTTCGTCGTTATTCTATATGAATATTCTGGGTCGGTATAGGCATTCTATTTAGACTCGTCCCACCACAAGGCACAAACGGGTCACCGTTCTAGCCGAAACGGCCGCGGGCGTTATTGTGGTGTTTGTATTTTCAGCGAGGATCGCTATTCGTTATCAATAACAGAGATATGGGTGAGTGCAATGATACATATAACTCATGAGACGAGGTTTAGTCTTGACGAGACAAAGCAATGGAGACTAGAGAAGAAGATAGAATGCAGTAGCTACGCTGGCGGGCTGGGTGTCCCAGGTAGCTATTATCGTGACGTTGTGGGGAAAAAAAGTGTCATGCCCCGGATAGATAACCCCCTGTGCATAATCCCCTCCCCCCCTGGGCAACCCTTAGTCTTCCCCTTAGTTGGACAGGGGAAAATGGCCGGAGATAGATTCCGAAACGGACAGAAATGAACACATCTAACAATTGCTACGGTCCTGGGGATTTCGGAGATGAATTCTAGAACTACTCGAGATCCCCAGATTATACCAGCGCTAGGTCGATTCGAGGTAGTCAAGCTGAGAGAACTCCAAAGCGATTGTGGAGAAATCTGAAGATCGACAAACATCAACTTGCGGGGTTGCAACGGTATGAATCCCATCACCGATCGCTGTGTGTTATATGTTACATACTTCAGACGAAGGGTTCGGCCGACCGCGTAAGGGTTGGAGGTGAGCTCGGATGTCTTTACGAGCTATCTTCGCATCCGAACTAGGAATGTCGAGACAGAGAGAATAACATTGAAGGTCAAGCCTAAAGTCGGCGTATTTAGGGAATTAAGCCTCACTTATTATCCAGAATGCCCTTAATAAATCCTTTTTCCATTCTCATACACGGGGACTCACAACTCTGGCACCGTGACGAATTGGCTCAGTAGACGTCACCTTATGGATGCGACTTTTAATCTCAACACAATCTAGATCTATCCGACTGCTCAGGAGTCAGGACCAAATTGCTAACCTAAAATAACCTCAAAAAAATAAAATAATGAACACTATAAAGATCTAGGTTAGCAGCGTAGGCGAGCGAAACTAAAGTGCCTCACTTGACCTAGGTGGGTCACCTTGAGTACGTTCGGCTCTGAGGCGATTGGGCACCAGGTGGCCGTTAGTACCGGCCTAAGCACAAACCTGCTTCAGCAGCATGGAATAACCCCTGAGCGGCACAACCAGCTAGGACCGCTATCACGAGGACGACCCAATAGGACGAGACTATACTTAGCAACGGCGGGCGGGGAAACCTGCCATATTGGAGAGGGTCGAGTCGATGTAGAGTTAGTTCGTTGGAGGTGATACGGAGTCTTTGCGGTCAATTGGGCCTCGTGTTGGGGGAATACTTCGATGAGATGCTTTGATGGTAAAAATAGAAAACAGAGATTGGTTGATTTGTTGATTTGTTGATTTGTTGATTTGTTACATCCTTTTGATTTACCTACCTAGGTAACTATTTGGGGTTTGTGTTCTGTAGTATTCGAACCAGCAGAGAAGCCGACGAAAAGGGACGAAAAGTCCCATTAGTCGTCCTCGTCTAACTACTAGTACGCGGCCCCCAAAACCACTCTATGAAATCCGGGGTATGACTTATCACTCTGTAACTATCTATCAGCAAACCAGCTGCCTATCTGGGTCGTGAGGAACTTCATGTCCAGTTTTCCTCGGTTTTTTCTATCTGAGTTTGGTCCTGACTGCCCGAGTGGTGTCATTCACACTACCTGTCATTGTTGACCGAAGTCATCCATTCATCCCATCAGCCATTGCATCCCATCAGCCATTGCATCCCATCAGCCATTGCACTCAACATTATGCGGGGAATCCCCCAAGTGTCAAGTGTCAGCCTTAGAGTAGGGCAAAGGGATCTCCAACCCTCCGAATACGATAAAGCATGTTTCATTATTTGCGATTCACAATGAGGTCTATAATTCAGGTACCCAAGTAGATCTTATACCCATTTCAAAATTTCAAACTTGCTTCAGGTTGCCTGCCATACTATGTACATACCTTGCTAAATTTCAACAACGCGAACAGCCTTTGACACATACCTACCTCTTGAATCTACAGATTCTATGTATATTTCGCCTAGATAATAAAAAGGGAAAAATCGATATTAACACCTAATTGGGTACCCAGGGAGACATCGATACAATATTTCATCTTACCTCAAGCAACAGAACTATCTCTATGACTCGCATACAAGGGGCCGGGAATATTTTCCGATGACAAGCTTCTTAGACCTTTGATTGCCGTAGGTAGGCGATGATGGTTTCTCAGGGCCAGCTACATACTAAGCACCTGCCTATCAAGTCATCGTGGACTACGATATTGATAATGCGCAACATATCAATGCCCTTTGCGAGAGAAAGCAAGATATCAAAACCAGAGAGTAAGGCATCAAGCTCAAGACTAAGCTTTCTGACCAGAGCCTAGTTATCCATTACGAGCTCTGTATCAAGATTCTGACATAGTCATGCTGCTGAAATAACTTGGTAGCTACTAGATATGGACACCGTTGCCGCCGTGGCATGTAGCTAGAAGATGCATCAGCTTCAAGGGAGTGGAGCAATCGTCTAAGCGTATCGGCATAGCTTCGATGTTCTTCTCATTGACATTGGAAGTGAAATGCAAATCAACACCGTCCCGGCGACCCCTATGGCTTACTGGTTTCTTCGTTACCTACCATACCTAGTAAGCTAGATTTTCAAGGAAGTTTTACCCCTCCGTCCGATAAAGTGACTTTTCGTTCAGTCCCCCATAATTACAAGCAACCCCAAGGCCTGACGCATGAACGGTGAGGCATTGAAAATCGCATATCAAAATGCTAGGGCCATCCTGAACATTTAGACTATCTTCAACAGTTGCTTTGCTTCCATTGGCGCGCTTGCTGTTACTAAACAAGAATAGCTTGCGAATTCTAGTGGGCCACTTGGTTATTTAGTTAGCTACAACTTGATCGCCGGCCAGGTTTTCTACACCATCAATTTTCTCCCGATGCCTAACCTCAAGGTGCCGGTTGAACCGTTGAAGGAATAAGGTCTAGTGACTTCCACACCGAAGCGCTAGGATCTCTTTCTTGATGGCTCCGTGATGTAAGCATTAGGCAGCACGGCCCTGTCAAGGAACGGTATGGCACGCTTGTTCTGGGGCCATGATCGATGAGAATTGCATCGCTAAGAGTGTAAATCTTCCACGGTATTTCCATAACCCAGACATCTACGACCCGTAATGAGAATGTGCATCCAAAGACAATGCTAAAGACGATTTCCACCCACGTTAGCCAAGGGTCGAGGTCGCGCTCTAGGTTAGCATCTTCTTAGCATGGTGCCAAATGAGGCATTGTATTGCGAAGGTGTTTTGGAGCCGCAAAGTAGCATTGCTTTTGATGATGACTTACCAAAAATACGCATTGTGGAAGAAGGTATAATTGCAAATACTATTCCATCCAGTCCTAAAAGACTCGTGAATAGAAGACAATGTCTGTGGTTCTAACACATATGATTGCCGAAGCAGATAAAGCCTACCTAGGTAGGTAGGCAATAGTTAATATGAATATAAATAGCCCATGTTCTCACCATACACGATCGACTACATGTTGAGGAATAACTGCGAAATATAAGTTCGGCCCTGCCACACCATCTTGATATTACACTGCTCCAGAGACATCATATAGGGGACCCAATCACGGCCCCCCGCAGCCGATTCTTTGAACGTCTTGCGGATGAAGAATGAGCTGTTGTTGGGGGCTGAATGCTGGTATCAGTGTATCACAAATGCTGACGTTACACGAACGAGACACACACTCTCAGAAATCGTCAAGCTGACTGGCTCCAAGACATTCCCGTCCGCTATGTATATGCAGCTGCTGGGGTCTGGCTGCAAGTTGGGGGCTTCCCAATCCCGCTCTTTCGCTGCCTGCCTACCGACACACCATTACCTACACACAAGTCAATCATTAACTATCGTCTAACATCCTCTGTTTAAAATCCCATCTTGATATGTCCAATGTCCCATTACTTCCCTCGACCCTTGTTTGTACCTTAGAGGACACCCTATGTCGATCCAACATCTTGCTGGCCCCGCAGTTTTGCATGTTTGTGATAGGAAGTTGATGGAGTCATCTCGATCTTACACTCAGTGAAATGCTATTTTCGGATGCGCAAGCTTGTAAGCTACGACAAAAGTAGTGCAGTGCTGACATCTATTGGTACCTGCCTGTGGTGTTATGCCAACAACAACAAATTCTTTTTCTTGCAGGATTCTGAGTTGCTTTTCATCTTTTCAATCATATTTATGAATTTCTGTTCTTCTTGATAGGTATACTGGAATTCATAAGAGCAGCACTCTTATAGAGCGGTTGCTAAAGGCCAAGTACGAACTGAGAAGCTATACGGACATCGCCAACGGTACCACGTTACGAGGGCGGGGCAACGAGGTTTTCGGCCTAGTGAGCACTTTTCTCGTTCAGCCGCCGACTACACCAAGCCTAGGAAACAACAAATCACCATGAAAACGCTCTGGGGTTGTTCGAGTTGTGTCGGGCTCCTGGCACTGGCGGTCCTAGTTCCCGCCACGATAGCAGCCCATGGCGACGCATACCAGACCCATCGTTTGGACAAGAATCATAACTCTCTTCGTCATCCAAAGCGTGATCCGACATGTCAGCAGTCGGGTTACACATTGTGTGCCGCTTCCGACAATGGCGGATGCTGCCCGGAAAACTACGCCTGTGCGGATACGTATTGCTACGCTACGACAGCAGGGCCAACGACGGCGTGCGGTCGATCAGGGTATTATAACTGCCCATTGACAGCCGGGTCAGGTAAGTGAAAATAAAAAGCCAATAGCCAAGCTTATGTACTAATACTTCATCACAGGGGCTTGCTGTCCCGTAGGCTTCATCTGCGCGCGAAGCGGCTGCGAACCGCCCGCCGGACAATCCTTCTCCCCCGTATGTCCGACGACAGCCTTCGCCTGCCCCTCCTCGCTCGGCTACGGCTGCTGCCCCAACGGCATGGTCTGCGGCAGCGAAACCTGCTACGCCACGACCCCGCAAACCTTCGCCGTCAGCGCCGCCGTCACAACCACCGACTCGGACGGCAGCACCATCACCACCGTCCTAACCAGCAGCACCGTGCTGACCGACGGCCCCAGCCCCACCGACTCCCTCTCCGCCACCGTCGCCGGCGTGCCAAAGCTAATCCCGAGCACCGTCTCCAAGCTCCCCTCGATCGAAACCGGCTCCGGCTCCAGCTCCGGCAGCAGCGGCCTCTCGTCGAGCCAGCTCGGCGGCATCGTCGGCGGCGCCGTCGCCTTCCTGCTGATCATCCTCAGCATCGCCGCGCTCGTCATCTGGCGCCTCCGGCGCACCGAGAAAGCCGTGCAGGCCGCCGGCGCCGCGCGAAAGCGGGGGGAGAGGGACAACAACAGCAGCAGCAGCAGCGGGGCGCCGAAGTCCGGCAGCCGCCCCGCGATCTCCGAGGTCGACGGCAGCACGGACGTCGACTCCGTCGCGCTCGCGCGCGCGCGGTACCACCACGCGCGCTCCGACGACGCCGCGTCCACGGCCGCGGGCTCCGAGCTCGACGCCTCGGACCGCGGGCCCCTGCATTTCTACGGGTCCAACGCCTCCACCACGCCCCCGACCTGGGGCCTCGGTAGCAGTGGAGGGGGAGGGGGAGGGGGAGGGGGAGGCTACTTCGTCCCGCTGCACCGCTCCGACGCGTCGGACGGGCGACAGTCGAGCCTGGACTCGTACGCGCGGAACTACAACACGTCGCCGCCGCTGAGGCCGGGGAGTAGCGAGTCGCAAAGATCGAGGCGCACGCACGCGCGGCAGTGGAGCGACGCGAGTGAGCTGGACGGGAGCAGTGTGGTGAGCGGGAGCGCGCACCACGGAGTGCCGGCGTCGGAGCTGGAGAGTCTGGAGACGAGTGAGGCGGCGCAGAGGAGGAGGCGGTCAAGTAGTTTTCCGAGGCGGGCGAGTGATCCGCCGGGGCGCGGAGACAGTGGTGGCGGTGGGGTTGGGGGAGGAGATGGAAAGGGGGGAGGAGGGGGGGCGCTGGGGACGTTGAATGAGGTCAATGAGCTCCATGGGTATTATGGCGCGCCGAATATGGCGGTCGGGCAGACGCTTTCGTGGAAGAATGGGTCGTCGAGTTCGTTGCCGAGGACGTGAGGGGTTAGACTTTTTAAGGGGGGGAGTGTGTGTGGTTTAGGATTCGTGGATATATTATGTTATACACTTGCGTAGGTATGGTGGGGTGTTAACGAAGACGTGGATAATAAGCTGGGCTTGTAGACAAGGTCGGCTGGCCAGAGGGTTTACGACGATTCATGTTGTCTCCTTTCGCTTATATGCAACTCGGGCGGCGTTCTTGGAGATATACCCGCCACACATCTGACTTATACATTTCCCCTATTTCTTTATTAGGAACTTATGATCAGCACTTGGGTTGGCAAAAATGTTTCTGGGATTCTTTCGACAACCATGAAAATTGGTATATCGAGCCAATGGCATGGCGTATATAGGGATGGTTGTTGCTTACTACGTACCAAGTAGATGGAGACACTCATTCTGAACAGGTTTAGTTCACGAACATGGATTTATTACGTACATCATTGATAGTACGTAAGTTTTGTTACCCACCAACGTGCATTCGATGAGGAACTCACATGTCAAAAAATTGGATGTCAAAGAACTTCATCTTTACCTACCTGCCTCCCTTAGTACCCAGCTTTCTAGCAAAATCACTCACCTACGACGAAGGAACACACATACACACTAGCACACGCAATATAGCACAAGTTGAATCAAAAGTTGAAATGTTTCTTTCTTGATAGAGAGTCATAATCCCTGGGTATCCCTTTTATCCACCGAGACTTTGCTCCAGTCTAAAACTCCTACTACTACAGCTACACATGCAATGCAGATCCTGAATTTAGATAGGCAGTCTAGCTCTCAATCTCCGCCTTGCTAGCCTTCTCCTCCTTGATGACAACATCCGCGCTCTCCTCATCCGCAGCATGATGGTTTAAGCCAATCTCCGTGGTCGAGAACGCATCAGCGGGGTCGCGGTACGCGGGGACGAAGTTGACCGCGAGCGCGTAGGACAGCGACGCGACGAAGAAGATCAGGGGCACGATCATGGCGAACGCGGTGCTGCTGCGCGCGTCGGCCGCGACGCCGGTCAAGGGCGGGACACAGGCGCCGCCCATGACACCGGCGACGAGCCAGCCGGAGCCGCGCTTGGTGTGGCGGCCCAGCCCGCGCATGCCGAGCGCGATGATGGTCGGGAAGCAGATGGACTCGAAGAACAGCGTCACGTACAGCATCGAGATACCGGTCCACCCGTTCTGCGTGATCGACGGCGCGACGAACACGATACAGCTGACCAGGAAGCCGAGGAACACCCAGCGCGGGCGCACGTACTTCATCACGAACACGCCGAAGAACCGGCCCGCGGCGAAACCGCCCTGGGCGCCGGCGAGGAGCTGGGAGGCGAGGGCGTCGTCGGCGAGGGGCTGGACGTCGCGCACGTAGTTGATGAAGTAGCTGGCGATGGCGATCTGGGCGCCGGTGTAGCAGAACTGGGCGAAGGCGGCGTGGAAGAGGCGGTACTGCTTCCAGAAGGGCTTGTCGTCGGCGTTGGCGTGGGTCTCGTTGGCCTGGAAGGCCATGTCGGCGTCGGTGATCTCGGGGATGACGGACATGAAGAAGACGAAGGCGAGGATGAAGACGAAGACGGCGATCGCCAAGTACACCCACTGCACGTTCTGCAGCGCCGTCGCGTCGTCGAACTTGAAGAACACGTACGAGCCGAGAACGGGCGCGACGACGGTGCCGATGCCGTTGAAGGCTTGCGAGATGTTGATGCGGATTTCGGCGTAGCGGGGAGGACCGCAGACTAGAGGGTTGCGTGTTAGTGCCTGTTATGCATGATGATGGTTCTATACAGCGTGTGGGTAATAAAAACTTACCAGTGATGTATGGGTTAGCCGCAGTTTCTAGGGAACCAAGACCGTTGCCGATGATGAAGATGGCCATGCAGAATCCGGCGAACGACTTCACCAAGATACAGGGAATCGCAACAAGCGCACCGATACCTGTAATTCATTGCGGTTAGAGGAATTGGCCATATGTATGAGTCTGACAAGGAATTGGGAGCTTACCATAGAGGCAGAGACCCCAGATGAAGGTAGCTCGGTAACCATAGTGGCGCAAGATCCAGTTCGCGTGGCCGAGAGCAGCTAGAGGATAGGCACTATGGTGTGTGTGTTAGCGGAAGCCGCAATTGTCTTCCCACGCGAGGATAAACATACCCGAAGTAGGCAGCTTGGAGACCAGACGATCGCGACTTGGTGATGTTGAGGGTGTTCTGGAAATGCTTGTTCAGAGTGTCAAGCAGACCTAAGGAAAAACGACAAGGGTTAGTTGAGAGCTCCGACAGCATCGGGTTCGGGATGTCACCATACCATAACTAAATCCCCAGAGGAAGAACAGAACTGTGACGAGACATATCGGGTACAGCGACTCTCGCAGGGTGAGTTCGGCTGCTCTGGTGCGCTGGTCGTCTTTGGCCCTGAGAGACCGCTTCTTGAAGAATCCCTTGAAGCCCATCTTGCTTACTACCGAATAGGTAGATTGGAAATCCGAAAGATGATTGACAAGCTGGTTTGGAATTGGATATACGGTTCCAAGGTAAGCCTGCGAAAAAGGGGTGTGACTGGGTGAGGACTGGAATTCACAAGCATGTAGAAGGGCAGGACTCTTTCTATTTAATTGCCTGGCTGCCTTGCCTATCAAAAGGTACGTAGCTAAGTAGGCTTTCAGGTATCCTAAGATTGCCAGGATGGTAGCTGTCGCGTGCTGTTGATCGCCTAGGCGGCTGTTCCATCAACCAGCATTCCTAGTAATCATCTCCTGGTAATACATGCTAGGTCCCTAGGTACATGGCAATTACCTAGATAGGTAGTGTAGGTATAGTGGAGTTTCACAGGAGGAATTCTCCCCTTCAGAGTCTTGTGAATCTTGGAACTTGGCAAGTAAAACAACATACTAAGAGACAAGTCCGGGGTCCTTGTGATGTGGGGGAATTGCTAACGTCCTTTTCGTACTTTGCGGAGTGTGGAGAGGCCGCAATTCCCCCGAGGCCCAAAACTGTTCGTGGCCTAGCAGGGTGGGATAGAGCGTCTTAGCACGAATTAGAACGGTATCCATATGGATTAGACCAGGACTACACAGATGTAAAGTCGTCATACCCCAAGGACGATCCTTTGCTCGGATTGTGTAGCCTCATTGGCTACTTACGTGATCCTGCCGTCTGCCATGTCTTACGCCGTACCACCCCATCACCCGGTATTCCAGGGAGGGGTTTGAGTCTTACTTGAAAAGGAATCGACGGGCAAGAAACGGCGAAACGGGTCAATTCTCAAAGATATCAAGGCTAGGCACATACTCGTAAAAAGCTGATGTGCGATAACGCGAATGGGCAAGACTAGGAAAAACAACAAAACCACCTGGTTACCTACCCAGCATAACGTCGTGCGCTTCCCCATACCCCCCGTACCCCCATACCTGTACCTGATAGCTCAGATATGCTTCCTGGTTAGTATCATGTTAGGTTTGAGTTAGTGGATAAAACCGTCGATTTCCAGTGGTCCGCACGTCTACGGTGTATCGTACCTAAGAGCAAGAAGGGGCTAAAAATCGAATATCGCCGAGAGCTTGGTTCAGCCAATCCCCTGCCGGTACTAAATCCGAATGGCAATTTAAACGGCGCACACCAATAGCAGCGCACCATTGCGCACGTCACGATGGGGTTCTCGCATGTATTTCGTATAGAATCTTTCGTAGAAGCTTGAAGCTAGTCTTGGGGCCAAACGGCGAACTAAGCTGAAGAAGCGGAGGGACCCGTTTCTGAACTTCACTAATGCCGGCGACAATGCGGAGATGATATAAGCCTCGAGGGTTAGTGTCCATACTACATAGTAGTTAATTTTTATAGTACGGGGTGTTTGGACTTTAACACACCACGCCATCCGAGAAGCCTAACATGCTAGCTTTACTGCTATATTAGTGAAGGTTGGGGTGATTGTTGTTGATGGGTTTCCCTCCACCTTCTGTCTCTTTGCCCGCCTTTTCAGAGAGTCTAGGCTCAACTCTTAGCACTACTATTGTAGGTATATCCTCGATAGATCGATCACCTGCGAGAGAGCTAAAAAAAAACCCGCTGATGACTTCAGGTGGAACCATTTACTCGGCGAAACTCCCCTCATAGACCCTCATTGAATATCTGGGCATACCGTGTGTCTTTGAGAGGAATCCACACACTATGACGAGATTTCTACAACCAAGTTGCGCCGATAAGTCAGAAAAAGACCGAGATGTTTTGATGATCCTCAATGCGATGCTGAACTGGTGATAGTCATTCACTCTAGGAAGCGCATTCTACCATGGTAAGGTTAGAATTTATCGCTGTTTTTCCTCGGGCATATAGAGAATTGATCATACGTAGTCTGAGCGAAATAAATCGCATTACGTGCCTACCTACGTCGCATTAGGCACACCGAGCTCATACATAACCCTCACGTCAATGGTATTGCGACATTGAGCAGGTATATCCTTTTAGATGTGAGGGCGTGCATGCTGTGGATGAGCAAACCTTTGGAAGATAAGAATTGAGAGCATTGAATGTGTCCACTAATATCATCTGACACTTTTCAGCACTGAGCCGTGGTCTATGCAGACAGGTAGATAACAACACCGAGATCCAAATTTAGAATGATTGGGTATCTACTTATTATCCGGCTTGGAATAGAAGGTATACTGGACGTAAAAACAAACCAAAAAAAAAAAAAAGAAGAAAAAAGAGGAACATGCTACCTACAGCGAGCAACAGCCAGCAATGATTAGGTTCGAAGTTGACATGCAGTCAAACGGAGCTTAGCACCACACATTAGCTATGATCCAAACAGTTGTTTGACACAGGTAGTTGAAGAAAAAACCCTCAAAGAAACCAAAATAACTACCATACAAGGGTATTTTCAGTTGCATGTACTTGCGGCTCAGTAAGTACTACCTAGTACTCAACCTAACGCATCAGAGGAATTTAATATAAACCGCGTTTCTTCTATAGGAATGATCTGCTTGAGGGAATCAGTGTACTTGACCACTTTAGACTTCCTAACTTGGCAGCTGAAGTCGCTGGCCTCGGGTCGGGACGGTCCAGTCCAGTTCGTTACGGCAGCGGCATCTGTCAGATACCATGTAGGTACTTGCTAGATGCCTACTTATAGCAATGCCGGGTCAACCACGAGAGATCGTCGGTTTCCTAAGCGGCAGTATCTAGCGCACTTGACCAGAGGCTCCTTGGATGCTGATCGCTTTGAACTCCAACGACATATCGATATCTGGATGTTGATGTGATAAGTGACTTTGGCGCATATGAGAGAAGCGTCTGAATCAAGTGGCTATGGGCATGTAGAACCCCTTAGATGATTCAACGCTAAAAATAGGAGAATAATATATCTGAGAGTTGGTATGTGTTGTCTAGATCGTCACGCGTATGTAGAACACCACGTCGTAGAAAGCATGCGTGGTCTGCATTTTTTTTACCCCAAAAAAGAGGCACTGTGCTTGTCGGGCTTGGTATAAGACCAAAAGTTACCACCGAAAGACATGGAGGCAAGTAAGGCTGATGCAAGGGTCGCCTAGGAACCTCCCAGGTTCACAATGTGCTCACTAGGGCTCACACATTGGAGGTGTGGGACCTTGACAGCAATGCAGTCACCAGATGTAGTATAGTATGCTTTTGGCCATGTCTCATTGTGATATATGAGATAGGCGCGATTTTGAGGGGGACTGATCATTGTCTTGTAGAAGCCAGAGTTGGTAGCGTGTTTGATAATGAGTGCTTTGGTGGGTGGTTGAGGTGTATGGTCCGAGAGCATTCATGACTGAATTGGGGTTGGGGGTTGCTTCACATTATACCGATGTCTTTTCTCAATGTCAGTGTGAGGTATGTAAAGAATCCATTCACAATATAGTGATGTCATTTACAGCGTGCTAGACACATGAAATCAAACATGGGTTGCTTACTTACTGGGTTGGATTTCGACCTTGAAGTGAGAGTGATACACACAAGCAAGCTTCGAGTATCAGAACGTTGACATGCATAACAATGTAAAAATTGCAACTGCCAGTGTAGCCATATCAGGGCCTCCCCATACTATAAGTCTTGATACTCGCAAGATTAATTCAAGGGACTTTGGCACAAATGCATCTGTCCTGTCTTAGCTTGTCAGATCAAGATCGCACTTACATATGATGGGCAGTAATAATGTTGCGCATAACATTGAAGCATACAATGTTGAACCTTCAAGTTGAACTTGCAGATTTCAAGTTCGAACAACTTTGAAGTTGTGGCGTATAGTTAGTTACTTGTGGCTGGTCGGCTGTAGCATGATGAAGCCCTATGGTTAACATCGGAAAGATTGAATTTGAATATGAATATAACATCGGAAAGATTGAATTTGAATATGAATATTACATAAACAATTTCAAGCCGTCGCTGGTTGGACAACAGCCACAATGATGCCACATGGCGGCTAAATGGGATTCAGCATGTGGGTAGTTAATCCATTTTTAGTGGTGGAATTCCCTAAAGCGGTGAGGCTTGCTGGGTATAATGTGTGGCTTAAGCACACTTATCCACGAATCAGGTCCCGAAAACTCCCATAGTTCTTCCAAATGTTGACCAAAATACATATTTTTTTCTAGCTGGACCCACCTTTCCCGTCGTCTCCCGAATCTTTTTTTTTTCTCAATTGGCGCCGAAACACGACAGCTTCTTCTTATTCCTACCAACTCTTCCTAAAAATAAAAAGCCTCAACCCTACAGATTTTCTAGACAAGGGTGTTATTTCTTCTGTCTATTGCGTGAACGACTTGAATCTTTCGTCGTCGCTTTCATCCAACTCTCCACTCAATCTAATAATTTCTTTTCTTTCCTCTATTTTCAGCCTTTAGAAATTAGAATTTCATCATGTCTTCCGCCACTCCCGTTGAGAAGGTCGATGCCCTCGCCCGCCAGGCCGCCGCCAACACCCCCGAGAAGCTGAGCGGTTTCGCCCTATACTCCAGATTCGCCCTTGCCGGTGCCATCTGCTGTTCCGTTACCCACGGTGGTCTTACTCCCATCGATGTGTAGGTGCTTCAATTGTCTTTTTGTCTGTTTGTTAGTTTTGTGCGCCGAAGCCGTGGCAGGCAATTTTTTAATTGCCGAGGCTACACTCGGCTTGATTTTTCTAGGCATTGACTGGCATTGGGAAAAAACTATAAGCTAATATTTATATAAAGCGTCAAGACCAGAATTCAACTCGACCCGGCTACCTACAACCGTGGTCTGATTGGTGGTATCCGCCAAGTCGTGGCCAAGGAGGGCGCTGGTGCTCTTCTGACTGGTGCTGGTCCTACCTTCGCCGGTTACTTCCTACAGGGCGCTTTCAAGTTCGGTGGATATGAATTCTTCAAGCAACAAGCGATCAACATAGTCGGACTCGAGAATGCCTCAAACTACCGAACTGGTGTCTACCTTGTCTCGTCCGCCTTTGCCGAGTTCTTCGCCGACATTGCCCTCTGCCCTCTTGAGGCTACCCGTATCCGTCTCGTGTCTGAGCCCACCTATGCCAGTGGTCTTGTGAGCGGTTTCAGCAAGATGCTGTCTCAAGAAGGTGCTGCCGCCTTCTACGCCGGATTTGGCCCCATCCTGTTCAAGCAGTACGTATTCTTTGCGCATGTGCAAATAAAGGCCTATGTTCGATGCTAACTTTAGGCTAGGGTTCCTTATACCATGGCCAAGTTTGTGGTTTACGAGAAGGTCGCCGAGGCCGTCTTCCGCCAATACCCCAAGAAGGACATGTCCGACGGCATGCAGACCACTGTCAACTTGGGTGCTGGTTTGATTGCCGGTTTCGCTGCCGCTCTCGTTTCTCAGCCCGCCGACACCATGCTTTCCAAGATTAACAAGACCAAGGGTCTTCCCGGTGAGAGCACCACCAGCCGTCTTATCAAGATTGCCAAGGACCTTGGTCTCCGAGGATCCTACACTGGTATTGGTGCTCGTCTGTTCATGGTGGGAACTCTTACCGCCGGCCAGTTCGCGATATACGGTAAGTACTATGCTAAATACAAAAGGAAACCCTTATACGATGAGCATCATCTAACAACTTCTTAGGTGATATCAAGCGCGTCCTAAATGCGACAGGCGGAGTGGAGATCTCCAAGTAAACGGATATCCTCAATGTTATGAAGAACGATGATTTCTGGTGGAGAACAAGGAACGACACCCCCCTTTGTGGATGGAAGAATTCTAGACATATTGGGAGGCTTTGTTGTTAAAGTAACCTCTGGCAGCTATGCGGATTTTCAGGAAGCTGCTTTCCTCATTTTGCATTTAGACTAGGCGGTACCGGACTGGATTTGCAGGCTTTTGAGTGCTGGCTGCAATAGGGGCTTTGGAATCCTCGAAGCTCCAGGACTCAGCAAGCCGCGGACTCATAGAGCATAGGCGAATCATCTAGAAGCAGCAGACGATACTTCCGTTAGGAAGTTGTATAATACACTTGTTCATTTCAAGTAATGACTAAATCTCAACTCGTATTACAACATATATCAGGCCCACATGCCGTGAGCGATGGGTGATACATGCAATCTGCATGTAGGTATCCAGTACCCAGGTAACTACTGTAGTACCCGTCACGTTCGTGTTGCTTCAACGAGCTCGGCATACAGCATGCATACCAAGGTATACACGGGTAGCCGCATATGCACTAGGCCGTATAAGATAGGCCTTCAACATCGACGTTGTTCAACTCGAAACATTTACCGGAAAAGCTGCGGAACGATGGAAATAAACCTACGTAAGACATTCACATGACTTCCGGCCCTGCATGACACTGTAACCTAGACTGTTTGCTGTCTTGACTCTTGACCTGGAAAGATTCTTCAATCATGTATCTGCCTAGTATGCACGTGTGGGATAAACAAAGACGCTGCATATAGATGTCCGTCTTGGACTATATGCATAAATGAACCCAAAGGATACCTACATTGTTCAAGGTTCATGCCTAGGTATGTACCTACATAGTAATTATGTCGGCGACCCCTTTTGTCTCCCTAGGCATATGTACCTATGTAGTGGCCTGCTTTCCAATTAGGTAAGATTTATCCAGGGATGGTTAGGTATGTCATACCTCGGCTCGCTAAAAGATCTCCGCATCACCCTTGTACAATACCTACCCGCCAGTACCACTGCTACCTTCAGTGTTACCAGCTTCTCCAACTCCGGAGCTTCAATGCTTCCGTGGGCTTTTACTTGTACCCCGTATGGCTCAGCGGGCAACTGCTTCACCACCAACATTATAAGGTGGTGAAGAGCAAATGCGAAAGCACCAAACCAATGCCCAATCCCCTTCGATAGAGGCCACATAGAATACCCAGATAAACAAGCACTACTTTCGTAAACCATGTCCGACGCCGCGAAACAGAGAATCCAAGCCCTGGGAAACCAGCTCACTCCCACGCCTTCTTCTTCTTCCTCCCCTTCCACCTTCGAAGGCATTCCTCCAATCACCAAAGTCGCCGGACCCTCCGCGGGCCCTCGCGTCGCGGGCAAAGTCGTCATCATCACGGGCGCCAACTCGATCCTCGGCATCGGCCGCGCGAGCGCCCACCAGTTCGCCGAGAACGGCGCGCGCGCCCTGTACATCTGCGACTACGACGACGCGCACCTCGCGACGCACAAGCGCGAGCTCGAGGCCCTGTACCCCGGCGTCGACGTACATGTGTGGAAGTTCGACGCCGCGGACGAGGGGGCGGTGAAGAGCGTCGTGGGAGATGCGCTGAAGACGTACGGGCGGCTGGATGTGTTCTTTGCGAATGCGGGGGTTGCGGGCCCGCATACGGTGTTCACGGAGATTGGCAAGGAGGACTTTTTGAAGGTTTTTGAGACGAATGTTGCGAGGTTGGTTTTATGATTAACTCTCTCTGTTGCTATACCAGTCCTATCCCGACACAGCTAACACATCACCCCCCCAACCCCAGCGTCTTCCTCGCAGCCAAGTACGCCGCGCCGGCGATGCAGAAAACCTCACCCTCAAAACTCACACCCTCGGGCAGCATAATCGGCACCGCCTCCGTCGCCGGTCTGCGCTCCAACGCCGGGTCGACGCCCTACTCCGCCTCCAAAGCCGCCGTCGTCTCCCTCGCGCAGACCCTCGCCTACCAGCTCGCGGGCACCGGCGTCCGCGTCAACGCCTTGTGCCCGGGGATCATTGAAACGGGGATGACTGCCCCGGCGTACGAGATGGCGAGGGCGAGGGGCACGGAGAAGAAGATCGGCCAGCTGAACCCGCTGAAGAGGGGGGGTAGAGCCGATGAGATCGCGAGGGTGGCGCTGTTCTTGGGGAGCGATGAGGCGAGCTATGTTAATGGGCAGGCGTGGGCGGTTGATGGGGGGTTGAGTGCGGGACATCCTTATGTGCAGGGGAAGTTGAGCTAGGCTGTCTAGTTGGGCTTGCAAAATCTTGGTCGTATGAGGATGCAGGGAGGCGAGTGAGCCTTTGAAGAGGAGACATTCATACTCAGGTACCTACCTAAGCACTTATGTGCACGATGTCTACCTAGGTACAAAAGCGAGGGTATTCTGGAATCTAGGTATACTTAATTGTATTATCTAGACATGCATTGGATGCTTTCAGGGGTATTTATAAATCCAACTATAAGCTAATAAAAGAACCTTTGGTGCTTAAAACAACAAGAAACAAGACAGTCCACCAGGCTTTCCCACCCCCCTCACGGTCGTGCAAGCAGAGATTCATAGCCTACCCCATCCTCACCAGCTCCAGTCTCCCATCCCAATGCTCCCTCGTGCCCCTCGTCTGCATCCGAAACTCCTTAATCGCCATCGCCACGTCCCTAAACCCCTTCCTACTGCCCCTTCCCCCTACCCCACAACTTTTCAGTGCCGAAGAAGAAGGCAAGACCATCGCATCCCACGCATCGTGATACACGAACGACAGCGGCGGCACGCCCGCCGCTACGTGGTTCGGTGTTGCGGGGATGATGGTGGTGCGGAGAGAAGGGTCTTGGTGGAGGTTCCATGCGTATTCGTTGATTGCGGCGGTGTTGGTGGTGGATGAGGGGGGTAGGGGGGACGAGGGGCCGGTGTAGACGGGTATGGAGAAGAGGTTGCCCGATAGTGAGGAGGAAGGGGGGATGGTGTGGGTTGTGTATGTTGGTGTGGAGAGTGAGGCCGAGGACGAGAGGAAGGGCGATGAGGATGGGAGGGGTGGTTGCGTGTGTGATCCTACCTGCGTGTGCTCGCTAGCTAGGTGTTTGTAGCCCAAGGAGTTGGCGTTGGTGCTGGTACTCGTACTCGTACTTATCCTCATCCTCGACGTGATCCCAAAAGCCCCATCACCGCCATCGTCCCCGTTTGAAGAAAAAAGACTCCCGGTAGCTTGGCCGAAATCACTTCCCCCCGGATCAAGCAACCGATCGTAATCCACATCATCATCATCATCTCCACCCATCGAGCTCGCATCCAAATCATCACCACCACCACCACCGTCAAAAAAATCCCTCTCCACCTCCAGCCTCACATGCCTCAGCCCCCCCAGCACCGCCGCCCCCCTCCCCCCAACCACCCCTCCCCTCGCCCCCCTAACCCTCTCCCGCTGCACCGCCGCCATCCCCAAAAACCTCACCAGCCCCTCTATCACCGCCCCCGCCGAGCGCGCGGGTATGCCCGTCAGCGTCAGCGACGCGAGGCGCGGGTTCGTGTCCGGCTCGAAGGGCAGCGGGTACGCGCGGCGGATGCTCGCGCACACCATTCCCTCCGAGAGGCGCGCGGCGGCGACGCGGGACACGCCGGCGATGGAGAGGGCGGGGACCTGGGTCACGAGGGAGTGGTGGGCGCGGAGGGAGCGCAGGGCGGAGGAGACGAGGGGGCGGAGGAGGGGCGCGGAGGAGGGGAGGCCGAACATCTTTATGCGTTTGAGGTTGGCCGCGTGCGCGGGCGTGCAGAGGATAGTGTCGCATTCGAGGTGTTCGAGGCGGCCGCGGGATGTGCGGAGGAGCCGCTCGATTCCGGAGACGGTGAAGCGGTTTCCGTTGAGGTGTAAGTGCGTCAGGCCGCCGTAGCCGAGGCCGGCGCTTTGTGGGAGCGCCTCGGAGAGGAGGAGGTCCTTCTTTGCGGTGGGCGCGTCGTCGTGGCGGAGGGGGCCGAGGCCGTCTGGGCGGACGGCTTCGTATTCCTGCGGGGGGCCGGGCTGGCCTGCTCGCTGCGAGTAGGACGGCGAGTCCGCGAGGTATTTCTCCAATGCGTTGTGCGGTCCGAGAGGCTCTGCTATGAATTCGAAGGGCCCGTATTCGCGAGTGCCGACATTCTTGGGGGAGATGAGCCTTCCCTCCGTCGCGAAGTGCGCGTCGGTGTGGAAGGTGAAGCGCGAGATGCTGTGCTCGACTATGTCGGCGAGGACATCGTCGCTGAGTTTATTGTGGCTCAGGTCGATGCTCCATAGCTGGCGGCCGAAAGTCTGGAAGAGCAGACTCGCTGTCGCGTTGTCTACTTCTCGGCCCCTGGCCTTTAATACGCGGAGTTCTGGTAGCGTTTGGGGGTTAAGCGAGTGCTGGATGGCGGTTTTGACGGAGCCGGGGATAAAGGATATGTCCAAGTAGACTAGGTCCCTGAAGAAGCTGGATCCAAATATCTTGGGCGTGAGCTCGTGCCGGCAGCACGCCAGGTCGAGCAGCTGCAGGGACTGCGATGTCTGAGGGGCCGAGGCTAGAGACCCCGGGTCCAGCTCTGGATGGCCATCGACCAGTAGGCATATGAGACCTGGGAAGATCTCAGGCAGGTGCTTGAAACTCTCTGATATGGCTCGCTCGCTCGCTTCGGAGGAGTAGAGCCCAGATGCACGGAGAGCAAAGTCCCGGAAATCCAGCGAGCGCACGTAGGCGCGCGTCCTGGGCCTCACGGATTTGACATGCCTGCTCATAAAACGGCGATACCAAGCCAAGTCTGTAGGGATCTCGTGGTAAGTATGGCGTGCCTACCTTAGGGTAGGTACAGTGATAGGCAGCTGTGATTGAAATGTGATGTAATGTAACTTAACTCCAGTCGTTATGACATGAAAAGGACGTGGTGCCGGCCGGTGGAGTGCTCGGTAGGCAGGCATGTGTGAATGTAGGAGCAGAGCAGAGCTGAATCACAGAGCTTCAACCAATCTGAGAAAACGAAAAAAAGACTCACCGTCATTTGGATGCAACCCAAGACGTCTTATATTTACTAATGGATCTTGCCAGAGACGGGGTGCGAACTGAAGGTAAAACCGGTGATCGACCAGACAGCATCGGGGCCAATCTACCACCGGGACGTATGGGGCGACCAGATGCAGCCAGTCGGGATGGGTGATGGCTTGTTCGTATGACGGAAGCGCTTCCATGACTGCCTAGGGTAGTAAGCTATCAATCAGGCTCTGGTGGGTAAAGAGGATTTCGGCATCGAGTTGATAAAATGCGAACCCGTTGTAGCATTGGGCATTAATAGGTGCTTGGTGGTGAGTGGAATGGCAGGTAACATTGAAGGGGTTCTAGATGGAGAGGTGGCGGATCTCGGTGTGACGAAGTAAACTGGAAGACCGTTCTCCCTCTCTATCTACCAGCTCTCTACCAGTGGACGACTCAGCTACCTACTAGGTAGGTATGTAAGGTGCTCAGCTTGCACAGCCACAACGACGGTCTTAACCTAATATGTAGTTTGTAGGTAGGACTCAGGTATTCCATCACATATTATGATTCATATTGATATTAAATATTTCATTAAGGTACAAATTAGGAAGTCAGTAGAATTTGCTGGGTAGGTACTTACAGATAATGATGAATTTATTGATACCGGTGAAATGGCTACCCCCTAACCGAGGTAGCTGTGGATGGCCGGTCTATCATGACAATCTAAATAATCTATATGGGATAACAACGGGGTAGAAGATCCTGATGCGTCTAATAGGGACAAAGAAAGCCATTTACTCGGTGTATTCTTGTTCGCTTCGTTCCGGCTCATCCTCTTCCTGGCTTACTACTACGTGTTTTGGGATTGTCGCTACGAGACCGATAACGAGTGTTACACAAGATATTGCTTCATCGGTGAGCATTCATCCCTTTAATTCTTATTATCATGACTGGGGAGCATACTAACCGAGGACTTTCTCAATGGAACCGATATACACGGCGATGATCTTGACTTGCTCCGTACGAGGTATGTTGCGGATGGAGTCTAAACTTTGCAGGGCTTTCGATATGATCTACTGTAAAATTAGATCGAGATCTATGTGAGGAAAAGGGGGGGAGGGGATATGACTGCGGCTAGTCACCTCTTCGTAGTTGGGGGTGCCCGCCAACTCGCGGTAAAGGCCGTTCCTAATGAAGTTCTTAGTCAAAGCTAGGGAAACGCCGACGCCGACGTCTCCGGCAAAAGCAACAACCACGTTGAATATAGCTAGGAAAGAAGATTGATCTGTGAGAATATTGTTAGCCACCTATATCTTGATCTATCTTTCATAAAGGTTCAGTAATGTAAAAGTGTGTTTGTATGAGTACCCTTTTTCAGGACTGCAGAAAATAGTGAGACGATAAGGCAGCTTTCGAAGGCACCGATACTCAGTCCTATCAATAAAAGATATGGAGCCGTGGCGGGATTCTCCAGAGCTGTAAACAACTTAGCAACTGAAAGGTCCTCTGCTAATAGTAGGGCTGGAGTCTTACGAATCAGTCCCGTAGCAACTAGCAGGTATAAGAGAAAGTATAAGGCCATGTTGCATCTTAGTAAAGTCCACGGGGATCGATATCGCTTGATGAGCAAGCCAGCTATCGAAGCCCCGAAAGGCCTTGACAGAAAAATGCACGACAATGCCCAGTCGCCAAATTTGGATGGGTTGTCAAATGATCGCGCCTCGATGTACACTGCCATATTATACGTGAGCTGTCTATAGTTAACAACAAAATACCTCATAGCAGTTCAGGGGGGGAGCAAGTCATCCTACCGCATTGAAGGCATACACAACGAATAGAGTCGTAGCAAAGTTAGCCAATATGAAGGAGCGGTTCCGCCGTACGCGAGGTATAAAGGAGGCTGTCGAGGAGCGCGCACTCGCTAGGAGCAATCCGCCCAGCGCAAACGGGATGCAGACAAACAGTGTTACAACGGCGGGATGATCCCATGGGACTATCACACCACCCAGGTTCAAAGCGAATAGGGGCAACGCGATGGCAGCAAACAGGAGTAATGATTGCACGGGGTCGAGACGAGGCTTTTCAGGGTCGACGGTCTCATCCTGATAGCTCTTGAGCGTGTAAGATGCCGCGATAAGGCCGCATAGCATTACCAGCGCCTCGGTGCGGAATACCCTTTTGAGGGGGTTAGCTACGTGAATGAATCGATAGTTTCGTTTAGTGTGTGTGTGTGCCTACGTACGATTGCCAACCAGATGAGTCGGCGATGGCAGATCCCAGAGGACCCCCTGAAATGTCGCCGACCATCTGGACGAAGAGAAGCAGGCTTCGCCATAGCGCAAAGTCTTGCAGAGGAACTCTATCTAGGTAGAGGAAAGACACGTCAGGACGGATTGGTCGGTAAGGGGGTGACACAAGGGGATATTAATACCATTCACCATTATAGTTACCAGAAGCGGCAACCCGGCGCAACCGGACCCAACGACAATGCGAGATAGTATGAGGTATACAAGTCGGTTGCTTAGTGAGCTACGAGTCGTGGTTAAAGTTAATTAAATCAAAGTAGAGAGAGAGCACATTGTTTGTTGGGGGGGGGGGGGGGGGGGGGTAGCAGACCATAGAAAGAAGCCGATAGTGGTAAGGCTCGCGGCAACCAAGAACGCTCGCTTCCGCCCCTGAACATTGCTAAGGTATGCGTACTTGGAAGGCCCAACGTTAATAGACAAGGAATATAGGTTAATATGTTGAAGAGTGAATTCAAGAATAACTGACAACTGGCTGAGAGGAGGTCTCCGTGATAGAGCCAACCAGAATGATCCACACCGCATTACTCAGTTGATGAAGATCGGAGGCTAGGGGTGGGTGAAAAAGTAAGCTGGGAATGTTCTCTCCTGAATGGTCATGTCTGTTTCCCCCCTCTCCCACCTCCCCCTCTATACGCTAGAGACGCTTACCGATTCTCTTGCCGTAGTTGGTCGAGAGGAAGAGCAGATCGAAGTTGATGGTGAACATGCTGGACAGCGTTTAGCTAGGGTCCCATGTAAAGTCACCTTCGGCAATCCGAGAGTGTACCATAACAACGCGCTGGACGCCGCCATGTATAGCAACCATCTTTCACAGCGCGCGACCGGTTTAGGAACGCCCGTGGGAGCCACGGGGTCATGGTGTGCCAATAGATTATCGGTGGACAATCGACGTTCTAGATAATCGTGCTGGCCGCCGTGATCCTCATGTGATGTGCCACACTCAATGGAGGAAGCCATCACCACCAACGACGCAGATAGATAGACAGAAGGTAGATAATGTAATAGATAGATAGTAGATAGATCTATGGAATACCTAGAAAGGGTGGTCTCAGCCGCGATATCAAAAACTTGGAGAGCAAATCCTTTGATGCGAGAAGATGAAAAAGGTAAAGAAAGGGTGCAGAACTCAAGCAGAACTCATGAGTGGAAGGGACTTTCTAGATTAGAATCCATAGTTTGTAGGTCATATGGTATGATGTAGGAACACCTACCTACCTATAGATACTAGATGCCTACCTAGTAATGTGCCCGGTGGGTTAGATCCCACGGTGGACGCTGTTAGGGTTGCTTCTGGTCCGGGGGATGGTGGGGCGGATTAGCACGGGTTATGGCGGAACGGGACGAACCATTAGCACTTTAAAGAGTGATATAATCCGCAGTGGAGGGGGGTGGAGGGGATAGGGGAGGTATATAAGGTGGTAATATGTAAGGCTAAGAACGTGGGATTGGCCATGAATAATAGAACAATAACTGAATCAGCGTCAGTTTTGTTCACATCCATCTCATCTCATCACACTTAATACTTACCTACCTACCTACCTACCTGCCTGCCTGCCTACCTAACCTACTAGGTATGTATGTAGTCCTACTAGGTATGTAGTCCTACTACATGTACTGTAGGTAGTAATTCCTAATTCCTGCTATCTCTCTCTATCTAGCTAGGTTCATGGATGTGTTAAAAGGCAGCTGCCAAGAAATTGACTCACTTTACGGTGTGCAAATCCGTTGATGCGTATGGCTAAAGTGGGATTATTAGCAAAAGCAAAATTGTTCAGGACCCCGGGAGGTGCGCCATGCCCAGTGCCCACATTATACAACGCCCAATCAGGGGGACATCGCCCTATGAAATAGACGACCGGTAAACCTCAGCTCGGTTGGCTCCATTTTGAAATCTTCGAAACGGCCGTGTAACCAGGGCATTTGATGTTACGTCTCACAGATAATCCTCCTTGACCGGTTCCCGGCAGAAGTAGTGTAGTGGGAACGCTGAAGGATTTCGGGCTCGAAGATCGTTTTGTTCTTGTGGCTGCTGACAACTTGTCCAAAACACCACCCACCACCACCACCACCACCATCAGATTTGAGATGATGAGATCAGATCATCGCCCTTGGAACTCAATAGAGGAATCACAATTCCGATATCACCCGGAACTATTAACCAAGTCTTATTTTGATATTGAGGTTGGGAATGATGTTGGATAGGATTCTTGGGTATTATTGGCGCCCGCATCGTTCGTTTGACCGTGCAACGATGGCATCGCGAAGAGCCTCATCAGTATCTCTGTATCTACCTAGATAGGGTCCCTGGTCAGCTTTTGTTCCCCACGCAGGACGGGCGGGAGCATAAATTGGCGTTACCCGAACCTGTCAAATTCCAGATCATGTATCTAGCTGCTAGTGAGATCCAACGATATCATAAATAAGAATCGATAGATGACACAGAGTGGATAAGACCCCTGAATCGTCATCATGGCTAGCTCTCCGCTATCGTATTACCCTCCCGAAGACCAGCTGGCAGCTCGTGTCAAGCTGTTTGAATCTAATGCTTCGAATGTTGTTGACTATGGAAACTCGAACGGCCTCGGGAATCTACCCGTGTCTCTAGAGTCACCCCTGGCTTGGTCTCGTGAAGACATCGAAAAGGATATGAACAAATGTGTACTGAAACTCTCAGAGAGTGATATCGCTGCCCTTGAGCGTGCAGCTAGGAACTTTGAGGGTTTGTGCTATCAGCCCTATAAACCTACTTTGTGAACATCAGAGTACTTACACGTGTGATACACAGATCAAGCCATTGCTCTATCCAATATTTCCCCTGACAACTTCGTGCTCCCAGAGAGTCTTAGAAAATCTCTACGGGGCGTGTCGGACCAATGCTACCATGGCCGTGGGTTTACCGTCGTTCAAGGCCTTGACCCTACCAAGTATAGCCCCGAGCTAAATGTTGTCTTCTATGCCGGAATCGCAACACATGTGGCGCCTCAACACGGATTCCTCGACAAAAATCGTGTTAAAGTTCTGTGTACGTAAAAGGCACCATCTTCTTCTTTAATCTTGATAGTTATGTGTCTTAACTAACTTCACGTCCTCCAGGCCACGTTGTGAATGCTGCCGGCGAGGCTTCTCCCGACGAAGCAGCTCAAAAGTCCCCCGGATTCACCGATGGGCCTTTGGTAAGTCTTGACCATTGTTGTCAAAGATTCTCCGAACATCAAAATTAACGAATAATAATCCAGGCCTTCCACACCGACAACTGCGAAATTCTTTCCTTGTATGCCGTGGACGTTGCCTCGACCGGAGGGCAGACCTTTGTGTCAAGCTCGTACCAACTGTTTAACGAGCTAGCCAAGACAAGGCCAGACGTACTAGCAACCCTATCGGACCACTGGGTCCTCGATACGTAAGCCAAGCCATCTATCGACGTTAGCCCCTTATTTGTCAAAAAAAAAGCAATACTAAACTCCGAGGGGGACAACAGGTTCAAGGATTATACCCAATTCCCACCCGTAACGCGGCCCATGCTCCACGTCTCCGACACCGGCGACGTCATGTTCACGTACTCGCGCTTCCCGATGGCCGGGTTCAACGGTAAGCAGCGCAACCCCGCGCTCGCGCCCGTGAACGAGGCGCAGATCGCCGCCATGGACGCCGTGCAGTACATCATGGCGAAGAACGCGGTCGCGCTGCCGTGGGGCAAGGGGGACATCGCCTTCATCAACGACATGGCGATCATGCACGCGCGGTCCGGGTTCACGGAGGCCGACCGCGGGCTGCAGCGGCACCTGCTGAAGTTCTACCTCCGCGACCCCCAGCAGAGCTGGCCGGTCCCGCCCAGCGCGCAGAGGCAGTGGGACAAGATCTACGGGCCCAACACCCCCGATGGCCAGCGGAAGGAGCTGTGGTGCGTGCGGTATGAGGCGGGGCAGGAGAACGACTGGGAGTCGAATGGGTAGATGGATGGGCGGTGTTATCGTTAAACGCTTCTTTTCCCGTCTGCTATTATGAGGAACTTTTACCAGCTGCTGTTTTGTTGAATACCTAGGTAAGGCTGAACGAGGTCTCACAGTGGTGTATTATCTTGTCACTGCTTCATGCGGAATCCCATCCAATACGGGTACGGTACGTCTTATAACCGGCCTAGGGTGGTGGGCAAACGATGAACTTTTTCTTAGCATATGATCTTGGAAGGTAGTTCTATGTGTCTTTCGCGTACCTATCTATCTAGTAGTTACATTCGTTAGTCGTACAAGAAATAGGATATGACTCTCTCTCCACTGCCCGCAACGCACTCAACGACCCCTTCAACAATATGACAGTACCTTGTGCTCTCTCCTGTGTCTTATGTCCATATTTATCGCCTGTACAAAGAGACGTATGGCTAGTACCATTCTCGTGCTTGATTATTCTTGCGTACACTGTGAGATCCCTGGGCGGGTCTCATTATCTGGTTAAGTTTCTCGGTTATAGGAGCATCTGTGAAGTCGGACAAGTATCTCATTAACGGCGACTCGTATTTGACTTTGGGTCTATAGATCTCGGGCCGGTTATTGTCAGTCGTCGATTCGGAATTTCGAGACATGTTCGTTGTTGACGTGCGCATAATTCCTCGTTTGGTGGGGATAGCTAAAGTGCCAATAGCAATCAAGCTTTGGCAAAGACGACGTACGGGAGTTTCGAGTTCTGAGAAGGTATACACGAAGCTGTCCACGTTAGTATTTTGGCATGTTTTTGCCTGACTGCACTGTACCAGTGTTAGCCACACGGAACTTACAAAAGGTGGGCAGACTTGATGTCGCTATGAAGAACGCTGATAATTATTTTAGTTACGAGCTTCAGGGGTAATATTCTTATCCTTTAGTCTGGCAATGGTATCATGTAAGCCACAGGTTGGAAATCCAAAAGATTCAATTGTAGCGTAGCATCAATTGTCTTTCGGCGAGGGCGAGTAGGAATTTCATGTTGGAAATTTGCCCGTGTTTATGGCTTTGGAAAAGTAGTACAGACCGTCGCGCAAGGCCATCAGGGTGATACTTCCGCTTTTACAACCTGATTTCTCTTTTTTTCTTCTCTAGTCAATATCTTTCCGATTTCCCATCTCGGAAGTTGATGTTGCGCATTGTCAAAGATGATTTTCATCTTTCCGATTCCTTAAAATGGATAGGAGAGACGAGGCTCGACATCGCGGGGCGGACTTAGCCACATGTCCGAGGGGATTTGGTAGTATACTTGCAAGGCTGCTTTGGCAATTAGGTAGTATTGGTCCAAAGACGCTATAACTTAGACAGTTACTCCAGAAATTATCATGCTTGAGACTGGCTAATGCTCTACTTTGCTGGGGCCGGTACCAGGCAGAGATACTGATTGTAGGACAGAGGAACGATCTCGGAGCAGCCGATGAATATGTTGGCTTGTGGATTCCAGTACTAGATATAGGTTAGCATTGGACAAAGGTATTAATAAGGTCGCTCATAGGCGGAGAAACACATACCTCGTTCCAACCATCGTAAGCCTCACTAAAAAATATAGAAGTAATATAATATAGGTACTAGGTAATCTTAGGTTAGGCGAGCCCCCCAAAGCGTGCATGTTGAAAAGGGGGAGAGTGTAAGGAAACGAAGTAGCGGGACAGTACGAACTTCGGTTCAAAAGACATAGGTAGGTAGTAGATCTATATATATCAATAGGGACCGAAGCATGATAATAAGTTTGAATTCCCGTTTCCAAAGAGGCAAACTCCCATCCCACGCTTAGATGACCTGTAATAATGATCATCCATAGCCTACTTTATAATTTCTATAGAATCAATATAGGCGTATTCCCAAACACGCTGGTAGCTAATAGGAATTGCTCTCTCCTCGGTGCGCATTCCATAGTATACAAATGTACCTACATTGGGTTTTTGCCTCCATGTATAAGTAAAGGCAAATAGACGTGTCATATTAGTAGAATATTACCTGTCATAAAAGGGGCACTCCACAGTGTCGCGTGAACCAAAGGTTAGAAGTACTTTTAACATATGAACCATGCCATAGAAACATGAATACTATGTAGGTAGACTGATTGGGAAGGGCCTCGCCGTTATGCCAAGAGGGCTACCTAATTTCTTCTCAAACAGGTACCAGGCAGATAACCACCATTGAAGGTTAGAAAAGAGACCTATAGCCATACGAAGAAGCCTAGAGAAAGAAGTTGAATGGCCTAGATGGCCTGAGTAGGTTACGTAGGTAACTACTAAACAGCGTTAGACACGGATGATGACAAGGGGAACAGTGCGGATAACTACCTAGGTATACATACCTATTTTTATAAAAAAGAAAAATGGAAAATCTTACGATAGACCAAAGCGACAGCGACGGAGAAGCCAGGGGCAAAGATTCCAGGGCCATCCAGGCCTGGAATAAGTCATTGCCCAAATTTCGAGTTTCTCGGCTTCGTCATCTGCCTGGACGAAAAACGAGCCGCAATTGGTGAACCTCAGCCCTTCGTAGAGCCTCTTCCCCATAGGGCTCGCGAGCACGGTGGCGTACACGGACGATTGCGATGCCTGCTGGATCCCCCACTCGCAGAGCCTTGTTCCAGCTCCCCTCCGCCGGAAATCCGGGTGAGTGGCTAGCAGCCATAAGTGGATCTGGCCGTCGCCGTATCTACCGAAGAAGGTCTGGAACCCTTCATCCATACGCTGCTTGAATGCCCTGAAATGGGTAGCATCCACGTCCCTTCGTCGGGGCTTCTCATCTAGATCGTCGGGGACACCAAGATCTGGTCATGTGGAAAAATCAGCTTGGGAGGTTACAATAAAAGTTTTACTTTTTTTTCTTTTCTCTTCTTTCTTTTTTCTTTAACTAGGTATACGGTTCTCTGTGGGAAATTCTTACCACCTCCTTTATGAGCTTTACTGATGGAGAGATCCCAGACAGAGAGAGCAATGGCCTTGTCGTCGTTGTCATCCGCTGTAACAATAATAACTGCATATTTGTCAGGTTGGTCAAGATACTCTCTATATTCCTGCAAAATCCATCTTCGGTTGTCTTCCGGACACTCAAATCTGTGTGGGAATCGATAATTAAACTCTGGATCATCTGGAAATCCCTTCTGGGCTATAGTCGCAATGTCTTCCAGGTCATCTAGGGTTGCTGTGCGTAGGGTCAACCCCTTTTCGCGCTTACAATCCCCCATGGTCTCTCTGTACCGCGTACTATAATAGGTCGAATGGATGGGCCCGAGCGTAAGAAAAGAGGGCTTCCTCCTAGCATGGTTGGGCGATACCGTAGAAATATTCCATAACCATTCCTTTTCTACTAGCCCAAGGTACTCTGACCCCTATTCACCGGTATACAGCAACTGATAGCATCTGATGCCTACCCTACATAAGCCTGCTGTATACATATGTAGGCGACTGGATATGCTTCGAGACCCCGCACTTTCCGATTCCCCTTTTCAGTACCGATTACTGAATGTAGTAAGGAATGTGGTCTGGACAAACTGTTGAGGCGTCAATGCCTGACCGGTCAGCCATGCTAGTGACATATGCATGACTATCCTTATGATAACATCTTCACAGCCTCAGCAGCGATATTAATGCTGGGCATTCAAAAGTGTTAAGGAATCTCGGTCGGTCGTACGCAACGCGCAGCCACGTTACAGTCCCGCAGGAGTGATCAACTCATGGTGATTAACTTCTACATACCTATTCTTCCTGCTCCTTTCCGCTGATATTGTAATACCTACTACATATAATGGACTTCTCTGAGTTTGGTGAACCCACAGTGCCGTCATCATCACCAGGGAGTACAGATTCCAATACGGGCATGCAGCCAATTCTCTTACCGGTAAATCCCTCAGTGTTCACTCTGGCGCCACCAATGTCTTATCCCGGGGAGGGCAACCCCCACGCGCGCCTCAATGAAGATGTAGACCGACACCCGCTATCAGCGTATCCTGGAACCGATCTTACTACCGCACTACACAATCCTATTGCTGCAAAGTACGAGGAGTCCCCAGGGGATCTCAAAATAGTCCCCTACAAAGTCCAGAACAGGAACACAAAACGTGAATCCAGCGGCGGGCGCGCTTTTCGCGTTAACGCACTCATTAACGACAAGGCTAGTAGCTTGGATGACCTCTACAGAGGTGATCACCGTAGTAATACTTCGAAAGAAAAAAAAAACCCCATGGCTAACGGTGACATTTTCACCAGAACCCGGTATCCAATTGGCAGCGCGACAAAAACGGCTCGTCTCAGGGATGTTTTCAGATCTTTGGGGCGAACGAAAGGGTACGTTCAGACTTCGATGCTGGGTCCCGATCCAGTACAGCGATAACAAGAGAGTATGGTGCTTGTAGAAGGTGTCGTCGACAGAAGCTGAAAGTAAGTTGGAACACTATTCCATACCTGCCAAAAAAAAAACAAACTTGCCTTTGTAGTTCATAGCTTACTTGATGTTGATGTTAACAACAGTGTGACACGTCGAGTGACCCGTTCATGCCGTGCAAGCGTTGCGCAACAGTGGCTCATGCTTGTCTTAACTGGCCTTGCACACGGGTAAGCATCCTCGATTTGGATTTACACAGACGAGGTAAGCGAATAAAACATACTCCGAATGCCTGCCTGCCTACCTACCTCCCAGTTGCCTGCCGAGCATACCTGCCTACCCAGCTAGGTAGCTATCTACCAGATCTTGACGAAAATGGTTACCTAACCCACCTGGGCATTTCTTTTAGGGTCAACCCGTAGCAACGACCTCAAGACCTGGACCCTTGACCAGAAGATACGTTACTACTGGAACGTGGAAAACGGCGGTGAAGCGCTGGAGAATCTACAGGTGACGATTACCCAGGACCAAGGTATCAGCTTTGCTGTCACGGTCAATCAGTTCGTGCCGCTTCCGGGCGATACCACAGGATGGAAATGGAAGGACGCAGCCTCCCAGCAGAAAGTGCTGGAGATGCCTCCGTTCTACATCTGCAACGAGGAAGAGGCCGAATGTAACATGAAGAATGCGGTAACGACTGGGAAGGAAGAGTACATCAATGTCCTGCTGGGCGACTCAAATCCAATCACCAGGAAGACATTCGAGGCAGCGTTTAGACATCTAGAAACCTCTGAAGTACGTGATTTTCCCTTTCGCTCCCTCTTTAAAAGGCACGCCGGTTTCCTTATTAGTAACATTCCCCTGCAGAGTAGACTCATCCTCGACTGTCTAAAGTTCTGGGTGGCCACACGTTTCATTGAGAAGCCCTGGCGGATCTGCAGTGCCGGACTCCCCGGCTTCTACCCTTCCATTGAGCCGTCGTGTCCCTTCAGTGGGATCATTCCTGTAACTCCTATCATGGACACGCAGATTGACGATATGGCCATCAAGGCCCTCCTCGACCCGTTGGGGAAGAGGATACTAGCGGAGTTGAATCGAAAAATTCTGGAAAAGACGAAGGAGAATTGGTGGGAGATTTACCTTGCCACTTTCATTATCATGAACAACTTCGAGTTCGTATTCAATGATGTCCGCGACTATACCAGCCGCCATGGATTGAGAGTGAGTGCACCCGTATCGTTGGACGTTTGTCCTCTTTTGTAGCCCCACTTTATTTCTCCGTCCTCATCGTTCCCCCCTATTTTTTCTTCACCTTCCAAATCCCCTCCTCTTCCCACGTATATCAAAGCTCATACTTACACCCATCCCAAATAGCCATCCACCACCGGCGCCTTCTCTCTTACCAAAGGCTACTTCCATGCCTGTAAGACCATTCTGCTCTACTTCCGCTTCGCATGCAACGGGCACGCGCCGCTCTCTCTCGCCTGGCAGTCCCCTAAACCAAATTCCAACCCTAAACTCAAACCCAACCGCGGCTCTCTTTCCTATTCAGCCTCTTCCCTGGACCCCATAACCTACAGCCAACAAGAGTACCTCCTCGAAATCAAGCGGGAGATCGACCGACAGAAGCCGTCTCTTGAAGCCTGGCGCGGCGCGTCCGGCTCCGCCTACCAGACCCCGCTGTACTTCAGCTATCAAATTCTCGCCGAGGACTGGAGCCCGGATATCCATGTTTCGGAGCCGGATGACGGGTTTACTGAGGAGGATTTTCTGACTTCTTAGTATGAAGAAAGGTGTTGGCTAGTGGCGATGGTCGGTGGTCCGTCGGTAGTTATTTCGAACGAGGTAGGTACCCGGGCAGGCAGGTAGGAGCCCACCTCCCTACCCACCACCTGGAATGGGATGTGTAGGCACATAGATACCTACGCCTAAATAGATTAAGCGACAGCAACGGAGACGAAAAACGAAAAAAGGGTAACAGAGGAAACATAAGCGTGGTATAAGACGAATAATGAACACATCATATAGAGGAACTAGAAACGACAATAACGACGCATAAACAGGGAAAGGACAATTCTAGGTTAGGTCAGGACAATTGGGGAACACACGAGACACTCAAGGTTGGTGGGAAATATAGGTTAGGTACATACATAAAAGGGAATGGGAGGGACGGGAATATATATATCGCAAAGTACGAATACGAAGTACGAAGTCGCAGCTCATCCTTCATTCCACAAGCCATCGTGGGATAACGGCGATCTCTGTGTTTCTGTATAACCCAACCTGACACGCGACAGGACAGGACAGGACCTCCACTAAGCTTACCCTACCTTACCTACCTAGGACGTGTTGAAATGATATGATATCCTTCCAAGTGATGTGTTCAGGTGTGATACACAACCATTCACTACCGGAGATGAAGTGAAATGTAACTAGAAACCACGGATTTAAGGGTCCGTAAGTAAGTAAATCCAAGTAAGAACTGTCCTGGATATATCTCGATTGATGATTGGGCACACAGAAATTACACGCATGCATCGGAATTGCGAGGCGAATTTGCCATCCATTGAGGTATTTAGGTAGGGTAGGCGTGCACCCTATTTGCGGCCACGATAATCTTCAGGGCAAACCGTTTGAATCGTCATGTTGTACATGACCATCTTTCGCCCTCATGCAAGCTCCGCCCTCGATAACGCAGCCTTCGGAGTTCAACTCTTCCCCGCGTCCTCCTTCAGCGCCACAATCCTGTTGAGAATGATGTGGTCGTCTGTGGAATCTGAATCCATGGCGAAGTAGGCAATGCGCATTGCCTGGAAACGAACACTCTCGGGTCCACCCTTTCCAAGCTCACTCTCGCCCGCTGCTTCCGGCCACGGTGCTCTCTTCTTGACTTCGTCGAAGCCAGATTCGACCATAGCATTTGGATAAATAACTTCACTCTCTGGGTTGATGTCTTTGAGGAAACCTCCTGGTGCATCGTTGGGGTTATCCGTATTGAACAATGAGTTGTAGACTCTAACTTCTGCTTTTCGAGATCCTGCGGCTTCAATGGGGACCCACTGAATATACGCCTTTGGTTTCTTGGTCTCCTTATCGAAAACTGCCCGAATCTCCGTTACTTTTCCAGTAGCCTCGTCTTTTGTAAACGACACAGCTTTGATAGGATGGGGAACTTGGAGGAGACCGACGGACTAAATCACAAAATTAAGTAACAACATTGGCAAATGCAAAAGACCCATGAGATAGATACTCACCTTTCCTGGAGCAAGGCGGAAAAATGAAGGGTCAGCTTCTTCTCTAAAATCAGAGCGGTCAATGTAGACGGTCTTTGTGAATGTGACATTGTGAACGCCCATCTTAGGCTCCTTTGGGCTGAATGGAATGGATAGAACGTTTCCATCCAGATCATCCGCATCTTCAATCACCACAGGGATGGGATCCAAGATAAGCATCAGACGCGGGACCGTGCGCTCGAGGTATTTTCGGATTGCCTGCTCAAAACGTTTGATCTCGATAACCGAATTAGCTGTAGTAACACCGAGCTCGTTGACGAACTCTAGAATGGCGCCAGGCGGAACACCTCTACGCTTGATGCCGATCAGGGTATAGAGTCGCGGGTCGTTCCATCCTCGGACAATCTTCTCTTCTACAAGCTTAAGGATTTTTCGCTTCGAAAGGATTGTACCGGTGATCGACAGTCTTCCATATTCACTATATGTGTGTTAGTAGGTGAGTGAGATCAATCGGGTCGTTAGTCAAAGCAGTCCAATTGAAATATTAAATATACCGCTGCATCGGCTCATATACGCCGAGAGTCTTGTTGAGCCACTCATAGCTTACTCGACTTTGGACTTAACATACAATAGTTAGCAATCAACTCAATAATAATAATATGTGAAATGGGTAATGGGGTGAAGGAAAATGGCGTGGACTGCATACCAAATTCTGTAGTGCACAGAGAATGTGTCTAAGTCGCGTTAGCAAAGTGTGAAACCCGAATGGCGATAGCTAGGTGAGCACTTACAATGCCCTCAAATGAATCGCAAAGACAATGTGTAAAGTCGTAAGTTGGATAAATCTTCCAAGCATCACCAGTGCGGTAATGTGGTTTCTACCAATTCTAGGTCAGTTTGTAATAGGGGCAGTGGTCGTTTGCCAAGACGCCTCAGGGGTTCAAGAGTCCCCAATTATTTTACTTGTAGGAAAAGGGATACTCACGTCTAGGACGCGGTAAGCTGCAAGATCCCACATCTGTGGGTTACCATCCGTTATACTACAATTTGTTAACATTTACACCTGATCATAACATGCCTCCGAAAAGTAGCTCACTCTATATAGACGTTAGAACAATTATATCATCGTACTATTCATCGTGTTAGTTATGACGAATAGACATACCTTGCTTCATTCTGAGGAAAGCTTCCTGAGGCTTGTATTTGCCATCTCGCATATCTCTGAACTTCTGCAGGTTCTCCTCAGCAGATTGTTCAGCATGCTTGCAGCGGTAGCGTGGGCCCGCTGTGCCTTTCTCACCACCGCGTTGAAGCTTAATTTCAGTGTCGCTGCACTGGCAAACATAGGCCCTTTCGAGCCCGATTAGCTTTTCGGCTAAATCGTAGAGCTTTTGGAAGTTGTCAGACGAGTAGGTGATTTTGTACGGCTTGAAGCCAAGCCACTCAACCATCTCGAGAATTGCATCAAAGTAAACCTGCTCCTCAGCTTCGGGATTTGTGTCGTCGTAGCTATTAGTAGAGGTTAGCCGTGCCGGGAAGTGAAGTGACGCTTCTTTTAGGTGGTTTACGTGACGTCCTTACCGAAGGTAACATTCGCCCCCATGATACCTAGCGAAGCCAAAGTTGACTGCAATGGCCTTTGCATGTCCAATATGAAGGAATCCGTTCGGCTCAGGGGGAAATCGAGTGAAGACGGGCTTCATGGGTCGAATCTTGAAAACTTCATCGAGGAAGCCCGTTTTGAACATGTTGTTGGGATCGATTGTTGGTTCTTCGGTAGCGACTTTTGGTTTTGGGGCCGGCTTAGGCTTTTCATCGTTCTTTGCATCAGTCTTCGCAGCCTCCTTTGCCTTGGCCTTTTCACGCTTCTTTAATCTCTTCTTTAGCTCGGCCTTGGAGATCATCTCTCCCGTCTCATCGTCGAGCTGTAGTTTCGCGGTACTCTCTGCTAGGTCCGCCATGATTGCGACTTATTGACTGCGCAAATAATAAACTAGATTTATTCGTTCGTGGATTATATCCGCCCAAGTAGATGTTGATTCGCGTTATTCTTAGTGTTGCTGATCCGGTGTTGATGAAACTGAAAAGAGTCACTTCCTGCCCCTCGTTTTTTGTAGATGAGTCGACCAACAATGAGCCCGATAAGATAGCCCCTCTTAAGTGGGTACCTGTAGTTAGTGGGTAGATCATCGCTGTGCAATGATGTTTGTATCGATAACCGTCTGCAGGGGTGGTAGCTCGAGGCCTGGTCAATGCGTTTCACGGCAAGCATGCCATAATCTTGCTGTTCATCTATAAATAGGGAGGGGCCCACGTGATACCCCTCGCCATACTCTCCCCCCTATTTCTCGTACACAACTACCTATATTCACATAACTTCACCAAACCTAGGTTAACTCGAATTGTATCATGTATGCTCCCTAAATCTTCGTTGAATTATAATAGTCAATGAATTATTATTCTCCGAGTAGGAATAATTCTTCGCAATCTTTATCATTGGGATGCATGGATTCATTGGATGAAGGTAGAATGATTCTCGCGAATAGGGATCCCCACTACGATAAGCTTACTAATCATCCATACCTAGTTATATCCTGATCGTGGAACATAGGAGCTACAAGAGATACACCAATGGGCATGCCATAAGAATCCGTAAATCCCAGTATATTGATGATGGGCATATGAAATCTACCACCCCAGGTTGTTCAGAAAGAACGAATACTTCGTACAAGAAAAGAAATACACCCCATCAAAGGAGTACTGAATGTTAGGTACCTTCCCCCTATCGTCAAATCTAGAGGGAGTTTCGCCCACGGCACTAGGTGCAAGGATGACCGAGTGGTTCTCGGCCAGCTTATTGGCAATATGTCGCATGATAGTGCACACGGCGGAAGCATCCATCCTCTCCTTTCCAGTGCAGTTGGCAGTGTTTTCAACGATGCTACGAATCTCTAGTACCAGGTTCATGTTACCTAGGTACTCGGCACTCTGAAAGAAGCCGCTTGGCCTTCGCCGAGCGTGATGATCTAATTTCTGACATGAAAGAAACTCCTTCAACTAGCGCGCTGCAGTTTTGGAGCATGGCGACGTATTCTTCCATTGCCGCTATGGTGCTAGGTCCTGCCCAGTGCTACATAGGGGTCTCCATCAAAGCAACAGATACTGGGCAAATGACACTACCAACAGTCTGCGCTCCGAGGCAGAGCCGAACTTGCAAGTCGGCAACCGCTGCCGTAGAGCCACACGAAGATACGTCTGGAGCACAGTATAAGCCATGTAAATCAATGGTTTTGGGCCATGAGTTGGCTTCCGTGAACTCGGTCGTGTTTGTTCAACCAAGTAACAAGAATGCCTGACTGAGAACTTAGGAGTACGCGCATGTATTAACTGACCAAACATGAGGACCCCGACAGCTTGTAATATGGCGATAAGGGATAAATCGGCGTGGTTGATGATCATGGTAAATAGGGGAGTCGGATTACGTAAGCATATCTACCGTATACAGGTAAGCTCATACCTTCACAGTGCTATCCCGTTCCTTGATGCGTTCGAAGAGAGAATCTGTATGCCCTTCTTCAGCAGCTATCATATGACCAAGGTGTTCTTGGGTAGATTAAGTAGCTAGGTGGCCGTCAAGCTGTATAATGGTGCGTTGCAGTTGCCTGGGGCACCCTAGGCTCCACTAGGCCATATATTAGCACTACGCCATTGTAGTCAGGAATAAAGCAAGCCTTCTTCCATTCATATTTCTTCTTCTTGGTTTGCAGTTATCCTGCAACATGGTACCATTATCCCTGAGTATTATCGGATTTGAGGCCCCAACGAGGACCGGCGAATAAGGAAGTGGAAATACATACCTTCACGAGCTCAAGTTATAGTACACCAGATATACCAGTAATCAGCCCCATGTTGGGCCAGGATTCTCTAGGGCTCACCAACGTTACTTGTTAGTTGTAACCTATCTTATCAGAGCTAGTAAGAAGGCTGACGTGTATGTAAGCACCTGCTTGATAGGTAGGCGAGAAACTTGAGCATGCCGACCAACGAGGATTTTCAACTTATAACCGGCTGAGAGGCTTCAACATGTCAGCGATATATTACCAGGCACCAACAGCTCTCGGAGGTATTTCTAAATAGCAGTTGTGAATTGCAATAACTGATCTTTGACATGCGCCTTGCACGCCTTGTCATTCTCAATAGGTATCAGCATGTCAGTTGTCCCATAACTTCTGACCGCTAGGCCTTTACCACCTGTAAGAATTTTATTTTCTTTACTACAAGTGAGCCTCTACTTCTAACATCCGCAACTGGTCGTTTCCTTCATCGCCACTAATTGCGGCAAACAGTATGAGCTACACACATCCAAGGGTAGGTAGGTGCAGTTGACTGGCGAATCCTCAACAGTAGATACTTAGGTACTAGGTAAGTAAGTATCAAGTAAATCAAGCTATGTACTTGACCCCAGTTGACTCACATTACCATGTGGTGGTGTGTACCTAGCATCGATCACCATCCAAAACAGCAAGAAGGGAATTTCCTATTATGTACAATGTCTCAAATAAGCATCTTATTCCTCGGAGATAGTTACACTGATCGTAGCTGTCTATCAGACCTGCATTGACGAATTCAAGACAATCTGTGCCCTCCTCGGAACTCCTCGATCGTTACCTATCTCAATAAACGTGGCTACAAAAGTACCGTCGACTCCAATTACGTGGAATGTGTAGTCCTAATTAGGCAGACTTGGTTAAACTCCGGTAATTTTCTCCCTTGACAGATACTCAATTGAGACCATAACTCGACATGTATTGCGCGAAAGAGTTATAAACTACCGATATGGTATCTTCTCCCTAGGCCTTTTGAGTAGTGATACACACACTATGATCCAGGCACAAAGTTATCATTGACACAATTTTATCCCTCGATTTCATAGACATCCCTAAGTGTTTGGAGCGTAGTGGCAGCAACTTCAATATTGTGTGATGGACTAGGAATATGAAGTATCAACTCATAATTAGGTACGTAGGTAGATACTTGCTTTTGGATGCCCATCGCTGTGGCGACGTGTTAAGCATCACCGATGCGAGCAGGCGAAACTTAGTTGCTTACATCAAAGTAGGATCACTCTTCACGTACCTACAATATAACATCGCCCAACTAGGGATCGAGATAGTATCGCGGTAGCAACTCTCCCTCATATTGACTACTACTGGTGTAATTTAGCGACAGGTAATCTGTTGCAGTACATCTGTAAGTAAGAAGAAGAAAGAGGAAAGGAAGAAAACTTGCTTTATTTCTAAATTACGGATGGCGGAGTGCCAATATATGGCTATAAGGGCTATATGGCTAAGGATGTTTAAGACATCTATAACATACCTTCATTAATATAAAACCATACAACTATTGCCACATTTACTATTAATAGATAGTCTTAAAGCTATATAATTAAATAATTAAAGTATAATTTTCTATTTCTTTTTAAAATAATAATCGTTTTTCTTTTTTAATTTTTTGAAGTAATATCCGTAAGTTTATTTTTTTTATTTACATTTTCCCAAATTTATTAATCGGATAAAAACCTTATATTTTTCTTTTACTAGTGGTTTAATTAGTTTATTTGTTATTATTTCCTTAATTCTAACGTGTTAAATTTTAATATTTTTATGTTAAACTTTATCAATAATCCATTTATATTGGGTATCGATATAACAAGTTCTTATTATATTTAAGGGATTAAAAATTATAACAATCGTATTAATTAAATCTGAAAAAAGCAGTAAAGGCTTTAATTAAAAATATCCCAACTTTTAAAAAAGTTTTAATATTCATATTTCCGATAATCCTATTAAAAATAAATTAATAAACTTTATTTCCGTATTATTTAATACGACTAATAATTATTTCTTTAAACTTTAATATATAAGGCCTTCTACTAAGGTCATTAAATAAGCTCCCGTTAATTTTCTTAATCTTAAATAATTTGCAAAAGTAATATTTGCTTAAATTATTAACTTTAAATTCCTAAAATCGTATTTACCACTTAACGTTATTTTAAAGTCTTATATAATATTAATATATTTCCATAAATGTTTTTTTAATTTAAAATAAATTTTGTTAAATTTTACGTTAACTTTTATAAAGGTTAATATAATTTTAATTATGTTTAAACAAGTCTTAATAAATAATTAATTTAAAGATCTTATTTCTTTAATATATTTAATATGTTTAAGTTTAATAATTTTTTCTTATATTAATGAGATTATAATATTAAATCTTTATAACGACTTTATTCTTTTTAAAGTTTTAACATTATACTTTAAGAGAATTTTTCTAATAAATTCGGATTAATTAAAGAATATTTAACATAATTCCCTATTTCGTTTAATTTTAAATTTAATAAATTTAGTTATTTTGCTTATTTTATTAAGCTTAAAAATATCGTTTAAATCGGTTTTTATTTTCTCGATAATTTCAAATATATTACCTATAATTAATAAATCGTTAACATATATTAATATAAAAACTCCTAATTTTTCGTTCTTAAATAAATAATACTTCGTAAATATATTTTTAAACTTTATCTTTTTCATTATTTTTAATATATTTTTAAACCATTAAATTAAAGCTCGTCTTAAGCCATAAAATGCTTACTTAAGCTTTTATATTCGATTTATTCCATCTTTATAACCAACTATTTATTTAGTGTAAATTTCGGTTTTTTTTGGAATTATATTATTTAAAAACGTAATAATAATATTAAATTATAAACATTTAAGGTTAAAAATTACTACTAAAATAAAAAAGATTTTAATTATAATTAAGCTTATAATTGCAACATAAACGTCTTAAATTACCTAAGAATTATTAATCTTAAAATTACCACATATAATTAATTTTACTTAATTATATATAAATTTACTTTTCTTGTTAAACTTTTAATTTAAAACTTATTTAATTGGTAATAATTTTTCTTTTAAAGGAAGATTAACTAATTTAAAAACCTTTCGTTTTACAAAACTATTAAATTATTTATTAAAGGCTAATTTCCATTATTCCCATATCTTTAAATCACTTTTAACTTGTTTAAATAATTTAATTAATAATAAAGTTATAATTTATTTAACTTTAATATTTATTAAAATATAAGCCGGTAAATTTTTTTTAATTTAACTTTTATAATAATAATAAATTTTAAGCTTTATTAACGTAAGAAAAAACTTTCCTTTTTCTTTTATAAGGCTTAATTTATTATAAAATATTAAAGCTTTTTTTTTTTAGAAAATCGTCTTAATTATAAAGGTTTTAAGGGTTAAAGTGGTGGTTAAAGTAATCGTTAAACTTATATTAGCTAAAAAGGCTAAAAAAGCTAAAAAGGCTAAATAAAAAATTAAAAGAAAAGTTAAATTTATTTAATAATATATGTATTTTCCATTTATTATTATAATTAATCTTTTTCGTTTTCTTTTTTTTCGTCCTTTTCTTCGTCTATTAAATTATTATAATCGTTAAAATTAATATTTTTTTTCTTATTTTTTTAATTTTCTTTAGCTTATTTAACTTTATTATTTTTTTTATTAAGCTTTTTTTTTAGATTTTAGCTTTTTTAAAAGATCTTTTTTTAATTTTTATGATTTTTATTAGGATTAAAGTTAATTTAAATTATTATTATATCTAAGATTAAATTTTTATTTATATCACCATCCTTAATTATGCTTTATACCATATTTTAAAAGTTATTACTTTTATTTTAATTTTTAAATTTTATTTTAAATTATGTTTTTAAAAGCTTTTTAAGAATTATAATAAGTATAACCTTTTTAAGCATTCAAATTAATATATAAGTTAAAGCTGGAGTAATTTTTAGGGTAATTTCCGGCGTGATATTAAGTGTTAAAGTAATTTTTAAGGTTATTTTTAATAAGATAATAGGTGTAGTTATTAATGATATCGATATTAATAATCGACTTAGTTTAAAACTCGATTTACGATTTAATTTAAAGCTTGGTTTATAATTTAGTTTAAGGCTTAATTTATAACTTAGTTTAAGGTTTAATTCATAAGTGGATTTAAGGTTGTTATAATTTAATTATTATTATATTAAAGATATTATCGGTTTTTCTTATTATTATATTTATAAATCAAGCTTTATACTTTTTAAATAATCTTAGGTTTTAAATTTTTTAAGGCTAATTCTAGCTTTAAATTTACTTAACTTTATTAAATTTAAATTAATTAAAATAATCTTATATTTTAAATTTTTTAACTTGTCTCCATCGTAACGTCCTTTTTCGTTAAATTTGATATTTTTTACAAAAATAACTTAATTAAGTTATAGCATTTAAATCTTATATATTTTTAATTATTTATTTTTATATTTTATTATATAACCTTTAATTACTTAAGATGCCTACTTTTTTTTACGTGGGATTTATTTCTTTCATATTTAAGTAATCGTTTTAAAGGTTTATAAATTTAATAAATATTTTTTTTTTATTTTTTTAAAAAGTTTAAAGTAGTTGTAAAAACAACTATAAGAAGATTTATAATTCTCGTTAACCTTTATAAAAAATAAATTTATAATTATAACAGCTATTTTTTTAACTTATAACCAAAAAAATATCGATAACTTAAATTTAATTATAACAGCCTTTATTAAAATAATTATTAAATCGTTAACTTTTTTAACTTATCCGTTTTACTTTAATATATAATTAATTATTATTTTAAATTATATATCGACTTTTTTAAATTCATTCTTTATAACTCCTTTCTTTCCTAAAAATTCTTTTCCTTTATCAAAATAAAAAATCTAAATTTTAAGTTTAATTTAAAGTTTAACTTTTTTTTAAAAATTAAATATTAATTGGTAAATTACTTCCTTATTTCTTAAAAACTTTACTTATCGATAACTATTATATTTATTTATAAATATACATAAATACTTAAAATTTATATAACCTTTTTAACTATAAAATAAGATATTTATATAAATAACTTAAAAAAATCATAATGTTAAAATTAAAAATACTTTTTAAATAAGTTTTTTTACTTTTATTTATACACATATATCGTAAAATTCCAACTTAAATAAAATCTTTAATTTTAATCCACATTTTTTATAAGTTAATTTAATTTTTAAAAAGCTTATATGTATTAAACGTTTATATATTAAGTTAATACTAACCGCTATAAAAATAATTTAAGGTTTATATTAATTATTAAAAACTTCAAATAATTAAAATACTTTTAATCTTTATAACCACTTAATCTTTGCCACTTTTTAAATTATTAAATCTTTTAAACGTAAAATATTTATTATCTTATTAAATATAATATTGTTATTTCTTAATTATCTTATATTTATTAAATTTATAAACGTTTTTAAATAATAACTTACATTTAAAAGTTATAAATTAATTACACCCTTATTATTTTAATAGATTTTTATTATCACTATATTATAACTTAAAGCTTTAGCTTTATTATTATTTGAAATTATTATATTTAATAATACTAAAAAAAATTAATAAGTTTTAAACCACTTAAAATTATTAAACATATAATTTATATAACTTAAATTATTAACGCACACATCTCAAAAAAGGTTTTTAATTTAATTAAAATTTATAACTATAACTAAAAAAATATTCACTAATAAAAAGTTATTATTTACTTATTTGTATAATAAAACTTTAATATTAACATTTAATAAGCCTTTAAATGTTTTATTTTTTCCTAATTTAATTGCTATTTTACCCTTTAAAACTAGCTTTAACTTTAAATAAAAAACATAACACTTTTCAATTCCTTTTATATAACATTTTTTACATTAAATACACCATTATTAAATTAAATAATATTTTTTTTTATATATTATATAATCGATAAATTATTTCTTCTTTAATTTTAATAACTCACCCCTTTTAATATTTAAATTTAACGATTTAAATAAAAATATAATTATCATTAAATCCTTATTATTCACCTTTTATATAAATTTTTTTAAAAATAATTGTTAAATTAGGACTTTTTTTTGGTAATCCCGTTCCAAAAATCGATATTAATTTAAATATCGTTTCTTAATAACTTTTATTATATTAAATATCTTTATAATTTCAAATAAATTAAAATTTAATTACTTAAATTTATCGAATATTTTCTTAAATTTAATTATATAGTTACGCAAAGTCATTCCATCTTTAAAAATAAGGTTTTTTAATTAATAATATAATTAAGATATTAATTATTTAAAGATTTTAAGTATTATTTTTAATATTAAATCGTAAACCACTTTAAAATCGTTTTTTTTATCTTTTTAATTAGTTATTTCTAATTAAGTAATCACGTTTAAACTACGTAATAAATTTGTTAATAAAGCCATATAATAGATTTGTTTCTTGCGATATTTTCGTTTTATTTTATCGGATATTTCTTGTGAAAACGTTTATTATATACCATTAATAAATCTATTAAATCCATAATATTAGTAATATTAATATATTAATCTTTTCCATTCTTTAAATCTATACTCGTTAAGAAATAATAAAATTAATGGAAAATATAATAAGCCTTTTGCTATTTTAACGAATTTTTTAATTAATTTTAATATTTATTTAATGTTATATTTTATCGTTAATTTTTCGTTATTATTAATAATTAAAAAATTTATTATTTCAAGATTTTATCTGTCGTATTATTATTTTAAATATTTTAATAACCTTGTTTAAACCTTATTTAATAAGTTTTTTTTAAAATGAATAAATATAATACTTAACTTTAATACCTTTTTAAGCTCCTTCCTTAATAACCTTATCTTTTAATTTAGTTTTATATTAGATAAGTTTCTTACCTATATTTTGTTAATTTAACTTTGGTTTTATAAAAATTAAAAGAAATAATATTTTATAATATTTCCTTTAATTATTTAATATCTTTTAACATTAAATCGGCGCTTTTTAAGCGGTACGGAGCTTATAACTTATTATAATATATCTATAAGTAAGAAGAAGAAAAAGAAAAGGAAAAAAGCTTATTTTATTCCTAAATTATAGATGGCGGAGTGCCAATATATGGCCATAAGGGCTATATGGCTAAGGATGCTTAAGGCACCTGTAACATAATCTGTTCCAGCAGTTTGTTGGTTGGTAGATTAGGTACATGCTACCTATGTTATAACATACCTGGTACTATCCCTGAATGTAGGTTCCTTCAAAAGCTTCAATGTTTGTTGATACACATGTGTGCTCAAATCCAACATAAATGACGGTTATAGCCATTCTTGGTCTTCTGGGATAATCATGTGGAGGTGCCTTTTTCAAACCTTGTGAATGCCACACTGCCTCCCTCTAAGACTTCCATAACTACCATTCCATTCATCGAAGTATACGTGTGTCCTTCGGCGGAGAACCTACGCACGACCATGGTTCACTGTATAGTCTTCGGCACTATTCTGGACTACTCCGGAGCAATGAGCGCTGTATGCGATATCCGCCTGAAGAGCAGTGATTCCTCGACCGATACAACAGTGCAATCCTGTAAAGGCCGGGCGCAACACTGGCCGAGCATTTGAATCGCAAGGAGGGAGAATCGAACGATGATAACGATAATCTCAAAGCGTGGCAGTGGGATGTGAAGAGAGTCACTCTTGAGATCAAAGCTCACATCATGCGAACTTTAATGCTGGGGGTCGGGCCGCACCTGGACACTGCCCACGAACTCCAAGCTGGCATCCCGATTCATATGCCCATGTATGATGTGCCTTGCATAAACTCCCAGATGGTGAACGTGTATCACAGACTGCCATTATGTGGTAATGCTTGTTTCAAATCTAATAGAGACGGTTCCTGATCACTTAGAGAGAGGCAGATATGTTACACGGTACTGGGAGGAGGGATAGTTACCGGCGAGGGTTGCTGTACTACGTTGATGAGATGTAGCCGAACCTAATAAATCACATGACTTTGTTGTGGCTATAGTGGCTTAGTCATATTGAGCCCCGCACTTTTCGGTAGCTGTCAGTTACATAAGACAATCTCCTCAATGTTTTTGATTCTTCCCTTTTTCTAATGAAACATCGGCTTTCGAACCTCAGTTCCATATCAGTACCTTAATCACTAGGGATACTCGACGCTGGAGGAAGTTGCCGCACTCCCTCATCGATGGATATCAAAGATGGATATCAAAGATGGATATTTGATTCACGGACGCCATGTCCCAGATGATTCCCCCCTTGTGACGAGGGGATCTCTAACATCCCACCGGATACTACCTATTACAGATACTGTAGCCCCTGTTGTTCTAGCTAGTCCCCGGGTACACCTTTGACAGATGCGGCCCCGGATACCCGTCGGTTGATCTCCAATCGCCGAAGAACCGCCCGCGTTAATCAAGCCGCCACAATTTGGGTGTTAGCGCTAACACCGGAATGGATTTACCGATTGACTGCCCCTACAGGCAAAACATTGCCCCCCCGGATCACCATCCTCCTGGCGAATTCCGTTAAGATTCGGCGTAGCGGATTCCTACTGTCATCTATTGACAAGAAGTTAGGCGGTTTTCTGCAAATATACTACGGCGACTCAGACGCCTTTCTGGCCTTGATTGGCACGCACAACCCTCATGATGTAAGTTTGCCTGGAGTGCGCCTAACTAAGTAGACAACTTCCTTGTGGATATCTGCTGAGCCCATAGAGGAGCATTTAGATGTGTTGGCTCAGTCGGCCCAAGCTGTTGCGCAGAATGTTGATGTTAGCCCATCCAGGCCATGATCTATACTGCATCACTCAAGCCAAGAAATTTCCCAGTGCCTCTTGTTGCGAAGCTGTCTGACTTGTGCACAGGCTCTTACGCTCTGTCAAGACGACATCTTTAGTAGGTTTTGCAATGTTGCCAAGACCTGGAACAACCAGCGAATTGTGAACTGCTGGTGCCTACATACGTACATGGTATGAAGCCTTGCGCATCATCTCCGCCGGTCGCCAGCACGCTGTGGAGAGAACGGTATTCCGATGAGCGGGGGTGCGAACCACTCACATCCAGCAGACATGTCATCCCGCTGGCCTAGACGCCCAGGCAGGCCGTCTGAATATATGCAATCCATGGTGACGCGAACTGCATTCCCGAGCCGTTCGCCTTTCTGTCGGCATTCTGGCTAACGGGTAGTTGACAAAAAGATGACGCGCGCCGATATGCGTTCCGCATTTTTCCCCTTTTCAATCGGTGCCTAGGGATGCGTTGGCAAGGTCATAGTAGATCTAGAGACCAGTGTAGTGGTGTCGAAGGCGTTTTGAACTTCGCTTCAGAGATGGCCCCGAAGTCCGGTGAGGCGCGCTCCGGCGTGCCTAGGATGGTAAGGAGCGTCCTGGCGATTTTCAACTCTACCTAGGTGCGATTGATTCGATTACACGCACGATGATGACTATCGAGAAGAGATTGTTGTGGTGATGGGCCTTCATCCCGAAGTTACCTACGACCAAGAGTTTCTCAGCAACTTAGGCTGACCCGGATGTTACTTTGGTTGCCCTGGTAACCATATAATCCATTGATATTGCAGTATCTTGAGACAATATAGAGTATGTCAGGTCCAGGATGTAAGTGAAGGTTTAACCTCCCCTTAGCAACGCCTCATCAAGCCTGAGGAAAAGCGCAAATACGTTGCAGAGAAACTCTCGGATGATGCAACCGAGAATAAGCCCACTGCCAGCTACCATCTGAGACATCTCGGGGGAGGCGTTCTGATCTACTCGGGCCGGACACAACGCACTATGATAATAGTTCGTTGTCAATTATGTCATTGATTGAGATCTCACATTCGTCAATATTAGGACTTGGCATGTTCCAAGGCTACCTGTCTATCTATCTATCTAACTATCGTATGAATTTGTTTTCTAATCTAAGTGCATATATCAATTACTGATCTTTTAGTCCTTTTCAGCTGTATTATCCATTTTGGGGGCTCCGTCGTGACCTAGTGTTTGGCAGTAGTGGAATAGAGCAGGAAATAGTCTCCAAAAGTCCTTGTTTCAAGGCAGTGATGATTTCACGATGCTGAATCGGTAAGAGCTCAGCTGTAGATTATATAATTCGGATTTGGTAGCCGTAGCCCCCTTGCTGTCTTACCAACTTTGTAGAGTAGTTAGAGATTTGGGATAGCAAAAGCAAATACTTCTGTCTTGACAACTACATACTTCACGCTCACATAGTTTGCAGGCAATGAAACTCAAGAAAGGAAGATTAGCTTGCTTTGACGTCTTGATCACCGTTGAACTATCTAAACATAGCTGAGCAGCATGATAATCAAGTCTACTTCACAGAGCTCTCGGTACGCTATTCAAGAATCAGGTTAAGGAGGCAGGCAGTTACACACGCGTAACTAGTACTTTTGTTTTCGCTATTATAGCTCTTGTAACACAAGACCTAATTATCATCAAATCAAGTAACCAAAGCGTATGGCTGGGCACTTGCAAGTAAAAGAAATAACTACTATCTACATGCCTATTTGGAGAAATACACTAGGTTATAATTAATCTTACTTTCAGTGCGTTGAGTTGAAAACGTTGAAATAGGAGTGTAGTAGGTAGGTATTATTAATAGATCTCTTTCTGTCACACCCTCTGCTAGTGCTCACCCTACCGAAACATACCTACATAACTACATGGAGGTTATCATCAACTTAAAGCCAACAACACTAATATGTAAATGGATACCCACGTCTCCAAAATCAAGTATTGTGTAGCTGGTAGTTCAGCTAGCCTCCAGTAGTCAACCCTGATATCATTCTCATCAGTATCCAGTCGTCGCCACCTCCACCTCCACCTCCACACTTCACTCTTCAACCTACCTAGGTAGGCATTCTACTAGGCTAGGTACTTTTGGGAGAAGCTAGTTTGCCAGCAGATTTCCTTGTCGAGTTACGAGCCACGACCTTGTCGTGGGCTATTTTCATCTCGGATCCGGGGCCTGAGGGGGGGGGAATGGATACCTATGGATATATGGATAGGGGTGCTCGGACCTAGCAGCTGCATCGGGTAGGTATGTATTATGTGGCTAAGGCTTTTTTGTTGCTAGGACCCTATCAACAACGGGTCCATGAATAGCTCCCATATTTAGCTCGTCGTCGTACAGTCTTTAGCACCTTCCTCTCCTTGTGACAAGCATTGGGGGCGGGGAGAGAGTGGAGGAAGATGATGAACAATGAAGTTGAGGCTAGATAGGTACCCACGCAAGAAAAGAAAAAAAGAATACGGATATGCAAAAAAAAAAAAAAAAAATGCACCGCCAGCCCAACGGACGAATCAGCAGAGATGCAGATATGAATGAAACGTCACTGCAAACCCTAAAGCCTCAGTTGAAATTAGAGCTTCGGTGCCGAATGCTTGGTACAATGGATGAATGTGGGATGGAGATGTTTGCTATGGGGTGGCGTTAGGCTGCGGATCGTCAACGCTATGCACCAGTCAGTGGCTACCTAGGTCCTAGGCAGACTTCCCATGTCAGAGGCCTCACAAGGACTAGCCTTCTTCAATATGGATCTGTAGGTATTTCAACTTGGTGCCCAAAAGTACGCTGCGGGTCTGTTGTGTGTGAGCACTGGCGATGGTGGCGATGAAGGTTTACGTTAGAGACGTTCCAGGGGTAAGAGGTCAGTCAGTCAGTCAGTCAATAAAGCACACAGCTAAGCCATCGTCGATGAGCTGGGCTTGAGTGTGAGTAAACAATGAAAGTATAAACCCACCTGGTAACCTTGGTTACTACCTATTTCTTTTTTCTTTATCATTGTTTTGACAGCCTCCGAGTTGACCGGCCGAAGATTTTCCTCCATCTCGTAACCTAGTAAAGTTGTCTGAAAAAGATGGGCAGATCGGCTAACACACCAGAGCCCTACGAGACACCCAGATGGGGGTCCTGAACCAGAGCCTTGGGTTCTTAGTAGCTACGCTAGCTAAATAGCTGCACGCCTGGGTTGTTTACCTCGTTTTCATCAGTAGTACTATGCAGTTTAATAAGCGTCGCTCCTGGGGCACACAGCAGCTACGTATGTATGTGCATATCGTTGGCGACGTCGTGGGCTCACGAGAGAGATTATTATTTCATCTGATTAGCATCCAGCTGTTCGGTACCCGTAATCTAATGCAAAGCGACGTGGTGGACATCGTAGTTTAACAAGTGTCGGACATATCGAGCAATATGTAGCAGGCTGGGATATACCCTTAATTCCAAATACCTAAACGTAATCCACACACTACTCACTACCTACCCAACAGTGGACTTTCTTCTCTCCATGGAATGTCGTTGTAATACCGCGACACTGTTAGTTATTAGGCCCAATATTCAAAAGTCCCTGCGTTTCTACAGAGCAGGGTCGTCACGTCATAGAAGTGTAGGTAGCTAACAATTTCCCGCCAACCTTGGCTACCTCGGGGACGATACCTAGAGGTCACCGTCATTTCCCGTGTGTTTTACTTCAGGTGGCGCTAATGTCCACCATACTTTCTGATTATGTACGCGGAAACGTTCCAAGGCTTAGTTAGGTAGTTAAGTAGTTAGAACTTAGAATCCCTCGTCCAAACCGCTTTCTTGATCTGGTAGTTTATTATGTGTCCGACCTTTTCTCGAACGTCGTGAAACGGAGAGCTTTCTCTTTCACCGTCCTGCCTCGGGCATTTTATTGGCTGCCGATGGGGGGTTTGTTGGTTGGACTGGTAAGTAAGCCCTTTTTTTTTGTGACGCTTTTTGAACATTTGGTACTACTTTCGCACTTTGATGCGACCTATCATATGCAGTTGGTGCGGAAGGCAACGTGATTTCATAGCCACGCAACTTAGATAGCCGATGCCTTTTTTTGACATCCGTGGATACTACCTAGTAGGTATAGACCTTGTGTGACCCGCAGCTATCCCGCATAGAAATCCAGTCATCCTCTCAGCGTTGTATTCTTGGTTACTTAAGTGTCCATGGTTTAAAATCCTATCTTGCGGTATATATATCGTTCAATTAGAAACGCCACACCATGTGAGTTGGTGTGTTACTCAACTCATGAGCGTATGGAGGTAAAATAGGGGCTACGAAGTTTTGAGTGGTAGGTTGGCGTGGAGTATCTGAAAAGCACTCAGGACCCTTTCATCCTAAATTCAAAACATAGGTAACCACCGCGGGAAATTTTGAAAGATCGTCTGTGCAAAAGATTGTATGTGAGGCTCGCCCGTTTATTTTATGTCTCGGCCATATACATCAGACACACTAATATTTCAAAGTGAGACATGCTCCCCTATATACCTGCCATACCTACATTAGTTTTACGCGGAGTATGGCCACCCACTAGAAATATGCAGAGTATCGATTCCATATCTATGTGTGTCGTAGAATATGCCTTGTGAATGTCTCATCACGCAAAACCCTTCCAGGAGAAAGAAGGGGGCTAAGGGTTGTTGTTCACGATCATCACAAAAGAAGAGAGTGTCTTTTTTTTTCGTATGCTTTTTTTCGACCACCTATGCGAATGCTGATAACTACCTATTATTATACAAAATTGGTAGCCCGTAGGCTACTCAGTAACACGATTTTAGAAACAATGGTATCCTCTTCCCCAAGCCCGTAGCTCCACGATCTGCCGAGTACGCTCACGGAGTTACCGTGATAAAAAAAAACGTAAACGTAGAAACTATAGAACGGGTAACTCAATACAAGTACTCCAAAAAACGCCTTTGAATCAAGTAAACCTCCAAATGCAAAGATATCGAGGGTACTGTAAGTCACAAAGGGAAAATATAAAAAAGAGAGTCGATTCCCGTGCCCTTAACGCCGTGCTCCTTTTCCAAGTCCCCCAACACAGGAGTTTCATATCTGGCCTGACAGCGTGATATCCAAGATTTACCGCCGTAATTTCAAAACATAAAAACTCCTTTGATTTGTTTGGGAACTAAACGGATAGTCGGGGGTATCAATTTAATGTGACTAGTCTTCGTCTTTGAACGTGACGCCTTTATTCTTCAGCTGACTCCGTTGCTTGGTCTTGTTTATCTCTTCATCAAGCAGGGCTTGGGCCTCAGGGTGGTAATCTGTGCGGCGAGTTGGACGGTTCTTCATGGTGTGAAGCTTGAGATGTTGCCGGTAGTTGTCTTTTCGGTTGAACGGCTTGTTCTTGCAGAACGGGCAGTTTGTGATGATAGCCCCTGGGTCATCGGCATGTTTTCTGTGCTTTTTGTTAGTGATGAATTATTAGTAGATGGAGAGATCAGCTCTTACGTATTCTTATGCCTCTTCAAGTGTTCCTGTCGCTTGAAGGGCCCCTTTTGGCAGCCCGGGTAGTTGCACTTGAAAGTAGCGGCGGCGATTCTTTCTATCCTGACACCATGTCTGTGCTGCGTTCTTTGCACTCTTTGCAGGGCCGTAGTCTTTTGCTGGACCTTGTTGATGTTGACTCGCCTCCTGTCGTGAGAGAGGTGCGGCGGTGGAAGGCCGTTCCGATCACGAGCAGAAAGAGGCTGAGATGGAGAAGGCGAAGCTGAGGGATGCCCTCTTCCGAAAAACGATACTGGACTCTCACTAGTCCACGACCACATCGATGCTGGATCTCGAGATGGGTCTTCAAAGTGATACCCTGGGGCAGGCACTGGGTACTGTGGCGACGCAATATAGTTCGAGAAGGAATAATGGCCAAGAGGTTGAGGATTGCCGGCCTCAATAGCTTGTTCTTGAGTTGGCAGAGAAGGATACGTAGCAGGGATCATAGAAGCATAGTTGAACTCCATCGCCTGTGTCTGCATACTGGACTTTCGAGTCGGGCTTGGTGAAGCACTGCCGTATTCCATGTATCGTTGAAACTCTGCCTTAGAGTCTGACGGGAAATAACCTCCTAAGGCTGACGAAGGTGGAGTTAGCTCAAATACTCCCGGTCCTGAATAGGAGACAGAGTCATGGTCCATCGACATGGTGCGAAATCCGGGGGTTGATCGACCAGACGTTGGCGTGAATGGCTCGGGCATAGAACTGGATGTTGAAGCTGAAGAAAAGCTACCTGACGAAGAAGAGCAAGAGAGGCCAGGGTTATCGAGGGGAAACCCTTCAGAGTAACCCACCCTCATATCCATGTGGTGCATTTCCATCATCGTATCTGAATTAGGGTCGGAAGCAAAGATCGTAGTCCAAAAAAGGTTCGACTCCAGGAGCGAATGACAATACCGATACTTGAAGGAGGATAGGTGGCAAAATTCAATGGGAGGAGAGCTTCATGGGATGTTTTGAGGAATGAGGGGATAGATATAGATATATAGATGTGACAAAGACAAAGTGGTAGTGGTACGTCTAATAGAGAGATACTTACCTAGGTATATATCCCTTTGGGGGGGAGACTCAAAAATTGTAAAGCAAATACTAAGTTAGGATAGCTCGGCCAATATACTTAGACATAGGCCCGCAAGGGTACGAATGGCAGGTAACGATTAAGGATAGGAATGAGAACGCGTAGTGGCGGAAAGAGAGGCGTCTGTCTAGAAAGACTCGGTACTTGAAGGATAGACAGTTTCTTCTCTTCAAGCCACCACCTCGACTTGGAGGATGTACATGAACCCAAGTGCCCCCCTGTTGATCACCTCAAACTCCCCCCATTTTGGGACGACGACTATACCTCATTCGGACAGGCACTTGGGCTCAACTGTTTTTTTTGGCACTTGGGTTCAACTTTTTGTCTCTTAAGGTTTATTTTCTCAATTTTCAAACTTAGAACTTTTCAACCTTGCAAATAATTTTTCGAGAACGAAAAATTAACAATTAATTACTAATCAATTGCAACACAACTTTGAGAAAATGATTACATCTATCACAAAGTTCAACATTTTACACATCTTGCTCTTAATCCAATTGATTACTAATCAATTGAAGATGAATTCTGTCCCTCGTACCCCTTTGGTTGACTTAGACCTCGAACAGCTAGAAAACGAAGAAATCACTGCAGGCTTACCTTGGAACGATACGATTCACGAAGCAAATCGTAATCAACCTTCAATTCGCCAAGAAATAGAAGAACTGACAGCTTTAGGCCGTCTATTTTACGCGAATATTGTCGAAGAAGAGAGGGTAAGTAAAGAAAAAAACCGGAGGAAAAGTTAATTACAAATGAATTAATAATTCATTAATAATCAATTACTGATTAATTAACAATAGCCCGAGGCTCACGTAGTGCCAAATAACGATGATCCAGACGATTTAACGTTATTATCTTCGGCCGATTCAGTGTTGAATGGTACTGCTCTAAGAGCTGAAACGTTCGTATGGGTTCCAGCGATGCCAAATTACCCTGAAACAAGCATTAATGGCACTTGTTACGTGATAAGTTGGAAGGATAAAAGCACCCAAGAAAATCCCCAAAAAATCATGGACGAGGTACTACATTTTTTAATTGATTTTTGATTGGTTCTTAATTGATTCTTAATTGATCTTTAATCGATCTTTAATTACTTTTAAACTGTTTGCTAATTCATTTAGGTCGAATTTTGCAGGGCCAAACATGGAAATACAAGACGTTCAACCTCCGTATTTTTTGAGTACTCGCCGGTTTATCGACTGTCATATAAATGCACTGGTGTAAAATGTTGCGAATATCTTCATCCAGAGCTTCGAAATCAATCATATACAGCCGTAACTGATGAGCTTTGGGATAAGAAAGCCAAAATTCAACGCGATATTGAAGAAAAGCTACAACAACAGGCCGGAATGGAAGCAATCACGTAAGTAATATTATTATTTACTCCATTTAAAAGAACTGATAGGTCGAAATAATAACTTGAATGAGTTGTTAATTAATTTCTATTCAATTCTTAATTGATTAATATTTAATTACTAATTCTATTTAGGTATATTCGCGCACACATAAGTGATTTCGAAGATAAAAAAACATGCAAACCGTTTTTACCGACCTGCAGATTAGAAATACAAATAGAACCTGAAGTAAGTACTTATTAAATATAAATTAATGAATAATTCATTATTAATTAATTATAGACTATTTCGGGGATTCCTTATTATATACTTCGCTGTATTAATTCAACGCCGCATTCTCAAACGCCATCAAGCATACAACATTGCTATCGTTTTATTGACCGGAAATACAACTCCGAAATTGACTTGATTCAAAGGATTTTAAATAATACCGACGATATTGAACCAGGGCAATGCTCGTATGTGCAACACAATCAAAAGCACCAAAAGAAATGTTGTAAGTGAAATCTCTAATCGATCTCTAATCGATTTCTAATTGATTTCTAATTGATATTTAATTTATTAGGCTTTGACCATCCGCAAGGAAGGGGGTTAATAAAACCTGCTTCGTGTAACTGCCGATTTGAAGTTATAATTCCAGTTGATTTAGACTTGATTCCTTATATCGCAGTGGTTTGCACCGGTATCCATTGTCATCCCTTGCCGCCACCTAGTAAAATGAAAAAAGACACCATGAAACGCGGAATGGATTTAATTGCATCTATGAAAAATCCACGATTAACTGCAGGTAAGGACAAATATTTTTTACAAACGTATTTCAAATTAACTAAACTAAGTTTTTATTAATTAACAATCAATTTACAATCAAATACTAATAAAATTTATCAAAGCTATGTTTTTAAGTAACCCTGCAGTTAAAGAATGGAAAGATTTGGAAAAAAATCACCCTTCTCTTAACAATCTATCTACCATTCGATATATGATTCGGCTGTCGAAAATGATCCATTACCCATTAGGATCAAGTATTTTAGCCGTACAACGAAAATTCGAACTTCAAAGGGACAGCCCAGATCAAGTACGTACCGCAAATTAATTTATAATTAATTATTAATCAATTATAAATTAATTAATTAATAATTATTTGCTAATTGTCTTAGTACGTTCAAGACATTTACCAGGACGGGATTAACTTCATGATTATATGCTTTAATAAGGGTCAATTGGAGATATTTCAACGATTGCGAACTGTTACAATCGACATGAATTATAAGCATTTATTGGATCGTACCCATCGAGAAATAATTTGGGCAGTCTTCGACGAGAAAATTAGGAAAAGTAAGTGAAAATTTAAATTACCCCAAACGTTTATTAATTAATCTTTAATTGATTATTAATTAATTATTAAATTATTATAGATGTGGCGATTTTTCGCGTAATCACGAATTCCGATAGCGTCCAGATGTATTATTTTATGTTTCGTCGGCTCTTTGCATTTATCAAAGACAAATTTCATTACGAGCTAAAATGGGACCATATCCATAATACTAAAAAGAAAATCGACAATAGTTTCATTGGATTTACAATTGATCAAGATTATAAGTTGATAATTGGTAAGTGAATTTTAATTAAGTTTTAATTAACTCTTAATCAATTAGAAATTCATTAAATGTGTTAGGAATTGGTCTTTACCTTTCGGATGTCGACCCAGCACACGACTGGCTTTGGCATATTCAACGAACAATTCGATACTGTACGGTGCATTTTCAGCGTGGTGTTGAAAAACAAGTTGGGGTACGTGAAATATAATTTATTTGAAATTAATCTCTAATTGATTAATAATCAATTTCTAACGCATTTATAGCCGGCCCGTGATAAGGATTCCGACTTTTCCATGCTTATGGAATTGCTTCACATGTCATCAGAGCTTGAATATCTAAAGCTATGTGATTTCATGGTCAGATGTAAGAACAAAAATTTTCATTTAATTTTTACGATTATTGAGATGGTTTAATAGTTGATCGTTAATTGATTAATAATGGAATGATAATCCATTATTAATCAATTAACAATTCATTCCTAATCGGGTGTTAATTAAATTTTAGTTTTCTGCAATGGAAGATTTGCGAATTGGGCCAAACATAAGTCGAGAACATCAATCCGATGTGGTCTTAATCCATCTTGTTCAAGAATGCCTCGAGAAAACTGGAATTTGTTATCCAGTACCACAAATCCAGCCGAAGTTCAACACCAACGAAGTTATAAGTACGGCGGCCGATACCAATACATTGCAGATTGCATTGAATTGTAAGTTTATTTTTAATTGATTCCCAATTGATTCCTAATTGATTCCTAATTAATCTTTAATTAAATGTATCTTTGTTTTTGTCTTATTTTTTCTAATTGTTTTTAGCAACGAAACCCTTGATTTACAAGATATGGAGGCTGGAGATTTATTTCTTAAATATAATATTTCCGAAACATATCGATCAAATTCCATGTCATCCCGATTAAGTCGCTCAAACCAAAGAAAAGGTGAGTAGTGCAAATTGATTCTAAAAACACATATTTACAATTAATAATTAATTAACAATCAATTAATATTTTAGCAACTAAAGCTGCTAAACGGCGTCGACAAACTAACGATCAATTACTACCTTCTGTTGAGTTTCAACCGAGCCTTCCACCATCAGTTCTAGCGGAAATAGAATATTTAAGCGACTTTTCAACTTCAGGATCGTCTAGAGCGTCGTCAGTTGCTTCAACTGTAAGATCCGTAAGACGACGAAGGGGCAGGTACGTTTTAATTCTCAATTGAGCCGTAATCAATTAATAATTGATTATGGCTGAATTCTTAATCCATTTGAAATTAATTATTAATCGATTTAACTCAGTAACGATTCCCTTCGTCGTCAAGCTTTAGCTAGCTCTCAACCGCCTTCGTCACAAGCTTCAATTATTGAAACTGATTACGATCGTGAGCTAAAAGCTATTAAGATTCGTCAAGAAAAAGCTCGACTTGAAAAATCTGAACAAGAAGTAAGAAGACTAAGATTGGAAAACGATGAAAAGGAATTACGGCTGGCTGAATTGCGTCGACAACAAGGTTAGAAGCTGTAAAGACCTATATGGTTATAGCCTTATTTAGCATCGTCACAATAATCCTTTTACCTTTTTAATAATAATCCTCTCTTTTCATTAATAATATACGCAGTTATAATACTTATTATAAACCGTATATTAAAATGTATATATATTATTTCTTTTCTTTATGAGTAAATAATTCTCTTTTAAATTATTACCTTATTGTTTATGTTAGGACATGGCCATGAACGTAGATAGCCACTCCCGTAGCTATCCATGGCTATTGCCATGTGGGCATCCCCATGGTTGCTGCTGCCACAGCTTGTTGAACCTTATCTGTGTATATATAGCCAGCCTGAGACGTTAGGAGCTCAGCTCTCTTCTTCTCTTCTATATTCTCTATTGACTGATTGTTTGACCTTTTAAGTCCCATCAGTTTAATACTTTAAGGTTAATAAACAACAATAAAATGTATAGCTTGTTAAGACATAAATGACCACTCCCGTGACTATCCAAATAGCTATTGTTATATGTCACCATAGCTACTACCGCTGCTATAATTAAATGTAAGGGCTTAATGGCACCAGTTAAATATTAACAGTCAAAAAAATGTATTGTAAAAAAGGTTAAGAGTTAAGCTTTCGACCCTTAAGCTAGCTACCTAGGTATATATATTTGTACAAATAAGTTTCAACAAGCTGCGGCAACAGCAATGGAAATACCATGTGGCAATAGCTATGGATAGCCACTCCCGTGGCTATCCATCTTTATTTATGTCCTAACATTAAACCTCACTTATCCATATATATATAACTAGTTAAAGAATTAAAAGCTATAGTCTTTTTTTTCTCTTTTACATTTCAGTTAAATTTGCTATATTTATTCCTTAATTAAGTTTTTACAATTATTCTTATTTTAATTCATTTCAAATTAATTCTTAATTTATTATTAATAAATTAATATTTAAGTAAAAAACTATTTGTTATAATATTAAAATTATTTAAGTTAATTAAATATAATAATATATATTAATACTTTTTTATATTTATATATTTTAATTATTTATTATTATTTATTTTATATATATTTAAATTAATTATATTTTTTATAATTTAATAATAATAAAAATATATGTTATATTTTATTATAAGCTTTTTATTATTATTTAATGTTTAATACTTAATAAATTTAAATAACTTTTTTTAATAATTATATTATATAAAAAATATTAAATATTTTAAATAATATATATATATATATATTTTATATTTTAACATTACTTATTAATTAAGTATTATACTTAAATAACCTTTTTTATTAAATATATTATAAAATAAATAATAAATATTTTAAACAAAATATATATATATATATTATATTTAAACATTATTTATTAATTAATTATTAAATTTACGTATTTTTAATAATATATATTATAGGAAAAACAATTAAATAAATAATATAATAATAATATAATTAATACATTCTAAATTCATTCATAATCAATTTTATATTAATCTCTAATCAACTTTTAATCCATTTATTTCAATCATGATTTGTTCTTAAATACACTCATGGAAGTTCCTCGTACCAATCTATCCTGGGCTTAGGTAGATTTTCCATCGGATAGTCACCATCGTAATTGAAAACTTGGTCCATAAATGTCCCTAAGCTGACCACTGTCTCTGTGGGAGCCTCGACTTGACCCCTTGTACGAGATCGTGTGTTAGAGCTAGCTCGAGAGCTGGTTTTTTGGCTCTTTCCAATGGTTGGGCGGATGGTGGCCACGGCAGGAGCGTCGGCGCCGGTGGGAGCGTCAGCGCTGTTGGGAGCGTCGGCGCTGTTGGGAGCGTCGGCGCCGGTGGGAGCGTCGGCGCCGGTGGGAGCGTCGGCGCCGGTGGGAGCGTCGGCGCCGTCGTCCGTGCTATCGGGCTGACTTTTGTCCTCGTCGTCGCTGATGGTGATAGTCTCACATGGCTTCTTGTACCGTTTCCACACCTCGCAAAAGTTATCGGGGGTTTGAGGGGGGCACTCTAGTAACAAATCAATTAGTAAATAATTTAAAATCCATTGTTAATTAATCCCTAATCAATTAAGAATCAATTAAGAATTGAATGTTTGTTCGCTTACCTGCCGCCTTTTTACCCCTCGCCATACACCCGTTACAAGCGCGCCCTAACAGTTTAAGGCGTTTTCGCATGCTAAGACCGTCCATTTGAAGGTTCTGGAGTAAATTAGTAATCAATTTCTAATTAATTAGGAATCAATTCTCAATCTCACCCTTTTTCGTGGAATATCCAAAAGGCCTTCGTCTTGCTCCTCCTCTTGCTTGATTTGGGGCTCTTGGGGTGGTGGTGGCTGTGGTGGTGGCTGTGGTGGTGCCTCCGATGCAGTTGAGCCCCTAGATCGCCGAGACCGTTGCGGTGTGTCCCGAATAGGTGTATCACTAATTGATAAGTAATTGATTAATAATTAATTATTAATGCATTAGACTTACTTGCGCCCCCCCCCCTCGGACTGAGCCCGTCCCTCCTGGTTTTCAGTCGTACGCCGCATGAGCTCCCGATAAAATTCTAAAAATCAATTAACAATCAATTAATAAAAATCAATTAACAATCAATTAATAAAAATCAATTAACAATCAATTAACAATCGTCTTACTGGCAGTCTTTTGGTGTTCAACACTGTTCATCACACCGGCCGGCAATTTTGCTATCTCGTAACCATGTGTGTTTTTAAGGTGATTCCGTAGGTTAGATGGCTGGTATTGTTTCGTCTTTAATCGATTTAAAATCAATTAGCAAACAATTAGCAATTAATTTTAAATGGTGTTACTTACCGCGTTCACGCACATCTCGTCGTCCCCTATACGAGCACGGCAAAATAGCTCCCCTGGAGCTACAATAGGATTCCCATTCTAATTAATCAATTAATTGATTAATAATTAGTTAGGAATCATTTAACAATCGGATATTCGGGACTTACGTCGTCGAGTTCATATTCAGGTAACCCGTCGGGTCGTTTTTCAAAGCTGTTATACAGCTTGTACGCCTCCTATAAAGTATATAATTAATAAATAAATAACATTAAGTAAATGCTGAAGTTAATATGATTAATAATGAATAAGTAATTGATTTAAAATTAATTACGCACCTGGTCTTTGTAATTGAATCGTCCAGACATGTCTTAGAATTAGTGCCTTTTTAGATGTTGTAAAAGTTGAAAATTTTCAGGTTGAAAAGATGAGACTCGAAAGTTCAAATAATCAGGTGGGCCCCTGTCAGTCATGTGGCCAATTGCAGCTCGCTAAATTCCGGATTTTCGTGTCACCGAGCCACATTTCGGGTGGACTTTATAGCGGGGCACTAGGCCTAAAATGGGGGGAGTTTGAGGTGATCTACAGGGGGGCACTTGGGTTCATCTACCTCCTGCTCGACTTGAAGATGGATGGGGCCCATTTAATCCATTTCTCGCATTGTAAATTCAGCTCAGTCAGGTCATTCGTCACAATCCCCCTCAGTTGGGTTGACAAGTCGAGGTCTACATTAGGTCCCAGAGGCTCGGGTCCTATTTTGCAACGTACAAATCCTTGCAATGGCAACCAACACGCATGACCCTACCAGCCACTATGGGTTGGATCTTGGTCCTTTGACGGGGCCTAATGTAGTAAATTTAGAAAACATTTCTAGCATCCATGGGTAGTGCTTTTTTGCGCAAACAGGAAATCTAGTAGGCGTAGCAAGCATCCACAACAGTCAACTGACCCTCTTCAGAATTAGGTACTACTAGGTAGGTAGGTGTTAGGTTAGGTATAGGAGGTATCGATCCTGTACAATCGTGGATCAGAAAAGCACGTACTATGCAAAGATCTACGAGACAAGCGTGTGTTGGAGAGTTTCCTGAACTTGCTCAACAGAGGAGAGAGAGTGTTCTGGTGTGTACCGATGTGTAGAGTCGTCTTCACCAAATGGAATGGATATCCAGGAATGGATCATATAGCCCCGCAGTGTACTTTTTATCAAACGCTCGTCATTGGTAAGACATGGAGCGATTAGGCCAGTTTAGAGACATGGCTTGCCCTAGTCGGGCCAGTACCATTGAGCAATAAACGTTAGACATTGACAAGAGGGTACATTCTACTGTAGGTCTTTGACTCTTTGCCTGCAAGAAGAGACTGGGACATACAGCTGTCGAGCATGGTAACCAGCAACGTGAATGCAAGAGACGACTCATGGACATGACACCGCCGAACCGTTGCAGATGCAGATGATAGGAAGATGAGTGCAGGTACATACATAGGTAGGTAGCGGAACAGTTTGCTGGCAGTTTGTTTGTCGTCACATCGCTTCCATAGGCAGACAGTGATCTTGAAGGCATCGGGACTAACTATACCAACTATACCTATTTTCAACATTGGGAACTATCAAATTCCGCTAGTTCCAGCAAGGACGGCGATCAGATGCGTGAGATGGACGCGCTATTCCAAGATTCAAATATGGATTATTAGTGATCGTGTGCGTGCCTGTTCGGGGTCAGTGAAGGAGGGAGGGAGTCTTGGCAGATCTCGTTCCTGACTAAATCAAATCACCTATCCATCTATGTAGCATTTGTGTTCCTGGCGGCGATCTTGCTTAAGCCTTAGGTCAAAGCCCAGATGGTGACCAGAGAGTTCTTGCGGATGGCTAATTATTAGTAATTGTATACGAAATACCTACTTCCCAAGAAGTAGATACTAGATAGATAGAGGTAGGTAGAACCTTGCCCTACGACCCTTCGCACATTGAGTAAGGGGGGCCATAACGCAGGGACATAGTTCGTCTTAGGCCAGGAACGGGTTCCTCCTCCCATGATGGATGTCTCAAGAAATGCGATTGTTGTCGAGTGTAAAATGCATGTCAGAAATCATCGATGTCATAGAGTAGATTCCCCAGACTTCATCCTGGCCCACGGTGCTTATTTTCCTTATACATACAAACCAGTGTCCCAGTCAACGCGCTAAACAACAAATCTCCTGAGTCCCCCCAGTAGCCATATTGGGACATTTGGAGCTGAAGACTCAGGAAGGATAGGAAGGGCGTATCTATCCCAAATCATTAAAACAGTTAAAGGGCGGAACAATTATTTGCTTTATTGAGTGGATACTGATACTTTAATGAACCCCAGATTCTAATGAGATTCTCTCGTTGCTGGAGAGATCAAGAAAGACTTTTACGTAGTAGAAGTTTCGGTGTTAGGTGAATGCGCGAAGATGCCCCAGGATTGGTACTTGCATAGATCTCGAGGAGTCGAGAGGCTCACCCGGAGATCATACACTGAGCTCTCTCCACTGATCTACATAATCTTGCTGGTTCAAGTAAACCGCATTACCCAATACAACCCTAACATATTGTGCATTAAATACAACTTCGATACATTAGATACATGTATACATCGTAAACGTCCTCGGGCAAGAACAGCACAACGGGACGCCGAGGCTCAAATTACATGCAACCTGCATCAAAGGATAGCATGGTCAAATATTTTAATAACAACAGCTTCTAAACTGCCTACCTATGTAAGCTGTGTAAGGCTCCTTTTTTTTTTTTTCTCTATTTTCGTTGAATGCTGTAGCGAATACCATTGGACTTTTCCCAGAATTGCATATAGTTATCCTCCACCCCACAAATGTCTCAAAAAATGTTGACAATGATGGCACGACTTGCCGAACCAAGAGGCAGCCGGGCCGGCTACGACTGATCGATCTATCGGGTACTATCTGCACTGTGTAAGTAGCCATACCTACGGGACACACACAATTCAAAGCATCGAGTTCGCTACATACCTACCTAGTACCTACCTTACCTACATACATATGTAATAAGTAAATACCTACCAACTTCATATCGAAGATTTGATTAGCGGGACTGTTTGCCAACAGATAATATGGCACGGTTCACCTCGGCATTATTACAGTTCATCCGTAGGGTTTTGTGACTGGTCGTATCTTTGACAGGTTGGGGGGATGCCTTACTATGTACAACGAAGTTCCTTAGCACCCTCCAGGGGTAGGGAGTATGATAGGCTGTGTGGCGTCCGCGTCGCGACCTGTCATTCACTTATTTCCAGCGTATCTTTTCCCGGGGAATTCCTTGCGTTGTACCTTTGTAGCTTGCAACACCACACACAGACACTCACTTTCAGACTCACACACACTCGTCTCCATGCTTGACAGTTATGGAGGGTTCAAGCCCAGACACCGTCTAGGCCATGTGTCTATCTTGCTGTGTAACTTCTCCTCCTTATCTTCTTCACCTTTCGGCGGTATTAGATTCTCGTAGCAGATCTCGTCCAATTCTAGCATTTCAGGCGTCCGTGCCTGAAGAAACTATACCTATTATCCTCCCTAGATTACCGATCGTTCCTGGTTCAAGTTCAACATTTTGCCCCTGGTTTAAGGAAGTTGGTAGGCTACTCTATAGTCCACATATGGATTCGCTTTGATAAACGTTAGAGTGGGAGAGGCTCTGCTTCTTGGTGTGACCGGCTGGACGTGTCTGGATACCCGGTTAGTATCCAGGATGAAAGATGATCTATTTGCATTACGCATCCGTAGAGGCTCTGTACGCAATCAAGCGACCACACCAACACACCTGGCGTGTCGGGACCGAATATTCTACTTCAACAGCTAGCGAGCTTTGTTCTGTAGCCATTATTAGCTACTAACCTACCAGTCACCTACCCATACGGCACCGCCTGTCAAATCAGTACGAGGCGTTTCACGTACAACCTCAAAGCACCCAAGCAAACATGCCTAATATAGTAATATGACGGCTAATGATAATCTTTAGTCGCTTCGCCGTTGAAAAAAAAACGTACCCGGATAAAGCCTAGGTCGCAAAGAGAAGAGCCACCAGACTAGTCCTGATCAATTTCAAGCGTCAACACGGAGCCGATCCGAACACTTGCGTCCCAGTCCCGTACATACAACCCTCTCTCTCCTAAACAACCTCGGACAACAGTATCCACAACAGACCCATACAGACGGACACCTACAGGTAAGGTACTTTGGGGAATATCCAAAAGACCTCGCATGTGTAACACATCACATCCTACCTAACCTTGAGAAATCACAGAGATGTTCCCAGCGTAGACACGATGCAAGATCGACGGGACAGAAAGAGGTCTGGCCATCTGGTGCGTGCCACAAGCGTTTCTCTTCAGCTGCATGCTACATTTGCAGGCTGCTGCTGTTGTGCTCGGACGGGGGAAGCATCCCGTGTTCGAGGGTACGACGCAAGAGCGTTCATTCGCCCCGGTGACATCTTGGCCATGCAATGCAGCTGGACCGAACTGTTAAAGAATGGCGTCCGATGATCTCAGCCTCTTTTTTTTTTTCAATTCATGGCAGAAAATTGTCATCGATGTAAATGCTGACGAATGTCACTCACCTCCCAGCAGCGAAGACGCCTAGGTATGCCGTTGCTGCAGGTGATAGATCACAGTATTCATCTTGATGCTTCTCGATGGAGATCGGTTGGCGGCAAAGGTGAAAAATTAAATGAAGGCGGGTAGGCATAGGTAGGCATTGACTTTGGAGGCTCTACCGCCACCGAGGGTTCGTACAGATGGCTATATGCGTGAGAAAGTTGGGGATTTGCACAATGTAGTAAAGATTTCTCGTCAAATACGTATAAAAGACCTAACCTATTCGGCATCCTTCATCAACATCCTCATCGAAGTCCAGAGCATTATTACCCAGTTGTCCATTGATATATACCTATCTTACCTAACAGTCTACCTGTGTACTCAAAGAGTTCGGAATAATTCTCCCTTGACTAACCTTGAAGTTTTCTTCTTCCAACTACTACCTACCTACCTACAACCACAATTCGACCCAAACCCCTTAACCGAAACCAACCAATATGTGCACCCTACACATCGAGAGTTTCAACTGCGAGAAGCAGTGCCTGTGGAAGGAGACGGAAGAGAAATGCGACCAGTCCCCGAACTGCGGCCACCGACAAAGGGGTGTCGATTACGCCGCGGGAGGTTTTCGGATTATACAGAACCCAGCACCCACATATGCGGGCCAGTGTCCTCTTCACCCGAAAGAATGGGGACGCTGAAAGGGTTCCCGAGGTCTCTTTGAATAAGCTGCCTGGATGAAGGTTAGTGGGTTTCTTGTCACACTCTTCTAATTGGGGACGGTTATGGGCTTAATCTAATACTTGTGCCTTATACCTGTAGTTGCAGCTCTGGGTGCTGGAGACCACATGGATGCGAAACTCAGGGTATTGACTGGTATAAAGAGCTACAGGGCTAAAGACTTGGGTTACTATTTATAAACCTGGGATGGATAACTACAATCCAAGCGCAATTTCTGCCATAATCTTTCCGAGGAGTATCTCATAACCTTACATACAAACTTGCTCATTTTCCTACCACCGTATTTGTGACATTGCCTCTCCAGTTTTCAACTAGGGTTACCCTACTCTCATAGACCTTTATGGTAATAATTAAGTAACCTAGGTAATTAGTTGATAACTCACGAGCTTCGTAACGAGCGAGTTATCAGTAAGTGCACTGGCGGTCAGTCTGCTGAAGAGATTAGCCTACTATATTTCAAAAGTCCATCCAACAGCATGTCATATCAGCCCTGGAGCCTTCAATTCTCACTCGCCGGAGCCCACTATCATCACAGAATCATCTCCTTCCCAGGATTATGCTTACCCAGATCCTACACATGGTAAAAATACCTGGCTAGGTAGCAGGTCGGAATCGATCCTTTCCATAACCTCATCCCTGACAGTCACCTACCTACCCCGGCCTGGTGCCATTGGGGGCTACCGCCTCCTTTTTTTTTCCCCAAATCCCTCGCCACGTGTAAACCCAACACAACGGAAATGTAACACACTTTTTCTTTGGGGTACATGGCCATGGTTTCGCGACTTGCTGCATTGCATGGCTCGACTCTTCCAACGGCGTATAATAGCGCGCTGCTACCTACCTGTGATAATCATCCCAAGATTCCTCCTGGGTTAGGCATGACGTCTAGTTCGCAAAACAATCATCAATCTACCTAGGTAGGTAAGGTTGGAAACAGTCAACGCCTGGTCATGGGAGAAAACAGATGATAGCCTCCCCCGGATAAGACCCCCGGAACGCTACCGCGCTCCCCAGCGTAATCTCGATGTTCTATCGGCCAACAGCATACACCACTGAAGAACCTCATGCCCCTATACCGTAGCGGGCAAGAAACGTGTTATAAAACCTTCCATTGGCCGGAGTTACGGCGCTGCGCGAGTGACAGGTCGTTTGTGGCTTTCTTAGCTTACCAAATAAATTGATATGCCATGACCTATTAGAGCCGTGGGCTTCATGATTTGCTGCAGATGATCTTCTAGCTTCGCATGCCTAGTATTGAATTTTGAGGTATTCCTGTGCGTACATACCTACATATACACTACTAGGTAGGTAGGTGATCCTCAGCGATGGCGACAGCAGCTCGGAGGAAATTATATACCCGATTTTGGGGAGGGTAGGTACCAGGTGGTGAATTTCGCCGACAAGCTTCATGACACCACCTCTGCTGATCAAGCTAACTTCAAGGGCCCTGCGCTCTGACATACCTATCTACCTTGGTTCGCACTATATAAGGCTAGTATTATGACGTGCTCCGCGAGAGTGCCCGTGAATAGGGTTTGGGTGTTGCCCTTTCGCATAGCTCCGGTATCTCCAGTATCTCCAGTCACGTTGCCACGACCCTGGTTTTAGCATTCCTCCCCGTATCCGTAGGCCCGAACTACAATGTCGGGCCATAAGTACTAAACTCATCCTTCGAGCGCTATATGCTTCCTGGGTCGCCTCTAAATACACAGCACCAACACCCCCCAATCTGGCGACGTGTCTACCTAGGTAGGTAGGTACTAGGTAGAGATACACACCCCGGACGACCGACGACCTGCCTACCGGATCTTGCATGGGCAAGCGCGCCCACCCTGTATGTTTTTCGTGCCGTGGCAACAAATCCACGGCAACCCAGTGTTCCGGAATGACTTGTGATACATCTCCTCCTCTCTGCCTACCAATGGCACGCCGCTCCAAGGAAGAGATTGGCGATGCTTATATGGGGAACAGTACCGTAAACTACCCTAGGTAGGTAGTTGTGTACCTACTCAGATAAGCTCGACTCCACCCCGTGATGTGATATCATGTTTCCGCCCCTCGACGGGCTTGAAAGTGGCTACATGTATCAACAGTCTTTCTGCCGTTAGGTATGTTTCTCGGCAGACGCAACCGTCGTTTAACATGTATTGTATGTAACACCCAGCTTGCCGAACGAACGAGGCGTTCTGCTGTGCTCCCCGTTTCGTACGTAACGGTAGGTGCGCCACGATCTTGTGCGAGCTGGACATGGTGATTAGGTGCAACCTTCTAAGAATCAAAAAGAATAAATTTGGTACTACTTCGAGAGTGCGCCACCTGATAAATCCAATCAACCATATATGGGCAACACATCCCAATGCGCCCAACGATGCTCGCGTATGCTGGCTAAGCGCGTAAAAGTACGTGCTAGACCAAAAGGGGGCATTGCGAAGCTAGTACATAGGTGATGGATCCTCTGTGCGTCGCTTGCTCCTCGAGTTGGATACGATGTCGTACAGCATGAGAAGGCCCACGGCATTCCATGGGCATCAATGGAGAGAGAGAGAGAGAGAAAGAGAGAAAGAAACAGCGGTGCTATGCCATCTTTGAACAGAACGCCACCATGTGCGTGCATCTCCTAAGGGCATTGCGCTAATGTGGGCGGAAAAAATAGCCCTCAATGTTGGTTACATGCTGGCCTAGCCTCATCGCACAACTGGGGCTCATGTGCCGAAGCGTTTTAGGAAAGAGATCAGACGAAGCCCTATTTTTATGGGGTAAAAACCTCTGTTCTACACGTACAAGTACCTAGGCAGGTAGCTAATATGTAGAGACACATGTAGGATCTGATAGATAAACTGATATGCCGGTACATATGCAAATAGGTACCAGATACCTATCTACCAAGGTAGCTGCCGTATGTAGCCACGGCTCGAGATTGCTCTGGCCTCGGATCGGTCTTCGGAGTTGAGGACGGAAACATATGTGGGAGAAAGAAACGGAAGCAATCATGCATGTGACAAATCAGATTTCACTACGACATGTGAGCACTGATTGGAAGCTTCGTCATAGGGTTGCTACCTAGACATCGTGGATCTAAGTTGATCTGGATCTTATGAGATGCGACCAGTTCCTACATTTCTGTAGTATTATTTAAAAAGGGTTTTCAGACCTTCGCCCTACACCTAACACTTTCGATGTCACAAATTCTCTGTTTAGCTTTTTGAGGCGGTGCTTGTGATATAGTCTCGTAGAATAAAGGAGGCGGTGTAGTGTACGGAGTAATCGTAAGTTGGAGATAATCGACGAATCCATGTCGTAGGAGTTGTAATACGATTGGATACCAGCAATTTGGAACGCGGTGGTTTCTTCTCCCATTGAAAGATTTGTCGCCTTATCCTAACAGGGCATCGTCTCCATCTTCCTCATCAAACTCTTCTAGGGCATCCTGCATCTCTTGCTCACTAGCCTCCATTCCAGATGAACTCATAAGTTTGTTGTCCTTGTCCTCGGCTGTGATACTGTTAGTGAATAGGATCACACCGCTTTCATTGTGACATTAGGGGAGGTAATTACGAGGTTGCAATGGGTTATACTTACTTCTAGGCTCTACTAATAGATTCTCTTGCACCTCGCAGTCAGTGAGTGTCGATCCCTCACCTACCTCGCTCCTCTTGCCTAGGATACAGCGAGTTAGTTTGCAACCTTTGCCAACTACGACGCCATCCATGAGAAGACACTGGAACAACTTGGCCCCCTCCTTAATTTGGCAGTTGGCTCCAATGACGCTCTCCTTGATTGATGTCTTCTCTTCCACCATAACATTTTCAGCAATCAGACAATCCTGCCTGGTGATAGTGGTCCGCGGCTTAACGCCCTCCGGGTACGCGACCTTTTTGGCGTGAGCGAAAGGAGACGCTGTCTCGGAGACGGCTTCCTCAATAGATGGAAGCTTTGCTAACTGTAGAGATATAGCTAGGAGAAGTTGGGCCGTGTCCACACGGCGGAGAAGCAGAGCATCATCACGGGAAGGATGGATGTAGGCCAAAATCGGCGGGACGTTGGCTTCCCGGGGCTTGGCTAGTAGCCCATCACTTTGTCTCTCACGCAAATGCGCCGGAGGAGAAGTCCCCAAAGTATCCCGTGTTCGCCACGGAGAGTTGGGAGGACTGTCGACATGATCACGTAGCGACACTTCAACTTCCGGTTTTTCGCGGTGACCTTCAATAACTTTCTTCATTCCGAGCTTCCCAAACAACCCCGTCTCCCAGTTTGCCTTCGCCCACCAACCTATAACGTCTTCGCCGATCGTCTCCAACCGTTCGTTATCTTGGATGAATTCTAGAATCCATTTTGGTAGAATGTAAATATGCGCGTCACGGTGCGATGTGAGCATTCTGAGCTTGGGATGACTACGCAACAAACCATGACGTATTGGCAAAGATTTCTTCTCATCCATAAGATCAACGAGCGAATCCTTTGGCATGGAGTACGTAAGATAGGAGAGATGAGGCAATAGAGTGTCCTTTGGCATTGGTACCGTAGGCATAGGCATCGGTGTGGTGATGATGAAGTCCGTTTCCTCACCCTTGACTGGAGTGCTTGTTTTGGTCTCATACCATACTCCTAAGCCACCGCTGCAGTATGGAGGCTCACCATCACCTAAAAGGTCTGGAAGACTGGCAGCCTTGACCATCCATGCCTGCAAGAGCTTATCACCTGCTAGCTCACAGACTAGATCGCATGGTAAGACTATGAAATCAGAGGTGATGAGCTCTCGAATTTCGGGCAGTCGCAGTATCTCTGCGGTACCCGTATTTTGGTCGAGACCAGTAGGCGCCACAAGATCTGGACGGGGATGAGGTAGAGCCGTGAGGAATGGATTTGTGTTTAATGCCGTGGTGATAGCACCAGCAGCTGAAGGGGGACATATGAGTGTGATATCTGCTATGTGTTAACATGACTCGACATTTACTGAGGCATATATGTATATTGTAGATATAATGATGATGGACTCGTCGCAAGGTGGTTGGCCCACTCATCTTCATAAGACTCGGATTACGAAGGGAATGTAGATGTGTTCGCTTACCTGTGATCCCCGTTCGATAGCAGAAGTCAATAGGGTACCATACCATAGGCCGATTGGCGATGGGTAACAGAGCCTTAGGGTTCTCATCTGGATTGGAAGTGAAGGTTGGAAATGATGATCCAGGCCCGCAGAGAATAAGGGCCTGAAGCCCAGTTGTAGGCATTGCTATAACGTGGGGCGTACAGGGAGGTTAGTTGCTGGAGGGGGATTGATGGAGGGGTTGATGAAGAAAATGACGATCTTATAAAGATGTGATATTTCTGCGCGAAGTGTTAGTTTCTATTCAATACAAGATAGGTATTTAACTATCTATGTATATAGCCTTTAGATTAAGTGTTTGGTAGTTAGCTTGTTCAAACTTGTTCTTACATTTTTTGAAATAAAGGTTGTGTCTTGAGCTTCACAAAGTTGAAAGCTTCTTGGGTTTCTTGCTGCTTAGCACTTAAATTCTTAATTAATCATTTGAGTCACTCACATCCAACTTTGAAATGGCCTCGGAGCTAATACCCACTAATTCACTATCGATAATGAGCTCAGGTGAGTGGCCAATTATATCGCTAAGATGTCCATTTAAATCCTGTACCGTTTCTCGTTTCCCTTCCAACCAATAAAATTGCTACACCTGCCGTAATCCCGGGCTGCCAATTGTACTTGCAGGGGGCGTTTCAGCAGCTCAGCGGAGTAGCTGCGACCAGCCACCTCACAACTTGGAAGGAACACTTCATAATCGGGCAGTTTTGCGTTTTCGCATTTTTTTATTTCAAAACTTGGGAAATACAGAACCAGACAAGACCCGACCAGACCAGACCGCACATGCTAGATCTTGCTGTTACTACCGTCCGAAGCTCTTCCACGTAGCCCCAACCCCCCGTCCCATCACGTTCCATTATCCCATTCTTCCCCTTCATCTCATTTATTCCATTTATTGTATCCTGTTAGGTTGTTACAGCTTTCCCAGCCCGCTTATTTTCCTCGAGGGGCCGCAACAACGTCAATCTTGGAACTTTAGAATCTCCAGTATCCGTACATATTTACCTTTAGCTAACAGCTTAAGTTGACGGGCATTAGTGATTATCTGTTGCTGTTCAGGTATCTAAGGTATCTAGCCTCGGGTATCCAGCCTCGGCATCCGGAGTATCTGCAACCAAAATAACTTCGACCGCAGCCAGCATTGCTTGCGTTGTGATTTGCATTAATCGATTTTGACTGCTCCACCCTTCAGCTCCGTGCGAACGCCCACCTTGGCACAATACTGCGATGATCTATTTTGAATAAATGTCGTCCTCGTACGATTCCTCGAGATCTCGCCGGAGGGGCGTTTGGGGACACTGGGTTCCCCTCGTCGTTACTCTTACCGTTGCGACCGTCGGCGTCGCCGCCTGGGCCTGGAGTCAACGATCTAACGAACGTGAAGAGGAGGAGAGCGATCCTGAACCCGTTGATCTCGACTACGAAAATGCTGATTACGGCGAGAACCCACCTTACGGCGCATTGGGAAGACCAACAAGAAGAGACTCCAATCGTCCACCAAATACTGATGGTGACTCGTCCCTTCGACCTGACGATGTAAGTTACGGCATCGGCGATGTTCACCCGGGAGAAAGTGGCAGCTCCGGGGGATGGGGGTCCCAAGTTTCTGGCGCTCTACGACGCACCTCGAGTCCGCAACAGTTCCTTACGAACGCGGGCAAAACAATGGCTGCTGGTATGGCGGGTGTTGGCGCAGCTGTTGGTAGCGCGCTAGCTGCCATACGGGAAGACGATAGGACCGCATATGCCGATCACGAAACATGGTCAGAGGAAGCCGAAGCTCGAAAGGAGAAGACATCTGTGCCGCAAGCTAAAGAATCGAACAAAAGGCGAAAGACGGTTACGATTGTAGTCTCTGCCGATACGAATATGGACGATTTTGATGCGGATGGTTTCCATGAACATGCTGTATGCACATGCCTTATTCTAAACAACTACCTTGTACATGTCCTTGCTAACCAGTTTACAGTCTATCCTCTCTCACATACCTCGAAGCACCGATTTTTCAAGGATCAAACTTTTCATCCTAATATATGCCCCGGGCCTAAAGGATTCCACTCTCGACGCATCAACCACTAACCTACCTCCGGCATCTTTGAGCTCCTCTTTCTCGAACATCGCGACTGATCAGGCGCAGACGCCCGCAGAGGAAATGAAAAACCCACTGTATGTGAAACCTGCACAGGCGAATCCTAAATACCTAACTAACATGTGCCTAGACTAAACTCGACTGCTAACACCCCATTCAATGCGGTGTATTCGCAAGCTTTATCCCTCGTAGAAAAGGAATCTATGGTTCTTCCATTCACATCACCCAATGGTCATATCCACATTCTTCGTCACCTACAACCCGAGACAGTATACCTCCAAGAGTCGCTAGCTGGCGAAGACGGAAGCGTCGTTACCCAACTTCAGACATGGCTTAAAAATGATGTCATCCTTGTGGTTGGTGCTGATGGCGGCCATGGCGGACTTGCTGATAGCGAGTCCGAAACAGAGAAGCCAGAGAAGCCAGAGAAGAAGGGAGATAATCTATGGTGGCAGCGAGAGGAACGAGTCGGCCGTGGACGAGGTGTCGTGGTCGTGGATAGTCTAAGGGTTGGCGACGATTGGGCGCGCCGGATTCAGGGTAAGGAATGAATGGGGGTATAACACCTTAACGACATGGACATGAGTGGATGAGTAACATGTCTGGAGTGCTGTTTGTTTTTTTCCCTTCAGAAGTTTTGAAATAAATTTGAATGTTTGGATATTTGGATGGTTAGGAAGAGAGACTATGTTTCTGAGAAGGGCTGGCAGATATATTATTTTCTCGTTTTGATATCCTTAGGCTCGCTGTCGCAGTCTATAAGCTGCCTAAGCTACATATAAGGCCTGTATATACCTGCATCTAGGTACTTGGATACGTACCTACAATTTATGGGCAATGGATTACTAGGTATACTATGCACATGTGTATCAATTACATACATGTTTCTTGCGAAGCACATGCATTTGAAGCCGTCCTTTAGCCTGACGTACATATGTACCTGGGCCCCAGCAGCCTTACCTCCCTATGTAGTACCTACTACCTAGTAGTATGTAGGTACTAGGTATTGTACCGAGGCACATAAGTTTATCAGGTGACTTAGCGTTTAGTGACTGTAGCGCCACACATTTAGCTTAGCTGTGGCTGTCCTCACACTGGGCACTTGCCTTGAAAGGGCTAGAGTTGCCTCGACTAAGCGGCTGATTGAGGCTCAAAGTCAAATTAATGATTGATGCCAGCAAAGATTGAACTTGCAACTTCCTTCGTCACTTTTAAATATAATTGACCCCACACACAAAGAACCTCCCATCAACAACAACAACTTCCCATCTAACCATTTACTATTTAAGGAAACCCATCCTTTGAATTTCTTTCCAATGTGATTTTACGTCGTAAAATTCGAGTTCATTCGCATTCATTCGATACCCGCGACATCTTCCTTATCTCATTCCAATACTTACACGTTCTATCGTATCGCGATCAATGTTACGCTCAGACCTTTTCAGCGATATCTCCAGTCTCTAACGACTACCTATTGAGTGTCGCCGCTTGGTCACCTAGTCGCTTAGTCGCCTAAGTCGCTCCTTTTCGCGAAGAACATTCAATTGCCGCCATGGCCCCCATTGTCGCTGCCGTTCCTCCACCACCTACGCCCAAAATCAAACGGCCGCCACCGCCCGGTATCCAGACAAATGGAGTATCATCATCCCAGTCATCACCGTCGCCGAACATGTCTGCCAAGCGCCCTCCACCGGCCGTCGCTAAGCAACAACTCGGCCAATCTGCCAATTCTGTTGCCCAAAATGGCACGAATGGAACTTCTCATCGGCCAAACCCAGCCCGGTCAAGACGCGATACCACCAGTCATGCCCCCGGTCGTAATCAGAGGAATAACGCGTCTTTAAAGTCCGCTACCTTGGCTCCTGATATGACTCTGCACCAGTCATTTGAACCCCGACCAGAAGGTACATATTCTACCGAGTATTTGGATTAGACTCTGTTACTAATAGGCTATTTAGTGGTTACCGATGATTACATCCTGAAGAAGTATGCTGGTCAACCTCCATCGTTAATACTACATCTCCACCCCAACCATTTTCGATTCGACCAGCAAGATAGCGTCTTCCCCTACAAATCCCCGATGAAGCTTTTCCTCGATCATGTTCGAGGCCGGACAATACCTCATGACATGCTACAGGATCTCAATGAGGCTGGCGTTGTTTTTTACGAGGGCTGCCTAATTGTGCAATTACATGACCACAAAACGCCTGCGCAATCTAAAGAACTTGTGCGCCCGGCATCCAAGTCTAACGCAGCTAAGCCTTCGTCTATACATAACTATAACCCTTATATTACACCATCCTCGTACGTTTCATATCCGAAAGAGAGCGCCGAAAATGGACTTTCCGGAGCAGATGTAAAACCCACCGATGGTGATCCTGGGGATAAGGAGAACATGCCGGCGCCGCCCGCGCCCAGCGATGCGCAAAAGACCAAAGTGCCATCAAAAGCGAAAGTATTCACGGTTGTTCTACATCCAACCCCACAAAGCTTACACGTCGACCTAATGATTAAGGCATCTACGCCACGTAGCTCTGGAGATGGCAAGAATGGTGCAGAGTCTAGTGTTGTCCCTCCCACTCCGATGTCTGCGGTACCACCCACCCCGACCGCTGTGAGTATGCCGCCACCAGCTAAGAAGCAGAAGCGAGAGAAGATGGAACTGGACCCGGGTAGCATATACGCCGCCGAAGCACAGATTTTACTTGCGACCTCCGCTCCTCTACACCTAGAAGTTACCAAGAATAAGGAAGAGGCCATCGCTCTTTTGGAACATATGGCCGATGCATATCACTCAGAGCCTCCGCCGAAACCGAAGACTCGAAAACGCACTGTGGCCGAAAGAGCCGCCGATGAGGCCCTTGCAGCTGAGCAAGAGAAGTACATGCTCACATTTGACGAACGCCGCTCAGCCACTGTTAGCGGAGCTCAAACCGAGGCTGACGGCGCGGATGGAAATGATCAACCCGGTACTAGTACTTTTGAGCCCCGCTTCGAAAGATTCAAAGTGCTTGCCGATATCAAGAGGGCGCACGAGGAGAAGAAAGAGCAAGAGAAGATTCGGCAAGCAGAGAATGAACGCAAACTTCAAATACAAAAGCAGGAGCAGCAGGCCGCCGCTCAAGTGCAACGACAGCAAGCCGAACAAGAAAGACTCCGTCGGGAAGAAGCTAGTCGGCAAGCCCAGCTACGGCAACAGCAGGAAGCACAGCGTCGTTCCATGGCCCAACAACAAGCCCAGGCTCAAGCTCAAGCTCAGGCCCAGGCCCAGGCCCAGGCCCAGGCAGCTCAATCACCGCAGAACAAGCCGATGAACCAAATCCCACAGCCATCACATGGTCATCCGGCACAGAACGGGATGCCCACCGTTGGCGTTCCGGGCCAGGCTCCTCACAGATTCCAGCAGGTTTCGCAACCGCCTGCCTCATCTCCAGTCGTCCGCCAGAATACCCCCCAAAACATGTCAAGTCCTATGGTTGGCAACGTTCCCATGCAACAGACCAATTCTGGCATGGGAGCTACCCCCCCGCGGTCGGCCTCAGTGACACAAGCTCACGGGCCAATGTCCGCTCCCATGGCGGTTAGCATGTCCGGCCGAGGCAGTCAAAGTCAGCAGAGCCACCACTCGAACACGCCCCGTATGACGAATGCGACGCCACAAATGCAGCACGGTACCCCCAACAGCCGATCGATACCTACTCCCAGAATGACACAAGCTAGCCCACCACCTGGCATGATGGCCCAGAATTCACACATGGGCCAAATGCTCATGGGCAATCAGAACATGGGCCAGCCTGCGCAAAATACTTTCTATGCTGCTCAAATCGCTGCTCAGCAGCGAAGAATCGCGCAACATCAACAGCTACAAGCGATGCAGAATGTCAACACGATGAACGGGCATAACAACCCACAGATGCATAATTCGACAATGCAGCAGCAGTTCCTGCGGCAGCAAATGCTGAACATGAACATGCAGAATCCGAACATGATGAACGCTGCTCAGCAAGCCCAGATTGCACAAAGATACCAGCAGCAGCTCAACACCCTACAGCAGCAGCAACAGCAACAGCAGCAACAGCATCAGCAAATGCAAGCACAGATGCCCAATCAGCAAATGAGTAATCCGAACATGATGCATGCGGCCAATGGCATGAATCCCGCCCAAATGGCAGCCATGCAGCAGCACATGCAGCATCAGTTGCAACAGCAGGGGCAGCAGGGATTGGCCAATAACCCACAAGCCCAGATTCGGCACAGGCAGGCTATACTGTACCAGCAGAATCTCCCCCAGCTCTTGGAAAGATTTGGCGGACCTGCGAATATCCCGCCCGACATACACAATCAGTTTAAACAGACGTGTTACAAGAAGGCATATGAGCAGGTTCAACAAGATACTCAACGACGTCGGATAGCAGCGCAAAACATGCAAAATGGGATGCAAAATGGGATGCAAAACGGGATGCAAAACGGGATGCAAAACGGGATGCAGAATGGCATGCAGAATGGCATGCAAAACGGCATGCAAAACGGCATGCCAAATGGGATGAATGGAATGATGCAGCAAGGCATGTAGAGGGTGGTGGTATCAAAGGTACCTCACGACATTGGAGATTGAAGATTATTATCTCCTGAAGTGGCCGGAAGCGAGCAGCGAGTGTCAGAGCTGCATTTTACGACACAACTTCGAACCTGTACAAACCTGATGTCTTCGCTACAGTTTTCACGCATCGCTTTAGTAGCAGAAGTCTTGATTTTTTATTTTATTTATTTGGGATTGGGGCCAAGCCATATCGGAGTTGAGGACGGGCTATTGGCATTTTAGCTTCATGCCTTCATTGCTTTTATGATTCAGTGTCATTGTTGTAAGCCATTACAACTTGGTGGCTTGGGCGTATTCCAGTATACCCATATTGACTTTTACGGAGTTCTGATTTTCACGGCATCACGAATAATGGGAGGAGGCATTGTAGGTGGTAGTCGTCCACCTCATGGCGTATGATATCTTTGTACTTGGTACAGTCGTCTTTTGGGTTTAACTAGGTACCTAGGTATACTAGTATTCACATTACATACTTATGAAATGGCTCATTGCCTTTCAATTGAATATACAGGTCACAGGTGTCTTGTTTATCTAGTCACTTCCATTGTTGATCTTGGACAATTTTTTTAATGTACAAAATTAGAGAAGTGTTTGAATAGGGGGTATCACGTGACTCTCTACATGGCGCAAGTACATAGTAGATAATAGTTAGCACGGCGTCAAATAATTACGAATAATTACGTAAGGAAGTTAGTTATGACAATGTACTGGGTAATGTATATCCCTGCAAGTTACTAACCTAGGTACATGTATGACGCGGGTGGGAACATTTGAAGGAACTAATGAGCTTCAATGTTCAAAGTTCAATTTAAGCATTCAAACCATTTAAAGATTGGAGCCAAGTAGACAGCCTAAGAAGTTAAGTTAGAAGCTTGGCCATCTACCTACTAATTGATTGCTGTACTTACCAGCTTACCTACCAGCTACATAATAAATCGTCTAATCAAATGTTCAAGAAGTAGACACCTGATATCGATCCCAAGCCCTTCCTCTTTTTTTTTGTATGTAGTATGTACGAAGTACCCTAGCTGCATCGCATACTTGCACATGAACACCAGCAGTGAGCATTCAACAGTTCATCACATCGCACTTGTTTCCATTCATCCGTTCGTTTACTCATCGCATTTTCAACCATCAGAACCATCTTTATCTCCATCAAGTATTGATTCCTCTCCAGTCTCTACCTATTATTTATTAGGTAACTAGAGTTAAACCCCGCAACTTTGGTACACAAAACCTCGACCTCCACAACGCGCCCGACAGACCCGATCGCGTCATCAACATTTTCCACACCTTCCACACATACTATCCAGCTTAGATACCTACCGAGGTACACAAGCACCGCATTCAGTTGGCACCATGAAGGTTCCGACAATACACGTGGCTGATGCCACTCTGCTCCTGTCCCTGCTGCTAGCTCCTCTACCGACTGAAGCCATGCTCAACTGCAAGGCCATCGTCGCCGACAAACAGCGCTTTGATCTATCCAAGCTAGGCGGTCCACACTCAGTAGTTACGAGCCACATATCAGATGGAATCTCCTACAACACTACATACACAGTTGACATATGCCGCCCTCTTAAGAAGAAGGGCGATGTCAACAAAAAGGAGCAGTGTCCTAACGGTTCTCGAGGTACGATCCCTTCTCATCTTTTGTCAAAGTGAAAGGATGGGACTTTGTTATAGGTAGTAGGTATATTGAAAGTGCTAACTGATATTTGCATTGAACTAGTGTGCGCCATCGAACGACGAAATGATGCTTTCGACAAAGCCATCCCACTCGCGGGTGAATTGCAGAACTATGGTGGCGGGCCCCTAGACTCCGAGGCCACTCGCCTCAGCACATCGGACTCGAACTCGGACTCGGATAAAGAGGGCGTGCTCCTTGTCCTCAAGGGTGGGTTTTTCAAATTCGATAGTGGCTACAAACGGGAGCAGCGGACCATCATAGAGTTCCTGTGCGACCAAAACCGCAACGGGACGGAGGGCGAGTTCGATCCTGCAGACGACAAATACGAGGATGACAATGATACGGCTATCCTTGGTATGAGCCCGCTTGACTACCGAGCTGAAGGTGACGAGGGTGATGGTGGGGATGACAATGGGGGCGAGGAAGAGCCACCAAAAGATGTCCAGCTGGGTATCGAGAATGACCCTAGCTTGATATTCAAGAGCTACGCACCTCTGGATGAGAACTCGAATGTCGATGTCCTGCGTTTGACTTGGAAATCCAAGTACGCTTGCGAGAAGCGAGAGGATGATGGGGAGGGCGAAGAGCCTCAGCCAAGTGCGCATTGGGGATTCTTTACATGGATGGTGATCCTGTGAGTGTTTTTTCTTCTTAACCCTTGCTGTTTGATATAATTTACTAACAAGAAATTCAGCATCTTCCTCGGAACGGCATCCTACCTCATCTTCGGCTCGTGGCTCAACTACAACAGATACGGAGCCCGCGGATGGGATCTGCTCCCTCACGGCGACACCATCCGCGACATCCCCTACCTCCTCAAGGACTGGACTCGGAGGGTGCTGAACACGATGCAAGGGACCGGCAGTCGCGGAGGCTATAGCGCGGTCTAGGGGGAAGGCGAAATTACCCTTACCGATGGTCGGCTCCGTTAAGGGGGAACGTCTATTATAACCTAGGGTATTATAAGAAAGGTGTCCGGATAGTCTATTAATCCTGTTCCTGTTCCTGTTCCTGTTCCTGCTCCTGTAAGACCAAGTCACACACACATACATACATTTTTTGCTTGCTTGCTAGGTGCGCGAACCATCAAATTCTTTCCGGCGTTCTTTCTCGGGGCTCTAATTAAGTACGGGCATTATCATCATCATCATCACTGTTTCCAAGGTTCTTGGCTTCCCTTTGGCCTTTTTTTTTTTCGTTTTCAAAGTGCGGTTCTTTGTATCATAGCTCATAGCAACGGAAATCAGGGAGTGAGGGGGAGGGTTGGATCGAGAGGGGCGAGTTCTTGAGGTACTTCGCTGGGGGAGGTTCTGTAGATTGAACTTGGTTGATTTTTGGCCTTTGTTTTTTTGGCGGTGACTGTGGGTGTGATTGTGAGTGCGAGTGTGAGTGTGGGTGTGAGTGTGAGTGTGGTTTTGGCTGTGTTCTTGATCACTGGCTGACTGGTGTGTTCGTGAATGAGGTTGTGGTAATGTGCTGTTGCAGCTACTGCTGCAACCAAGAAGAAAAGGAAAGGAAGAAAGCTTGCTTGATTCCTAACTACAGTGGCGGAGTGCCAACATATGGCCATATGGCTCTAGTGGAGCCTATGGTGCCTGAAGCACCTGCAACAGTTGATTTGATTGAATGTCGTGGATCTTTCATCATCGCCGTAATGCTAAGTCCAGCATTCAAGATAAATGTCTTTCGGGTGTTATTTGGGGGGTGATATGGTGTTAATTCTCCGTACGTTTACTCACTGCCTACTAGGTTAGGTAGGTACATATCATATCATGCCATGTCAACCTAGCTCAAGTATTCCCCCGACTCAGATCTCATATCGAAACCGACATTCGAAGCTCCCTAATCTTGTGAGACGGCTGTCGTCAAGACCGGTGACTACATGGTACCGTTTGGCTAATAACCCTGTCCATCCCACGTGCCCTGCCCCATCATACCGTAGTCTTGGGTGTCAATGGTTGAGGGCATGCACACATCGTGAGTTTGGTCATGATTCTGGGCACCGATGAACGGATGCTTCTCCATCCAGTGATCATCAAGGTCCATCCGTCGACGGTAGCCGTTGGCGCCCACCCGAGCATACCCGGGAGCCAGGAACGGGAACGGGAACGGGGGTTCCTGGCCCTGCAACTGCGAGGAGGCAGTAGCGTCAGTGACAGCCTTCCTTGGGAGCTTGTCTTCGGTGGTGATCTTGTGATGGCCCTCGAGATGCTGTTCGAGGTCATCGTATCGGCGGAAGCCCTTCATCCCCTGACGTTCATAGCAGTAGTCGCATGGGTAATGGGGGACCGCGCCAGATTGGGTGGTGCTGTGTCTGCTGAGGGCATCAGATCGACTAGATCTGCCATTACATGCGCAGCGAAATGATTTGTGGTGTGTCTCCTTTGCATGTGCGTTCAGCTGAGTGGCGGTGGGAGGTTTTTACCCTTCACCCCCCAGCATTGCAGCGGGAGGGCTGGTAATTGATCGCGTGTCCTGCGTGGCGTAATGCTGACTGCCTGAAGCCGGTCCGATGGGGAAGTTATCGCCAAGGTACTGGACATGTATCTTTCGCGGGTCGGCCGTGGCTTCGAATCTGTTAAGTCGTACAATGATAGGCAATTCTGTTCTATGAATGTATTATGGACGATTCGGATTTTGTAGAACCAAGGCGAGGGGTCATTGGATTCTTGTGTTAACTGCCATCTCCCCTAGCCTAGATTTACGTATAACCTTTCCTAGGTACTTCAACTCTACAACCCACAAGGGTCCCTAGGGTGGACAGGGTGGAAGTGCTGTAATCCCCTTGAGCCTCTCATCAAGAAGCGAATAGTTATTCTGATTCGAAAGAAGTTATGGTTAGGTAGCCAATGAAAGAATTTCTGCCACTCTATACTCGAAGCAATGATACCCACGCAAGTGTGATAGTGCCTGACCTGTTGGTCCTAGAAGAGGAAACGGGCAGTGTACTGTAACCTAGGTAGATGGCCAACGTGGTGGTCCCTAAACAGATCTCTCATTAGATCTATAGGTAAGCCTTGTTTATTAGGTAGGTACCTATACACCCAAGCATTCTACAGCAATACACTGAGCACAGCGTGTAGTTAAGGCTGGACAGTCTTCTTAATGTTCCAAGGTCACGTTATAATGCCTTTGATTAAAATGGGCTCTTCCATCATTCTACACATACTAAGGCACAAAGTGCGAATCATGTTGACCCTCTTTCCTCGCATTACACAGATCATCATGACGCGACCAAAAATGCTTAATTCGAGCCATATAAACACAGGCCATGGCCTTCCTAACTGAATACAAATCTTTCTTATTCTGATCAAAGACGAAATTACCTATACATTTCGTCAACTCCTTCAGTTTCCAACCGAATAAAAACGAAAAAAAAAAAAATCGTTCAATACCACCTAACCATGTCAACCGGCGGCACGGGCGGACACCCGATCCAGGGGCTCAACTACGGGGCCACGGCCGGACAGCAGAGCGTCGATCTCTCCGACGACCCGGACCCGAAGGGCACCGCAGCCGGCTACGTATGTTTCTGTTTCTCTCTCCCCCTTTTTCTTCTTCTCCGCCTTCCTCTTCCTTCCATCAACATCAACATCAACATCAACTGACCCAAAATCCACTGCGAGGAGAAACCATCCCAACCACTAGCTTAAAATCCCACCTACCTACCTACTAACACAATAAACAAACCAACAGACCCACCCCAACCAACCCCACCACGGCGGAAAGTCCCTCCTCGGCACCCTCAAGGAAGCCCTCAAGCCCGGCGACGCCAAGAAGCACGACGACGCCCGGCTGAGCTCCGGGCCCGGCCCCAACAACCCCGTGGCGTCGGCCGTGTCGTCCGCGGTGAAGGGGGACGGCACAGCCACGCAAAGCCACCGCGACGCCGTGGGTTTCGACGGCGGCAGCCGCACTCTAGAGTCCTCGATGCCAGGGCTACAGAGGGATAAGCAGCGCGGCGGCAGCGGCAGCGGCAGTGGCGGGGGTGGGGGGATTCTGGGCGCGATGAAGTCGGCATCGCACAAGATATCGGATGTGCCCGGTGCGCTGAAGAAGGGGGGAAATAACGACAACAACCATGACAAGGGCGGGTTCAGCGGCGGGACCAGGAGCGGGAACGTGATGGAGGCGGCGTCGGCGTCGGACGTCCCGGCGTTTGATTCCCAGGGGTCGGTGGGGCGGGAGTTCACGGTAGGTGACATCGACACCTTGAGCTACCCTCGCTAGCTAAGCTACCTACCTACCTAAATGATTCCCGGATGTGGGCTTGGTTGAACCTTTGACGCGCTGACGACTTTTATTTTTACCAAACGCAGACCGAAGGCGCGATCGGCGGCGCGGCGCAGAGAGTTGGCGGGCCGTTCTCGAAGAAGGGGGCTGTCGGGCGGCAGTTCACGGATGAAGGGTCGGTGGGGGGCTCGGTGCAGGATACGCTGGGACAGGGTGATGCTACGAGGAAGGGGACTTGATTTCCCTGTGGGGATGTACAGATTGTAGGAACAAAATGTAAAATATATGGGAAAAGGCGTCTGTGTTGCTTAATTTTAGGGTGATTTTGGGACAATAAATATGTGCTACCCATGGAGATTGTGGCCGTATGGAAATCGGCCGCATTATGCTAACTCTGATCCAAGGTGCGATGTTATCAAATGTATGAAATCCTGTAACGTAATGTCACGAGATCATGAAGTGATCATGTTCTTAGGTGGGGCGTTATATCTATAAAGCAAGTATCTGCTGCTAGACGAACATAATCTTGTCCTCTCCAAACCCATTTCCCATCACTAGGTATAGCGCTTCCTGTCTTCCATGAATGGAGACGACATGTGCCGGGGGTAGAAAAAGACTGAAAAAATCGACAGGAGATAAATGAGGTCTTGAGCACTACTGATACCCGCAAGTGAAAAACCTGGCAGTCCTCTCAAAAGTGATCATGTGTTCCAAGATTCCTAATACATAAGCAATACTGAAGTGGTAGTTCCCAATGGCATTGGTGCCAGGGCAGGATCGAGAACCGGAAAAAGTACGTGTAACACGCCTCACTCTTTATGGGAAATATGACCGACAAGCATAAGCATCGACTCTTCGCTGATAGTTTCTGAAAGCATTCTCATCCGTCGCTGATAAACCCTCCTCGACGACACTTCTGAATAGGCTGCCGCGCCGGCTGTTCGATGGGCCACACAACCTGAAATGTCGAAGAAATTTGGCTGAACGCGGAAAGAGTTCAGATCCTAAGCAAAGCGGACATGGGATCGGCATCATTTCGTTTTCGTAGAAGGCTTGACAAGGGCAGTCAATATCACGTGAATCATCATTCTCGCGACATCGACTCTCATACTCTGCGTCGGTGCTCTTTGCGTGGATTACCATACGGCGGAATGTCTCAGTCGAGGTGAAAAGTGGTAGATTTTCTCCCAGGGAGCGGAGGAGTAATTGCATATAGTCTGGTCTCCAGTTCCAATCATCGAAAGCGAGACTTTTGGAACGGTCATCCAAATCAGCGAGACCCCTACCCATGGGAATCATGACGAGATTTTTGGTACTGTTCTGGACCTGGCTAACACTAGAGCCATCCATAAGAAAGAATGATTTTGGGTTGCGTAGGTACATTAGGTACGAGAAAGTGTTCCTCTCCCAGTCGAGGTTATTCTTGGGGGGCCGACAGCTTGGTTCCAAATCTCGAACTGTAATATCTGGCCCTACCCCCAAATAAGGAAACTCAACATAAACGACTTCCCGGTTGTCTATCACCGCGGTTCTTGCCTCCATGTTCACGCACAATAGACGTCTAGCAGTAGACATATCAATTCTCCGGTAAGAACGAGAATATCTAATATATCGTACACTCGAGCCCAGACCAGGCGGTAGGTACATGATAGGACCGTTTGGAAGCGTGTGGTGCTTCCATATCAGTAACCGTATCTCCGGTGGTAGTCTGCTGAAGCATGTAAATCTCGTGGGCGTGACCATGATAGGCAAAAAAAAGTACTAGTTGGTGAGGGAACTTATTGGTGGCGATGACAGGTTATAGGACAGGGTGATGTGAGTTGCATTAAGAAGTTATCCGAGACCATCTGTGGTGAGCGCGGGCTTTTATGGCATTCTGTTAGCCCCTGCTGGTGGGGCATCTCCCTTCTCCCTTACAGACGCCCAAGGTATGTCACATGCCCAAGGTATCTACCCTCTCATGGTCCCAGTACTAGGTAAAAGTCGCAGGCATACCATTTCGACACCCTTTGTACACGTGCCTGATGTCGAGAACCCGGAGCTTTATAGCTTCCTTAGCCTTATATGATACCTCAGGTAGCGGTGTCCACTTCCATATCGGTCCCCGGAGATCTTTCGATTTCTTCGATCCGAAGTAGTACGTTGGTTTTCCACGCGTTATATTCCTCCCTCTTTTCATCCGTCATATTCCACCTGTTCTGTAGCATGGTGTCACCTCTTTTTAGGTGGAGTTTCTCGCTGAATGGCCTCCCATCGCCATCTTCCATCTCAATGTCCCCATCATGTACTGTCACGTCACTTGGTTTAACCAAGTTCTCGATGCCTGCAAACCATTCCTCTCTTTGCCATTTATTCTCAACTATCTTGGCAACGGCACCATCCAGGTCTTTCGACCTCATATCGGCCCAGCCAATCCAAAGCTCATCTTCGTCCATCCCTACTATGTTGACATTATCTTGGGCTTGACTCAGAGCTTTCAGGATAGCTTTCCGCATCTTTATGTATTGTGGGTTGTCCAACTCCTTCCCCTTCTCGAGCACATATAACTTTGAGGATATGAGGAAGTAGATGGCAGCGAGCAAGGAAGTCAAGTTATCATTGACCCATTCATCCTTCGTTCGCTTTCCATGCGGAGTTGCGATGGTTTGCATTCCAGCTAAAACAGTTCTTCCGATCCGCTCTTCTTCCAGCTCTTTACACATGAACTGAATGGTGGGACGAACCCAGGCGGGCAATGTGCTGATGGACCCTCCCGCATTCTTCTTAGCGGGGAGCGACGGTGGCTTACCTGCCGACCTATTCGGGGTGTTCTGTCCCTTGGTCGCCGCAGGAGACCTGAACTTGGCCAAGGATTCCTCTTTGGTGGGCGCCGCCCTGGAGTGAGTCCGTTCACCGCTGCCAAGTATACCCGAGTCGCGTACCTTTGGCCTTGTAGTTCTCCCGCTTCCCGATCTCCCCACAGTATTCGCGGGCAAGACTTTGTCGAGATGTGTATATAATCTCTTATAGATTCGCGGTGGCACGGGGGGTCGTGACTGTATGGGGGGGAGGTCGAGTTTTATCTTTAGACGTTCGCAGGCAATATGGGCGCAGGCATATGCACGAGCAACTTCCTCTTCAGCCTTGAGCGTGCCGGCGGTATGGCGAGACTGGGTAAGCAAGGAGGATGCGAGCTCGAGGAGAGGTGGAGGTAGGTCCTTGGAATAAGTCGGTAAGAGGGAGAGGAGTGTGGGTTCTAGAGTGCGGCTCATGTTGACGAGATCCTGATTACTGATCTAGATGGATGCATAAGTACAAGATGGGAAGAAGTTTAAATGCTCAACGGTTAACGTTGAAGTTGAAGATTCACAATTAGTGTCTGGTAGCTGCTACATGTATGTACTAGGTACTATGCAGTTAGGTTGATAGCCGATGGATGACGAAGGAGCATTCACGTTGGAATGGATGGAAAGTTAGGAAGCTTAAAAGCTTGGACGATCACTAAAATGGCAACTAAAAACAAAACAGCACAACGCTGCGAACCCTGGAATGCTCAGTTGCATGTACATACCGTCGTACCTAGGTACTTAGTACCTACTTGTAGTTAGCGGGGACGGCCCCTGCAGCAAATAGATCAGCATCCAGATGCGATTCCCTGCATATCCGGTGATCTTTAGCTGCGACCAGGACCAGGGTGCCTGCCTAATGATCTCACTGGTGGCTCTTTTTTCCTTCTTTTCTTATCTTATTACCCCGGACCCATGTTGCTTGAACTTGCTTCCCTTGCCTGTTGAGTTACTTCAGTGCCAACGGCGCTTTGTTCTACATCGTCTTTTTCTTCCCTCTCTAATACACATCCTCAACTTACCCGCTGCCTAGTCCTCATATTCGCTGCTCTACTACTGCCCTACTACATATCTTCACTTTCCATCTAACGTGTCAAATCAAGATGCGCTCCACCATACTAGTTGCAGCTGGCCTCGTCACCCGGGCCCTCAGCCATGGTGACCACAGCGGCGGATCGCAAAAACCAATGGTCGATCAGAACGCCAACTGGATGACGAAACATATGGCCGGTAATATAGTTTAACCAATATGCATTCCATAGCAAACTCTAATAAAGCAACAGAAGAACATCATATCGGCGACTTTGACGCCTCGTCCTTCTTCGGTTTACACGACTACGACGCTGACGGGCACTGGGAACCCGAGGAGATCCTGCGCACTTACGGACTAATGGACGATTCGAACAAGGATGTGCCGCAATCCCGACGTGACGAAATCGAGCGCCAACTACTGCACCTACTCGACACCGACGGCGACGGATTCGTTACGCGCGATGAGTTTGTTGCGTTCATTGACTCTGGAAAGACGCTACCCGACGTGGGTACCGGCCCGGGCCACCACGGCGATGACGAGTACGAGTACGAGATCCACCACTGGGAAAAGTACCATGACGAGAACACCAAGCTCGAGGAATTGACGCACCCCGAAGACATCGAGCACTTTAAGAAACACGATATGCTTGAGGACGAGGAGGAAAGGCTCGAGAAGCTTAACAAGATGTCCATCGTAGAGGATAACATTCCCAACAAGTTTAAAAGAACCTTATGATTTCACGGCACTGGTAATTTAGGTAGGTATGTAATTGGGTAGGGGAAGAAGGCAGGGTTTTTGGGGGGAGGGGTTTTCTAGGCTGGCTGGCTTGGCGGCAAGAATATAGGCACGAGTTACGACACAACATGGAATAATCAGATGCGTTGATGTTAAGATCTTGTCATGTTTTGGTATTAGACTTTGTAATGTAAAGATCGAATACGCAGTGCCAGACTCCCGGTGCGAACGTCTTAACCAACTCGATATGTTCCACTCGGGTCGTTCTACCCCCACCGTCTTGGCGCGCGAGATCTACGAAATACTCGTCGATCTCCTCTTTCCGCTTTTCGATATCCGCCACCCCTACATTCTCATGTAAGTGAAGCCATGCCTCTGCCCCTGTACTCCGCCTCGATATCTCCCAGGCGTCCTTCCAAGACAAGTCACTAGTAGGCAGTAACCCACAGTTGACATGCACGATCTCGAGGACCCCATTCAGCTCCGCGACCCTCCGCGCCGCATGTCTATTGTCCTCCAAAAAGACTACGATGCGCTCACCTCCGCCCACCAGCTCCTCCATCGGCAGCGCCAGCTCGCGCTCGCCCCGCACAACCCGCACCGTCCACCCGTTTCCGCGCGCGCCCCGGCGCAGGCCCTCGACGCTCCAGGGGTTGAGCTCCCAGCACAAGACCCGCATGCCGAGCTTAGCGTACGAGAAGGTGAAGTAGCCGATCCCCGCGTACATGTCGACGGCCCAGCTACTCTTCGACAAGTCTCCATGTTTGTGAAAATCAAGCAGCCGCGTCTTCTCCTTGATGTTCCCCCGGCTAAACATCGTCCACCGCGGCGCCCACGTCTGGAACACTCCGTTCTGTCTCGTTGAGACCCAGAACGCGCTCTCGAACGCCTTTTCTCCTCTTTCTTCTGCTTCTTCCGCAGACGCAGGCCCGAAGTCCCCGTACAGCACTCGCAGACCGGTCGGGCTGCGCAGAATATTCTCTCCCGGGGTAGTAGTGCTATCAATACCACCGTCATCATCACCACGACCCTGCGCGCGCTCCGCCTCGTCCCGCGCCACGGAGGCCGGTATCCCTTCGTTGGCAGCAAGATGCGTTAGTCCCGCTCCCGCTCCCCCTCCGCCGGTCTTTTTCACGATCTCGGTCAAGATCCGGATCCACAGTGCATCGGCATCGGTATCGGCGAGATGCAGAGCTGCTTGCCACGCCTCGCCTCCGAAGGATCCCGCGGGCAGCAGCACCATCGGCGCGTAGACCGTCCATCGCTTGGGCGCCTGGGCGAGGAGGTCCTCGAGGCGTGGGCCGGGTTGTGATGCGTGAGAGGTGGGTGGATACCAGGCGGTTATGGCGGTTTCGATTGGGTTTTGCGGTGCGGGCCTTTTGCGCCGCGGTTTGTGCGTTGGTGGTGGTGGCTCCATGGTTGATTCTTTTTCTTCTTTTCTTGCGGTTGAAGCACGGGATGTGGAGAGGAGAAGATTGGAGAGAGGATTTGGTGTTGAGGGCGCAAGCTAAAATCTGCATATGCTGTGGTACTTGGTACCTGACTACCTGACTAACGCTAGATGCTTCAAGTCAGCAAGGTAAGTCGGTCGCTGATTGGCGGGACTTCGTGCCAGAGTTCCTATTTAGGCATGAGCTGAAGTATGCTGATCCCGTTGCAGCGCTGTTTAGCGGTTCTTCATTCAGAAACTAGAGGGCACACGCTCGCGCGCGCCACAAATGCCCGAGTTTTCTCGGACCCAATTTTAATCTTACTACAACCTATCCTAAAGGCTGCTTTCGGGCTAGCGCAACACTAAGGATTTAAGGTTTTGATAAGACGATTTGATTGGATGCAGCACCCTTTAGATCACATGACCTGCTTTTTCAAGTTGTAACCCTTTTTTTTAGATGGTAGGGAGCACACGGGCCATCAACACTTCTTATTCAATTCAACTGATTGAATTGATCGGATTGATTGAATTGATCGGATTGATTGAATTTATTGAATTGATTAATTGATTGATTGATTCCTGGACTGATTGATTGAATGCAGCACCTTTTGGATCACGTGACTGCCTGCAACACTATTGGGCCATCAACCCTTCTAATTCAACCCTTCCTATTCAACCTTTCCAATTGAACCCTTCTTATTCAATTCGACTGATTGAATTTATTGAATTGATTAAATTTGTTAAATTTATGGATGGATTGATTGATGGATTGATTGATTAAATGGTTGATCTACATACATATCCTGTTGCAAGCTGACTGGCTGGCTGGCTGGCTGGCTGAATAGCTGGTTGAATAGCCCGGGCCAGCTCATCCAACGCTGGATTTAACGCTGGATCCAAAGCTGGATCTAATAGCTGCTTGAATAGCTGATCAAATGCCTCATTAACGACCTGATTTGTTGATTAATTAAAGACCTGATTGAATATTGAATCAAAGGGATCAAGGGATCAACGCAATCAAGGGGATCAAAGGTGTTCCGATCATGTGATCAAAGTCTCGGAACATCTTTAATCAGGTCCTTAATCAGTTCTTAGATCCCTTGACCCCCTTAATCCCTTTGATCCCTTTAATCTAGTATTCAATCAGGTCTTTAATCAATCAACAGATCAGGTATTTGATCAGGTATTTGATCAGGTATTCAAACAGCTCCAGCTTTGGATCCAGCGTTGGATAAGCTAGGCTATTGTACATCCGCTAGGTCCCCTAAATCTTCAAATCCGGGCCTAATCTAGCGCCCCTAGCCCAAACCACATTCAACCTTTTTTCCACCTTGAATAACTTTTGAATCAGATATTGCACCATAGTGAAACGGAGTCCAATTGAAAGCGCATCTAATTGCCGATTGATTGATACCGGACTCGAATTGATGCGATATCTGGTCATGAAGTTATTCAAGTAAATAGGTAGCAGAGCGGGAGGCACGTGATCACCCTTGAAGCCACTCTAAGGGCCCTTAGCGCCCCTGGAGCCCTTAGAGCTAAACCTTATTCAACACTTTCAACCTTGAATAACTTTCTGAAACATATAGTTGCAAAGGAGCAACCGGATTCAATTGAAAGTGCATTCAATTACAAATTCATTAATACCGCTCTTGGATTGAGGCAATACGTAGTTGAAAAGTTATTTTTGTATATGTAACTATTGAGAAGGGTCACGTGACAATGCTTGGGGTGACCCCAGGCGGCTTTAGGGCTCTTAGGCGGCTCTAAAGGCCCTTAATGTGTCCCCAACGCTAATCACGTGCCCCCATCTTGCCAGCCTATTTACTTGAATAACTTTGCAACCATATATCGCCTCAGTTCGAGATCCAGATCAATCAATTGGCAATTGAATGCTCTTTCAGTTAAATCCGGTTGCATCGTGGTGCCACATGTGGTTGAAAGGTTATTTGATTGGATTGATGTGGGCAGCTGGGGGCACTCACTGGATCACATGACCTGCTTTTTCAAGCTGCAACTCTGTTTTTGGATGGTAGGGAATATACAAACCATCAACCCTTCTGATTGAACCCTTCCAATTCAATTCAACTGATTGAATTAATCGGATTGAACTGATCGGATTGAACTGATTGGATTGATTGATTGATTGATTGATTGATTGATTGATTGATGGACTGACTGATTAATTGCAGCACCTTTCGGATCACGTGACTGCCTGCAACACTTTTTTTGGTATAGTAGGGGCGATCAAACCTTCCAACTGAACTCAATTCAACTGATTGAATTGATCGATTTAGATTGAATTAATTTGATTGGACTGATTGGATTGATTGAATTAATGGATTGATGGATTGATTGATTGAATAGCTGATCTACATATCCTATTGTAAGCTGGCTGGATAGCTGGCTGAATAGCCCGGGCCAGCTTATCCAACGCTGGTTCCAAAGCTGGATCTAATAGCTGTTTGAATAGCTGCTCAACAACCTGATTTATTGATTGATTAAAGACCTGATTGAATACTAGATTAAAGGAATCAAGGGGATTAAGGGGATCAAGAGATCTAAGAACTGATTAAGGACCTGATTAAAGTCACATGACCGGAACATCTTTGCTCAGATTCTCGATCAGCTCATAGATCCCCTTGATTGCATTGATCCCTCGGTCTCTTTGATTCAGTATTCAATTAGGTCTTTAATCACTCAACAAATCAGATCGTTAATCAGGTATTTGATCAGCTATTCAAGCAGCTATTAGATCCAGCTTTGGATCCAGCGTTGGATGAGCTGGCCCGGGCTATTCAACCAGCTATCCAGCCAGCCAGCCAGCCAGCTTGCAACAGGATATGTAGATCAGCTATTAACTCAATCAATCCATAAATTCAATCAATCCGATCAATTCAATCAGTTGAATTGAATAAGAAGGGTTGAATTAGAAGGGTTGATGGCCGGTGTGTTCCCTGCCATACCAAAAAAGAAAGTGTTGCAGGAAGTCACGTGATCCGAAAGGCGCTGCATTCAATCAATCAATCAATCAATCAATTAATCAATTAATCAACCAATCAACCAATCAATCAATCCATCAATCAATCAATGAATCAATCCAATCAGTTCAATCCGATTGATTCAATCCGATCAATTTAATCAGTTGAATTGAATAAGAAGTGTTCAATTGGAAAGGTTCCATTAGAAGGGTTAAATTAGAAGTGTTGATGGCTCCTACAATCCAAAAAAAAGAGTTGCAGCTTGAAAAAGCAGGTCATGTGATCTAAAGGGTGCTGCACCCAATCAAATCATCGTGTCAAAACCTTAAATCTTTTACGTTGCACTAGCCTGAGAGCAGTCTCTGGGACCCACAATTCCAGCGATTCCAGCCAATCCCGACTTTCTTGCACGGGCTATTGAGGTAATTGAATACATATATTTTCCATTCTTATAACAGCTGTAATTGGGTAATCAGATCTTAATGGCCGCTGACGGATCTGAATGTCTCCAGGGCTTATAATAATATTAAACCTTCAATATTCCTTATTTGAAAGCTTAAGCACTTAATGAGACTTGAAGCTTAAGCACTTTTCCATACGTGTGGCTGCATTTGTGGCTCCCCACGTGGCTTGATAGTCTTGGCAAACCTTCCTCTTTTGCAAAGCCCAAAATTCCTCTAAGTCTTGAGGTGTGGCTGTATGTGTGGCTCCATACGTGGCTTGAGGATCTTGGCAAACCTTCCTCTTTTGCAAAGCCCAAAATTCCTCCCCTAGAGACCCACAAGCTTACGTGAGCAACCATTTGAAGTCTTGGCAAACCTTCCTCTTTTGCAAAGTCCAAAATTCCTCCCCTAGAGACCCACAAGCTTACGTGAACAACATCCCCACCTTCCTAAAGTGGAAAAAGTTTCCTATTTGAGCCTAGCGCGTCTGATTAGTAAGCCAAATCCCCTTGAGAAAAAAACCGTACAGTAACCCTCGAAAACTCGGGCACTTATAGGGGGGTTTGTATCCGTAGAGGGTCGAGGGTCGCCCCTTTTTCGAATTGTGAACCTTTGAACATCATCTTAACAAAAGCGCACTTTTTTCGTGCTTCCCTTCGTCTTTCATTTCATTCTAACGTCTTGTTTTATAATTATATATGCCATATCGACTCTATATCTTGTCTTTCGCTTCTAGACATCATGCAGCAAAATCCATCGCCACCGTATAGGTACCACCTACATAGGTGTGTCAAGCCCGCAAGCTGCCCTTGGGCCATTGGCTTTGTCTCTACAGGTATTAAAGATTTCAAGCTACTCAGAAGTGAGGAATCTAGGCAGGGTTCCGTGATGAAGTGAAAATTAATCGTCAAATGCATAAGTACAAAATAACTGGTCAACTACGGTGAATTGAGTCTCAGCTCGGCTTGTAGCGGTCGAGAAACACGAAATTAGGAGGCGGTACAAATGCGCAATAGATCCGGCTCGTGTTTCGGGAGCTTGCAGTTGTTTCCTGTGACTAATATGCAGTAGTTGGCGGGAGGGGACGGAAACGATGGCATAGTGCATGTATCAAATACTATACCTGAGAATTCGGCGATGCACTACTGCTGGCCTTGCATACATTTATGATGTAGCGTACCTATGAGAGCTTCAAGGGAGATTGCCAAGGATGAAAAACATTGAATGCTCTCACGTTCTATTGATACTAGGGACCGACCTATCCAGACATCTCAGCTGAGATGGCCTTACACTCGAGCAATTTGCACCAAATGTTTAGCGATAGCCTCCTTTACTAAATTTTGCGGCAAATCATCCACATTTAACCCAGTCCAGTACTTCGCCTATTTTCCAAAAAAAAAAAGCGTCAGCAAAACACAGACTTTAGAATCCAGTCTCGATACTCACCTGCTCAAAACCCTGCCATATCATCGCCTCCGTCCCCAGTATGACCTGCCACCCCGCGCGCTCCGCAAGGGCCCCCAGCTCCGTGTACGGCGTCGGGTTGTAGCACATCTCGAGCACGCACCCCTTGGCCTCCATGCCCAAGAACGCCTCCACGACCTCGCGCGCCGCCTTCTCCTCCGCCGTCACGGGCGGGAAGTCCGGCACGCACGACACGATGGCCCCCGGCACCTGCAGGCCCCTAGCCTGCTCCGCGCTCGCGACGTGCACGAGCGTGTCGCCGTAGCCCCGCGCCGCGCAGTCGGACGTGACGGCGTCGACCTCGGCCCGGTCGCGGCTCACGAGGTAGATCCGCGTCGCGCGCATCCACCTCCGCAGCGCGTACACGGCGCTGCGGGCCGCGCCGCCGCCGCCGATGACCAGCGCCGGCTTGTGGTGGAACACGGCGTCCGGGTCCGAGACGTTCCGGTAGAAGGACTCGCGCACGCCGACGACGTCCGTGTTGGTGCCGCAGACGATGCGCCGGCCGCAGGGCCCCGGCTTGTAGTAGATGGTGTTGCAGGCGCCGACGTCGCGGCACTCGTCCGTCAGCTCCTCCAGGTGCTGCATTATGCCGATCTTGTTCGGCATGGTGACGGATGCTCCTGTATATAGGTGAAGCGTCCGTTAGCTGTCGCGAGTGCTTCTGGTGATATGAAGCAGCGGTAAATGGAGAGAGATCCACTCACCGAAACAGTTGGGATCTTTGATCAGTGTCAAGAAATGCGGGATGTCTGCCGAGTCTAATCGGGACTGCTCCCATTTGAGCCCGAGTTCCTTGAATATCACGCTGTGGAACAAGGGCGACAGGGAGGCTGCGATTTTTTGCCCGAATAGATAGCCATGCTTGTCAAGCTGGGCAGGTTCTGGTTGTGCGGAATCGGCTGGCATCGCGAAAGATGCAACTAGGGTATATGATGTGGTGAGGAGGTGAGGTCGTGATCTTTGGCTTGGTGGCTTGCCCTACATGTATGTCTACGAGCAGACCACCCTGTGATATGTAGGTAACCTAGTACCGGGTACCCACCTGCGCAGTAACTGTTGCACCTTTCTTCCGGTCTTGGGGTATTTCTAGATGCCACCGACCTCGGGATACTATTGAAAGTACTCACCAGACATTGTGCTTACCTATATTTTCAACACACCTTGAAGAAATCTTGGAACCATAGCTTCTTTTCCTACCTATGTAGATACTTTAGGGAAGAAAAAAAATCCTCTTGTAGTAATGAAATAGCGCAGGGAACGTATGTAACTACGTGGATCTTCTAAGCCTCTAAACCCCCCTAGATTGAAATTGGAGTAAATATCCCCGCAGCCGTCGCGGCCTTGAATAAATTCTTCTCTTAACGATACAGGGACCACCTGCATGCTACTCTGACAAGACGCAATTCCCGCTCTCTAGAACCGTTCTAGAGGGGGCCGCCGGGGTGATGGAGCAGCAAAATGCACCAAGAAAGGAACTACCATAGGATATAATAACCCCAACCGGCTTAGGCCCATTGACCGGGCTTGATGTCTTCAAATGCTTGACTAATAACATCTCCAACTCATAAAAAATTGATCGACGAAGAAGTTTTGCTGTGCCAAGGGGCCGAGGAACTTATTCCCCAGTCCCCAGAATTGAATGAAGCATGGAGGCCATTGATAAATACTACCTTTTAGCCCAGTTGCACACCTAGGTAGGCACCATGTCAAGTCTACGTACCTACTTTCTAGGGAAAATTCTCTAAATCCTCGGTTCCCCCAATCATGAGGTTGAGCAGGGTCGAAAAGAAACCTCCCAGTCTCCAAGTCCGTATACTTTTACTAAAGGGCTAACCTAAAGGGATTATCTGTCACCTGGAATACCGCCCATCCATTGGCGTTCTCCTCTGTTCCATACCTAACCTGACGGCTCTTTTCGTCTCACATGACCGAGACCACCTCAAAGTTAAACGCATCTCCCAAGACTACTGGCTCATCCCATCCATCACCATGGGCATCCTCACCCTCAAAGAAGACCGCCCCACGCCGCGCGCCGTGTACAACTGTCGCGTGTACACCTGCGCCTCCATCGCCTCCTTCGCCTCCTGCATGATCGGCTACGACTCCGCCTTCGTCGGCACCACCCTCGCCCTGCCCTCCTTCATCGCCGAGTTCGGCTTCGACGCCTTGCCCCAGCACCAGAAGGCCCTCATCTCCGCCAACATCGTCTCGCTCTACCAGGCCGGCGCCTTCTTCGGCAGCTTCCTCGCCTACCTCTCCACGCACTACCTCGGCCGCCGCAGGTCCCTCTTCGTCTTCGTCGCCGTCTTCGTCCTCGGCGCCGGCCTGATGCTCGGCGCGAGCCGCGAGCGCGGGCTCCCCCTCATCTACGGCGGGCGCGTGCTGGCCGGCGTCGGCGTCGGCGCCTCCTCCATGATCGTCCCCATCTACATCTCGGAGCTGTCGCCGCCCGCGATCCGGGGCCGGCTCGTCGGCATCTACGAGCTGGGCTGGCAGGTCGGCGGGCTCGTTGGCTTCTGGATCAACTACGGCGTCAACACCACCCTGCCGCCCACGCGCCGCCAATGGCTGATCCCCTTCGCCGTGCAGCTGATCCCCGCGGGCATGCTGGCGGCCGGGGCGTGCTGGATCAGGGAGTCGCCGCGGTGGCTGTTCGCGGCGGGCCGGCGCGAGCAGGCGATGGCGAACCTGTGCTGGATCCGCAAGCTGGACGCCGACGACATCTACATCGTCGAGGAGGTGAGCTACATCGACGAGGAGATCGCGCGGTACCGGCGGGAGATCGGGACGGGGTTCTGGAAGCCGTTCGCGTCGCTGAAGAAGCCGGGCGTGCGCTGGCGGTTTTTCCTCGGCAGCATGCTGTTTCTGTGGCAGAACGGCTCCGGCATCAACGCGATCAACTACTACAGCCCGATCATCTTCACGAGCTTGGGCATCGTGGGGACGAACGCGGGGTTTCTGACGACGGGCATCTACGGCGTGGTCAAGACCGCTGTCACGATTGTCTGGCTGCTGTTTCTGATCGACAACATGGGCCGCCGGAATCTGCTCATGTACGGTGGGTTCGGCGGCTCGATCTGCATGTGGATCATTGGCGCGTATATCAAGATTGCGGATCCCGAGAACCATCCCAGTACGGATGGCCCGCCACCCGGGGGTATCGCTGCCATCTTCTTCTTTTACATGTGGACGGTGTGCTACACGCCGAGTTGGAATGGGACGCCGTGGGTGCTGAACTCGGAAATGTTTGACCAGAACACAAGGTGAGACAACTAATTTTAATCCCGTTGAAGTCCTCTCGTCTAGTCACGAGTACCGAGCACACCATATAGCAAACCTACCGAGGAAGCTTACTAACAGCAAACACAGATCCCTAGGCCAAGCCTCCGCAGCAGCAAGCAACTGGCTGTACAACTTCCTCATCTCGCGCTTCACACCACAAATGTTCCTCGCCTGGGGCTTCGGCGTGTACTTCTTCTTCGCCTCCCTCATGCTCCTCTCCATCGTCTTCGTCTTCCTTTTCGTGCCCGAGACCAAGGGTATCCCACTCGAAGCCATGGACCAGCTGTTCGCGTCGAAGCCGATATGGAAGGCCCACGACCATATCATGGCAGAGCTCCATGATCGGGATGATGAGTTTAGGAGGAATGTCGAGGGTGGTGATAGTCTCGAGGAAGAGAAAACGGTGGATAGGGGGGGGAAGTCGTGATTTTGTATAGGTAGGTATTATGTGAGATGTGTAGGTACAAACACAGGATCCGAACAACCTTCATATTTCACAACGCTGGAATTGACGCTTGAATTGTAATGATACCCAGTCTAATGCAACTCCGTCACTAATCTCTAACCCGCCTCAAGGCGCCGTATCCATACTCCACGGTCAACTACACTAACTAGAAGAGGAAACTTACTGATACCAAAGCAAAAGCAATGCATATGATGCATATGCTACGAAGCAAGCATCACCTCGTAACAGGCCGACCCTTAGTCTTGCTCCGTCCCTTCACATCGACCACAAGCTTCATATCACGCACCAGCCTCGACCACGCCGCCGCCCCCCTGCTCGCCAGCTCATTCGGCACATTGTCGTCCTTGTCCGCCATGCGGCGGTGGAACAGCTCCATGCTGACCCAGCCCTGGTAGCCGAGCTTGTTGAAGATCGCGTTTGCGATCTCGAAGATGGGCAGGTACCCGCCGCGGCTCGTCTCGCCGTAGAACAGCCTGCAGTTGCGGGACCAGCTCATGTGCGCCGGCTGCTCCGCGTCGTAGAACTCGTGGCCCTCGACGAGCGGGTTCTCGAGGCGCTCGGCGTCCACGATCTGCACGTAGAACACCTTGCGCACGTCGACGGTGGCCACGAGCCGCGTCAGCGAGCTGTACAGCTCGTCGTAGCAGTTCACCGCGCACCCCTTGGGCTGCCGCGGGTCCGCGTACACGCGCCCGGCGATGTTGAACGTGTCGAGGCACAGCCCGAAGTTCGGGCGGTCGACGCGCCGCACGAGCTCCCAGCTCATCTCCCACGTGTTGCAGCGCGTGCCCCAGCACAGCGCCTCGTACGAGAAGCGGACCGGAGGCTTCTCCTTGAGCCCCAGGTCGGCGACTTTGCGGAGGTCGTCGAGGGCGACGTGGAATTCTTGGGCTACCTGGGTTCGGTGGAGAAAGTTGGAGGGGATCTGAATCATGTCGGTGCCGAGGGCTTTCACGAGCAGGAACCAGTGGCGCAGCTTCTCGAGGTGCTCGAGGTGCTTTTTCCGGTCGACCAGGCCCTCGTAGTGCAGGAATGGCTGGAGACATAGGATCTCGATATCCCTGTCCATGCATTGCTTGCGAATGACCATGGCCGCGTGGACTTCGCTCTTCGACGGGAGTTGCTGTGCGACGTCTTGGAGATCTTCGTAGGCTAGCTCGATCCCGTGGAAACCGTATAGTCGTGCCATGTCGAGCTTGCGTGAAAAGGCGTGGCCGGCATAGCAACGGCCCAGGGACATGGACGTTATTGCTGATCGGCACGGCATCTTGAGAGAACTAGAGGGCGTTAGATGGGTATAAAGAGATAGCGAATGAATATTCTAGGTAGATATCTGCTAGGTAAAGCTTCGGTTGATAGACTGATGTGCTACGCGGATTCCTATAATAGTAGGCTGCTTAACGAGGGATGTACAACAAGATGCGATGCGGTTTTCTATTATCCCAAAGAATCCCAGAGGTATCATGGATGGGAAGCATGTAAAGATGCAATATCTCGTAGCAGAGGTAGGTAGGCTTGTTTCTTCCAAACCTTACCTTGAAGATGTTGTTCAACAAGGGAAGTCGGGCTCTAAGCAACATCGTTGAGCAAGGGTTTAAGTAAAGGTAGGTATGACCAGTCTCGCATATTGGTCAGTAGCCAGCCGCTTGAATGTAATTCTAGATCTAGCCCCAATACAACTACTCACAGCTGTGTGAAATTAGAATTACACGAACGATTGTGATCTTGGGTTGATTTACTTGGTCTTTGGCCGGGACCAACGGTGACTCCTTGCGTAATAAAACGAGTCACTTTCCTTGAGGTTGGTATCCGTGTGACTGGGTATTCATCCGATCTGACGCCAAATCCTTTTATTTCTGAGTTGTGATGAAGGTACTGGGACCTTCCAGTCCAGCGAGTGCTTGTAGTTACTTGCTCATTGTCGGCCTTCTGGGCCTTCTTCGACTTGACTAGGTAGGGTATCTGAACCTAGAAGACGGGAAAGAAGCTGCGAGCATGCGAACGTAATATCAAACACGCGGCATGACTGCGTCTACTAACTCATCAAAGTGATACGCGGGTTCACGTACCTTTTCGGATATTGCCCGTCCCGACTGCCTCCCGTATTATAAGCATCTACCCTTCGTTTTACAGCGGGACAGATGAGTGATGATGATTACTACCAGCACATCTACTAGGGATCAATCACCCGGACCACCCGCCATGTTGACTATCCCATAAGCCTTTAAACACAGAACCGTTTTCACTCGCGAGTTTCTCAGGCACCCCAACCTCAACAATCCTGCCACCATCCATAACAATTACCAAATCCCAACCAAGCACCATCTCAAGCCTGTGCACCGCAGCGAGCACCGCGCAGTCTCCGAGCTGGTCATCAACGATGGCCTGGAACTTTGCCGCGGCTTCCTAATCAATATTTGCCGTCGGCTCGTCAAGGAGCAGAACCGTACTCCTGCGCAGAAGCACCCGTGTGGGGCAGAACAGCTGCTGCTGGCCTCTCAACAGCTTCAGATCGCTCAAGTCGACGCTCAAGCCGCCAAGCTCTTCCACCAGGCTCCATATCTCCAATTTCCTCAGTATGCGCACGAGAGTCTCATCGCTGGCTGAGCTGGCGTCTGGGACGAGGTTTTGGCGCACGGTGCCAGGCAGCGCTACGGGGTCTTGGGGGAGCGTGGCTATTTTCACCCTAGCAAGCTCGCAGGAAACGTTCGCGATGTTGATGTTGTCTACTTTGATCGAGCCGGATTTTATTTCTAGGAGGCCGAGAATCGCGAGAATGAGGGATGATTTCCCGCTGCGATAAAGGTAAAGGACAGAATCCAAGGTTGAAGATTTTTTTTTCGGGTGATTGCATATAGCTTACCAGCCGGTACGGCCACAGATGCCAACACGTTGTCCTTTTTGCACCTTTAACGATATATTATGAAGGACCACGTTCTTTCCGTTCCTAGATACTGTTAGTTGTAGAATATAAGGATCCGAACTTGTTACTAACTCATAAGCCGCGGAAAGGCTTTCAATCTGGATGTGCCCTCGGAGGGCCATAGTACCCTGGGTTCTGGCTCATTCCGTCCTCTGACCAAAAGCGTAACCACAACTCTGCATCGCATATAAGTCAGCCAGGAAATATCCACTATGGAAGTAGATTAGGTATACATACGGGGAGCTCTGCCTAGGCTAATGTAGATGACCGCAAGGCCTAACCAACACACTGCCATAATTGGGCTCACAGACTGGAAGTAGAACTTGTACAAACTGATATCACCGGCTTGTCGCTCCAAGTCACGCTTTTCTAATTTTTCAGGAGCAGCTTGAACGGCAGGTGGAACGTATCCTTCCTCTACAAGGTCGATGTTCTCGTTATCTGAGCTTATCTCCCAAGTAAGGCATCGGAGGTCCTATTCTCGCAATGGAAAAGCAGATGGCTCACCACAGCGAGCAATACGGCCGTCTTTATCAAGAATGACGATCTGGTCTGCGCCAGCAAGGTCGTGGGCTAAACTAGAACCGTCAGAAGCACTACTTCCTACTGACATCGGCAATAAGGTACCTAGATAGGTACTTTTTAGCTTACCATAGTGTGCTACTAGAATAACGGTAATTCCTAGCTTCCTAAGTAAACCGTTCATACCTAGTATATTGTCGAATACTGTACGCGACGTGACATTATCTAGGGCGCTGAATACGTTATCAAGCAACAAGATAGGTTTGCGGGAATATACGGCTCTTGCCAATGCCTAAGAAGCTCTTAGGTTAGTCGCTATCCGGTAATAGGGGTATGATCAGGAATGAAGGGCATGACAGATCATACTACTCGCTGTTTCTGACCACCGCTCAGCGCAATTCCACCGCTTCCAACTAAATTCATATCTGCATGGGGCAGCTTTTCCAAATCCATTGCTGCAGGAAGTGCTGTTCGGACTTTAGGGGTGAATGGCAGAGCCCATACAATGAGCTTAGCAGGAATACTAGGTATCATGAATTGAATTCTGGACGAAAAGTGGCGCGTGTTTAGGTTCTCAAAGCGTTTGACACATGCATGTATATCGCGTGTTTAGCACGGGAAAGAACGAACAGTATTTGGAAGGGTCGGGTAGTTACTTGCTGTGCCTAAATCTTAGCGCTAAGCCCCCCTATATTACAAGGAGTACAGTGCCAACATTACAGTACATCTAGTAAGATGCACGGACCATTTGGTTTTGGCGGGGTTGGCCTAACTATTACCCCCCTACCCCTTTTTATTACTAATGAGCGGTAGCCGAACGAGAAGGTTTTTTATGATTTATGACAACAGCTTCACCGGTACGTATTTGTAGTCTGTTCATACGAAGGATTTAAAGAGACTCTCCAAACAAGTTGGACTCGAAAGATTAGATTGGAATCTAAAGAATGAGAAAATGAGATACAGTATAACAATTCTTGTTATACTCGTCCTTCTTCATTATCCTTCAAGATGAATGGCGGTAACACCCTGCTACACATTATGCGCGTCTTTAACTTTAGAAGCTAGGCCAACACTTACACCGCCGAACGGCCATGCTCTATCATATATTCGTCGAGACGCTCCTGTACCTATCGTTAGCAGTTTTCTTTACCCAAAGCCAGGTTTATCAAGGTAGGTAAGGTCTTGCCCTCTTCACGCATTTTCTTGGGATTTGATATCCATTGATTCCCTCCGGATTTGTCGTCGGATATTCCAGCCTCATGTCCATAGCACAGATTATATGCTGTCGAAGGTAGTCGAAACAGTGCCTCATATGATGAATGTCCGCATCCCTTTGTCCCTTGCCCGCATCGCCAGGTGGGTGGGATACAGCGGTGGAGTTATGCACAGTAGCCTCGTATGCCGTGTGGATTAGTTCCTGTGTAGGCACCGGATCAGACGAAGAAAGAAGTAGGCTCAAGGGGTGTATGGTTATGCTTACCAAGCAGTGGTATTGATGAGTCCAAGCCGTCTCTTCAAGTCCCTTACCTGGAAAGCTTCATTGTTTAATGAAGAAGGTCCAAGAAGATTGCTATGCTGTTCATCCAGGTCTATGGCGTGGTAAGCCGTCTTGTGCGAGTAAACAAGCAATGGAGGATCAATCTTAACAATTTGGACAGGTGAAAAACATGCTGAGGAATGTTCATATTCGAGTTTTGAACCACGGCTGGGTAGTTAGGTGCACCTAATAGCAAAAATAGAAATGGTATGGGCCCACGCCCAGGCATTCCCACCCCAACAGAGCACATGCAGTGTACCAGCTACCTACTTGCTGAAGTACCCCGTATCACATATGTAGAACTTGTGCCTTGGTTTATCCGTGGTTGTCATCACCCCTGAAATGGAACGATCCAGGAATACAACACACCGTTAGTGAGATCCCCCATACACCAGGTGCGCAAGTCCGAGTTATGGGCTAACAGTTCGCTTATCACATTATAATGTCATAGCCGAGATCCTCAGCAATGAGATAGACTAGTAAACTATACTTAGTTAACTAGGTTATGCCTCATAGGATTACCAGGTCCAATAGTTCAGTTTTGGGAGGGTTAGGCTTAGGATTTTGAGCAAGTAGACCATGTTATCAGAGAACTTGTAGAAAGATGTCATATTCTATCTATCTATGTAGGAAGGTATTGTATAGCTCTGGCCTGCCCAGGGGATCGACTTAAGGGAAAGTTGGCAACTCGTGTGCCACACTTGTCTTAGTTATCGGCCTGACGACCGGAGCAGCATGCTTCTCAGCTGCCTCTAGAATAGCTACTGGATCACGACATTGGTGCTATCATCAATTAGACCTCGGATATCAATAATAGGGGGTAATTCAGTCACGCAAACGCACTACTGTGCTGAAGTCTGGATATATTGCTTGAAGACGCCCTCAGTGTCTCCCTCATCGTGAGATGGTGAGTCGGACTGATAGACCTTTTGGTAAGGTCTAGTTCGGAGAAAGGAGAACATAGCGTAGGTAAGTTTTTCAGTGGCGGTTTTGACGAAGAACAAAGAAAAACTTACATGGAGTAAAACGATGGTAAAGTGCAACGTCCTGTCAATGAACATCATCTTAGTTGGAGCGAAGATTCTTGTGAAGTAGTCCTTCAGCTGTGATGCAACATAGGTACGAAAAAAGGGGTCTAGAAGGTACTAGGTACCTACCCAGGCACCTAAAGTAATGTATCCCAACCTAGCAATTTTGGTCACCAAAATGCCACCCTGATAGGCTGACAGCTGGACTCCTATAAGCCAATTAGTGCTCTTTACAGGGGTATAAAGGAGCCGCCAACCAACGTATCCGTATAATGTATGTATCTTGCGTGATTCTTCAAAAAGGATCCATGATAAGACCGCAGCTGATCCGCACATGGTTCGGCCCTAGAGCAGTGCCCCTATACATCATGACTGGTGCTGGCCCTGCAAGGATGGCATCCGGGAGCCGCCTAGATTGTATTTTTGCGTAACATCTCGCGATAAGAGTAGGTAGGTAAGGATGAGGACGGGATCAGATGCAGTAGGTTATAATTTGTGTCTGTCTCAACACCCGTCTGAGATACCTTACACTTGCTTGTTTCTTCTAAGATATTGGAATCATGTTCTCCGTGTTACTTGTTTTACTCACGATCTTAGGAGTACCTGCTTCCAGAGCCACGGGGCCATCAACTCTACAATCCCGTGATGAAGATGTCAATGGGACCTACATACCCACCAAAGCCCCCTACGCCAACATTTTCGCGCAACTCTTATATGAGGAGAATGACGCCTTACGTACTTTCTTAAACACTCGCCAAAACACAACAGAGTAGTATCCCAATCCAACTCTGAAGTGCTATGACTAATCTGCATAGTGTTGGAATCTTCACGAAAATATGGTCCCTCGGTACACTTCCACCAAACAAGACCGACGCAGTAGCATATCTCGATGGCGAAACGCTGCCAAGACCCGTTCCTACTGGCCTCGCAGCGCTGAAGCGGAAAATGATGTTGACGCGGCTAAGACGCGCTCATACTGGCCACGTGAGGTCACTGAGACCGAGAATTAAGGGGTCTCATGGCTTGTTGTACGAGCTATCGAAAGATGGGCATTTTGCTGGGTTTGAAGCAGTCGGGACTTGGTGGTCTATTTTGCGGTGCATGTCTTACTAGTACCTAGTAGCTACCTAGTCTTTGAAGACCTAGGTGAAATGTAATGCTTGTGGGGGTGGGTAGAAATATAAATGTAGTAGAAGAAAACTGAGTAGATTAACTCACCTCGTCTATTGACCTACTCACGACCCTAGGTATATTGGGTGATCACTTGAAGCTATCTGAAGTGTTAACGCCCGGACAATGCGTACTGGGGTATGCCTAGGTACATTAGCAATTCGGTCATAAGGGTTACCTATAAGAGCAAGCCTATGCTCCTACATTCCCCGTCGAAGTTGATTTCCTAACCCCTTTTCGTAACTGCATGATTCAGCCGTCTTCAGGGCTAGTAATAATACCTAAAGTTGTGTGGTGCTTCTTCTCCTAAATATACGCTACAAGATGATACCAGTTCTAATTGGCGCTACCCGGAGCTTGGGTGAGCCCTGTGCTGAAGTATCTGCATCGTGGGCTGCGCAAGCCACTGCAATCTTCACTCGCGACCACAGAGCTCAAGTACCAGCGCAACTTGCATTCGACTGTCTTATATCGGTGCCTGTTGATGTCGAGGGCAATCTAAAAGAGATCGAAGAACTTCGGCATTTCCTGCAATTTCAGTCCACACTAAGCTACCTGAAGGACGGTCGATACCGCAATACTCAAGTTGGAAAACACAACGAGCCGTTGGACATACTGTTGCAGGTGCCTCGGGCACCATAGGCTCTACTAGAGCCATATGGCCCATATGGCCATATGTTGGCACTCCGCCATTGTAGTTAGGAATAAAGCAAGCTTTCTTCCTTTCCTCTTCTTCCTGGTTGCAGCAATAGCTGCAACAGAGATCTATCACGAATGCTATTTTCAGATGTCAAGGTTTCCAATAGCACAGACTTCTAGACCGTGCAGGCGTCATTTATAGGTATGCAAGTAGCCGTCTAACCTGCCTAGGTACACATAGATGGTAGTCGGCTGGCTGTAGACTTACTAATGTATCGTTTAAGATGAAGTGAGCAGCAAATAGCCGATAGTTAATGAGAATTGATCTGGCGTTTGCATGAGCATCCTCGGGCCGGGCCGTTATACACAGCAAACCCGTTTGTCGAAACCGGCACCGGCACACGGCATCCACGCCTTGGTGCATGTGTATTTCAATAAAGCAAATGTTATGCGGCTTGTTGTTCCAACCGCGAGCGGCCCACTCCACGCCACTGCAAGATCACCTTCAATGTTGTACTGCATTGGCGTATCATGTACATCGAAGATGATTTCTTTGGGCGTATTACCTATATGTAGACTGGGAGCTGTCTGGTATGAGATGGATTCTGAAGTCGGGTACTTCGTTCTGTAAACACTAGGAGGCGAAACATCACCAATTTCAAGTGAAGTCAAGGAGTGAACATCTCATGGTTCGTATGGAGTTACCATTGTCGCACAGGCAGTGGCCAATCATTTACACTACAAGCTCAATCAAAGTTAGAACTGGCTTTTCAAAACATGCGACATGTAGTTCAGTAAGTTAGTTAGGTAGGTAGGTACAAGAACTGTTGCGTGTGAAAAAGAGGGGGGGGGGAAGAAAGGAAAAAGAAAAAGTTTTTGCCGGCTGAGGAATCGAACCCCAGGACTCACTCAGTGGCGGGGTTGGAGAGGTGATTTCAATAATTCAATAATTCAATTCTTCAAGTTACCACTATGCGAGTCATACCAATCCGGCTGAAAGTTCTACTGCTTTTGTGGTTTATATACTTACCTGGGCACCTTATGTATGGCTCGGGCGTAATCTCGGCTATGGTTGCGTGGTGATACGGGTGGTTGGTTGCTGGGGGAGGCATGATGCTATTCGTCAACAACTGCAGACTGTCACCGTGAACGCCACACGGCCTGTGAGTTCCCGACGTGGGGAAAAAAGGGACAGTCCTGTAAGGTGATGAGTAGGTATCCTGAGTAACGCGGGCTTGTGTATCGCAACTGAAATACGGTGTCACTAATCGCTAGAAGATATTATAGGCATAGATACTCATGAGAACCTGTCGATATCAACGCACTATGGATATGTTGCAGTATAACTGTAACCAAGAAGAAGGAAGATGGAAGGAAGAAAGCTTGCTTTATTCCTAACTACAATGGCGGAGTGCCAATATATGGCCATAAGGGCCATATGGCTCTAGTGGAGCCTAAAGGTGCCTGAGGCACCTGCAACAGGATACCTAGTATTTGCTTTGGCGTGTAAGTCTTTGGCGTCATGAGCTAACGAGGTTGGCACCATAGCCGTCAGGACGACGAATACAAGAGTATGTGTGACTTTCATTTTTGGACATGTATCTGCAAGGTGTCACAATGAAAGTCTTCATACCGACTCAACATAGTTTCCGAAGTCCTTAAATCGACGACCGATGGAAGTATTATATAGAATCGAGTCATAACTGTTCACTTAATAGATCATACTCAAACATAAGATTTTACAATCTGTAAAGGGTAAAGATTGGATTGAAGGAGCCATGAGCATGGTTAGGAATATTGGCCTGAACGTCATTGGTGTTTTTCAAGTGGAAAGAGGCATGATAGAAGCTATGAACCTTGGATATGAAGAGTAAGCTATGATTTCCATGAATAAACATTTAAATAGGTCTCGATACCTAGACAATAACAACATTGCAACTTCTTTCCATAAATATCAATTACCATGTAGTATCTACCTGCCTAGTGGGCACCTCCCTACGTAGTAGAATGCAGGAACAACGAATGAGCAACTAGGATGACGCACGGCACCGGAGCCCGGATTTCGGCCGCCATTGCCCGACGAACGAGACCGGTTACAGTAGGATTGGCAACTCCACCCCCGACCGCTTCACACCTTTACCCTAGACCAAGAAGGCGCAGCGGAAGACCTAGACCTAGGATTAACTTGACTGACTCACTCTCAAACCATTCATCTTTTGTCTTTCCTCTATCTATTATTCATTATCTACCATATTCATCATCTCCATCATCTCCATCATCATCTTCACCCATAACAAAATTAAGTAAAAACAAGAATAATAACATCCCCAACCCAATCAATCATGAGAGTTCCCCTCCACCCCTCCACCATGTCTTCCGAGCCCCCCACCACCAATACCCTCGCAGACCGCATGAAGCAATACGAGCTCGCCTCCGAGACCACCCTCCCCACCACCTCTCCTCTCATCCTGCGGCTCGACGGCCACAACTTCTCGCGCTTCACCGCGCACCCGCACTTCTCGCGGCCCTTCGACCAGCGGATCCACGACGCCATGGTGTCGACGTGCACGGACCTACTCCTAACCTTCTTCCCGCGCGCCAGCGTCGCGTACACGCAGTCCGACGAGATCACCGTCGTCTTCCCGGAGGGCGGCGTGCAGCTGTTCAACGACCGCGTGCAGAAGCTGTCCTCGCTGGCCGCGAGCTACTGCACGGTGCGGTTCAACGCGCACCTCGCCGCGGCGCTGGTGCGGGGTAGCGGACTGGGCTTCGGGCCGGGCGGGGACGACGCGATTTTCGGGACGGCGCACTTCGACGCGCGGTTCTTCGCCGTGCCGAGCGTCGAGGAGGCGCTGAACTGTCTGCTGTGGCGGTGTCGCGGCGATGCCATTAGGAATAGCATCAGTGCGTTTGCGCGGACGATGTTCAGCGCGGCCGAGATGCACGGCAGGACGAGCGCTGAGCTGGTATCCATGATGCGGCGGGAACGGAACATCATTTACGAGGAGCGCGTGCCGAGGTGGGCTCTTGAGGGATCCATCATCAAACGAGAGCTGTACCAGCACGAGGGCAGGAACCCTCAGACGGGACAGCTGATGACGACGACGAGGACCCGTACGAGGATCGAGGACAGAGGGGTCAAGGAGTTTTCTACGGAAAATCTGAGGATAGTCACAACGAGATTCTGGAATGACCTCGATTTCCCCGAACCTCCTAGACTCCCTAGACCTGCTATCCCAGGGCCTGCAGTTTCTAGAGAACTTTCTAGGGAAATTCATATTCCTAGGGAGATGCCTAGGGAAACCTCTGGGGAAATGTCTAGGGAAATTCCTACACATGTCCATAGGCATGTTGATAACAGCTCTATTTTTACAGCAAATACTACAATCTTCGGCCCCAACGTTTACGTGTTCGACCCGAGTATGCCGGCGTCTGAGATTCAAGGTAGAGCAACGGCTATATTCAAAGAGATGGAGGCTAATGAGTTTGGCAAAGAACGCTACGCGATTCTCTTTAAGCCTGGTACCTACAATGTATTATTCGACGTAGGCTTCTACACGCAAGTGGCGGGACTGGGCCAAACCCCGGACGATGTGCTCATCGAAGGTGGCGTCAATGTACCGGCTTACTGGATGCCTAACCGAAATGCCACATGTAATTTCTGGCGAGCATACGAGAACTTCTCGGTCAATGCCTCGGACGCTACCAACAAGACCACAACCATAGCAGTCTCGCAGGCAGCGCCATTACGGCGCATGCACGTGCGGAGTGAGGGAGGCCTTTGGCTATTTCAGGTGGACCCAAGCACGGGCGCCGGAGGATGGGCGTCTGGAGGATTCATGGCAGACTCGGTTGTGGATAACCAGGTGCTTCCAGGCTCGCAGCAGCAATGGCTGTCGCGAAATAACCGATATGGAAGCTGGGCCAATGCCGTGTGGAATATGGTATTCGTCGGCGACTCCAGCCCGCCTAGCCAAGACAACTTCCCAGCATCCGCCTACACTACCATAGACCAGACACCTATTATCCGTGAGAAGCCTTACCTTCGAATCACCGGCCAGGGTCAATATGAGGTTTTTGTACCTGCATTGCAAACTAACACCCGCGGGCCGAGCTGGGTTGATGGCTCCTCAACGCCGGGGAAAGCCATCCCCATTGAGCAATTTCACATTGCCCACCCATCAACAGCAAACGCAGCCAGTATAAACTCGGCTTTAGATTCTGGAAAGCATATTATTCTTACGCCGGGCGTTTACAAACTAGACAATACATTGCGTGTTTCTCGGCCTGATACTATAGTTCTTGGTCTCGGGTTACCGTCACTTATACCGGTTAATGGCCAACCAGTGCTGTCTGTTGGCGACGTAGACGGTGTTACACTTGCGGGTCTCATAATCGATGCGAGCGAGATCAACTCGCCGACACTTGTCGAAGTAGGGCCTCCGAATAGCTCAGCAGACCATGCGTCAAATCCAACGTTTCTCTATGACCTGACGGTGCGGACTGCTGGCCATACTAAAAACGACGTGGGTATCACCATCAACAGTCGCAACGTGATCGGGGACCAACTGTGGTTATGGCGCGCAGATCATGGCGACGGCGCAACCTGGGAAACCAATCCAACTAGGAACGGCGTGGTAGTCAACGGTGATAATGTGACAATATACGGCTTGTTCAACGAGCACCACAAGGAATACCAGACGCTCTGGAACGGGAATGGCGGCCGCTTGTACTTCTACCAGTCCGAAATCCCGTATGACCCGCCGAACCAGGAGTCATGGATGAGTAGGGGCAAGAACGGGATAGCCAACGGGTACGCCTCGTACAAGGTAGCCGACACCGTGACAACACACGAGGCGTGGGGGCTAGGTATATATTCGTATTTCCGGGACTCTCCCTCAAAGCTGGAGAATGCTATCGAAGTCCCCGAGGTCGAGGGTGTCAGACTGCACCATCTGACGAACGTATGGCTTACGGGCATGTCGGGTAGTGAGATTACGCACATTGTGAATGGTCTCGGTGACCGTGTGTATGCAAACAAGCCCGAGTCTGCGATGCGCCAGACTATGAAAGAGTTTTCAGGCGGCCGCCGCGCATAATTCATTTTGATAATGCTGTAGGTTTTCTCCATCCAATACCCACCGTGTGCCCATCCAGAGGCACAACCTGACAGAAATTATGGGGAACCGAGTACTCCTCCATATGGGGTGCTATAGTTGAATTCTGGAACCACGGCCTTAAGGAGTTCAATATTGGTGCAGTACGGGACGAGACGGGACGAGACGACTTGTAATTGCTGTGTTGGACAGAGATGTTGGAAGGGTCGGGGATATTTCAACCCATATACAATCTAGTGGGGTTGTGCACGAGAAAGCAACGCTTGTTCCTTGGGACTCTATTTCGAGGGAATGAGGGCACGGATCATATGACATGGTATTGTTAACTCCGATGCGGTAACGGTCAAATAAGAACTGTTGCTGACATTTGACTCCAGGCTCGAACCGTGCCCGTAGATGTATGTGCCCTAAAATGTGGGCAGACGATCCCCGCAGCCCCGGAGTTACCCATGAGGTTTCCCATCCAATGTCAGACTGGAGTGGGCTGGTGGGATGTTGCATTACTGCATGCACGTCTCCGCGCTAGGACGGACCCTAGAGGCTCAACTCTGTACGTGTACAAGAACGGATTTGTTTCGGGCAATGTGTGTCTACTGCGCCAGAGAAGGGGTTTTCTTTTCTCCCTGTTTACTTAGCCTAACCTAAATAAACACGTGAAATTTAGTCTTTGTCCATGTGTAATACGAGCTTCGAGGTGCTTTCGAGTTTAATCTTCGTCTTAACTCGAGGTTTTTTATTTAACGTCACATATCTTATTATCGATCTTATTGGAACAGATAAGGTGGTTCCGTGATCACGGTAGGTTATAAATAAAAGGTTAAAATTAAAAATATAATTAAAGTTATTAAATAAGATAGAAAAAATTAAAAATCCTTTCCTAATTAAAATAAGCTATAAAAATAAGCACGGATTATATAGGTCACGTAATTATTCCTTATAATTCCTATATTAGTTATTTTTTCTTTTTTTATATTTATTATTTTTATTTATTACTTTATTCTTATTTTTATCTTAATATATTAACTTTTTTTAACTTATCCTTATAATTATAATGTAAGGTAATTAATATTAATAAATGTTTTTAATGTTTTATTAGCCTTTATTTTAATTATAACATTAATTAAATTATCCTTTCCTTGGATTTATTAAATTTCCGCGATTTCCCGACATTTGTATAATTAGCGGAATAATATAATATTAATTATTAACCTTTTTTTTTTAATAATACTTAATTTAATTAAATATTTATATAAAAAAAAAATTAATATAAACCATAACTAAAACCGTTAATAAAATGCTTTATTAGTTTAAAATTATTATAAAAGTTTCGTTAAAAGTAATTCTTATATTAATATTATAAATTATCGCATATATCTTATTAACGAAAACACTTTTAATAATTTTTCGACATTTTATTAAACTTTAATATATTAAATTACCTTTTACCTTAAAAAATTCGTCGTTTATCGCGTCGTTATTATTTATTAATTCGTTTTTAAAAGTAATTATATAACTTATTTACGAGCTTAAATCTTTATTATTTATAAAGGATTTATTTATAAATAAAAACAATTTGGCATTTAAAAGGTTAAAGGAAACGTATTAAAATCCTTTATTTAAATTCTTAAGTTATTATTAAAGTTTATTATTTAATTAAATAATCTCGTCTTTTTTAAGCTCTTTATATTATGCTATTTTAAATATATTATAAGTTACTTCCGGTTAATATATAATAACGATATAAACGTTATAAGTTTTTTATTAAATATATTATTAAGTAATATCGTTAATAAATTCTTTAATAAAAATAATTTTCTTTCCTTATTTTTTTTAACGCAAATATAATAATCCGTTTATATTTTTAAATAAAATATAATTATTAAAAATTAAAAATTCTTTATTAGTAAAATAAGTTTTAAGTTTAATTAAAAGTTTGGCTTTTTTTAATTTTTTATTTTTAAGGTGGTTAAATTATTTATTAAAGATATTAAAAGTGTTATTAATTTATATATTAATTAAATTAAAACGTTTATTTAATTTTATAATAAATAAATAAAAGTTATAAGTTAAAGTTTTTATATTAAATTATTTTCGATAATACTTAAAATAAGTAGTTTATTAATATATTTCAACTTTAATAATTTTATAAACCGATTTAAAAATTATTATAATAATATCTTTTAAATATTTTAAAATAAGTTTAATAAGTAATTATATTAAAAACTTACGATTAAAAGGCGTGTTAAATTATATATATATTTGCGTAACGTTACATAATTAAATAATTATACCTTTTTATAATAATGTAAAAGTAAAAGCCGTAATAACTTATTAACTCGCTCGTTAAATTATTAATAATTAAATTAATATTACTCGTTTTCCTATATTATTATATCTTTAAATAATAAATCTTAATTTCTTATATAAGTTATTTATTACTTTACCTTTAATTTCTTAAATAATTCGTAAATTAAATATTTAAATGTTATTATATTTAATATAATTATATTTTTTAAATAAAAATACGCTTTATTTAATTAAGCCTTTAATTTTTTAAGCATTAAAGGTTTTAAATAATTATTTTAACGTAATAATCTTACTTTTATTATAAAATTATATTAATAATTATTTATTAATAACTTTTTTTTAAGTTATATTAATAATATTCTTTTTTAACTTATTTTTATTACCGCAAAAACGTCCTTATTTTTTTTTAAATACGTATAACTTTAAATCTCGTTTTAATACTTACTTTAAAACGTATTCGTTTAAATTATTTTCATTTTTTAATTCACTTTTAAATTTAAATTTAATCGAAATATATATAATTTTATCGCAATAATAAAGCTTTATAATAATTATCTTAAATTTAACGAATTTATCGTTAATTTAAATAATATATATTTCGTTATTTTATATTATTAATGGTGGTTATATAATAAGGGTACGTATTAACGCGGTACGTACATGGCTGAAGGAGGTACCCATGTAACTTAAATTATATAAAAAGTTAAATCCTTTCCTTATTCTTAAATTTAAACCTCCTTTCTTAAACATTAATATTACATTAATCTCACCCTTATTATTCTTACTTTACTTGTTATTTAATTTATTATACGTATATACCTATTAACAATTAACTTATAAAGTCCCTTTTAACCTTTATTTTCTTAAAACACTTAAACTTTTAATTATAAAAAAAAATTAAAAATATTTAATATATTTAAACCGTTTCGTATATTAAACGCCTCGTTTACTTATTATTATATTTTTAATTTTTAAACTTTTATTATAATTTTCTTAATAATAATAACTCGTTAATATAACGATAACATAAGTAATAAACTTTTAATTAATCGTAAATATACCTTAAAAATAAATAATATTAAAACTAAATTATTAAATTTTATTATATCGTTAATAACTTTTATAACTATTTATAAAATATAAGATAATTTTATATAATGCTTTTTTATATCTTTGAAAATAACTTTATAAACATATTTTAACAATCCATAATATCATTTTAATTTACCAATAAAATTATATACCTTCACAAAAACTTCTTTTATTAAAATAATAAAAGCTTTTACATTTATTTTAAACTTATTTACCGTAAAATTCGTACCTATATTAAATATTAAATTATTAAATAATCTTAAATAAATATCGATTTAAATTATTCTTAAAATATCTTAAGCTTATTTTATAAATATATCTTTTAAAAACTTAATAACTTAAAATAAAATTACCTTATCGATAATATAAAATACTAATCGACCATTAATATATATAACGTTAATATATATTATATAATTAAAATCGATATTATCTTTAACGGTAAATTTAAATTTTTTTAATATATTATTATATAATTAATATTAATAATAATATTTAATGATTTTTTTAATAATTTTAAAATTAATATCGTTATATCCGGCTTTTATAAAAACATTATAAAAACGTTTAATCGTTAAATAATTAAATTGTTAATATATTTAACATAATTCCTTTTTTATTAAATAATAATAAATAATAAAACGTTCTCGTTTTATTAAAAACCATAAATAACCTTATTTATAAATAATAAAATAATCCTTATTTTTATAAATAAATATATTCTTTACATTGTTAAAATATATCCTTAACCGATTTATATCGTTTAAATAAAGTAAAAAAAAAATATTTATAAATATAATTTAAAATAAGATTATTTTAAATAATATTAAAACTTATATTATACTTAAGTTTTATTATTTTAAATTATCCTTAAAATAAATTATATATTAACCGGTAATAGTCGTATTAAATTAAATATTTAAATAAATTTATTATAAAGTTTTTAATTAAAGTTCACCGCTTAATAATATCTTAACTACTTTTATATTAAAAAATATACCTTAAAAAGCGTTAATATATTAATTTTTTAAATAAAACGTAATTAATACTTTAAAAATCTTATAAAAGATTGTAATTATTACTTTTTTTAAATCGTTATTATTAAATAAATTAATTTTAATAAAAGCATATATTATTATTTAATTTATAAAAATGTTAATAATATTTTCGTTATTAATAACATTATATTAAGTTAAGTATTATATTAAAAAAATTGGTTTTTATTTATTATTATCGTAAATATCGTCTTAATTTTCGTAAATTATATATTATAAGTTAAAGTTAATTTAATTTTATTTTTTATCGTCGCTTATAACGACGTTAATTCCTTTATAATTTAAAAAAAAAGCAATAAAATCCTTATTTATATCTTTTTTTTTAACTTTTTAAACGTAGCGACGCCATTTATTTTTCTTAACTTTACGTTTATTTATCAAATATTTTATTAATTAATAATTAAATTTATTATAAATAAAGCATTTTTATTAAGACATGGCCATGGACATGGATGTGGCCATGGACGTGGATAGCCACTTTCGTGGTTATTTATAACTATTACTATGTGAGTATTCTTATGGTTAGTGTTATTATAGCTAGTTAAACCTTATTTATATATATATAGCTAACTTAAAACGCTAAAAACTTAGCTTTTTTCTTCTCTTTTATATATTCTTTATTAATTAATTATTTAACCTTTTAAGTCTTATTATTTAATAATATCTTTTATTATAATTAAAAGATTTTTAACCCTTATATTATCTCGGTTTATTCGAAGGGTAAATAATATATTTACTTAAAAAATCTTTAAACCTTTTAATTATTAAAGGGTTAATTAATAATCTTATTTTTATTTATTGTTTATATTTTTATTAATTACCTAATTATGGACTTTATCTTTATTTATTAATTAATTATAAATCTTATTTTTATTTATTAATTATATCCTTATTTTGCTTATTTTTATTTATTAATTATATCTTTATTTGCTTATTTTTATTTATTAATTATATCTTTATTTAGCTTATTTTTATTTATTAATTATATTTTTTATTTATTATTATATAAATATTTACGCCTTTAAGATAATTTTTATATTATTTATTTATTATTATTTAATTACCTCTTTTTAATTTAACTAATTTTTATAGATATATTAATTTATTTTAGTATATTTAACGCCGGTTTAACATTTATTAAACGTAACGAATGTTTTTCTTAATTAGGAAACGTTTATAATTAAAACTATTTTTATTATTTTAATTTTTGGTTGCTTTAATTAACGAGATTTTTTAATTCTCGGTTTTTTTAACCGACGAGATTAACTTTTAATTTTTAGTTATTTTAGCCGACGAAACCTTTTAATATAACCATTTAATATAATTATCTTAAAACCATTATTCCCTTTATATTCTTATTTTTATATATTAGTAAAGCTGTAAGAGTTTTAACGTATAAGTTATTAGTAAAGTTTTAAAGTAACTTAATATTACTTTAACTACTTAAGGCTTAAATATATATATTTTATTAAAAAAATTATTTAAAGTTATTTTAATTATTAAAGTAATACGGGTTACCTTAAAAATTATTATTAAGGATTAATATATATGTGTATTAGATAATGTGGACGTTATTTTTTTCATTAAAAAAGGGGTAATATTAAGATATAATTATAAACATAAATGTGGTTATAAACGTGGATAACTATTCCCGTAGCTATTTATAACTATTATTATATAAGTATCCTTATAATTATTATTATTATAACTAATTAAACCTTATTTATATATATATAATTAGCTTAAAACGTTAAAAGCTTAGCTTTTTTTTTCTTTTTTATATATTCTTTTTTAATTAATTGTTTAACCTTTTAAGTCTCATTAATTTTTTATTTTTTTTACTTTATTAATTATTATAACGACGTTTAAATTAAGTATTTTTAAAACGGTAATTTCCTTAAAGCTTATTATTATTTTTATATATTTAATTAATTTAATATTAATTGTTAAATATAAGGTATTATAAGTTATAAATATTATAACGGTGGGTAATTTCGGTTATATTACGTAAGTTAAAGTAAATACTTTTAAATATAATAAATGATTTTAAAATAATAATGTTAAAAGTTAAGTAATTTTAAACGGCGTTAATTATGCCATTTTTTAAGTTAATATTTTCCATATAATTAATTAATAATTTTTTTTAAAAACGTTAAACATATTTAATTAATATATTAAAGTAAATAAGTAAATTTTTATTAAAATTCTCCTTTATTATAATATAAATTATAATTATTTTTTATTTATATATATACATTTATTAATTTTTGGTAATATAAAAAAAATTTTTAATTTTAATAATTATTTGCTTTTAAATAAATTCTTTTTAAGTAATTTAATTATAATAATATTATAAAGTGCGGTTTTTTAATATAATTAAATAAGCGGTAATATAACTTAAAAATAAAACTTTAACTTTACCATATATATCCTTAAAAATTTTTATTTTTTCGTTAAAAATATTATATTTATTATTATTAAATTTAATTTTATTATTATTATATATTTTAACGAAATTAATAATCGCTTATAAGTTTTATAGTTTATACGATAATTATAATTTATACGATAATTTTTATTTAAAAAAAGTTATTAATTAATTATTACTTTAATTCCCTTAATTATTTTATCCTTAATTATCTTAATTATTTTAAGCTTAATTAATTATTTTTAATTAAAAACTTAGGTTTATATTTAAAGGGTTAAGGGATTATAAGTTACGTTATAAAATTAAAAAGCTTATAATTAATTTTTATCGAAAAGTAATTATATTATTAAATAAAAAATAATTATTATTATAATTAAAAAATTAATTAAATATAATAAGTTTTTAACCTTAGCTTAAACTTAAACCTAGTTTTAAACTTAAAATTAAAATTAAATTTTATTTAATTTAATTATTTAAAATAAATAAACCATTTAATTTATTTAAATTAATCCGTTTATTTACATTAAAAGTTAAAATAATAATAATTATTTTAACTTTTAAAATGCCTTAATTTAATCTTATAAATCATCGTTTATAAGTTTTTAAAATTTCACTTTAATTGTCTCCTTTAAAAGATCGTTTTAAATTAATACCACTTATATTTTTCGTATTTTATTATAACTTCCTCTAATAATTAAGGTTTTTTATAAAAATAAATGTTATAAAATACTTCGTACTTATATTCGTAACTTTATTTTTTAATAATGTAAAAAAAATTTTTACATTAATAGCCTTTTTAAATTTCTCGGTAAAAACGCGATTAAAAGTTTATATATTATGCTTAAAAAAATAATTAATTATTTTTAACTTTAATGTTTGATTTAATTTATCGAAATATTTTACTTTTTAACCGTTAAAATCGACTTAATATTTCTTTTAAAAATCTTTATTATAAAGGTTATCGTTATACATTAAAAATATCTTCGTATAATATATATTTAACGTTAAAACATTTAACTTATTAATATTTTTTAAATCCACTTTTTTATTATTATATTTGTCTTTAATATATATATCTTATATTAAGCGGTTATATTTTTATTTAAGATTTAACTTTAAAATTAAAATAATAACTCGTTTTTTTCCTTTTTTAAAAAGGCCCGCTATTTTAACGGTTATTTATATAAATGTAAAATAATAAATATATAAAACTTATTATAATAAGTAAATATTAAATATAATAATAATAAAAAATTAAGTATAAATATTATAAAAAAATAAATAAACGTTAATGTAATTAAGTTTATATTTATAAGTTTAAGTTTTTAAGAAAAACTTTTATAAGAAAAAAATCTTTATAAATAATAAAAAATATAACCTAAAATAATAAATTTAAATATAAAAAGTGTAATCGTAAGTTAAAAAAAATTTTTTTTAATAATATAATCACGCATTAACGCGAGATAACGCAAGGTTAAAGTTTATAAAATAAATAACGTATAAATACTTAATTATTAAAAATATAACGTAATTATTTTTAAAAAATATATTCTTAATTATATTTTCTAAATAAATCGGCTCGGATAAATATTAACTTAAATAAGTTTTTTCGGTTTAAATAAATTTTTAATTTAAGTAAAAAAATCGGTTAAATTTTATCGAAGTAAACGTTATCTTATAACTTAATAAAAAAATCGTTAATTAAATCGTTTATATAAAAAACTTGCTCGTAATATTCTTAAATATTATTAACATAAATATATATAATACCTCGAATATTTATTAATAAATCTTAATTTAATTTTTTTATATATAATAAACGTAAACTTATAAATGTAAATATAATATAACGTTTTAAGGTTTTTAAATTAACATAAAATTCCTATACTTATAATAATTATAAATTTCGAGAAATTTTAATTTAAAAATTTCAAATGAAATTTCTTATTTAAAAATTTCCAATTAAATTTAAAATTATAAGTCTTTGTTTTTTTTTATCCTAATATTATCGATAATATTATTTAATATAAATCTCCTTATTATTTATAATTAACTTATTTTATTAACCATTAATTAATGTTAAAATAAATAAAATGGTTTCGTAATTATAATAAGTTATAAATAAAAAATTAAAATTAAAAATATAATTAAAATTATTAAATAAGATAAAAAGGATTAAAAATTCTTTCTTAATTAAAATAAGCTACAAAGATAAGCACAAACCATGTGGGTCACATGACTATTCCCCACAATTCCCACAGATCCTAAATAGAGGCTCGTGCTAAGGGATCTGTGCCATCTTAAACAGTTAAGCACACGACGCTTACTATGTAGGTATTGTACAAGATTCGTGGACACCAATGTTTGTGGCATGATAAATCTTACCTGAGTGACGTTATTTGTGTAAAATATGACAACTTTGCTATAATGCTAGGACTCGGGTGTAATACGACAGAGTAGAACTAAAGTTGGGTTTGATTCCGAGGTCAAATACGACTGCCTTATTAATAAGTGAATGTCACGAGAGTGTGGGATATGCAGCAGCAATGCAAAGTTGGTAGCCATTGTAGCCATATACCCAGCTTATGTTATTATATGTGGTGCAGTTATGCATGGAAAGATCTCGCCCAGAGATTTGGGGAACTCGGGAAAATGGTTATGGGTTAATGGTAAAAAAGTGGTAAAAAAGTGGTAAAAAGTGATTGGCAATTGGATTTGGGCAATAGAAACCCAAAATGTCCGATAATCGCAGAGTCTAACCTGGCCATTTCCCTGCATAGTTCTTGCATCTTCCTGCCACTTGAAGATCGGTGGAGACCGATGGCTCTGGAAATGGTACGATGGTAGCCCCAGCAAGCATCGATTTAGTTCAACTAACCCTTGCAGAACTTCACCAACCCCAGTAACAAACCTTGCAACCCAAGCTTAATCCAGGGCAGTAACCACTGATGGACTTCATCACTTCCAATTTGTGTCCGAACTTTCTTATCAGTGTTCAAAAATCATCCTACGCCGCCCCCTCACCCATCAATCACTGCCTAACGGCCACCTAAAGTAATAGTTGTTACTTCCAACACACTTCCATTATCGGCGGTTGCTAATACACATGTGTATGATTGATGCTAGTGCCGTCTACAAACGTGCTTACCTAGTCCCTTGTAGTGTCTAGTACCAACTTATTAGTAGTCCTTACATCCCACAATTTAAGTCGCGACTGGGAACTCGAAAATACAAAGCTCAACACAATTGGAGTTTTCTTCTCTTTCCTTTACCTTCCAAAGTCTGTATTTCAACCACGACTAAGTTACCGCTTGATCAATAATTTTTATTGGGAAAGTGAAGAAGGAAACCAGTCAGATCTCCTTCCATAGTCTTCTCAATTATAATTCAATTGTCCTAAGAGTTGTACATACGACAAATAAATTTATCACATACATCTCCGCACGACCTCGCTGCTTACCATCACTTTGACCCGTCGTCACTGGCCGTCGTAGTTTTACCCCAACCGAAACTCCGAACTATTGTTCTGCTCACATACCCGAGCACCCTCCGTCAAGTATTTAATTCACGACATTTGGAAGGAAGAACTGTTCTTTCCTTCCCTACTCTAGCCTTTCAAACACCTATTTGTAATCGACATATCATACTTCGCAATGTATGCCACTCGAGTCTTGCGCCAAGCGGCCGCTCACGCCGAGCGCACTCCTCTCATCCGTTTCGTTGGCAAGCGATCCATTCCTGGTAGGTCTTTTCTAGTTAATTTTCTCATCTAGACATAAGACAAAGGAGTTATTAACACCACTTGTCTGCAATAGAGAATGTAGACCACACTCCCCACCCTCACCCCGCCTCTCCTAGCGGTGCACTTCCCAGCCGGACCAACGGCAACTCACACGCTTCCTTCTCTTCCTACCGCGACCATGCCCAGCAACACGGTCCTCTGCGCAAGACCATTGGCGCTCAATCTGCTTCTCAATTGGGCCCAATTCAGCCTCCCAAGGGTGTTTACTTCGACCGCAACCAGCTACCCGAGCGCTTCCGTCGCACTCCCCTCAGCGCTGCTGAAATTGAGGCAGTCGAGACCGGAGGCGCCGCTCTGTTCGGTTGAGCACCCTTCCGTCCCCGTTCCAGTTAATTGTTACAATGGTACATAATATTACCTATGTAGCACATGACGTGGGACGTGCTACGGAACCACGTAATGTGGAACACGATTGAGAGAGTCAAGAAAGCTGAGCGACTTACTACTAACGGTGAAACGATTTTGGTTCGTCCTCAGCTGATGATGGGAGAGAGCATTTTTTTGGATCTAGAACTATGGGGGCACCGAGTCATTACCTATGCCATAGGTATAAGGGGATTTGAAGAGGAGCTACTTCTGGTGATATCAACTATACCATTAGTTGGCTACCTCGTCAACCACGGGACCTATATCCAACATATGCCACGCATTACTTTTAACGAAAGCGGCGCGGGAAACACAACCACGAGCCGCGAATTGTCATCCTTAGTATTGGGGGTTTGCGTCAAAAGAAGCAGATTTACCTGCTTTGTTTGTTTTTAACTGTACGGTCACCCCAAAAGGTTCAGCATGAGTTTGGCGCTTTTTGGTTGATCATTCGAGGGCAGGATATGGATCCAACAAGGGTAAATGAGCATGAAAGGGAACAGGAAGGAGGAATGGGCAGAGTTCATGACATGTCTGATGTGTACCCATCTAGCGATACCCTGGTGTTCAGTGGTGCGAGAGAGAAAACTACGCACTCACGGCCGTTTCCTTGGCTCTGTACGATACTACTAGTTAGTACATACCTACTTACTTGTAATGTTGCATAAATTCAATAAAGTCGTCTTGTATGATGGATTTGCTCTCAAGCCTGATTGTCTGTGAATGATGCTAACTGAAGGCAAGCGAGCAAATGGACAATCTACCTAGGTATGCATCTAGTCATTGCAACAGCTCTTGTGAAAGTATGTTTGAACACAGTATCCTACATCGTTGCTTACCAATCTAGGCAGGACTGACAAACATTATATACACAACATCACTGATACTGTCTGCATACATACATACATACATACATACATATGCAAAGGCTCTCTCCTATTTGTAAGCATAATGTAGGTATGGTAGTCTTACATATTACCTATGTAATGTAGGTACATGGACAATCACACAAGCATACAAAGCTATGTAGGTAGTCGCGCAAACGCATCGACCAATCTCACACCTAACCTGAGCTACTTACTTACGTAACTCAATTCCAGTACCGCGCCCAGACGTCATACTCGTCCCTAGTGCCCGAGAAGTTGAAGTCGTGCTCGACGATGTCCTGGAACCCCTCCTTGGCCCGCGGCTCCTTGAAGCGGGCGTAGAAGGAGTTGAAGGCGAGGGCTGGGAGGATGGTGCGGGATTCGGGGTTGAGCTTTTTTTTTTTTTTTTGTTATTGTAAGCTAATGAATGGCTTTGAGAATAAAGTAATTAAGGGAAAAATCGGGAATGAAAGAAAGGAATGGTGTGGCGTGGTGTGGTGTGGTACGTACCGACTTGTTCAAAGCCCTCACGGCGTCGTTGTGCTCGCACACGACTTTCGGGGCCTTGAACCACACGCAGCGGATGGGCACGTTGTAGTTGTTCGCTAGCTCGATCCATTCCTTCCTGCCGTCCGAATGCGGGTTCGTGCTGTCTAATTGCCCGTTTCTGCCGGTTAGCGTATATTTCCCGGTAAATACATTGTTCGTTGGCTGGTGCTAGCTAGTAGGGATCCTAGCATTCAAAGGGGAAAGTGAGGGACGGAGGGCAATGGATTGACTAGGTACCCACCAATAACTATCGAGTCCCCTCCGCTCAGCAGCTCCGCGGCCACTTTGAAGCACTTGGCTCGCGTCTTCAGAATATCCTGGTTCACGCGCTCGTAGCCTAGCGGCTTCAGATGTCGCCAGTAGAATGTGCTCTTGCCCGCGCCCGGTGGACCAGCGAACAGCACTATGTCCTGCTTATTCGTTTTCTCGAACACAACATCGCCATTGCCAGTACTGCTGCTGTCTTCGGCGGGGTATGGATAGCTCTCCAGATCGAAGTCTCTGGAGAATTGGCTGGGGGGCTCGTCGAGGAAATATTCCTCGGGCGTGTGGTACGGGATGCCGACGTTGTGCGCGAAGTTGCGATCCGAACAGCTGAAGTCCTTGGTGCTACCTTGGCTCTTCAATGGGTTTCTGCCACCCGCATCACCTACAAATAGGCTGCCGGCCAGGTCGACCTCGTCCTCACCTAGGCCATAGTCCCGACATATTTCAGCCCACATGCCGATTCGCGGCTTGCGGAAGATATCCTTTTCGGTAGCGGCGTATACCGCGGTCGGTAGATTGAGTTGCGCGAGTATGGCGTTGCATTTTTGCTTGAAGTTCACGACTTTGTTCTTGCTGCCGCCTTTCGGTGCTTTCGGTTTCAATTCGGGATGTAGAACTAGTCCAGCTTGGTTGCTAAGGATCACGACGCGATAGCTATAGAAATCGCATGAAAGTAAGTGACTAGATCAATGTGGTGTTGTAGGAAGTAGTAGATATGGAAATCCAACGTACTTTTCAGCATACAGCTGTCGCAGGCGCGACGGTATACTACTATTCCACCACTTCCAATCCTCAGGGCTATCCCCAAATCTCTTGCCCGACACCGTGGTGATCAATGTCGAATCCTGGAGGAGGGGAGAGTTAGACCATCCATATTCTTCTGTCCTAGGAGCTGCTCCTCATCAGCGGGCAAATGGGGTAGATGGCTTAAACGCGTACAAGATCGAATGCGGCTATCTTATTCCTTTTCGTAGGATCTGGCTTCTCCAGGTTTTCTGGCTCGTAACGGCCCACGAGTAAAGTCGGTGGCGCGTCATCATCGGCGGCGCGCTCGGTCCAGGTCGTCCGTTCTTTAGGCTTCTGAGACGTCGGTGTGAAGAAACTAGCCACGGCTCCTTCTGCTCAGCAGGTTCGCAGTTAGTGGCAGCCTCTTATTCAATGTTGCAGTTTAGGGATGTGACTAGACTGAAGTGGCAGTGTTGAGATGTTGAATGAACTAGCTAAGGAACAGACGCACCTGATATATTACTCTTCACTTTGCGCTTCAGAGGCGGCGGTGATATGGATTTCTCTATCGCTTTTCGCTTTGGGGCGCTGAAGGATGGAGGTGACATTATCCAGGAAAGATAGCTTGTGCGGGTTGTAGAGACAAAGGTTCGGGCATGTGATATTTTGAAGTTGTGCATGTTCAGATGTTGATTAACCTTTTGGTAATAATCTAATCTTCATGGTACAGTGACTTGGATGGACACCGTACCCATACTATGTACTGTAGGTATGCACGTACAGTGACGCACCTGGTGCATAACGGCTAGATATCTTATCTTATCTACTTATCTATCGAACCACTACATGCATTGTTGACTACCTAGGTATGTACGTAGTTACTATGCAGTACATATGAATTGAATTATACTATGTATGCAGTCTTCAACATGATTATCTAGTTGAAGTATGTAAAGACAAACATTCAATACAGTATATATATAGCAGTGCTAATAAAAGATGTCTTCTCAAGGTAGGCTAAGCCATACAGTTAAGACGTAGTTTCCTATTTGCGTGCCTTCCCATTACTTGTTTGTATGTGCTTAGGTACCTTGGTCCTAGGTATGCTCCTACAGTTTGCTTGGTAAATCGGGATTGTACGAGATAGGCTCTTGCCTAGAATATGGCCTTCCGTCCCATACCTTCCTCCATTATAGTAGCAAGTAGGTATATATCAGGAAGTCACCCACCCAGCATTAGTCCCAATGTTGGAAAGAGCACAGTTCAGTTTGTGAATTGGGAAGGCGTAACCTCGTCCCCGAAATCTATATAAAGCCTTCAACATTCTACCGTTTCTTCCATTTTTCTTCTTTCCATACAACGCATTTCACCCCATCGGTACGATTATCTAACTTCACAGTTAACTCATATCGACTTCAACATTGATTCATTCAACTCACATCAATTATATCCAATCAACTTATATCTATCACTTACATCATTCACTTACACTATTCACTTACACCAACTATATACAATTAACATACACCAATAACAGACAAATCAAGTCAAAATGTTCTCTTCACTACCCTCCTCTACCGAGAAGAGCATGCTCCTCTCCCTCCCCCCCTACATCCGACACCAAATCTACCATCACATCAACATTCCAGTGGACACAGTATTACGCCCACAAAATGAATACATCTTATACAATGCGGGCTGGCCGGCTTACAATTCCAAGAAAAACCACCCTTCTACCAAATCAGCTTTTCGTTTATTACTCGTATGTCGAGTAATTAACTCCGAAGTCTCCCACCTCCTATACTCTCAAAACACTATCATCATAGACGATTCAAGAGCTCTCTTAAACTTTAGGCCCACTACCATTGCATCCTTCACCTCTCTGAAGATGGGCCTAAGCTACATTTCGCAGCAGTATAACGATCATTGCTGCCATCTGTATGGGAGCAACGAAATAGAGAACTTCGACTCAACTGTCGCCGACTGGAAGGCGGCAGTAGACTATATTGCACCTCACATTCAACCTAGCAAGCTAGTACTAGAGTTGATATGTGACACCGACTTAGAAAGGAACAAGCTCGAAAAGGTGAAGGCTGCAAAGGGTATGGTAGCCCCTATTAGCCAGCTACCAACCCTACTTGGCTGCCATATCCGATTAGCCGCCAATCCTAACAAAGCGCTTTACGATATTGCCAAAAACGCTGCCACCCGGGCTGTGAACCAGCGTCGAAAGCCATTCCGATATTTCGATTTGCCCTTCGAGATACGAGAGCATATTCTCTCATTCACAGACCTCGTGACACCCCCAAACGAGGTTGAGTTCGAGTATGGCCGGGGATATAGGGTCTCCACCAAGAATAAACGCAAAACCCGAATTAGAAACCCAACAAACCACCCAACTGATCACAGGATATGCTGGTCATTCGACGATATAGAAAAGTTCACATCTTTTTGGGATGCTGAGGATTTCCTCAAGGAGAAAGCGAAGACACCATGCCGCTTTTCTGGCATGAACCAGTCCACGGAGAACCTTCGAGGCCATTGCTGGTGGCGTGACGAGTACTACAGCCAGTTCTACAGCTGCCCTGGTGCTGATGAAAACTGCAAACGTAGTATGAGGGAGCCTGGGTGCTTCTGCAGAGCACTACACACAGCGTACTCCCCCCTTTGCCGTTGCTGGGCGCCGCCGAGTGAACTTTTTGGTATCAGCAAAGCTTTCAAAGCAGATGCTGAGGCTGTATTTTTCAGCCAAAACCATATCATAGTCCGCGAATATTCGGAAGAGGTCCCAATAAAAGTCGCGAAGGGTATCTCAATTGTCCAATTTCTTGACAGCCTGTCTCCAGTTGCAATCCGCAACCTTCGATCACTAGAGATATGCCTGGACAACGAGAGTCTTCGCGACGATGCTAATCCAGAGGCCTACGAGGGTTGGCGGAGTGCTATTGAGCGCCATAAAAATAAGCTCAATCTACGCTTTCTTTGGATTCAAGAGGACCATAAAGGCCCTAGGTGGGGCTTCGATAAAACCAAGAACTTCGTGCATAGGAACATATGGTCTCTGGAAGATGTCGGCATCACGGCGCCAACCAGAACCCTAGCATATACATCCTCGGACGACAATGGCACGACGAGGTACTACTTGCGCCATCCTTCAGAGATATCTGTGATCAGGATGATGGATGGGTATGGGTCTCTGCATCTTATGAATACGTGCCAGTTCCGGCCTGTGACCGATGCCCCACCGAAGTTTGATGATGATGGCGAGTCTGGGGGGGAAGTTGGCAACAAAGGCAAGAAGGTGGAAAAATATAGGGGCCCTTTGATCGAAGGCTTCTTCCATTGTTCCGCTACCAGGACACAACCTATCTTCTAGATGATGAAATAAACACATCTCAAACATACCTAGTTAATCGTGCTCTAAGAGACGCCCGTGAATGACTTGATTGTCCTTGCTACATAAATTATGACAGTGGACTGAGTTCTAGTGAATTTGCAAGCTTACATTTGCTAAGTAGAGGTTTTAAGGGTGTGTGAGTTTTCGATAGTTAGCTACGTAGGTAGTAGAGAATCAATGTGATTGATTTGAGAAAGACAGTAATTATAACTAGGCTTCATTGTTCATTTGTGTTATTCATTTTTGTTCTCATGACTATTGCAAGAACCAAGCGCCCGATCCCACCTTCGCAGCCAGACCAGTAACTACCTAACGCCCAGAGAACCAAACCGTAGAAAAGAAGAGTACTGTGACGTGAAAGTTAGACCCGTACCACATTGCTTCACAACAGCCTAGCTAGAAGGAAGAAGCATCCATACCTTTCCATACCTTGCTTGCTCGCGAGCACCATCCCCCTCATCTACTCTACTCTACTCTACTCTACTCTACTCATCCCCCCCACCCTCAACATGCGCACTCAACAGCGCCCACTGCCCCTGACAATGCCTTTTAAACCCCTCTAGCGGCGCATACGCAGCATCGTTGCGCGCTTTCAGGACTCTAAAGCCGCGGCGCACGGCACCGCTGGGGTCCCAGCGCTGCGCCAGGGTCTCGGCCTCGGCTTCCAGCGACAGGTGCCGCGAGCGCTGCCCCGTTATCTGCGCGCAGAGGCGGTGCGAGGCGAGGTGGTCTGGTCGGGCGCACCGCGTGACGAGGAGCTCGGCGGTGGCGCGGAGGTGGGCGTAGGTCGCGCGGTATGTGGAGAGGGTGGTGTAGAGGGCTTGGATCTTGGCCTGGGGTTTCGTTAGATGGTTGGATGGTTGGTGGGGATGGAAGGGGGTAGGTGAGTGGTGGAGGTGAGGATGAGATATAAGGATTCACTACTTACAAACTCCTCTCGGCGCTGCTGCTGCTTCTGCGCTGCTGCTGCTGCTTCATCGGCCGCTTGGGCGGCGGCTCCGGAAACGAGAACCATGCTGTGGAAAGGAAGATTTTTTTTTGTTAGTATCAGTAGCGTTGCAATGGATGGGGAGATGGGGAGACGCGTTGGTAGAGTTGGAGTGTGTGTACATTGTGTCGGGAACTTCGCGAGCGCAGTTCGGGATGGCTCTGTGGGAATCTAGAATGGTTTTACTTACCTGTATTTTTTTGTCGGTTCTTTTGGGTTTGAGTGGAAGAGGAACGATATGCAGGTGGTAGGTTTGATGTGGTCAAATAACCAAGGTCTAACCAAGCAACGGCGGTTAGCTTGAATGTTGGACGATGAGAAGAGTACGGAATACTCAAATTCTTCGACGTACCTTGTGCAAAAGGGTTATTGCTTGATGTTCTCAAGCCGCGCGTGACTGGGTTGATGGTAGAGAATGTAATGGTGGATTTAAATGTAAAGGTGGTAGGAAGGAAACGCTTTTCGTGTGGTTTCGGAATGTGCATTTGTTTGTGTGGTAAATAGTAAAAAAGGCACCTGCTTCGCAGAAAAGGTTTTATCTACACTGTTGTAAGTCCTGATTTAGACGCTAAAGGGTAAGGTACCTTTAATGCACAGTCCAGCAATACGGACTGTGTAGTTCACCAAGGTCACTGGCGCTAAGCTAAGGGTGATTGCCTCAGGCGGCTTTAAAGAGCAAACTGACCCACTATTTCCCCCTTAACTGGGTGGGCGACGAGTAGATACCCAGTGCCTAATACCTAGGTGTTCACAGCATTTTTACATAGAAAATACTTCTACTGACTCAGGTATAAGGTACCGATTTCATTTTTGTGATATTGGGGACTGTTTTCAGTGAAGTTTCGGATTATGACTTTCGTATGTGGATCGCTTCACCTTTCATCCTATCTAGCCCCTATTCACACGTGTAAAAAGCCACGAGAGTACAATGGTGAACTGCCGCACAAATTACCCAGTACTCACTATACTCGATAGAAATAATGGAAAAGGACCTCTGATTCATTACGGATTTATATAGGGCACAATTTCTAATGGCAAGTAGCAGCGTCGCTTTTTACGATAGAAATAGGAGAAGTTTTCCACAAAGAAAATCATAGTGAGAATGTCATTAGAATAGGTGAAGCTGCCAAAAGAAGGACAATTGATGAATCCCAATCTATTATGACTATCTACCTAGCAAAGAAGTAAACTTCATCGTCATTGGTTTGTGTTAGCTCACATACAAGCCGCCGCGTTTCTCGGCAACAAAGTTTATTTCAACATCTTTCTTAGATTCTACTTACTGTTTAGTGGCGCGAGTTTCAGGGGTAATCGCCAAAATGGCGACATGTTATTGTCTTAGATATCCAAATCTTACCTACCTAGGTAAATAACAAGAAAGCAACCTACAAAATTTAACCAAAAAGATGAAGAAATAATTATTCCTGCTCTTTTTACTGAGTCATCTCGAAGATGTTCAACGCGTTTGAGTCGCTTGGCAGTTTGTGTGGGTGCTGCCCGTTAGGTAATATGAGCAACCTGTGATTGAAATCATCACCACTTATGATGTAATCCTACCTAGTCAGAAAGTGTTGCAGTATGACTGCAACCAAGAAGGAGAAAGATGAAAGGAAGAAAGCTTGCTTTATTCTAGACTACACTGGCGGAGTGCCAATATATGGCTGGCCTAGTGGGGCCATGGGCCTCAGACACCTGCAACAGAAAGCTATTGTATTGTACAAACAACAAGTATTAAACCATCTCCAACTTCAAAGTAAGTTTTCATTATCTAACTAGTTAGGTGGGTTAGGTATAATGCTCACGGAACCCCAGATGAGATTCACCAGCATGAAGAAGGTTAGATAGCTTCATCCGTTTCCCCTCCGCCGTGCCAAGAGGAGCTAACCCCCATATACTAGATGGGTAATAGTTACGATCTACGACGACGCTCGTCCTTTTGACCAAAAGTCAATGTCCATTGCTAGCCCATTGCAGACTGAAGCATGCTACATGCCACCCAATTCAGAAGTTGTAAGAGTAATAGGCCAGGGCGCATCTCATCTAGGTTACATACGCCCTATAGTCTATGGGGTAATCAGGTTGATAATAGGAACAAAATGATATTCCGAGGATTCATGGATCCGGAAACCTTCCAGGAGATATTCAGTTCCTCGCATTATAATGAAAGCCAACTTACTGATCTCCTGATGATCTTGATGATACAAACGTACGCAAAACCCCCAGACCTACCTGCTGTCAGGTAGGTATGCTGTTCTGCCGAGCTGTCTTACCGGCTCTCCTATTCCTATTGGAATATCACGGTATACATTCGGGTAAATGACCGCCGTAGTGTAGTATAGCAGTAACTGGTTTCACAGGGAGTGCGGAGATAGCAATCTGGGGAAGCCCCTTGACCTGTCGAATCACAGAGCTCATTATACCCCAGCACAGGGTCAATAGCTTCCTCCACATCCCCCGCTCCCGTCCCTCCACAGGATACAGGATAACCCTCTCCGGGGGAAATGTTTGCATGGGGGTCGGTATCCACCCACCTCGTTACCGAAGCCTACATACTAGGTAGGTAGGTAGGTAGGTAGCTAATACGTCAAGCTTTCCCCAACGTTGGATTGGAGCTACGCTGCCCGATTCGGTAATTCCGCCCGTGTGTGATGGGTGACGATGGTCCTACGCATCCACAAAGATGCCTATGTGAACAAAGACTTCAGTCCAGAATATCCTTCTTCTTTGAGAAGACAGTACCTAAGCTACCACTCACCAAGTTGTTGTTTTGTTCTGTTTTTGCTTTCGTCGCTTCTACCACCGCTGATGTTGCTTTACTGAGCAGAAGCAGGGGAAAATGGACAGCACCTCGGCCGAGAAGGCCCCAGAGGCCATGAAGGCGACGAACGAAGAAATCGAACATCGCAAAGAGGTGATCACCGCCGGAGCGAAAAGGCGCGGCATCGACGACGCCGAGCAGATCGCGCTGTTCCAGCAATTCGCGGCGGCGAGCCCAGAATGGCACCGCGCGATGACGAAAAAGGTGATGCGGAAGGTGGACGGTCATTTGCTTCCGATGCTGATACTGATGTATCTGCTCAACTTCCTCGACCGAAAGTAAGTCGCGAGAAAGGCTTTTCTTTCTAAACCGAATACATATCTAGGTATGCTGGGCCAGGTAGCTAATCAATGGAACGTACTAGCAACCTCTCGCAAGCCCGACTCGGAACACTCGAGGCGGATCTCAACATGACCGGGACGGACTTCAACCTTGCGACGAGCATCCTCTTCGTCGGGTACCTCCTCATGCAGCTCCCCTCGAACCTGCTGCTGACGCGAGTGCGGCCCTCGATATACCTCGGCATCGCAATGACGATATGGGGCGTGATTTCTACAGCGCAATCGGCGACGAAGTCGTTTGGCTCGCTCGTCGCGTGTCGGTTCTTGCTTGGATTCGGTATGAACACCCGTACAAGCATACGTTAGGACTAGGGGGATAATGAAAAGAAAAAAAACTAAGCCATACTAACATGCTCGCAGCGGAGGCCCCCTTCTTCCCGGGAGCCATCTTCTTGATGTCGAGCTGGTACACGCGGGGCGAGCTAGCTCACAGGATCGCCTGGTTCTACAGCGGGAGCTCGCTCGCGAACGCGTTCGGCGGTCTGCTTGGCGCGGGCGTCCTTGGGAATCTAAGTGGTGCTCATGGTATCGCAGGCTGGTAAGTCATCCAATCCATCATCTCCGGTTGCTTTCCAAGAAAAAAAAAGGTAAAAAAAAAAAAAAAAAAAACACACAAGAGAGAGACGGAGAAGAAAAAAGAAGTGTTCAATACCTATGGAATATCTAACATCAGAAAAAAAAAAAACAGGCGCTGGCTCTTCATAATCGAAGGCAGCATCACCGTCGCCAGCGCCATCCTCTCCGCCTTCATCCTGCCCGACTACCCCGCCACGACGCGCTGGCTCACGGCCGAGGAGCGCACGTACGCGCAGTGGCGGCTCGTCGAGGACGCCGGCGAAGCCGACGCCGCGGGCGCCTCGTCGATCAAGGAGGGCGTGCTGCTGGCGATGCGGGACCCGCGCCTGTACCTGTTCACGCTGCTGCAGCACGTGTCGCTGCTCTCGCAGACGTTCCAGTACTTCTTCCCCACCATCGTGCAGACGCTCGGCTACGGCAGCGTGGTCACCTTGCTGCTCACGGCGCCCGTCTGGATGCTCGCGTTCTTCCTCGCCCTCGGCGTCACGTACACGTCCGGACGCTTCCGGGACCGCAGCTTCCACATCATCTGCCTCACGCTCATCTCGATGGTCGGCAATGTCATCGTCGTGTCGACGCTGAGCACGGGGGCCCGCTTCTTTGCGCTGTTCCTGCTGCCGCTGGGCGCGGTGCCCGCGTATCAGGTGAGGAAGGCCCAGCCCCCTTTTTTCCCTTTTTTTTTTTCTTTTTCTTTTTAGAGCCCGATGTATCATACGTCGAATTGGTACCAATGAGCATTGTCTGGACTGCCACTAACTAATGCTGCCACGCACGCGCGCTATACAGATCATCATCGCCTGGGTCGCCAATAGTTTCCCACGGCCGCTGGTCAAGCGAAGCGCCTGCATCTCGTTCGCCAATATGATCGGGAACACGGCCAATATCTACGGTTAGTCATACGATATTTCCCGTCCCTCCCCCCCCCTTTTTTTTTTTCGTAATTCCAGCTTTCAGCTAACATTAAAGCATTAGGCCCCTACATGTAAGTACTAATTTATTGACTCTCTGTCTATCTATCTACCTACCTAGCCCTAGCTCCAGCCAGTGCCCAAAGAAAAAAAAACGATTCTCAGCATCGGGCCGAGTAATATAGATAAAATAAAATAAAATACCCAACTACCTACCCAGACAAGAAAGATACAAGCCACTAACCCCTCCCAGGTACCCAGCCACCTCAGGGCCACGCTACCTCGCAGGCGGCAGCGCAACGGCAGGCGTGGCGCTGCTCGTCGCCTTCCTCGCCGTCGCGGCACGGCTCGTCCTGCAGCGGGAGAACAAGAAACTGGCGGCCCGAGAGGCGGAGAACAACAACAACGACGACGACGACGACGACGCGCGGCAGCAGCAGCAGCGGCAGCAGCAAGCACCCGAAGCCACCACTGCCGGTTTTACTACTCCGGTGGGTTTCAGGTATATCCTTTAGGGAGGGCTAGGTTTGGTTTGGCTCGAGGCGGACTTGGGCTTTGTCTACTTGCTACGTTACCTACGCGTGGAATGAATGGATAATGGCTGCACACACCTAAGACTTAGGTATGTAACTACCTAGTAGTAGGTACCTACCTAGGTGGACGGGTACTAAGATAGGTAGGTATCGAAAGCTGAGGCGGGCCAGACAGAATCAGGTATTATTGAAAACTGCGGATATTGATTTGATTTGGTAGGAATTGGATTGGTCTGCGTGCTAACTAACTAACTATCGCAATCTCCATTGTCTTCAGATGTTGTGATGAACTTAACTTACACACCTTCTTCCCCCATCACATCACCCCCTTCCTATCCCCTCCCCCGTCCCCCCGTCCCCCGCCTCCGATCACTGCACACCACACGCCAGGCATTAGCCACATGCAGTTGGAGACCTCCCTACTCCAGACTACTTACATGTATGTAACCTACGGGCTATATATGCATGCATGCACCTATCAAACGCCATACCCACACGTATGCACAGGGAGAAATATGGGATAATTGAAAAGCCACCCGCCCGCCGCTCCAGTAACTCCCCCATCCAGATTCATCGTTGTCGTCGTATATTAGATAGGTAGGTAGGTATGTGCATGACCCCCCCCCCCCCCCCCCCCCCACCTTGTCAATGTATGCGACGCCACAAGGATAGCGGGATAGATACATACATACCTAGGTTACATACCTCTAGGGCTGTGCATGATTGATCTCTGAGGACCAATTCTAGCTATGTAGGTATGTAGGTGCCAGGTGGCGGGTAGGTGGGATGTATGTAGGTAGACAGTGAGGAATGAATTCCCCGCATACCCAACTAGCCATAGATCAACTATTTTGATTCGACGTCTTTCCTCCATTCAATTACATATTTCACAAGTCTGCGCATCTAACAATCACCAAAGTACCTAGTAAAGCCAGTAAAGTAATATAGCAAAAGAAAATGCTAAGGATACTAGGTATCTTTTATTTTATTTTATCTTCATTGTAAAAAGGATCCCCTGCCCTTTCTAAGCTTGCCTAGATGCCATGCTCTCATCTAAGTAGGTAAGGTAGTTAAAGGTATCTAAACCAAAGTAGTAGCCAGGTTCGGTTCTTTGTTTTTTTCTTTTCATGTACAACAATCCAGCATCTATTTTCACACACACACACGCACACAACATATGGTCTTCTTCCTCGTCTCCTCGTTCGTCAACCAGATACACACGCCTACACCTACACCTACACCTACACACACATGGATATGCCACACACACATACATACATACACACACCCCAGGAACTCCCCAAAATGCCCGAGTCCAAAAGGTTCTGGTCCTCAAGAGGCTGCAGTCCCTTTTCTCGAATTTTGTTTTTTGCTTTGCTTGCGAGTGAACCCAGCAAATTAGGTAGCCCGTTCCCTCATCCGCACGCCAGACCAACAATGTGCTGTGCTGTGCTAGGTATACCGAAAATACTCCATAGCATCTCAATTCAACCACCTTCTAGAATTCCTCCCACCAACCCGCCTTCCCGTCCCCCCACTTACTCACTCACTCCTTTCCTTGATTGATTCTCCAACACAACAATTCGAGTTGGACAGAAGCAGAAAAAAAAGCGATGTACAGTCCAACTGCAGTACAGTACCACACACAAAAAGGCTACCCAGGAAGAGTAAGTGGTAATAGTTAGCAGTGTAGTAGGGTAGCCTTTAACCCAATCCATCCGGATCTCTTCTGCATTTTTTATCAAAACAAAAATTTCCCCAAGAGCGCCTTTTCCAATGCAAAGCATGATATGATATGCCGGGTAGACGCGAAGGAATACCAATCAATCCAATTAAAACAGTTAATAATAGCCAACACCCAACAACCAGAGGTAATAATAATAGAGAGTAATGATAAATGATAAAAAAAGACACTTCTTTCATTTCCATCCTGTTCTTCAATGTCATGTTGCGCGGTTTTCGATCGTTTCCCATTTCTTTTTTTTTTCCCTTGATGCAAACCGGTACGCTATCCGAATTAGAGACACTGGATAGGTAGGTATTAAAAACCTCGCATGTGTGAAGAACAGGTGTACAGAAAGAAGTAAAAAAATAATCCTGAAAAAAAGGAGTCCATGTAATGACCCGAGAGTTGGCACTTCCCGTCGATCCTAGCCTCGTACGTGCAGATGCATAACGTGGGTCGCCGAGATTCCCTCTCCCCGATTAGAAACACCGGGGAGATAAACGCTAGGGAAAATCGCGTTGGGAAGGAGAATGGGGGCTTCAGGGGGGAAATTTCAAAACAAAGACACTTTTTTTTTCGATTGCAGATGCAGATTTGCGCCGACGCCGTGCGTACGTATGTATTCTGTATTCATGTATGTATGCGAATGCCGCGTGTGACGGGCGGACTGGGGTACTTGGATCGTTAGTCGTCCTCTAAATGGTATCCAAAATAACGACAAATGGTATCTCTCTATGCTGCTAGACGTAAAACAGTAAGAAATGAAACTCGGTGTAAAGAAAAGAGCGTGAGCGACATAAAGGGGTCGTAAATCGTCATTAAATGGTCGTAACAAATGTCCAGGCGATCGAAATTTGGTCGTCATGTAAAATAATTATTATACTGAGGTGTGTCGTTTACTTCCTCAGGCCGACTTTGCCGGCTAAGTGACGCCAAAAACCGGACCCCTTTCGGTCCACGCTGTCCATGGACATCATAGTGGCTTCTCGCACCATGGGACCGACAATGTCTTCGTCGCCGCGTTCGGGGAATTTTCCCTCGGCGTACATCTTCGGTACCGTAGTCAAAACACCTTCGTCGAATTTCTCGCACGTGGTCGCCTCGCCGCTAGCCACAACCGCCTCCGCAATCTCGTCGTGTAGGTTGCGCCATGTGCGCTGGGTCTCAGCCCATTTAGCTTCGGTTAGCGCATACGTCTTAGAAGTCTGGCCGTAATGTTCCCCAGTTCGCGCAAGGTGCTTCGTATAGTTCACTCGTGCTATTTCCCAGTCGCCGCGAAATTGGCGAAGAGAATCCAGGTCGGATGTTTCGGGCTTGTACGGCTTCGGAACAATGGTGTAATTTGCATGCCCCAAGCGATCAGACCAGGCATCCGGCGCGGGTAATTGAGGAAGCTCCACCGAACCTGGCATGTGGCGAAGAGAAGAACTGGAAGGTCTCGTACTAAGCGGTGGAGACAACATACCAGACGAGTAGATTTCATCATCTATCGGACAAAACTGCGAGGCAATGGTAGGCGATTCCAATCCAGATTGTTGCGCTAAGATTTGCTCGGTGGAGGAAGCCATGATAGGTGGTAGAAGCGGTGTTATCGCTGATCTGCGGTCGCGCTCAATAGATGACAAGATGTCATTCGCCTTCTTGATGTCGAACCCTCCACCCAGCTGCATAAAGCTATCACTGCTTCCAAAACGTGACAGGGCAGGCGTAGGCGGTACTGCGGGATCATTCGAACGGTCTTGGCGTTTTCTGCTAGGGGCTGCTGAGACGGAAGAAGAACGGCTCGAAGGTGCGCGAGATGATAATATCGGCCGTTGGTCGAACCCATATTCGGATACTGGAGAACTGATTATACTAGACGGCTTCGACGATTTCCATTTACTGAGAGAAGGGAATCGAGAACCGATACGATGAGAGAAACCGGCAAAGGATGACTCAGAGCCATCTTTGCGCTTCCTCGAGCGTAGACTGAAGCTAAAATCGCCATCGCTGAAGAAACCTAAGTCGTAGTCGGCACTCTTACGCGTATAAAAGTTTGACGTGCTTTGCATTAGATCAGTATCTCTATGGATGCAAGGTTCGTCACCTAAACCAGATATAATTAGAACGAAGAGAATCACGGATAATAGGATAAGTGGAAACAAACATAAGCATTGGTATAATTCAGAGTCAGATGCATCATCATAATCTGAGTCCGAGTCGTCGTCATATTCGATTGGTTCCTCTTCTACGTCGGGTAGGACGCGTTTGCCTGAGTTCTGTGCTGTTTGCGTAGGCGACGAAGTGCTATCAGAGCTTACTACAGTTGTTAAGTCAAAAGATGACATGGAACTGGAGCAGCGCAGATGACCACGGGCCGAGAAGGTTGGCGTTACTGGCGACGTCGTATCTGAAGAGTAGGAATCGGTCGTGTAGAAGTTATATGGTACATCTACCTCTGCTTCGCGCTGTGCGGCCTCTTCCTCTTCCTTCCTCCTTCTCTCCTCCACCAGCAATGGCAGTTGAAGAGGTCGTAAACTGGGAGACATGACGTAAGAAGTAGCGTGATCGATGGTGGATACGCCGGTCGTCTAGATAAAATTGCGAACTTAAGGTTTATCTTATAGTTGACGTTGTTATTGTCGTCGTCGCGTTACCGTGATCGGTAACGTCAAAGTTCGTGGAGCTGTTTTGGTGGGGGGATGATACGTCAAGATAATAAATACATCCAGGATCCTCGGTAGCACTATTTTGGGAAATAGATTGTCGACCAAAAAGAGGAAAGGGAAGCAGAAAAAAGGGAAGAAGAAAAAAACGCTCGGTTCTCTTCTTCGGTGCCAAAAATTGATACAACGTCTTATAGACTAAGGATGAGACCTAGGGCCTAGTGACGAAACTACTTAGTAGAGTACTAGAGTAGTAGACTATACCGTTTGGTCGTTTGATGTGATGTGTTGTGTTGTGCTGTGTTGTGTTGGTAGGCAGGGTAGACAGGGTAGTTTTGGTATGATGGTATGATAGTATGTATCCCAACCTCGTGACAGGCTCTCTGGTGGGAAATGTCCAATTGTTAAAAGGGTATATACGTGTACCAGTGGACTGTGGACTCAGAAGACTGTGGACTGTCTTTGCCCTATCAACTTTCGGGTAGTGACAGTGGTCCACGTGTAGCTTGGGGTAGTGTGAATTTCGTGGGGTTGTAATCGGGCTGCCGTGCTGTGCTGTTCGTTGCTCTTCTCTCCTTCGTTGCTGGTCTGTCGAAAAATAAAACAAAACCCAACTAAAAAATCTATACCGCCTCTCCAATCAAATAAGCGGTATCGTGCTAATCCTGACACAAATCTCTTAAGGTCCCTCTAGGCGGTCGTTTCTCCCTGCAGCACCTTGAGTGTCTGCACCGTGACAGAACCGATAAGTTTGGCGAGTAGTGTAAGTAGTGTACAGCATAAGCCAATGGCTCAAACTAACGAGGAATTGCAGCAAATATATCGTGCCAGTCCAAGTTGAGCGTTTATTCCCCAGGATCTCAGGTCAGACAGAATGCTTGTTTATTGGTAGTTTCTCCAGAAGCCACGGTGGTATTGCGCGAAGGTGGGTGGGATAGGAAAGATGAAGAAAATGCACCTCTGAGAAAAGTTGAATCCAAGAATTCAAGAATCCAATCCCTTTTTTCTTCTTCTTCCTCTTCTTCTTCTTCTTAACCCGAGAAGGGAAAGTCTAGTTAGTAACCTCGTCTGTTGCTGGGGATAGTTAACCTGGGTACGGTGCACTGACTGGCTTCAGTGGCTCGGTGACTAGGCAATCCCAAAAAATAAAAAGAATGAAAAATTATTATTTTAGTTACTAGTATGATACATAGGCATCCATGGGTGTAAGTTGTACAATAGACCATACATCCATACTTCAATGATACTTGAAGTGTAGACCAGTGACCTACATATGGATAGTACCGTAGAAAAAAAGATAAAAAATTAAGACGGGATGTAAAGCGGGTGGCTTTACTAGGGCTCGTTCCGGTCGATTTGGTGCCGTGGAAGAACTCCACTGACTCCAGTGTCCAGCAGCCAAGCAAATGCACTACTATGTAAAAAGCTAAAGGAATCAGAAATGGGGTCAAGGACGGCCCTACCGCCCTGCCGTCTTGCACTGGTTACCTACCTTAGCTACCCTACTAGCTACCCTACTAGCTACCCTACTAGCTACCCTAGCTTCCCTACCTAGGGTAGTTAGTTTTTTTCTTTTCTTTTTTTCACGTTGTTCCCCATAAAATCATAACCCTTTCCTTCCTTTTACTATACTAATCCCTGTAGGTGTTAGCATGCTTATTAGTAACCTTGAACTTTAGGAGCCCGACCAACTGGGATGACACTTCGAGACCGCTCAGACTTGCTTATAAGCTAGACTGGGGTTTGCAGGTGTTAGGAAAGAAAGAGCTCTTGACAAGCAATTGAGCTAACCTACTGGATTAATAAGTTAATAAGAGGAGGGAAGCTTCTAATAACATTAACTGAGCTATGCTATACTAGGTTAGTGTATATATATATACCTGGGTATTGTACATCCATTGTATTGTCCCTATCAACATCGAATGGTTCTAACTACTGCATACATGTAAACTACTAGGTACTAACTAACCGTACATCACTTGAACTAACTTCTAAAGGCATCCAGTCACTTCCAATATTTGTGTGCAAATGTGCATCTGCGTATGTTGAATCTTTGATAGAGGGGAAGATATGTACATTGTATATTTGTATGTATGTATCTACGATCCACGGCTTACCTACTATGGCACTAGAGCAACTACACTAGTAGCACTGAGTTATCTAATCCAATTCTTAACGAACCCGTTTCTTTGAAGCGTTGACGCCTCTATCGGAGCCTGTTCTGAGCCTGTTCTGCTGGCTGTGTCTTTCGCAGTAGACGCCTTCTCCACCACTCACAAACGCCGAGCCACTACAGAGTCCAAACATCTACAACGTTATCCTCCAGTCTCCAGGCGCTTGAAACATGCCCAAATAAACAAAACAAATAATAGCAGGCAACATATACGTAGCACGGAATAGCCGCAATGGAGGTCCTCACATCTACGTACGCATAGATACTGTGTATGCAAAGAACGAAGGGGGCTGGAGAAGACGGGGATAGGATTTATAAAGCTAAGCCCATACGAGAGGCAAATGCCCAATGCCCAGTGCTCGTTCCCCTAAACCAAATCCCTCCCTAATTACCAATTCATGCTCGTTGAGAGCAAAAGAAGCATTGAAGCCTTCAGCTTACTATCCAGGTATTACGTACGTACCTACAAGTGAGTAAGTAGAGAGGCATTCAGCACCTTGATGCCATTATAAATCTTACGAAAGAGCGTTACATGAGATATTTAGTACTAGTTATAGTAGCACATGTACATACAATAGAATGCTTAGTAGAAGAATTACATCCAATACATCATAGGCTGCAAAAACTAGATGCATGTATTGTACATTGTACATACCAGTAAGTAAAGGTCCTTTTCGATCCAACATCAACTTTCGGCTTAAACCCTTCTTGGCCAACGGTCCCGGCTTTGATTCCTGGTGGCTACATATGGATTTGCGCTAGTTCGGCTAGAGCAAGGGTGCGGTTCAACCTCTATCGGATTGCAACTCTCACGAAGCCGTCAAATTGGGCTCGAAGCGCAGCCGGTACTGGCGGCGGGGACCTATGGGGAAAGGACAGCTGGGGGCACAGTGCGCATGTGCCAACGGCCAAAGCTACGGTACACACGATACACTCGATACCACTAGTAACCATCGCAGAACATGGGTACCAGGTCAGACTTTGGATACTGTGCACATGGCCCGCCGTTCTGGTCGAGATATCGTACCAGGATCAGCTTGAACAGGTCAGCATACCCTTTATTTTTCAAAAGAATGCCACGCCCTCTTTTGACGTTAGACTCTGCCTGACCTAAGAAATGCCGACCACGTTGACAGTAGCTTGGTAGCTGTGGAAGGATGACTCAAGAAGAAGGTTGTCAAACGCTACCTTAACCTATGGATGTTAGGTTGCACTTCAATTCAAGATAGTGTAGTTATAACTATATATACACAATTGCAATTAGGCCATCTAAGGCAGGTATCCTAATGTCGTACTTCCAGCCACTGCGATACATATATAATAATGCTTTGCCAATATGTGCTAGGTAGGTAGTAGGCACAAGCTTCACGGAGGGCGGTATGGAAAGGGGGTCGGACGTGCGTGATAATGGAACAGCAATTATGATAATAGCAGTTCGGAGAAATCGTGGAAATATGGTTCTTCTCCGGGGGGTATCATCTCATAGTCTCAGATAATAAGTCCGGGACTCGGTGAAGATGTAATGTATGTACCTAACTAGTTACTACATACAACTGTACAAAATCCCATATCTTCAGCACCACTTACAATACAGCTGTTTCACCCACCCCGGGCCAGTGGCCACCGATCCCCAGCACGCCGATGGAAGGCTCCATTGATTGGCAGACCTACAGTCTTACCAAGATCTTCAACTACCGAGGGGGGGAATCGCGTGTGATTGGCAACAATGCCACGCGATGTTTTCTTTCTGATCTTGACGCGTTGTGTTAGGCATGTCTGCCCAGAGGAAAATCGAAAGTCAGTTGCAGATGAGACGACTGAGGTGTCTCTTTTACCTAGATGCCCAAGCAGAAGATCTCTCCATCCCGCCATTCCTGCCGATGCGTGATGGAGAACATCACCAGACGGTGAAGCCCTAGATGCATTATACCAGTTGTAGATATCCGATGCAGGTGCATCTTTTGTTACGTAACCTATCTAGACTGCATGCTAGGCTGCATAAGCGTGTTCAGAGCACATGAGAGTCAAAGAGTCAAAGAGTCAAGACAGCAAGCATGTAAATCAAACAGACATCTTTTTTTTTCTATTAAATTGTGCAGTGCGCAACACAAAACATCAGATGCCCCTCAGTGTTCAATGTTCTCCAAAGTCATCACAAACTTGATAGAATACGTGCCCTAGGTAGATAGCCCAGCGAGTTCGTAGTTACATTGGATAGTTTGGTTCTCCTATGTCATAGTAGAAGCTTTCCTTACAGGCTCCCTGCATGAAGAAATGCGCTCTGCCTCAATCAGGTCGCTATCTAGATAGGTACCAAGCTTTGCAACTTCCCATCTGTCCCCCCTCCAAGCACATATCCTTTGCACGTCCCGTCCCGCTTCGCCAGCTGCCAATACCCTCCCGCTAGGTACTATGTATCTCGTTACTCAGCTTTCCTGTCATCCGCAAGTCAAAACAGCAGATTGCTCTCCCTCTCTCTAAGGGTGGGCAGTGGGCACTGCATGTTTGCGCATACATATGTACCTAGCACATGTACCTACCTACATACATACCTACATACCTACATACCTACATAGCTATGGCACTATGCAACCCTTGTGTGTGTTATACCTAACCACGGTAACTCTTTGCCTTTTCCCCATTCTCCTTCTCGCCGCGTGCCACCAATGGGATCTTTCAGGACGCAATAAACAAATATCACCTATCACATCCGTTTGGAAGCACAGCCTAAGATGCCCTCACATCTTTGTCCTACCTGCTCCTTGCGTGCCACAAAGGCCGTGGCAGTGCCAAACTGGCCCGGGCTGTTATCTGTCACTGCTGCCGAGATTTCAGTGTCCCGGAAAGGGGGGAGGGGAGCCTGTTTGCCAACATTGTTGGTTGGTTGGCATAGCCCCAATCGGCGCGGGTTGTGGCTTGCCTCAACTACAGTAACTACATAGATAGAAACACTTTTTTTTTGTCTGTGTCCAACTTGGAAAGCTAAGACATAATTGTTTCTTTGAGTAATTTGTTTACCAAACCAACCAACAAATCCGACTTTCCAACAAATATATATATCTTACTCATGTTTCTCATGCATGACTTAATACAGCATGAGAGGATTATGATGAAATAGAAACTTGTAGGGAATTAATTGTCGTGGTTGCGGAACAACAATAAACCCTTATTAACGGGAATCGATAAAGTCGCTCAGCA